CATATCTTCTGGCATATTATCTGGCATTCTATCTGGCATATCTTCTGGCATATCTTCTGGCATATCTTCTGACATTCTTTCTGACATTCTTTCTAACTTTCTTCTGCACATTCTTTGTCCCATATCCTCCTACATGAGGTCCGGCAGGGAACACTTGGCGTGGATACTCGCGGTTGAGGTCCGGCAGGGAACACTGGGCGTGGATGGTCCTGGTTGAGGTCCGGCAGGGAACACTGGGCGGGGATGGTCGTGGTTGAGGTCCGGCAGGGAACACTGGGCGTGGATGGTCGTGGTTGAGGTCCGGCAGGGAACACTGGGCGTGGATGGTCGTGGTTGAGGTCCGACACAGCGAACACTGTGGATCGCGAGTCGCAGTTGAGCAGGAGGACGAGGAGGACAACGAGAGGAGGAGGAGGAGGCGGAGGAGGAGGAGGAGGCGGCAGGAGGAGGAGGAGGAGGACCAGGCAACTTAGATAAAATCTAACAACCCTCACCTGGCAGGTGGGGAAAAACGAAGTTTCCCGAACACATGTTCCCAAACTCCATCTCCTGCAGGATTTGCGATATAAAATGTGTGGGTACCTCGGGTAATCAAACATGGTAAGCTGGAAAATCCACCATTCAGTTCAATGATTGTCCCATGAACAACTTCGTTTAGTTTGGGGATTTCCCAGCTAGCCACGTTTTTTTGCATACAAAGCTCGGTCACAGCTGTGCGAAGACTGGAATCCTCTACATGCTGTTGCAAATGGATTGTATACAAGGTGGTTCCCCAGGTCGTTAGCTAAGTTGGCGAACATAACTTCAATTTCACATGGGTTTATAAACTATATAGGTATTTTTCTCCCATGAAACTTAAATCATTTTAAATCTTCTATGAAATATGGAATCCTATGAAATACCCTAGAAATATGATGAGTATAAATATATATATATATACATCACTGAAATTCCTTTGAAATATGATGAGATATCCTAGATATAAAATGGATACTGTGAAATGTCTCTAGAAATCTCCTATGAAAATTTTCCCAGGAGATGGCGATCGGGCTCCGGGGGGCTCCGGGGGCCCCGGCTCGCGCCATGCTGCCATCTTTGATCAAGCCCCACCTCGGAGACTGCAGGATTTCCAAGCACAGTCATGTTGAATATATGTTGTATATATATATCATATCATATAATATATAATGTGTATATATTTCTATAGATTCATATTGCTGTATATGTGGTGTGCTGTATATCGAATCTGAATGAATCCAATACACGTATATTCAAACCATCACAATACTCAACTGGATTTTCGTTTCCGGAAAAAAGAAGAAAAATATAAAGTTCATCTTACGAGAGTTGTGACAGCAGCAAAGTCCATGAACATCCTCTGGGCAATTCCTGGAAGTGTCAGCGATGTGAACCCCAGTTTGATCAACCCCTGGTTTCTTTTTTGAATATTGGAAGTACCCTCTGGTAATTGAACATAGCATGGAAAATCAGCATTTTTAATGGGACAATCAACTATTTCTATGGCAATTTTCAATAGCAAACTGTTAGTTTACCGGTACCATGAAGTACCATTGACACTTGGGCGTCGAAAAAATGTCACCACGTGGTTCCCCCTGCCAGGAGTTGCTGGATGGTGCTATCATGTGGGAAAGTTGCCATGCTGAAAGAAACAGTTTCTGACTTAATCGGGATCGTCCTTCCATCTCTTGGGTAAACAATTGAACACACCACCACCATATACATACATATTACATATATATATATATGTATATATCTATCTATCTAACTATCTATCTATCTATCTATCTATCTATTTATCTATTATCTATATATATATATATGTATATATATATATATCTATATATATATATCAATAAATGTATCTCTCTGTATATATAAATGTATATATATTTCAATACAGTATATATAATATACATAATATATATATAATCAGGATTGTATCATCAGGGTAATGTCATTGGTCACACGGTCTCACAGCATAACCCCACTTGAGCCTGACCATGGTCTCTAAACTTCCAAGTGATCTCTGATCCCCCAGTTTTACCTCTGTTGATGTCCGTCCATCCAACTGTAGATTCATCTCGAAAAATCCTAGTTAACCTAGTTTCAAACTAACTTGGCTAAGTATGGGGCGCCACCTTGCAAGGTATTCCATTATACGAAAAAATACAGAAAGTGAATCCCTATCTTCTATATTAAAATCTCCAATAGTGATATAGAATCCCTATCTTATTATTGTAGCAGGTGAAACCATTCTATTATAATATCTCCAGCTAAGGCTAGGCCCCTGACCCATTGAGGTCAGCTCTCAAGAACATCTCTGGATGCCAGCCTCACAATTCGGAAAACCCCATTGCTACGGTGGAGTGCATGGGAAATTCATGGGATCTACCCTCCTGCAATTTGTTACTGTTCGCGAACTGGAAGCCATAACCTATTCAGTTCGACGTTTATCGTTTTTTAAGATGGTGATTTTCCATAGAGTATTAATTAATTACCGTGTAGCCAACAATGGAAATATCAGGGATATATTGGGAATTTGATTGAGTGGTGGCCATGATATGAGGAAATCATGACTAACCAACGACCAACGGATTTCCGGAATGATTTATTTTTGGACAAACCCAAAGGCTGTGATTTTTTTTGTAATAGCGATGACTGGACAGACATGAAGATGGATGAATGATCTGCGGAAGATCTCCATGCACTGCAAGGCGCCGTTGCCAGGTCCCATGATACTTCTTAGACATCAGGAATAGTTGCATCTTATGTTTTTGTTGGTTGAATCTGTTCAATCCCCATTGTTTGGTGAAATCCCCATTGTTCAACTATAGTGAAATCCCTATTCTTCTTGGCTAAATCCTAATGATGTTTGGTTGTTCAGTGATCAATATGTTTGTCCTTCACCCGACATCTGGCTCTAAACCTGCCTGGCGTGAGGTTTTAGGAGCCCAACCCAGATATAGTGCATGCTGGAAAGTCACCAATTTCTAGGCCAGCTCCCATTCAAATAGTTACATAAGCTACAAAAACAGGGAGATTATATGGATTAATGTGGTTAAAACAATAATAAACAATCCCCCAATCATCACCATAGATAGATGGTATTTTTACCATTCCCAGTCATGGCTAGTTTATGATTGTTTAAACCACATTATATATATAGATATACCCTCTGGTAAACTAACATAACCATGGAAAATCACTATTTTTAATGGACAAATCAACTATAAATTGCCATTTTCAATAGCTATGTTCATAAAATTCGGATGTCGCCGTGTCAGCCATTGCCGGTCAAATCGTTGGGCTTAAAAAATGTCGACCCGGCAAGCCACATTCGTTTCGTGGGCACTACTTGCAAGCCACTTTCCTTGTGTAAAACTATGCTTTTGTCACTTAAGAATCTAAATAGGGTACCCCATTCAATCCAGTTGTTGATCATCATATTCACCTTTTTCAAACTGCCATCATGTAGGGGACAATTCACCATTTCAAAAGACCCAAATTGGGATTTATGAGATGCTGAATGATAAAATCCTGCCGAAATTCATAATTCATTCGAAATCATGATCTTATTCGGGGGTGTCTCAAAATGGGAATCCTCAAGTCAGCATAGGTTTCAATGCTAAAATGGTCTAACTCCAGATCAATTTGGGGGTACACGACTTAGGAAACCTCTAATTATATGGAGATTCCTAACATTTCCTAACATTTCCTAACCCTTTGGTGGTAGAATTCCCCGTTGTTTTGTTCAAACGCGCTCTCCGTGTCTCCCCACTGATGTAGCATCTGGAGCCATCTGAACGGACGCAGTCCCCAACGATGTAGCTGGAACTCGTGCCAGCCTCGGCTGATGGGGTACCCCAATAGCTGGATGGTTTATGTCATGGAACATCTTGGAAAAATGGATGATGAATCATGGTACCCCATTGAAGGAAACCTCCATATATATTATTATTATTATTAATATTATTATTATTAATATTATTATTATTAATATTAATATTAATATTATTATTATTAATATTAATATCAATATTATTATTATTATTATTAATATTATTGTTATTATTATTACTATACATATATATATATATTATTATTATTATTAATATTATTATTGTTATTATTATTATACATATATATATTTATTATTATTATTATATATATGGTAAAAAATTGCTAAACATAAAATGAACGATGTGATATGAATAAAATTCACTGAATGATGTGATGTGATATGGTATGGCATGATTATATTAAAAGAAACACCCAGATATGCATGTCATTCGTAAATGTCTGTGACTTTCAGAGGGTTATAATACTTGTTTTCAATATAAGAAGAATTGCACACCAAAATCTGATATTTGGGTTTGTCTGAAAATGAGTGAAACCATCCCCAATTTAAGTTTACAGCCACCTCTGAGAAAAGTACCAACATTGCCTAACATGTATGTATACACAATTATACACATAGTTTCAACCCTGGACTCCATGGGCTAATAAACCCCTAGGCTGTTTAATTGGGGGTGCCATTTAAGTATCAAATGAAATCACTATTTGGAGAGTACACCCCTGATTAGCAATCCATGGTTTAGTCCCATCCGGGGTGGACATTAACATCAACAAACCATAGGATTCTGAGGGTGTTTCCATGGCCTCTTCCGGTCTTTCCAGTCTTTCCTGAGCCTCGGTCGTGGTATTGGACCAGGACCGGTATGTCAGGATAGACCTTCCAGTCGCTCACATTTTCGTAGGGCATCCACCTTGGGGCCACAGGGCCACAGCCTGGTGGCAACATGTGTCCGCCTGATGGCCTGCTTAAGAACACTACCCGGGCTGTAACTCACTCCAAATCCTAGGTATTACCCTCCAGTAAATTAACATAGACCCTGCCAGATAGGGGTTGGAAGATTAGTTTCCATTAAAAATTGGTTATTTTCAGGGTCTATGTTTATTTACCAGAGGGTAGGTGGTATGGTCCATGAAAAATCCATCAGCTTGAAGTCAGACTGTACGTCAAGCATGAAAGATATGTCTGACGCCACGGGAACCTCTGGATGTCTCTAGATGACTGACAATTTATGATCCAATTTATCGGCCCTGTAGCATTTGGACGGTTGGTATCCCTGTTGATTGCAACAACTTACGGCAAAATATCAAAAGTGCCCCATCCAAGGTTGATGCAAATAAACATCAGCATATGTGTGTGTATAGCACCATGTGTTCTCACTAGGTATATCTGATCCTTGCGTTGAGAACGCAAGGATCATGTCCCAGTCTCCAGGAATCGAAAGAACAACTCAGAGGAAGCCCAAAGAACTTGGAATCACCATGGTTGTCTGTGAAGTGTCCATTACCCTCTGGTGAACTAACATTTTGCAATGGAAAATCACCATGCTATTAATGGGAAAACTCACTATAAATGGCCATTTTCCATTGCTATGTTAGTTCACCAGAGGGTAAATCCAATGACAGTCATGATGCAATGGAACTTCCCAACAAAAGGGTCCAGGTTTCACCAGGTCATAGTGACGAACAGAAACTGATTACGTCTCCGCTGCTGGAAACAGCATGCTGAAACCACAGTGTCGAATTGAACAGCAAGGGTGCCCCTTGACATGGGTAGTAGGGATCATCTTCCACCGTACCAACAAGATCCAACCAGTACATGGAATATCATGGAGTGCTGCATTCATGACAGTCCTACATATATTTCAGGCCGACACTCTCAGATATTCTTATGTGCAGGTCAAAAAGGAAATAGAAAGTGAATCACCATCAAAACAGTGGAACATGACATGTGTATAAATATTACAATATAGTATATACGCATGCATCTACTTATCTATCTATCCTTTCTATATGTCCCAATGTGTCCTATCCTATGCTATACTATATATCTTATCCCGTCTATCTATCTATCATATCTATCGTATCTAGCCTATGGTATAGACTTAATCTATTCATCTCTCCTGTCTACCTTGAATACACTCTAGGTACAACTCAAGTATCGTGCTATCCCATCCCATCAAGGTTGGTAAGGTCTCTCTATCGTGGGCTACCATGGGCTACACTAATCCACTACCCCCCCGTATTACACATCAACGGAGTCATTTTCTTACATGGCTCAAGCAATCCCTTTCCGATACCAAATCTATTCATCTGGGGGGCCTCTATGGCATGATTGAAAATGCATATGTCTCTATATATAATATTATAGGAGGATGGGATTGTGTGTATTTAAATATATATTATTATATATATATATATATATTATATTATGTTATATTATATTATATTATATTATGTTATATTATATTATATTATATTATATTATATTATGTTATATTATATTATATTATATTATATTATATTATATTATGTATATATTATATTATATATATGTGTATTATATTATATATATATGTATTGTTGGTAGTATTTGTTGCCCGTCATTGTCCCACTGTTGTTGGTAAGTCCCCCATCTAGACGGTTGATGAAACTCCACAGTGTCCCTATTTATGATTAAATCATGTGAAACAACCATTTTGCGATGCCTAAATCAGGCTAACTTTTCGGTGACGGCGCCTGTCAGGCGACAGCGCTGTTGTAAATTTTGTCATGTGTTAGAAGCTGTCAGTTAGAAGTTCCCGTCAGTTAGAAGTTCTGCCTGTCAGTTAGAAGGTTTGCCCGTCAGTTAGAAGTTGTCACCGTAATATGATTATTTTATATTCTTTTGGGGATGGGGAACATGGGGTGGGGGGGGGTGAGGGGGTAGTAAAGTCCTGTCGGCTTCGTTTCTTGGCTTTACGGGGGCGGGGTTTGGGTTTTTTTTGGAGTATATAATAACGTCCTGTCGGCTTCGTTTCTTGCCTTTACGGGGGCAGGGTTTTGGAGGGAATAACGTCTTGATGCTACGCTGTGGAAGTTCTCTTGCAATCTCAAAACACGCTTCTGATGCTACGCTGTGGAAGTTCTCTTGCAATTTCAAACACCTTCCTGATGTGACGCTGTGGAAGTTTCCTGTAATTTTAATCACGCTCTTGATGCTACGCTGTGGAAGTTATCTTGCAATTTTTCATACGCTCTTGATGTTACGCTGTGGAAGTTCTCGACCCGCCAGTTGTCAGGAGACCAATTGAAGTTGCACCTCAATAATATGTCTGGGTGTTCTACTGGAAACATTGCAAAGTTGGATGTGGTCTTGATCTCTTGAAAGAACTTGGCATGCTCATGAAGTCGGTCAACCGCAAAATCGGCTACTGGAAGTGATCTCTTCTGGGCGACAGATAAAAAAGAGCTCCGGTTGCCACATGCGGACAAGTTTTTGACATTCATTTTTCCAAAAACCATCATTTCGCTATAGCGAAAACCAAGGGAAGTTCATTTTGAGGCACGCCTCCAATAGTCTTTGACAGCTTTGAAACCTGAAATGAATGTGCCACATGTCAAAAACACTGCGTTTACCACAATTTTGCAATTTCAAGAAGATAAATGACCTTTCCAACAATGAAAAGAGCGCCGTCGCTCCACAGGCGCCGCCACCAAGCTTTCACCATTTATGGCCATGTTTAGCCATGGTTAACAAGGATTCTGAACAGGAGTTGGTAAAATTTACTTGCTAGTGCTTAGCAGGAAATGAGGGAATGATCCATGATCACTAGTAATAATCATCCCATCCTCCATTCCCATCCATTCCCTACGTTTAGCACCAGTAAGTCTAGTAAATGTCCGGAGGGATCTTCATCCCAATATCAAGTCTCTGGTGAAGATACGGGTCCATGGGCCAAATCTTCGATGTTTACCCCACTAACCATGAATAAGCGTTGTTACCATTAACCATGATTAGCTAGTTAATAATCACTAGTTGGAATAACCATTGTTTACCACCAATCATGTTATTAATATGATTAACCAATTGTTACCATTACTGGTTGGTGGTTTCAACCCCTCTGAAAATATGAAGGTCAGTTGGGACTTTTTCCCTAAAAATAAACAATGTTCCAAGCCACCAATCAGATTAACCATTACAGTAATTAGAATAATCTGAGGTCATTAATATCAATTAATCAATGGTTACTGGGATATTGTTACTGTCATATCATTAATGTAATGGTTATAATAATTAATCAATTAATATCCCATTCCTTGTCATTCCTTTTATCAACCTGAGGTTGCTACTCAGACCATTGGCCCCGAATCTGCACATTTTGGATCCTGCTTCACATTTGACCGTTGAACAGGGGGAATTTCATGGGCACATCATGGTGACATCATGGGATGATGGTAGAAAAAACGTTGTGTCTGTATATATATATATATATATACACATATATATATATATATGTATACATATATATATACATATATATATACATATATATACATACATATATATATATATACATATATATATATACATATATATATACATATATATATACATATATATACATATATATATATATACATACATATATATATATATATCAAAGTGATTTGATATGTTGGTTTGTCTGGAAAAAGGCGATACATACATCATATAAATATATTGAAACCATGGGATGGCGGATGATGGCGCCATCCTATGAACTCAGATCCTGTGTTGGAGTGACATGAGGCGCTGAAACATAAAAAAAATATTTGATATCAATGCTTAAGGTGGTCTTGGGTATTGTGTGAAAACGGTGTTTATGCAAAGCTGAAGTTCTCAGTAGAAGAACATAAACCCATCAAACAGTATCAAACCTTCTCTTTGAGTCTACCATGTGGCTTTAGGTGTTTCTTAGTGGTCTTGCACTATCCAAACTCATGATATGAAAAAAAAACAATGAAAAATGTTCAAGACAAGGAAACGGCTTCACAATTTCCAGCTGTTCAAGGGAAAACTGATCTACAGAGAGCTTATAACAAAGCATGACGGGTTTCACATTTTCGACGGTTTAGGCTTTGAATCATGGCATGGACACCTGGTATATCTTGAAATGGATTATACCATAATTCATAGTTGATTTGGAGTAAACATCCCTTGCAGGTTGTGGATATAATCTTCACCATTGATACAAGAAAAATTATCGGATCCACCATCCAGATCCATCCAGCAGATTGAATGGTTTACTTCTATCTCAAACAAAAGTGGATAACGATAGGTCCCACATCCCCATGGCTGCACCGCCACAGCCGCTGGTCCTCATGTAGGATGAACCAAGAGCCTGGCAGAACCGTTTTTCATCCATCCAAAAAAACGACAGATGGTTTCTTGTGCAGGTTTTGATCTATCCCCAAATATACCCAATAGAAATATCATAGACATTGTATGTGTGTATGTAATGTAGGTAATGTATGTATATAGTGTATGTGGTGTATGTAGTGTATGTACTGGTATGTAATGTATGTAATGAATGTAATGCATGTAATGCATGTAGTGCATGTAAATGTAATGTATGTAATGCGTGTAATGCATGTAATGCGTGTAATGCGTGTAATGCGTGTAATGCGTGGAATGCGTGCAATGCGTGCAATGCATGCAATGCATGTAATGCATGTACTGCGTGTAATGCATGTAATGCAATGTAATGCATGTAATGCAATGTAATGCAATGTCATGCAATGCCATGCAATGTCATGCAATGTCATGCAATTTCATGCAGTGTCATGCAATGTCATGCAATGTCATGCAATGTCATGCAATTTCATGAAATTTCATGCAATGTCATGCAGTGTCATGCAATGTCATGCAATGTCATGCAATGTCATGCAATGTCATGCAATGTCATGCAATGTCATGCAATGTCATGCAATGTCATGCAATGTCATGCAATGTAATGCAATGTCATGCAATGTAATGCAATGTCATGCAATGTCATGCAATGTAACGCAATGTAATGCAATGTAATGCAATGTAATGCAATGTAACGCAATGTAATGCAATGTAACGCAATGTAATGCAATGTAATGCAATGTCATGCAATGTAATGCAATGTAATGCAATGTAATGCATGTATGTATGTCTGTCTGTATGTATGTGTGTATGTGTGTGTATATGTATGTATGTCTGTCTGTATGTATGTATGAATGTATGAATGTCTGAATGTATGAAAGTATATTATATTTCTACATACATATTTAATCATATATATATATAATTACACATAATTATAATTAATTATACATATACATACTATCATACTGTATTCAATGTCATTATTTGAATTCTATTGTTGCAATTCTATTGCGACTCATAGCACCTACCCATGGATGGTTCTGATTGTCACTGATCATAGCAATAGTTGTTCACATCACCGTTGCGGACGGACGAACAAATCACATGCGACAATGCGGACGTGCGTTTGGTGAATGGAAACAAACGACAGCGGTATAGATGGATGTATCATGATGTCACCAACCATGATTCAAGGAAACTGCTAACTGCTCCTGATTTTTGGTCATGGATGTCTGTAAGCATCAGGAATACTCCATGATTTCGGGGAATTGCTGCACCTTCCTTACCAAAATGGACAGAAGGCATCTCTGCCAGACCATGGTTCCAACATTCAACAAACATTTTTTTTGGCAGACTGAACATAGGCTACGTCCCAGAAAATGTTATGGTTGATCATGATGTCCCTCATTGAAAGTGGCATTCTGAGACAGTCCTCATCTTTGGAAAACCGATTTCGACCGGGGGGATCTTTCCAGACCGTCGATTTGGATGCTGCTTCCTGGGGGATCATAGATTCTCCTTACATCCGCAGCAACCATTAGAACCAACCCACAATCACTACCATCAATAACCACTGTACCACCCAAAGAATGGATTGTTCATCAACGTGAAACAAAAACTAAGGTGTCTGCTGGAAATGATGGAACACACATAAGGCCAATGGCCATTTCAGGATCCTAAAATGGATGTACTGTACCATATAAGGCCATATTTTGTGGGTATATAGATTACCTTACATAGGCCTTATATATGGTAGGTACCGCCAATTTGGGTTCCTGAAAGTCCTATTGATAAGGTCGCTCAAAAATACTAAAAACATAACAAAACATGTGCTATGGTCAAAACATGGTACATGGCTTATGGTCACCCATACCACAATAGGAATCCACACGTCCTCCGTCGGCATATTAATCCCTAATGGATTGATGATAATCCCACCGAATTTTGATTAATCTAATCCAACTGTTCATGAGGCTTGATGTATATCCCACTACACAAATGCCCATAATATCCCATAATATAACTGGTTGGTGGTTTGAACCCCTCTGAAAAATATGAAAGTCAGTTGGGATGATTGTTCCCAATATATGGAAAATAACAAATGTTCCAAACCACAAACCAGATAAATCACAATATTCCGACAAGTCACAAGTAACCCATGACACTCATGATTGAATCCGTATTTTTGATGGTTAAACCCCAATTTGTGCGGGTCCATGCAAGCTATCAACGACCGCGCCTGGTGACACAAGCGCTGAAAGCTGCAAATGAGGCCCGGCTGCTCATGCCTCCCCCAGAGTCCAAAAGGTGGAAAACGTGGAGAGTCTGCTGGAAGATATCTCTATCCGTGATCTATATCTATTATCTATATCTGTATGTACAGCTATATTTATATTATTACATATGTAGATCTGTATGTATTATCTAAGTCTGTATCTATGTTATGTACGCATTTTTTGTTGTATAAAATTAATGTATTTGACTGTATATGTGATATCATCTATGCATTTATTAACACTACGCATATTTTTGCCTGTATGCATGACACTTTGGATTGTCATTCTGATGGCAGACTTGAACAACAACAAACAATCACACATATATGTATGTATGTATGTATGTATGTATGTATGTATGTATGTATGTATGTATGTATGTATGTATGTATGTATGTATGTATGTATGTCTGTGTATGTATGTATGTATGCATGCATGCATGTATGTATGTATGTATGTATACTGTATATATTGATTGTAGTCAGTTGGATGTATCTCAACTCTTAGATATTGGAGTAAGACACAAGAATAGTTGCAGCCAAATATACGCAAAATCAACTTATACTGCAGGTGATGGTGGTGATAATACTGCTTGTGATCTTGTGATATCCAATACATCAATAGTAGTTATCATCATAATAATAATAATAAAACAAATTTTAAGAAACCCAAATGTGCCAGGGTCAAAACATGGTATACATGTGTCATCCATTCCATAATGGGAATCCAAACATCATGGCACATCCCTTTAAAAAACAATGACCATCGACCAAGAACTGGGTACACAATCCAACTCCTGGCCACTTGCAGCTTTGCAAGAAGCCTTCCCTGCCCCTCTCAGGCAACACTCGTCACAGAGCAATAGTGCCAAAACCAAATCACTTCAAAGCACCGTCTTTCTGTTGAACCAACGACATATGAGGTTTGTCAGGCTGAAAATCTCGGACAGAAACAACTCCTCCTCGAGTCTCGGACGGGGCTCTCAATAGAAGCCATGGCTCAGCTATAGTTCAATGATTTACCTATTAATGATGTTCCATAGCTATGTTAGCCTACTGCAGGGTAAAAACATAGAATTTCTATGGATTTCCACAGTTATGGCAATTATGGCTCTTTACCAGTAGTCAGTTATAGCCCCATTTATGGAATAATCATCCACATAAAAAACCATGTCTAATTGGCAAGTTGGCTGTCTGGATTCCGTGCGGCCTGCGAGGATTCCCAATGATGCTGTCCTCCGATCCCACGACCTCGAGGACGGGAGGGATTTAACCATGAAAAATAACCAGTCAATTACCAAGAATGGGGATTGGACCAGAATGGAGGCTTCAATGAATGGGTTTATATATACATATATATATAATATACATATATGTTTATATATTAGGGATTTGTTTACAAGAAAGAATGTGTCTTTTTACCGTGAAATAAAGAGGTTCATGAAAAATGTCCCATGATCCAATTGTAAGAACATCGGGATTTAATGCGTATAGTATGATATAGTCTCAGTAGGGATAGGACACATCATTATCCATAGAAAATCTATATGCGTTGGATATGATACAATAATGGATACTGAAGATATGACGGTCTGGTGGATAGACTTCACCATGGTCAAAGGGATATAGGGAGACAGGGCCCCATATTTCAACATGGGGGTTTAGTTCACCATGGTCAGTTATATATATATAATACCCATAAAAGCAACCTCTGGCCTGCAGCCCCAAGTAGCTTTTGATACATTCCATAAATCCCTTGTTCTTTACTACAGGATATAAATAGAAGTATGCAGCTATCATGTAAAATATCTTAACTCTGAGTGGTTTCTGGATAGACACCCATGTTTTGGCCTGCATGGTCTGCCATTCACTTGCGACGAAGTTTTTCCGATCAATTGCGACGAAAATATACCACTGCTTTTTTGCCGATCACTTGCGACGAAATGTCTCTGAAACCCTATGAATTAATTACCTTTGGGGGGTGGGGGCGGGAGGGGGTTGTTAGGGCTCACGACTGTTGATGGTTCAGGGTGTAAGAATGTTTCTTCTCATGTGCAAATCCTGAAAATACCAATGGCTCTATAAATCTTTTGGGGGTGGGGGGGTTGGGGGGTGGTTTAGGGTTCACATCATGTGCCAATCCTGACAGTAACAATGGTTCTACCTTTTGAGCCGGTGCAGTCGAAATGCACTTGGACATGTCACAAGACGAGCCACTTGATACGGCAATTTAGAGGTAAAATGCCGCCGAACAGCTGTGGACCAAGACCGCGACACAGACTTTGTGCCAGCCTGCGCAGTCGAAATGCACGTGCACAAGAGCCACTTTATACCGAAATTTACAGGTAAAATGCCCGATGACAATGAACAGCGTCACAAGCGACGAGCAAAACAGCGTCACAAGCGAACGCCTCACCGCGTGCACCTTGCCAGAGTAATCCCAACACTCGGGTGAAAGAAAATCTCAACTGTTGACGGGTGTTCCACTTGCTTAAGCAAATCATCCAACACGATGGTGGGAAAAGACAAAAGGATGTATCAGTTGGATAGTACTACAATTAGGGTTACACGTGGGTTTTACATACAGATTATCAATGATTATCATGGGTGATAATTATCCCATTCACTATGCATAGTCATGGACTATGTTGGCCAGCTCCGTCAACTCCTCATTCTTGAGCTTCACCCCACGGTGCTGCCACCATAATAATTATGTTTATTTTTTTAGGTTGAGCCTATTGACGATTGAATACGTTTTTTGCTACTAGCTATAAATAGTAGTGAAATATTAGTGAAATAAATCCTAGTGAAATATTAGTTATTCGGTATTGAAGAATTCCTAGTGAAATACGAGTTATAAACCAACGTAGCCAACGATCTGGGGCACCAACATAGCCATTTTTGTTGCTGATAAATCACAATGTTTGTTGGTTAAATCCCATGTGTGCCAAGGTCAAAACATTTTGGTTGCTTTCCCATATTGGGGAATGGTCATCAATCCATTAAAAGGAATTTACACACCCATTACTGTGTAAGGATTCCTAATATGGGATGAATGACCATAAACCATATACTGTGTGTTGACGTACATATAGTTACCATCACATGGTGAATCTTAGGATATCTTAGATGCCAAAAAATCTAATGTTTAGCCATGTTTAGCCGGTAAATGTACATGTTACCACTGATAGCAAAAAAGTCAAAGTATTATGTAGATCTATATACCCTCTGGTAAACTAACATAGCTATTGAAAATCACCATGCTATTAATGGGAAAACTCACTATTTCTATGGCCATTTTCAATAGCTATTTTGACATAACCAGAGGGTAGTTCGTGTCTAACAGTAGACCAGCTCACTGAGGCCCCCAGCGAAAGTGGACGTGAAGGTAGCAAACATCTGCTGCTGATCAGCGCTCCAGGCACCTTTTACGGTCACCTGAGTCGCTGAGTTTTCTGCTGATTTCGGACAGGGCACAGGTGAGTTGTGTTTTTTTTCCTTGCTAAACTGCAATACACAAATTAGGACACCTACGCGGGGCCTACGCAAACCACTCCTCCCAAGCAAAACTGCCTACGCGAGGGTTACCTTTCAAGAAGTGCCTACGCGGTTGCCTCCGCGAAAGTTGCTGCAACGATCTCTTTACTTGACGTGATGTGATCACAATTCTGGTTCAGAAGAGGAATAGAAAGAATTGGAAGATGACGATTCTTTGGGTGACTTGTGAAAGGAAGGCGGAAGCCTCATCAAGAGTGGAGCACTGTGTCATGATGTGATCGGCAGTCATGATGAACTCGTGGAAACATTAGAAAAGTGAAACGGTAAGACTTTGATGGGCTACGGGCCACAATTTGACCTAGGGCCTCCGCGTTTCCTACGCGAGGGCCTACGCGGAGCCTACGCGAAAATCCGAACCGAAAATGGCTGTTCGAAAACTTGGCACTTGTAATTTTCTGAAAAAGCGATTGTTTCCTTAATCTCCCCTGTCTTCCAGCTAAACATATGAACCATACAATCCAGTTTGCATTTGAAATCATTGTAAGCCACCACGAAAAACAAGAGTTCGAGGTCAGAAACAAACAATCTAGAACATCTAAACAAGTGCCTACGCGAGACTGCCTACGCAGCCTCTCCTACATTATCCTACGTATATGCCTACGCGAAACCTACGCACCAAGCAGAATAGCCTACGCATGAATGATGTGAGTTCCTCCTCAATCTAAATTCCATCATCTGGAAAAAAAACGTGGCTCAGGTGTTGATGTAAGCATCAAACCTATGGATTGAATTATCAAGAATGGGGTTCAAACCAAAAAACATGGGATTTATATAAATGGATTTAAGCACGAACATATGGGAAAATTGGACCAACAACCGTGGGGATTGAACAAGCAAATATGGGATTTCAGCCAGTAAAATGGTGGATTAAGTTCAACGAAGAGGAAACCAAAAAACGCTCAACTCTCACAAGTCGCCATGGCGTTACAGTGGGGACATGTATGGACTATTGGATCATGTTGTCATTTAGCAGGGTAATCAGCATTCATTTCAGAATATGATGGCTATTCGGTGGAACAAGCTGGGTCTTTGATTGGCCAAGGGCATAAGCGGCCAGAATAACTGCACTGACATATCTTCAATACCATCTGGTAATCTAACATGGTTAATATATAATATACAGCAAAATCATCTACAGTACTTTCACGGGTAATTATCCATAGCTATGCTAATTTACCAAAAAAGTAAGCAAAAAAATGGAAGTTTCCTAAAATAGTGGTGACCCCAAAATCATCCATTTATGGATCTTCCATTCTAAACCATCCATTTTGGGGATCCCATTTTAGGAAACCCCCGAATGTCCACTGAATCACAGTTCAATCGAAACGGCGGGGTTTCGACGTTGACGTTGCAGCTGTGCCTTGTGAAAGCCATCTTTCAGAGCCACTTCTGCTGCCACTTCCTGTAGAAAAGGCCACCTTCCCCAGGAAAATTGGTTACATACATTTATATAGTGATGTTTAGTGTTAACCGTGAAGTTCAAGGGTTGATCATTTTAACCCTAATCTATACACAAAGCTTGGTGCAGTCCCATGACACTTCATTCACATCCCTTTCTCGACTGTGGTGAACCCAGATCCGTCAGCAGAGAATGCGCAGGCACAAGACATCTCTGCAATCAAGCCTGTGAGTCATTGAGTCATTGATACATATCCCTATACCGCTATTTAAACATGAAACTTCGTATCTTACCCTCAAAAACAACAACCTTAATATCGTTACTGTAAATCTTGATTTTGTTTGCGAGCAATTTTGAATTGTGGCTACTTTGGGGATGTAGCAGACATCCCGGCACCTGGCAGCTCTCATCAGTACAGCCTCAGTGTCTCAGGGTGTCTGGGAGACCCTCTGGTAGTCAGGTTCATGGCTTGCTGGAAAATCGTCCATTTAGTGCGATCCAGGTTTCCAGTTGGCTTTGGCTTAGGGGGTACCCCAATACATGATCATTTTTTATTGGAAAACAATTGGTTAAAAATCAAGGTTGGGGGTACCCTATGTGCAGACAAATCCAGGTTTTTGGTACAACACACATTTTGGAGCGTCTGGATAACAAGTCATATCCTTTAACTAATAGCTCGTAGCAGAAACTTCCAAACCTGATTTTGAAGCACTTCTGAATGCTTCCCATACTCACCGTCGCGGTGGTGGCAATGGCCGCTGTCATATGGCGGGGAGGATGATTCCCCCAATCCATTCACCATTACAGTCACTCTCATCGGATCAACTTGCTATTCAACAGATATCCCTATTATGATCAGTATACCAATGGTATATCCCTATTAACACTGATATTATATATGATATATGATATACCACAGATATACCACAGATATACCACATATATCCCTATTAATCACTTCCTGGTATAATCCAAAAACCCAGGTAGATTATACCCTCCCATCTTTCGTGGCTCAACAGGGCAGCCTGAATGGCTCAACTGACCGTGGCTCAACATGCCCGCGGTGGAATCCGAGTCACCACCCTTTTTTGGGTCCAAACTGAAGAAAAAACATTAGAGAATCAAGCACCGACCAAACATGACATAAACTTTGAACATGTTTTTTTTTTCATGCATGGATATTCCCAAAATGGATGGGATTCCCAAAACCAACATCATCTCTAAATGGGCTGAGTTATACAACCTGTTACAACCTTATTATCTTCAATTAGTAATTGTTGATCATTCTCCCAAATCCCAAAATATTCAAATCAGGAAACCACATTGCCGAAATGGTTCAACATCGAAGGACACATTTCACCAAGTCGCTAAAATCTTCGTTTTGATCATCTACGAAGACGTGTTGAGCCACATCGGATGTCATGGCTCTGTCGAAGCGCACGCGAAGTTGCAACCTGCCACTTCGCGTAGTCATGACGATCAGTGGGTCAGTTGCAAGTTGTGGCTGGTTGACCCCAAAAATGTGGGACCCCCAGTTGAAACCCATTACCCTCTGGTAAACTAACATAGCTATTGAACATGGCCATTTATAGTGGATTCTCCCATGAAAAACTGTGATTTTCAATAGTTATGTTAGTGTACCAGAGGGTAAGTATAGTTCCAAGTATCATAAACCATAGTTATTGGAGTTATAAACCAACTATATCTAGGGAGCCCACATTTTACTTGCAAGTTGGTTGATGTTCACAACAGTGCATCCACCATAAATCCCAGTCATTGGAGTTGTAAACCACATAGCTGTCTGAAAATATCTTGGAGCCGCATTGTAAGAACCATGCCACAGTTGGTTTACCCATTGCACAGCCCACTGGCGGACTTATTCGGACTGGGATGCCGCCACCCCCAGGTACCATGATAAGAATGAGACATGTATTTTCTACTTGCAGTTTTTAGATGCAGACGAGGAGCTGATTTTTGCTGCTTCTTTTGCATTCAAAATGATGGTTGAGCCACCCATTCCAAAATCAATGTTTGATTTGGGATGATTTTCCCAAGAAAGAGGACATATCAATATCATCATTTGCCAAACACGAGTCTCTTGCAGGAAACCGATGCCGAAATCTCCATGAACACCACATTTTTCTATGACCAAACAGGCTAAATCTCCCAAGAAAAGATGCCAAACAATCTGTGGGTCATCATAGGTCATCAGTATCTTTGCTGGTTGAAGCCAGAAGATGTTCATGACAGCAGCCTCTCTGCACTTGCGGCCTGAGCCGAGGCGAACTGGCGCCCATGATGCTGTGGTGATTTACCCATGGATTTACCCATGGTGATATGGCTATGTCTCAAAACCTAAACGATATCCTAAAATAGCTGGTTTATGGATTTCTCCCAAATATGGTAACAATACGTAGGTTTGACCCATCCAAAAAAAATCCCATAGCTATGCAGCTATGTGAAAATACCAGAGGCAAATTTCGAAAGCATGGGAGGTTTTTTGGGCTTCCACCAACTGAGATATCACATGAGGATTTGACAACCAAATATGGGGATATAATTTGGCATGGATATACTGAGATTTCGAGATTTCTGTGGATGAATATCTGGAGATAATTCTGAGATTTACCCTCTGGTAAACTAACGTAACTATGGAAAATCACCATGCTATTAATGGGTAAATCCACTATAAATGACCATTATGATTTTCAATAGCTATGTTAAATTACCAGAGGGTATTCTAAATATTTAGAATCTGGATAAACCATCATAATTCACTGAGCTGAATGAAATTCTGTGGCTTTTTTCTGAGATATTAGCCAAACAGTTCCCATGCCAGTGGCGTCGCAGAGAGGTGGGTGTGTGTTTTTTTATTTTGAGACATCTGTGGATCTATCTCCCAAACATAGTGACACTATTGCAATAGTAGATGCTAAACCTTATGAATAGAATCCCAGAAAAAAACAACTGTGATTCTTGAATCCAGTGTCAACAATACCTGGTGATATCAGCCTGAAAGTTGTACTGCGTCACTGCAGGACCCATGGGGTTGATTCTTTTGAGGGCAAAGGACCTGAATACTAAAGGGTATTATTCTCTATACACATACACATAATATATTATATATATATATTATGCTATTATATATGTATATATGTGTGTTCAGTAGTCCAATAAAAGGCAAACAACATACAGTAGTATAAAAATATATAAAATTAGCTAGAACTACATCGGGTCAACAATGGTTCTATTTGAATGGAATAGGACAGCCACAACTTAAGAGCACAATGCTGGGCACTCTTGAGACAGCTTACTCTTGTTCATACATAGCATACATATACAATAATAATAATAATAAACAATACTAATTATAACTATGTATAATCTCATAATATCAAACTGCAATAATTACTCTTTTGACCCGAGAGACTTCTGGTGGAGATAATTTTCGTCCGAAGATTTTTCACTGGTTGGGGAATCATCACCCCATCTGCTGGAATGGCCTTGCGCAACCATGGATATGACGTGGCGCAAGTAACCATGCTTCAAGATATGACTAGTCTACCCTGTATCTTTCCCGGTGAAATCTCTATGCTAGTTTTGCTAGGTCAATTCCACGACGAAATTGGCTGCCTAAACCATTGAAGTACTTTCTGCTTCTTAAATCCCTCTTTTTGTTGATTAAACCACCAGTTTGGGATGGTCAGAATCCCCTTGTTCTCCCAATTTCCTAATGAAACTCCATCTCTTGTGCTGCGAAACTCCCTGACTTTTCCAGCTATTAATCGCGAGGTTATCTTGCCCCACAAAACCCTATCACTTTTCGCCATGAAATCCCTTTATTTTGCGATGTGTCTGGACCAAAACTACCGCCGAAATCCAATCAGAAACCCCAATCAAAATCTCAGAAAGTCGGTTTTTGCTATGTTTTGAACCAAGAGGTAACATCCATAAATATCCACCATGTCCAGGCCATCCAACCAGCCCCAGGGAAGGCCTTCAGCACTTCTCCATGTTTTGGCCAGGTCTGTGCCACCATGGGGGGTAACAGCTTCAGAGGGCCAGGCCTTGGTTTCCATAGTCGTGGGATGGGGGATCCCCAAAAGGCTTGGTTTATGTCATGGAAAATCCATGGATGATGGGGGGGGGGATAGCCCCATTTCAGGAAACCTCCATGTCATGAATAAAGGCGTCTTCAATCACCTGAAAGTACGCTTTTCCGCTTTTCCCTGAGGAAAACCATGGTGAATAAAACATGGCTGAACTTCCCGTAGGACACAATGGGTGATCCTGCAACAAGCATGGACAATGTCATGTGGTTTGATACCTGCGTCCTACCATTGTAACTTTGTCCATCGGTGGGTATAGGTGTTAATGATCAACTTTCTAGAATCTTGATGGTTTCATACTAAAACCAAACTGATTCAAACTGCATTCTGTCCAAGAGGCAGACCCAAATCCCAAATTTTGTTTGGACCCCCCAAACAACACAGCTGGTGAATTGAACTTAGTATATCTCAATTCTCTAAAAACACCAGGACAGCCCAAACTGCTGGTCAACCATCATGCATCAGTTATATCATATCAACTCATATCAATCATATCTGCTAGCTGCTTGATGGTCAATCAGTGCCAACCCCTGCAGAAATGATTGCTGTTCAACAGTCAGAAGAACATGATCAATCATTAGTTCTGCCCGAATATTTCCAAAAAATAAATAAATCCCTCACTAGTATCTAAAAATCATGAGTCAAATAATGATAGAGGGATTAATACTTGTGTAGCCATTTAGAGTCAATTCCTACTGTAATTGTTTAATTAGTCAATTAATTAAGCGAAACTCAGTGGAGCTATATTATCGTTTTTTTTATGTATATATAATGACCCCCAAATGGTCGCTTAATGGAAAGGTTTAAAATTGGCTTTAATTACCATTAATATATGATCGTAACGAGTCTTCCAATGACAGTACCCTCTAGTCATTTAACACTATAGAAACATTGCTCATTTATAGACGATAAAACTGATGATTCACCTATCAAAAATGGTGATTTTCTGTGTGAAGCAACCAGAGGGTTTTTGTCAGCACCATGAATTCTCCCGAATTCCTATAAATCCCAATAATATCCAATTTCAATCTGGTTGGTGGTTGACCTACCCCTCTGAAAAATATGAGTTCGTCAAATGGGATAATGAAATTCCCAATATATGCCAATATATGGAAAGTCATAAAAGCCATGTTCCAAACCACCACCCAGTAATCCTATTACCCTCTGGTAAACTAACGTAGCTATGGAAAATCACCATTTTTAATAGGTAAATCACCGGTAAATCAACTATAAATGGGCCATGTTCAATAGTTATGTTAAATTACCAGAGGGTAATCCTATTAATCCTAGTAAACCACCGCCATAGATCTGGTGATGCCTTGGTGCCCCTGGTGCCCGGACACCAAAATCACCACTTCCAAAGCGCGGAGGTCGAAGGACACGAAGCCCGACTGCTGCACCGTCACCTGGTTTTAAGGCACGAAATGTGAATAATTCGTGGGATGTTGAACAAATATTATGATATAGATAGGTATATGTATATATATATATATAGAGAGAGAGTATGTTTTTTTTTTTTTTTATAATATATAATGATAACATGAATGTTTAAAATAGTAATAATATATATATATATTGATATTATACGATTAATGATGCGCATATATATATATATAGATTGAATGAGTATATCTTATGATGGGATTAATTGGGATATCCATGTCATTCCATATCATACTAACCATATATATATATATACACCCGCTCTATTGTTTTGTTACATAGTTATAAAGGCCATGGCCCATTAAACAAAATATAATTTACCTGTATAAAGATAACCAAAGGGTACAATAATTATTTAGACATCCTGAATCCAAGTGTGAAAATATGTTGGAAAATAAATGGCAACAAATAGAGAAGAGACATCATGGTGAAGGTTGCCAGCGTTGCTCAGGCACTACCCGCGTTCTCTGTTCCAAATGGGCTGACATCCTTCTTTTCTACACCACATGAAAAACATTGAACAGCGTAGAATGCGTAGAAGCATATCCAGGGTATTTTTTTTTCACCATATTAAATTAAAAATATCGAACGCAACCATTCACATTGTGGTTTACCCACTAAACATGTCCACACAATCGCCAAGCCGAAATCTTCGCCCACCGGGTCCCACATATGTGACCATCCCACAAAACATGAACCATGACACGTGTCCTGCGGTTTTGTCCTGCGGTTACGTGTCATTCGGAAGTTCCAAATTGGTTCGTTCATATGGAGGTTTCCTATAGGGCTACCCCCAAAATCATCCATTTTTTGGTGGGATTTTCCGTTCTAAACCATCTATTTTGGGGTACCCCCATTTATGGACACCCCCATATAGCAATCCGGAATGAAGCGGCCTCTCGACCATCCTCGCTTCGTGCATCCACCAGCTGGGTGCCCTGAAGCCATTGTGCAAGAGCACGAACAGCGAAGTGAAGTGTGTTGCAATATTTCAATCTTGTAATATATTGTAGTATATATTATATAGAAGAAAATAACTGTATATTGGAGAATAATGTAATACGTTGTATCACTTGTAAAAATGATGAACAACAGTGAATGACACATGAAATAATCTAATAATTTAGTAGATATAATCGGGTTATATAGTGGTTATATCATATTTATTGGTTGTATTCAGTCACAACAAAAGGATACAAAAGGATACAAAAGGTACTACACAAAGCATCCACCCCGTCACCAGGTGCACGCCTCACTCCAGGGAGAGTAGAAGGCTGCGGTCCGAGGCTCCTAGTGATGGGGATCCAGGAGAACGAGGCGTTGGAACCGTTGGAGGATGAACTGAAAAAGGTGAAGTTGGACCCTACTCCAAATACTGCTGTCAGTTTGGAGTGTTTTCTTAGTCTTACCATGTTTTTCCATCAAATAATGCATAGAAAAAAAACATGTTTGAATAGTGACTAGTATATTACCATCGATAGTAGCTTGATACATTTCAAACAAATCACTACAAAGCCAGCTGTCTTCTGTCTTCGGTGTTTCTGCAAAGTTTCACCTGGAACCACAACGCAGGGATAGTGGTTCCAAGACCTTGGATCCCAGTCATCTGTGCGGGACATTCTCCAGAAGCATCCCAAAATGTTGAGTAGCAATATGAAAGCACAACCTATGCAATTTTCATCAATTTTCTTGATTAAATTGATGATCATTGCTTGATATTGTTTGAGAAACTCAACAGACTTAAATCAGATATCGGTAACGAATCACTCTGTTGCTTACTATCAAGTGATATCATGAGCTATCCTCTCTTTGCATCTGTTTCTGCCCCATCTTTGACAAATCCCTGCGGTTCCTGGGTGTTGAAGTTGGCAGCCACAAGCACCAGCCCTGGCAGGTTAGAAAAACTGTGCCTTTTTGAAAGGCACTTCTGGTCGCCCCAATCTCTGGATATACTATGATATACTACTAAGATCATCTAAGATCATCTGAGATCTATATGAATCATGTGATAAAACCAATTTCATAAACCAATTTCATAACCCATCCCCAAGTCATCACCATTTTTTAATGCGATTGCACTAGTCATGGTAGGTACCAATGGCGGGTCGAGTCATTGGATGCTGGTAAACACCAGAGAACCTGGCCATGCTTCAATATGTTCTTCCTGATTCTTCAATGTTACATATTGTTAGTTGTTGTTAGTTCTTAATTGTTAATTATTGCTATGCTTATTCTTCATGACCAACATAATACCAACATCATATTGTTAATCATACACTGCAATCTTACTGGACTGGAGGGTCTCCTTTCCCCCTGGGCGGCCGGATTTGCGGGGATAGAAGTGTACCCAGGATATCGGTGGATTCGCCCTGCCCTAGCACTCTTGACAAGCCAAAACAAGTTTGCTATCCTTTTCTGGTTGGTGGTTGACCTACCCCTCTGAAAAATATAAAAGTCAAATGGGAAGGATGACATCCCATATGTTATGGAAAATAAAAGCCATGTTCCAAACCACCAACCAGTTTTCTTCCAGTTTGTGTAAAATTACGCCCAGACACCCTGTGTCGCCCAGACACGGAGTGTACATGTGCATTCATCATTGGGAAAATCAAGAAGGGTATTAGGAATATAAATTGCCACCTTTGTTCAACATTACATTCAATTGGGAACATCAAGAAGGGTATTGGGAATGTGTATATCATCTCAACCATGTGAAAGTGAACATTTAATGGGTGTTTCATGTTGTTGTTGTTGTTGTTGTTGTGGTTGTTGTTGTGGTTGTCGTCGTCGTTGTCGTTGTCGTCGTCGACATTGTTGTTGCTGCTGCTGTTATTGATGTTACTTTTGTTGAGGTTGATGTCGTTGTTGTTGTTGATGATGATGATGATGCTAGATGCTAGATGCTACATGCTCATGATGATTACATATGTTTCTGGTCTAATATTTTCTCTCGTTCCATTTTTATCCATCTTTGTTGGTCAAATGCCCAGTTTGTTGGTTTACCTCTCATTTCACAAGCAATAACGTGCAGTCCGCCATCTCCCTGGCCTTCAGAGCTACAACCACGCCAGAAGATCAGCAAGTCCTGATTAATGGATTGATTCCGGGAAAATCTGCAGGAAAGTTCCTGGTTTCTACCATGAAATAGACTGTAGTATGTGTTTTGTAAAAGGTGTTTTGAATCGAAGTTATGTTTAGAGTTGAATTTACTTCAAGGCAACACATTAAATGCAGGGTTGTTGATGGTCTTTGTTACTTTCCAATTTTGGCAACTTACTATGAAATAGCACCAAAAAAGATGAAAAAAAATGCGGGTTTCATCATCCCAGGCACCCCCAGAAAGTCATGGATCCATGGAAGTTTTTGGTAGCTGGTATGTACATCTTGCCATACATGGACCTGGGCACCTGGGATCTAGGTGTTTCTCAAAATCTTGGCACCCCAAAAGAATGATAAAGCTTATTTTCCGAATGTGCGCGCCATGAGTGCAAAGAAAACCCATATTATGCATGTTGGTTTTCTCCAAAACTGGGGCAATATGGTAAACCCAATGACAACCACTTCTTTACGGATGGTTCATAGCACCAATTTCTTGTAAAACTGCTGGAATTCGAATAATTCGAATGCTTACATGGGCTTACCACATTATTCCAGGAAATCCAATAAGTAATCATCATGTTCATCCATATGTTCCAGCCAGTTTCCCATCTTTTCCCTATCACTGGCCCTTCAGGGTGCTCCTTTAGCTCGGGCATTGGCGTCTTCACTTCATCGCACTGTGCACGCCTCGAGCAGAGCAAGCTATGGTGATTTTCCATAACTATGTTAAACCAAAGGGTATAGGAAATTTGGATGGATTTGGGATTTGGGATAAACTCTTCATATATCCCTGAAAGTCATTTGTGACTCAGTCTATGCACCATAGAATTGTGACAATCTGACTGAGGGAAATGAATCATTGGGATATTAAGATATCAAATCATATATGGTAGAATTTTGACGTCGCTGACATCGAGCGCATTGCAAGTTGCAGGAACTATTTTTTGGGACAGTTACGGTATCAGGGGGTGATTTTTGCGCAATCATGAACACCAAGCTGATATAGAAAGAAACTCATCATGTACAAAACCCATATATCACCAAAATAAATAAGTACCCTAGATCAGCTGGGTTTAGATCAGAAGACTTTGTGAACCCCCATGCGCATAAATAAACTCAAAATAACTTAAAAACGCATTAAAAAATACTTTTTCACATATTTAAGCATGTTATCCCATTAAAACGCATTTTTTAAATCATTTTGTTCATTTTATCTCATTTTATCTCATTTTTTATTTGGTTGGGGTACAAATGGGTATGTACAAATATAAATTGGTGGATTATATATTATCTGAGGGACATGTGATACCAAACGTGTTATTTCTGGTGATGTTTTGAGTTCATTAATCACATCTTTATATTTTCGGTGTTGTGTGCATTTCTGGTAGGTAACCTTAATAAATAATCTAAAATGTCTCTGTTTATACTTCCATCTTTTCCACCCGTTCCTGATATATAAATAAAGTGTCTTGCCTGTCTTATATAATCCCGATGGGCTTCTGTATGCATTTGTCAATCCGTGTCTGTCTTCTGTTGCTTTTGTGTTGGCTATGTTCCTTTCTTCTTTATACAGTGTTGTATTTTGTCTGAATTGCTCATTAAGATTTCTTGCAAAGTTGTTCATCTTCTCATCTAAGTCTCTTTGTTTCTTGTCCGTGTCGTTCATCAACTCTTCTCTTCCTTGACGCATTAATTCATCAAATGCTACTCTACCTATTCTTTTTGCGAATATATAATCTCATCTCTTCTCTTGTTAATACATGTTCTATTGCTTCACTTCCCATAATTCTCTGAACAACCTCTCTCCCAAACTGCCTTCCCACCTGTCTCAATGCATTAGTCATTGCTATTCTTCCAACTCCTGCTACAACTCCAATCATTTATTTTTATATTAATGTTTGATAAAAATCATTTCTAATAATAGATCTAATCATGAGTCATGAGTAATAGATAAACATATAAAACTATTTTTGTAGATAGTAAGTATCGCAATGCTCAATCAAAATCTTCATCTGACTTTTCAGTGGAGTTAAACGAAAACTCAGAAACACCAGAGGAAACAAAACTCTATGTAACTGATATTTCTATTCCAGCGGTGTGGAAATCTACAGAGGTGGGCTTCTATGAATATATTTATGTTATGGTCATCATTGCCAACGGGTTCAGCAAAGGAAGCTGCTGCGTCCTGCGAATCCCTGAAAGACAAATGACTGCAGCAATAAATTCAACAATCACATGCAATAATAATCAAAAAACATGAAAAAAAACAAAAAAAACATTTTTTGGGGGGTTTTGCACCTTTATTTTTTCATGCTATCATCAAGTTTGAGATTTTTTGAGATTTTTTGAGATTTTTTGATTTTTTTTGAGATTTTTTGAGATTTTTTGAGATTTTTTGATTTTTTGATTTTTTTTGATTTTTTTTGAGATTTTTTGAGATTTGTTATTTACATCTTGATTTCTTTCTTGTGATTGTTTCATGTTTTAATCACAGTTTACCATAATATTACCTAAATATACCCTAATATTTTGACTAATGTATCGCCATTGAAGACCACAACATAAATATATTCATAGAAGCCCACCTCTGTAGATTTCCACACCGCTGGAATAGAAATATCAGTTACATAGAGTTTTGTTTCCTCTGGTGTTTCTGAGTTTTCGTTTAACTCCACTGAAAAGTCAGATGAAGATTTTGATTGAGCATTGCGATACTTACTATCTACAAAAATAGTTTTATATGTTTATCTATTACTCATGACTCATGATTAGATCTATTATTAGAAATGATTTTTATCAAACATTAATATAAAAATAAATGATTGGAGTTGTAGCAGGAGTTGGAAGAATAGCAATGACTAATGCATTGAGACAGGTGGGAAGGCAGTTTGGGAGAGAGGTTGTTCAGAGAATTATGGGAAGTGAAGCAATAGAACATGTATTAACAAGAGAAGAGATGAGATTATTCGCAAAAAGAATAGGTAGAGTAGCATTTGATGAATTAATGCGTCAAGGAAGAGAAGAGTTGATGAACGACACGGACAAGAAACAAAGAGACTTAGATGAGAAGATGAACAACTTTGCAAGAAATCTTAATGAGCAATTCAGACAAAATACAACACTGTATAAAGAAGAAAGGAACATAGCCAACACAAAAGCAACAGAAGACAGACACGGATTGACAAATGCATACAGAAACCCATCGGGATTATATAAGACAGGCAAGACACTTTATTTATATATCAGGAACGGGTGGAAAAGATGGAAGTATAAACAGAGACATTTTAGATTATTTATTAAGGTTACCTACCAGAAATGCACACAACACCGAAAAGTATAAAGATGTGATTAATGAACTCAAAACATCACCAGAAATAACACGTTTGGTGGATTATGACGATGGCCATGTGCATATGGTTTTAGACAATAAAAATCAATTTTCTTTGTTTGTTTTTCATTTTTCCATTTTTTTCATATTATATCATTTTCCTTCGGTTTGTTCGTTTTTATCATCTTACTGTTGGTTAGAGATTTGTTTCCGATCTAAACCCCTCCGATCCAGGGTACTTATTAAGTTTAGTGAATATATATAATTACATATATTATATATAAGTATATTTTACCCCAAAAAAAACTTACTATGACACAGATACAAAATGGCTAGTAGTATCAATCTACTTAACAACCTACTCCTAAGGGTCACGGTCTCATTCCTGTATCCCTGAATATCAAACGTATTGGAATCACAAACTGCCCGTGAAGAAACTAAGTTCGCATTAGAATTAAATATCAGAACAAGGGATGTAACAAACAAGAGGCTCCGGAAAGAAGATTTACCCTGCAGTGATTCATTGGGGATGGGCCAGTACCTATCGGACCATTGCCAAAGTATCCACCCAAAAGTCCATGACTTCGAGTGGTATCCTCTACCTTGTAGTATGGTATAGTTATGTAGAGCCACACATCCCAGCTGGCAAAACATCCCAGTTTGAATAGACCATGAGCAAACTCCGTTATGCTTACGGTTTGTGTAATTAATATGAATTAATGACAACATGGTGTACCATCCCTGGGCCTTGAAGCACATGGTGTACTTTACACCACTACATACCATTCTTCGAGCCATTGTTCATGCACCAAGCTCCACACCCGAAGGACCCAAAGTATGCACGTCGTAGGGCGTTGAGACGAGAGATGTAGCGATAATTCGATGAGGTCATGTCCTTGGCTTAAAAAGAACAACGCATTCGTCTGCATGGATCATTGCCTTGATCCCAGAAACACCATATATACCATCTGGTTATTTAACATAGCCATGGAAAATGGCCCATTTATAGATGGTTTACCTGGGTTTACCTATTAAAAATTCTGATTTTCCATGGTTATGTTCAATAACCAGATGGTATTTGCTGGTAAATAATACATGGTTTCCTTCACACCAATCCATTGACTTGAAGAATGAAACACACAAATCAGTGTGATAGTCATATGGAATGGATCAAATCGTCACCAAACACTTCATCGCAAGAAGGTCGAAAAGCTTAGGATTCGGTTCAACGCTTACCCTGAAAGTCCACCATGGTAGTAATAATCTACAATCATCTAAGGGGTAAAAGGAGTCCTTGGGATTTTCTGTGCATAGTATGGACTGTCCCTTTTTTTCACGGATATCAATGGATATCTTCGGTGCCATGGCACCAGCTATTCCAAGAGGGGGCCATACCGGGTTCATGGGTCGTCCGCGTAGGACAAATGATGGTTTCATCATTCATCTACCAGTTTATTTAGTGGTTCTGTAACCCGGAAAAAATCATGGTCCGATGGTGGGTAAAACTGGTCACTGGTGACCATATATAAAAACGTATGTACCATTATACACATATACAACAGAGGTCCAGAAAAAATGCAATTACGTAAGTACATTATGGTCAAAATGGTAGGATTCCTAACTTCTCTATCTATTTGGGGACCCGCAACCAGTAGAGTGGGATACGAAAGAAATTCAATCACCCGTGGAACAGTGCCGAAACTAGCATAGATGTGGAAAACCCATGAACACCCATGGTTTCCCGTTTGGAAAATTATCTATAAATGCTTGTTGTTCCACATCTATATGTTAGTTTACAGGAGGATACCCTGCAACCTATAGCTGAAAACTGATTTGTAAGGATTCCGGTTATATAAATGACATATTAGTAACATACGAAAATATTTAAATGATATATTTAAGTGATATATAATTTCAAATATTTGTTAGAAAACAATACAAACAATGATATGTAAATGTCTAATATATTCCCATGATCCGCATGATCATCATGATCCCCAACTGTGCCAGGCTGCTTGTTGGAGGGTGAGTCACTACGACCGGTTTAGACCGGGCAGAGATGAACCAATCGATGGATTCCCCTTGGAGCCCATTGGATTTCCCAAAATTATGGTCATTTATTAGTTATAAGTGGTGAGATAAATGGGATTAATGTGGTTAAAACAATGTCATAAACCATCCATTTACCATCCATGACTGGGAATGGCAAAAATACCACCCATAAAAAGGGTGATGACCGGGGGATGGTTTATGACATTCTTTTAACCACATTATACATTATCCAACTGGTAAAATAAGTCGTAAAATAACTGGTAAAGCCATGGGCTTATACATTATCCATCCATTTACCATCTGGTTATTTAACATAGCCATGGAAAATCACCATGTTTAACAGGTAAACCATTTATAAATGGGCCATGTTCCATGGCTATGTTAAATAACCAGAGGGTATTATTGTTTTTCCCAGTTGTAAATGGGTTTATTTCTGTACTTATACCCTCTGGTAATTTAACGTAGCTATTGAAAATGGCCAGTTATAGTGGATTTTCCCATTGAAAATGGTGATTTTCAATAGCTATGTTAAATTACCAGAGGGTAACTGGTATTTCGGGTCACTGCATCCAACCTCTTTACCCAGTGGCTTTCCCCCGGACCAAAACGTTGGGAAACCCCGGCGAAGTTGTCGCGCTCCGCCGGGTTGCCCTCCGGAGAGGTCTGGACCTGGGTCGGCTGCTTGGAAGATCCCAGCTGGAAACGAGTTAGGAACCACGCGTCTTCCAACCCATAAATCATATCTATAATATATATATATATGTGTGTGTATGTATATATATGTATATATATATATATTATATTAGACCTATGATAATATGTTTTTAATAAATGTAATATGATATAATACATCATCATGTAATATAACATGATAGTACGTTATGTTAACTAATGTCATAAAACAATGTATTACCTATTAGGCACATATACTATTGTAGTATACTAGGTCGTATTGTATATTGTCTGACATTGTCTGATATTTGATATTATGTGAATGTGATATTATGTGATCTTAAATTATGTTATATTACAAAGTATTATATACTGAGTATATAAATACTATATACATATTATATATTAATAAATAATTAATGTGTGCATATCTCAACATCAACAATATGTATATATATATAGTACCCATATTAATATTATAATATGGTTTAATATGCTTTAATAAAATGTAAAATGATATAATAGAAAATCATGGAATATAACATGATAGTACATTTTCCAAAGTCATGTTATATAATATATTGTATGGTTCGTTAGAATATACTACTATAATATACTAAATTAAGTTGTATTGTATATTGTATGACATTGCCTGATACTATATGATATTACGTGATTGTGATACTATGCGATCTTAAATGATGTTATACTACAAAGTATGCATATACAGTTACAGAACAACTATGATGGAGTGATATGAGATATTTACCCTGGAATTTAACCAATCTCACTATGGTAACCTATATCAACTCGTTAAATATGCTTGGTAATCTCCCACATATTACACATGTATACAGATGTCCCACGGGTACCATATTCAACCAAAATAAGTCTGGTTGGTGGTTTCAACCCCTCTGAAAAATATGAAAGTCAGCTGGGATCATCATCATCCCAACTATTGGAAAGTCATACAATTCATGTTCCAAACAAATATTAGTCAGTTGGGATCATTGTTCTCAGTATATGGAAAAACATAAAAATCATGTTCCAAACCACCAACCAGAAGTTGATGTGTAAATCTCCCACAAACATCACCACAATGCGCCTTGGCCCCCTCACAGCGCTCCAGGCCAAGGACACGCTCAGCTCTTCGCGCGCCCAGCCGTCTAAGGCACTTCCAGGCCTCAGGGAATCATGGGAAAACAGCCAAAAACATGGGAATTTCATGGGAAGTGATGGAACATGTCAGATGTTCAATGATGGAACATGCAGGATTTTGATGGATTTAATGGAAGAAAAAATTAGTTCGGATGGGAAAATGTAGGAAGTTGATGGATTTACTACTTGAAAAAACACGTAATTCTAAGGGATTTTTTGTTTTACAACTAAAAAACAATGGAATGCTGCCGCAACATATCTGGGATCCAAGCTTCAGAAATGGAGTTTGCCCATCAGAAATTAGGCATATGGATCAAACATCAAAATTTATGATTGATGATTGATATATGGGATAGAACTGGTAGATACGTCGACTTGGCCAACCAAAACTGATATGTTAATGGGAACATGTTGATTTTCTAACAAGAAACTAAGCTGGAGTTCTCGGCTTGGACCAAGCAAAAACAACAGATGAAATTGAAACTGTGAATCAACTGATGAGTAGGGCCAAGGCGAATGTGAGAATGGTGTGGGATGTATGAATTCACAAACTAAAACACACGTTTTCAACATTGGGGTTGAACTTCGGTTGAACCAAAAATAAGCATTGAAATGCAACAAATAATCAATGATTTGAGTTATCTCAGTGCGCAACAAAATAAGCCATTTTCATGCCCTCAGGGCTTTACCATTGGCATTGCCATGAAGCATCCAAGCAGAACATGGGAATGGCTAAGGGTGAGTGAAAAGCAATCTATGTTATCAATTTGTGACAATTTACATACCATAAACATGGGAGCATCAATTAATATTAATTATAAGTTGATCATGGATGAACATCAATTGACCATAACAAAAAATACCGCAGAATCACCAGGATATGAGGCTTGTCAGAGACTCAATCATGTGCACGGGGATATTGTAGCCACTCGATCCTTATGGGAAGATAATACCCCTTATGGATCCTAATGGTTGATTGTTGATTGTTGAACCATCGAAAATCTCAAAGATCACCGTTTTCACCTGCCCTTTGTCCCACTGCACTCGGACGTATCTATCTCTTGTTCATCACCAGCATAATGAAGTGGCCTTAAAAATGAGCCGCGGCTGTTGGAGGTGGGTGGGACACGAGTACCTCAAACCTCAAAATACACATGTGTGTTGTATTTTAATACAAAAGTTTACCCCCCAGACTGGGTTTCAGCTAGGGTACTACGTCTTCCCATGTTTACGGGTGTACATTGAGGGCCCGTGTAGGCTGACTGCAGAGGTTGACCTGTGCATCACATGTCAGGAAAACTGTGGGATGTCCATGTCCATCAACAAGATCCTTTTTTTCTAACAACAAAAACATGGTGGCGTCCTAAAATGGGAGTACCCCATGTCATCATCCATTTGGATAGGATTTTCCAATATAAACTATCCAACGATTGGGGTACCCCCTATGGAAGCCCTTAAAAAAAGGATGAGTCAGGTGGACCCCAACTTGCTGGATCCACGAAGCTTTCCCATCGAGTTTCCGAAGGCCAAGGACTATTCATATTCAACCACAAACATGTATTTCCATGTATTTCCCAAAAATGCAATGCTTATATAAATATATATATATAATTATATCTACTCCCCCAGTGCCGTGGCAGTGTTTGATTTTGTCTTTCCCGGATCAAAACTCGAGTCTATATGAATAGGGCAGAAAAACCAAAAAAAAAAACAAAAAGAGGTGTGCAACCCCCACTTTTTTTAGAACACATAGTGTGGTTTCCCCCAGCAATTCTCGCCAAATCCCCAGCCAAATCCCATGGTTGGAGCCCCCTCCAGAAACACCAAACGTGCCCCCAGGCTCCAGGATCCCCAACAAGCCCGGCCAAAAGGTGATCACAGCTAAACCTGGCGCTTTCGCAACGGCTCTGCTTTAAAGAGACACACCCAAAGTCGGAAACAACAAAAAAAAACACTTGCTGATTTTAAAAACTTCGATGCATGATCCAAACATGTGCATCAGTGTTGGGTTTTTCCAACTGCATCCTCCGTGATTGAACAATGCATGTTCAAACGATGTTTAGGTGTGTACAAAGTATTCCGCACGTTCATGGCAAACAATTCTGTAGTATTACATCACCAATCTCATAATTACACATGATCCACCAGTCAGTGAACAAAGGAACAGTTTGCTATGAAGTAGTAGTTTCCTTCCCTCCTTGCCTTTCGATCTTTCCATGGCAAAAAAATCCTATTCCACCCAACACTCGATATAGCCGGGCATAGGCTCGGAATTCCCGTGGCGACCCCGGTGGCGCACACATCTTCAACTCTTCTTTACCGGTCAAGGATTGAAGGCGCCAGTTGTCGTGATTGTTGCAGAAGATCCACTGCGCCTGGGAACTGCCCAATGTGAACTCGTTGATTCATATGAAGCTCTTAAACTGATCAGTCAATGAATTGTAACTGTAACCAGGGTGATTTAATGATCCTGGGTTCACTGGGTTCACTAAAATTCTGAACTCTGAGCCTCTGAAAATCACCACTTTTGTGAACCCAGGAGTTCTTTTTTTCTTTATAATTTGTTTTCTGGTTTCCAGAGAATCTGAAAGGCCACACCTGTGGGACAAGCCTGGGAGCCACCAACTGTGCCCACCCTGAGTCTCCAGTCATACTCTGATCTGTTGCTGCTGGGATCGAAGGTGTCAATCATCCGATTCTCCTGTGGCACCAGAAAGGTTGTGGTTGTTCCTTTATCCTTCTTCTTCTTCTTGTGATGATGATGATGATGATGATGATGTTGTTGTTGTTGTTGATGATGATGCTGGTGGCGGTGTTGGCGGTGGTGGTGACTAACATGACTGAATGAACAGTATATATATATAGCATTATATAGCTATTGTAAGTTATTGCAATGTTTGATCATGATAACGTTGTCGTTGTCGTTGTCGTGGTGGTGGGTGGTGGGTGGTGGGTGGTGGTGGGTGGTGGGTGGTGGTGGGTGGTGGTGGTGGTGGTGGGTGGTGGTGGTGGTGGTGGTGGTGGTGGCTGGTGGCTGGTGGCTGGTGGTGCCGGGTGCCTGGTGCCGGGTGCCGGGTGCCGGGTGCCGGGTGCCGGGTGCCGGTTGCCGGTTGCCGGTTGCCGCGGTTGCCGGTTGCCGGTTGCCGGTTGCCGGTTGGTGGTTGGTGGTTGGTGGTTGGTGGGTGGTGGTGGTGGTGGTGGTTTGTTGTTGTTGTGGTGGTGGTGGTGGTGGTGGTGGTGGTGGTGTCGTTGCTGTTGCTGTTGCTGTTGCTGTTGCTGTTGATGCGGTTGTTGCTGTCGTTGCTGTTGTTGCTGTTGTTGCTGTGAATGTTGCTATCGATGGCAGTCGTGTGGACAACTTGGGGTTTACACCCATAACAATAGCATACTCTAGCAGCTGTCAGAGGTACCTGTCAAGTTTTTCATACATTACCCATGTTTACATTCTCAAATGTTGGGATTATTCCTTTGCCCGACTAAAAATAGGAAGCGCCTCAAGCCGGTCCGACCCTTCTACTAATTAATTGGAATGCGCACCGACAAATATTAGTTCCCCTACTGACGTGCCTGTGAAATCAAATGTGCAAATCCCTAAACCTGGAGAAAATGAAACAAAACAACTTTACATGCACATGTGGGATGATTCAAGTATGGGTCCAACATTGGGTTGTATATATTATATATATAATTGGTAATTGTATAATTAGGTACAATGATGACTGATAGATATCTCGGCGTATATCGTAAGCTGAGAATGGACGGTTGATGTCTCCTCGCGGTAGGCCAATGCAAAGCCGGTCACGAACTCGGGTCGGTTGTACACCTCGTATGTGGAGACACCAGGTAAGAATTGGGAAATGACATTCGGCAACATGTGGGTTTCTTTTCTGTCATGTGGGATTCCCAGTCGTCACCATAGGTTTTAATACTACCCTCCGGTAAATTAACATAGACCCTGGCAGATGGGGGTTGGAAGACTGGTTTCCACTAAAAATGACTTATTTTCAGGGTCTATATTGATTTTATCAGAGGGTAAGTCATGGTCATCGATGGGCTGATGCGTTGAGCCCAGGGGTTCGATGAGTTCGTCAATGGGTTTCGGATGATATCCCATATATGAAATGGAAGTCATAAAATTCATGTTTGAAACCCCCAACCAGTATATATCTCATTAACCATTATGAACCACCATTAACCACCATTAACCACCATTAACCATGGATCAAAACATATCAAACCGACTACAAATAACCAGTTTTGAATGGTGGGCCCCAGGGATGGGGCCACTTGGGGCCACTTCTCCAGTTGTGGCCTAGCCACTGAGTAGCTCTTTGAGTGTTGGCTAAATCCACATGTGTGATGTTTGTTGGAGGCATCATCAACAATTCAATAGCATGTCAATTATATATATATATATATCATGTCAGCCGGAGAAATGGCTTTAAACCTTCAAGATGTTGAAGTTGCTATCACATATATAAATAGACTACAGTAATAGATATATATATATAATTATATATATATATTACTATCCACCAATTGGTTTTCCATGGGTTTCAATGTTTTAACGATCAAACATAAAGAAAGCGGATCGCGGCTCGCATCGCAGCCGAGGCTCCAGGGCGGTGAAGGTGTACCAGTAGTAGGGATACCTCGGCGAATCAAAACCATGGCTGGAAAACGACTGTGGCAGTTGAATTGGAACCTGGATGAACCTGGAAATTACCATTTAATTAATTTAATTAATAATTAAATCTAAAGCCATCTATGTGGTTACCAAAGGAGATCTATTCAAACACATTCGGAAAAGCCAACGCCTTCTATCATTTGTAGAAACAGATTGGTAAACGTAGGATATGTGTGGGAAGCTTGCACAATGTAGTTATGTATAGTTATGTGACATTTTCCAAACACATCACCAGATTTGTAGGTCCATTGGAAAAGTGATAAAACTGAACTTCAAAATTACCTTGAAAACTTGTGGTGTTTTCAGTGCGTAGATAGGGGGTCTATGCAGGTAACCCCGCTGGTTAGGTATCATGTCCCCCAAGAGAAGATGGGTAACAGTGGGTAACTGCGTATAGATTCCCTAAGTTTGCCTGCATACTATACCTATGATCCTTTTTTCCAAACATACAAACCATCTATGGCTCAAGATAATCCCCTGAAATGGGCATGATCAGTACATTGCATGTACTTGTAGTGGGGATACCTCGTCCCCTCTTGGTGAGTTGGGTTCGAAACTTAAAGCAGAGTGGTCACCTACTGTGACTTCCAGATTCCCACATAGCCAAAGACTTTTTTGAACATGGCAAGATGGACAGTCCACAATGTGGCCACCCTTTTTGCATGGTTTCCTCAATAGCACCAGCCCGGTGCTGTCAATCTAGGGGACACACCTCCAGTAGTTTAAGGTTCAGTCGACCTAGTCATAGTGTTTCCCAAACCAAATTACCCTCCAGTAATCAAACGTGGCAATGGACAATCCCTCATTTATACATGATCTCCCAGCTATGAACCTCTATTTAGTTCGGGGATTTCCCCGAAGCTCACATAGCTGGACCTCGCTGATAATGGTGACATTTTATGATGGTTATCCTCACTTGAATGACCCCTTCAGTACGTAAATGATGAACTGATACCCTCTGATAAAATCAATATAGTCCCAGAAAATCACCAATTCTTAGTGGAAACTAATCTTCCAACCCCTGGCAGGGTCAATTTACTGGAAGCTAAAACATCCATATAAATGCCAGATTTTCAACTAGTCTGGATGGTATCACCCACTTAATGTATAACGATTGACCATTCTACCATGTAAGGCCTCCTATATTAGAAAAAAAACGATAATATATAGTTGTTTTGTAACTATGATATATAGGTCCATAGTCTATAGTAACTACAGTATATATATATATATACATATATATATATATATTATAGTTATCTATGGTTAGATGGGGTTGTAAACCAACAAACCTTCAACAAACGTGGCTCCCGCCCCACAAAAAAAAAGAAGATACGGCTCACCAAGCGACACGATGCCGCCCTTCAACGTGGCCTCGCCCGGGATGAACTGTTCTTGGCCGTACATCGTGTTGTCACGACCCCGTCCTACGGCGAAGGTGAGTTTCACCACATTTATGGCCTAGTTTACCAAGGATGAATAGGGATGAACAGGGGATATTCATGGGATAATTAATGGGATAATGAATGATATTTGCTGATTTACCCTCTGGTAAACATACATGTTTCGTGGGTCAACTATAAATGGCAATTTTCAATAACAAACTGTTAGTTTGCCAGAGGGTAATGGAAATAGTTGGAGACATAATGACAATATAATGATATAATGATAATAGTATGCATTACAGTATGATATATTGGAAAAATGGTATTGGATATCATGCGAATTGCGTATATGTATGTATATATATATATATACATATGTATAATATATATATACATATGTATAATATATATATATACGCATCATGATATATTGCCAAACAAATTCTCAACCATTGTATTGTATTTTTATGATCTTTAATGGGGATGCAACTGGAAATATATGAATGGTCTGATGTGACAAAACCAATTTACAACCATCCTCAGATTTATCGGAAATGGGTGGGATGAACTATTGTTATTAGCTGGGTGTCAAAAATTGGGGTTACAAGCTGGTGGCTTCAACCCCACTGATGAATATTAGTGAGTTTGATTTGGAAAGGATCATCCGGATGACCCGGATGCTAAAATAGGAAAACATGTGCAGATACAGTGAACCAAGCAGGTCACCATGTCTAACATTGCGGGATATGGGTGGAGAGAACTGGGTTGTCTAGAGTCTAAAGATGGGATACCCCTGAATTCCGAATGAATCTCATACATATGTTTTCAATTCTGGGATAGAATTAATCCCTTTTTGGACAAAGTCATATTGTGTGTGCTGTTTGCAAAGAAAACACACTCAAAACATGGAAGCTTCTTATTGGGTTTACCACATTAAGCTCTCACTCACCCTCTGACTCTGTCAACCAAATGTGATCATCTGAACAATGAGGCCCCCCTCAGTTATAAGTTGGTTTACAACCATCCTATAGTCTATAGTGTTAAGTATTACAGACTTATAAACCAAAAAAAACATGGTTAGTATTGGTTAGTGATTTGTTTTCCTATCATCACTAAAACTCCACCATAAGTAAGTGATTAACCATAACTCATCACTAGATATTAGTGGAGTTATCTTCACCAACGCCATCTAAGGGGTCGACCCCATGAAGGACCTGGGGAACCTCCATGGACGAGGTTTCGATGCTGGGGATCTGGTTGGTGGTTGACCTACCCCTCTGAAAAATGATGGACTTCGTCAGTTGGGATGATGAAATTCCCAATTGAATGGAAAGTCAATCCAAATTCCATGGTTCCAAAGCACCAGATTGGAAGTATCGGATTCAAAACCTTCGGAGCCTCCAATAACTTCGAGATTCCCAGGGTGCCAGCACTGGAGGTGGTGGATTTTTCATCAGGTCAGATTACCGCAGTTTCAAGGGGACAGAACTACGCACCGAGCATTGACGAGTTTTAGGGGATCACTATAAATGGGCAAACCGCTGCAGGGCTAGACATCTTGTGACACCCTTTTTTGCCAACAAAATGGCATCTTAATATATCTATATACAGTGTTCGCATGTTTTCTCTGACATGTTGGTGTGCCTAGAGGGTCTAGGTGCATTAAAGTGATGAATTATGCTCAACCTGGATCTGATCATATCTGATCTATATGAATATTTATCTGTTGTTTGCGAGTTGATTGGTTTATATCTTCCAAACCTTAAACTTACTGTACATGATGGGACTCACAATCTAAAGCTTATTCATTTGGCCATCAAATCTGATTGACGATTCCGGATTCTTGCTCTCCAGTCGCGCCTGTCATGGTAGCATAGCGCTCGGTGGTGACATAGAACTCCCCGAAAATGCCAAATTGCTCCTGGAAACACCAAGAGATATTGATGTGAGCTTGCCAGAAATGCATAATTTACGTGCATTTCACTGCTATTTGAACTGGGAAAATAAGGTTTTTACAGTAAACCATAGGATTTGGGGTACCCTATTTTCAAACAAATCGCACTGGGGGAGGAATTCTCTCAAAATGAGAAACAGCATGAAACAGGCAAGTTTTCTGTGTGAAATGAACTCGTTTTTGTTGATAATTTGAGGCCTTTGGAGAAACCAATCCTGAGACACCTCGGAATTGTTGCCTTTTTCACCCCACCACAAGTGACTTTCAAACATGCAACAAAAATATACAAAAATAATCACAGCCATCCTGCAGATACATAAGCTGATACTCTCTGGTTGTTTAACGTAGCTATGGAAAAGAACTATTATTAAACGGTCATACATCATCTATAAATGGGCTATTTTCCATAGCAATGCTAAATAACCAGAGGGTAACTCCAACACTACCGCCTGCTGACGCGTTTGTTTGTGCACCTTTCCCAATGACTTCATGCACAAACCACCAAGTGAACCATATTTTTTCAAGGTCACAAAGCTTGCACAATCCCATCCTCCTCGACTATCCAATGCTCCTCTAGAACCCGGGATTTAGTATTTCAAATAGTGGATGTACTTCATAACCCATGGGACCGTTAACTTATGACTGGCAAAGATCGTTCCTTCCCCAAGGTCTTGGCATATCGCCGGATTGCAGGGGCCTTGGCAGGAAAGGCCAAGGTCGAGATTCAGTGTTCTACCAACAGGCTGAAACTATTGTGGCTATTTGGATTGTGGATAGTGAAGCTTACCCTCTGGTAATTTAGCATAGCTATGGAAAATCAAATACTTAATACTTAAATAATCTATAAATAAGTCATTTTCCAATAGCTCTGTTAAATTTCTGGAGAGTAAATCATCTTAAATTTGTGGAGGGCCAAGACATGCCGTTCATCATCCTGGCAACCTGACACTGCAGTGAGTTTTCCTTCCATCACAGCTCGCAGGTCAATTCTTAAGGCACTTCGAGAAAATTTAAGTTTAACTAGCCAAACAATCAAACAATCAACTGACACTGACTTGCCCACATATTTTTTATTCACCATTTTGTTTCTGGGATTCAACTGGAAATATATTGACATCAACATCTATCTTGGCGCTGCACCCATTGCTTGTAGAATGGCAAAGGAACCTGGGCTCAGTGATCTCACAGAAATGTCTGGAAATGGTTGTTAAATGTCTGGGAAATGCTCATGTTTAAGAGGAATGGTCGTGATCCTTTTTTCAAAATGTCGGAAATGGACATATTCCCAGGCGAAACAAATCACCCCGTGTCTTGGCTGGGCCTGGATGGGAAGTGGATAAAATTCTATTCTCAGTTCAAACCAACTACTTTACACATCAAATCTTAGATGCAATTCGGAACACCTACATCCATTGTTTCCAAACCCATCTGTTCAGTTAGCATTCATTTTCCATGGGCCCACCTGCATGGGCGTGTCCACCCGGAAGCCATCCACATCCACGCTGGCGATCCTGAGTCCAGTGCCACTGAGTAGTTACTATATTGATAATGAACCAATAATTAACCATAGTAACCATCATTAACTATTATGGTAAAACCATTCATATTATGTCTATGGTGTTGTAACTATTTGATGATTCTTTAACTATATTAATGGTTAACAATTAAAACTAATTATATGGATAATTGTTGTTAAATAGCATATTAAAGATGAAACTGCCCAAGGTTTGGCCAACCATATGGGCATAGGGACCCGGCGCATTCCATGATACCTGCGTGTAGTATCTCCACTTTTCGGGAGGTGCTTTATTTCTGACCCCAAGGGTCTATTTGGGTTGGTCTGCACCTGACATAGGGCCTAATTTCCTAAATCTTTGAGTCATGGATGATCATGTTCCCTAGTAAAACAGTTATAGTTCATGTCTACCCCGGGATAAATCCATCTACCAAAGATTCTTGGGTACATCAAATTTGGACAGAATCCAATTCTTGCCGCAGTCCGGTTGGTAAACAGCCCCTATTTGTTGGTTAAACATCCCGCCGGGTTGGAAATGGGCCGAGTAAAAACAGCATTTTCATGTGACTGGCAAGAAGTCAATCATGCGTTTCGCAATGTTTTTTCATGTTTTTATGTTGTCCATGAAAGTCAATTCTATTGTGATTTTGAATTTTCATTGGGATTTGCTGTATATAGTTGACATGTCGGAGTGCGAAAAAGGTTCCTTTTGGGAAGTCAGCGTGCCCAAAACCTCAGCGGCAGCCATTTTTTCCGGTGATCTCTACATCTTCGCTAAGTACGCACCTGTTTTCTCCAACGGGGCTTTTCCAACTACATTTGCCTCCCATCGCCACTGCCATGTGCGTACGTACGTCCAAATGAGTTCATTCAATTTTTGTTCGTTTTCTGGGCAAGATGTCAACTGATCGGGAACACTGGCTTTGATCATACGCCAGCACGAGTCGATGGTGCCAGTATGAACCCAGAAGGTTTTTCCAGCATGTCTGCGGATCTTTTTGACAAATGGGTTTTTGCGATGTGAGCAGGCAAAATGTATCAGCTTGTTAGCCGATGTCAATCCAGGGTAGCACTTTGCGCCATCTGAGCAAACCACTGTTCTTTTCTGTCCAGAATGCATTCGCGAAATGCAATCAAATCCCTTAACATCATAGGAGTGCGCACGTACGTGAACGTTACCCCACCCTGCGTGACGTGACACATCTTCAACGTAGCATGACGTATGTGCGCACGTGCAAGTGAACGTGCCATGGCGTAACATCATGGGAGTGCGCAAGTACGTGAACGTTATTGCCCCACCCCACCCCACCCCACCCCAAGGAACATATATAAAAATGCCTAAAACGCTCGGACGGTTTTCAACCCGTAGGCTTAAACATCCCCACAATATCCAATTGTGTTTTTCTTTAATCCACATATGTCCACGTGGATTATATATGTATATAATATATATATATATGTATACATACATACATATATATATATATATACATTCCTTGACCCTTTAAGTACTCCAACAACTGGTTAACAAACACTAACTATTTTGGTAGTAAACACCAATCTTAGAGGTCAATTAGTTACTGGGGGTCTAGGCATTGTTTTTCAAAATAAGACACTGCATATATATAGAGGTTTCCTAGAATATTTGTTCTTTTCCATCAATAATAACTAATAACTTGAATGATAACTTGGGGTACCCATACTTTTGGAACCCCCCCTATAGTTGTTATAGTGGTTATTAATTAGCAAGTTAATGGTGGTTAACAATGGCTTTTCATGGTTGTTGATGCTTATCAATAGTCTTATTTCTGATGGGTGACCCTTCTTCTTAAGCCAAGCTTCAGAGCTTGCGTCATGGCGAGGTATTTCTCCTTGTGAAACAACGAAGGCGAAGCAAAGATGTAATGCCCGTTTGGATTGTCCATGGTATACCATTAAGCATCAATATATTATTTCTGATTAATTCAATATGATATACAGTATATATATATACATATATATATATATATATACGCACAGCGTGTATATACAAATATATATATATATACATATATACAGCAATCCCCCACCAAATAGAAAAGTAAAGTGCTACTAACATCTTGGGGCTTCGAGAATACTAAAACCATCATCCCGGAGGTTCACAGCACAATAAGCTGGTGGCTACTTGGGATACAGCCTAAACACGTGGTCTAAATCTACCAGTGCATATTGATCTACCCTCTGGTGGCAACTGAACATTTCAATAGATGGCCATTTCAGGTACCTTAACTGGAGATACTGCACCATATAACAGTACTATTATAAAGCCCCAATTTGATATAATCTGGTTGTATATCCCCTTACATGGACCTTACATGGAATATGGACGCTGAAGTACATCATTGAACTCCCAGAATTCCTTCATGCACCTGAAAATGGGGTGCAAAACATCGAACTTCTCAATCCCTATACCTAAATCATTCATTTTTATAGGATTTTCCATGACATAAATCATCCTATTTTTCAATGTGGGGTATCCCCATGACTATGGAAACCCACAATTGTCATATTGTTATGGCGCCATGTACATCTCCTGCACACGTGCATTCTCCAAGCGCAAGTCATCCATGGTTCCATAGATCTTGGCCACCTGGGTGGCCGGTTCCGGATGGCGGCCACAAACTGCTGAGCAAACGTTGGGCCACAAACTGCTGTTAAAGAATATTGATACATTAACTGTATTTCTAGTCAAGTATCTATATTAATATATATATATATGTATTATATTATATACATTAATAAATCTACATATGACTCTTTTTTTTTTGCAACCCACATGTCCCGATCATATTAAATACCCAATGTTCTGGGAGCTAAATTCACGTAGATCGAAAACTAAGCAAAGGGTTCCTTTGGAGGATATTTTATCTTATAGGGGAAGGGGAATATCACTGTTTGGTAAAGAAACAGTTCACCAACAAACCATGGGGATTTAACAATCAAATATGGGGACAACATAGTGAAATCGAACCCGACAGTGTCGATTAACAGTGGGACAATCATAATATTCCAAAATCCACTTCGTTGGGTTCGCCATGTCAGCTTGCAAGGGACCCAATTCCGTTCACCCTGTTGATTTTTTGTAGAATAATCACATCATCTTTGGGGTCTTAGCCACTATGAAGCCAGCAAAAAGTGACGTGGTTTGAAACTGTCTTTAACCAGCCAAAGAATGAATATAATAAATATGGAGGCCATATTTACCTGTAAGATGACTTTCGGAGTTTTCGGATACCCCCATATTATCATCCCTTTCAAATCCGTTCAATGGATTTCCCATGGTTTCAACCATCCATCCATAGATATCCATAGGGGCTTTGCGATCGCGTCTCAGCCCCCAACGTTGATCTCCCATGGATCCGCATAGTTCTGCAAGTCGCCATTGTGATGAAAGTCTGAACCTCGCTGCTACCAGAGCCATAGAGCTGATGGGATCTGATGTTTGGAAGTCTACCCTCCAGTAAACTAACATAGATATGGAAGCCATGGCCCACTGATGGACGATTTACCTGTAAAAAACATGTGGATTTTCCATAGTTATCTTATAGTTTCCCTTGTGGGTAGCAGCAGGCAATTGGAGAAAAAAAAAGGTGGAACTGTCCGCGTTCCACATGCAAAACACCCCGCCTTCGTAGGTGCCTCGTCCTTTGTCCCAAGCGGCCTGGAGGGCAGTGCAGAAGTCTTCCCGGCGGAGTTAGTGAACTGCTTTGTAAGGCAACCGAGGTAGTATGAGTGATGGTACCATGGGCCATTGGCTGGTAAAATATTTATATAATTATATCATATTATATCTAATATACTATACAGTATGTTACAATATATTACAATCACTATCATTGGAGTTGGTGAACTGGTTCAGCATTGGCTTCTATATGCCAACTTTCACAAGATAACGTATTCAAGGAGAAGTTCGGATTCAAAAGGAATGTATGGAATTTCTATACCCAGTTGTAAGGGATTTTTTCAGCAACATACCAACCAGTTCACTAACTTCAGGACCCATCTAAGTATCAAAGAGTATCAATGGAACAAAGAGGGGAACTTCGGGAAGTAGTTTTGAGATCGCAAAGTAGTCCTGTCTGAGTTGTGATTGAAGCAAATTATATATATACCATCTGGTTATTTAACATAGCCATGGAAAGCCACCATTTTTTTATAGGTAAACCATCTATTTCTATGGGCCATTTATACCATGCCAAACTGTCAGCCCAAAACAGAGGGTACATGTCATTGGAGGGATCTTCGTCTCGATTGGATGATGAAAACTAGACATATTTTGAACCTGTTGCAGCCCGCATGACTTTCTTGCTTTGTTTCTACTACTACTTGAGCATACATACATGTAAGTATAAATATATATATATATATACGTATTTACATTGGAACCAAAACCTATACATTGGAACCACAAATATTTATTCACATCGGTGGTTCAACCCGCCAGAATCCATCTGTGGTTTTCAGGACCAATGGTTTGAGCTGGACCCATACCGCTGGCACCACTCGACGTGGGGTGCTCTCATGAAAAGCCGGCTTCAAGGACGCGACAAATAAGCAGTGACTCATGTTTTGTTACTGTGTTATACCCAGTCAAATTACCATATCTGCATGTGTCTGCTGGGATGTCTTCTGTTTTTGTTCGCACTTGTCTCCTCAATTTATATCATTTCGAAGGTTATATGCAGACGTTTGTATCCCAATTGAGGTGCTTGAATCCCCTGTTGGGAAGGCGCACCTCTCCATACTGACCGTAGAAGGGGCTCGCGTACTGGGCCTGCAAAGACGGTCAATAGGGGATCTTTACCGAGCATGATATAGTATAGCGATATGTTATGGGATATTGGTGGGATATATTCATAGCAATATGGATGTACACATAAATATATTACACATAATATATATATATATAATTTGAATATAGCATATAATATAATATAATATGATATAATATAATATGATAGAATAAAATATTATATTATATTATATTTTAAAATATTATATAATACAATATAACATAACATAACATGATATAATATAATATAACATGATATAATATGATATAATATAATATAATGTACTATATAATTTAATATAATATAATATATAATAAAATATTTAATATAATATAATATAATATAATAGAGCATTACAATACAATACAATATATATTATTTTATTGTGCTATGTTACATTATATCATGTTATATTATATATAACATTGTTAAACTATAATAACAGTTTATATATAACATTATACTATCAAATGCTTTGTATAATATTACAATATAATAATATACAATAATGTTATATATAATATAAACTTTGTACATAATATTATGTAAATTATGTATTATAAATATTTGTACAATATAACATATCATATTCTATATACTATACATATATGAGTTGGAATAAATGAGTCGGATGGGTTTGTTCCCAACAAAAATGGAGGTTGATGCTCAATTTATGGCACTCTTCATAGAGGAAATGATGATAAACACTGGGATTTGGGATAATCAATGATAATCATATTTTCAGACCAAGCCATATGCAAAGAAATGGCAAGGGACCGCATATCTGGCCAAACGGGTTTCCAATCTGCGCAGAACCAAAGGGTTTCAAAGTGGATTTGGGTGAGATCTTACTGATGCGGGATCAACTACAGGTACATTGTGTTGATGACAAGACCATAAACACTTGGTAGATCTACGGTAAATGGCCTGCAGAGCCATATGGAGATTCCCCCTTGCTGATGGCAACAAGGCGCTCAAACGACAGTATTTACTGTACTACCCAACATTGCATAAAGCGATGTACAGATTCAGAAAACTCAGTACTCTATGGGCCTGCGTTCACAACTTCAAACGTTTCCAAAGATAATTGCAGAAGATATTCCATAGAATAATCATCGTGCATTCGCGCGCCGTCTGATAGACTGCAACAGAAAGCACCCGCAACAATGGAATGCATTCACATCTTGACCAAACTCCATCGAATGCATACACATGTGCTACACCTGTATCATATGTATAGAGTATAGACATACATGTAATGACATATTACACGTTTTTTTTTGGTTTTGATTAGTCAATCTGCCGCCTCTGAATCCCATGTGTTGTTGTACCAAAAGTCCATGTACGGCTGCTTTCCAGCCTGAGAAAGTCAGACTTTTGATGATTTTTCATGGTTCGGATGGCGAGGAAGTGGGGTGGCCATTGGTGTGGCAAAACAAAAAAACACTGGAAGATCTTGGGAGACGAGAAGATTTACTCACCGAGGGCCATCATGATCATCATGTCTATCATCTATACCCTCTGGTAAACTAACATAACTATGGAAAATCACCATTTTTAATGGGTAAACCCACCATAAATCACCATTTTCAATAGCTATGTTAAATTACCAGAGGGTAGTTTAATCAGAGGCTAGAGATCATGCAAGGACCCACTGATCCCTTCAACCCAGCAAGGCTATGCTGGTGGCAAGACCGGTGTCCGGTGGGGGTCCATTTCAAAGATGCTTAAAATTATCTAGCGGATATCCCAACCATGGGCATAGAACATTTGAAAAACATCAGAATGCACCACCCATCAGTTTCAATTGATGATATTTATATTATGTGTATATTAATTATATTAAATCCATGCAGTGGTGGCTACATGCACATCATTGTTTGAGAAAAAACGCTCCAACAACATGCAACATACATCCAAAATACATGACTTTGGTAAAGGTCACAACTAATTTCCCCAACATACATGGATTTGGATATGTTTGGATGGGTTTAGGTCACATAAAAACCACAAGGAAGCTCCAGGTTGGGCCCACCGGAGTGTCATGGAGTTCGCGACTACTTCTTCGAGGGATCAGCCTGGCAGGACTGGAAAGAGGACAATCTTGGATAAAAATTATAGGATGCCCCTAAACCTTAGGTCAGTTGATTCATCGGAATTCAAGTGGGAGTTATGTTTGATATATATATATATACCCTCTATATATATATACCATCTGGTTATTTAACATAGCTATGGAAAATGGATGAAAATGGCCCATTGAAATAGATGATTGCCCCAGCTATAAATCTCCATTTAAAGGGATTTTCCATGGCTATGTTAAATAACCAGATGGTAATCTTGGAAAATGGATTTCTTTTTTTTTTATCCAAGATTAGTTGGATAATGATCCGAGAAGCGAGTAGATGGCTCGTACATGCTAGTACGTAGGTTTGAATTACATCGCAGTTCCGAGCGGCTATTATCCACTTGCACAGCCTTTCATGTCCACCGGAAGATTTATAAACCCATTGTTCATGATTTATAAACCCATTGTTTCTTGTCAACCGGTTACCTTTCATGTCATGGTTACCAATATGCATCGTTCTTTTGGTAACCATGGTAACCATGGTAAATCACTCCCCATAGTTCATCCCTAACATTGCCTGGCAGCGGTCAGGCAGTCCAACAAAAACACCTTGTCAGTTTACCCTGATGTAATTTTATTTATAGAAATCTGAAGATTCCCTCTTCGGAGACAATATCTATATAATTCTATATAGAAGAAATCTTGGCCTTTGAGATTCTATGAATTCTATGAGTTCATGATCCACAGCCATATTGGATCCGACTCAGCGCATCCGGTCATCCAGTGGCGCAAAAATGGCGCCTGTACTCTCTGCGGCCTCCTGTCTCGTGAAAACGGAAGGGAGCCTGGTGGACTTCGCGGAGGAAATGGGCTACCAATGGGCTATCTGTCACCATTGGTGAATCCACATGTTTTTTGCCAAGAAAAATGGGTGGTCCCCATTTCAAGACAAACCCATACAGCAATTAAGATAGCATTAATATAGCATTAATATATAGTAACCCCAAGAGAAACTACTCAGGGATGTATAGAATACATCTACCCTCCTATCATAGACTTGTTAATATGGGTACCTTATCCAGTGTTTTTCACAAATTGCTACCTGTAGTTTTACTTTTGATCCAATTCACCTCGTTTACTCCTTTTTTTCCCACAGAGTTGGCTTGATGGACTCACTTCACATCCATTGTTTTCCCCGGGAAACATGCGCTCCAACGCAGAACAAACACAGCAAGAGAGAATCTTCAAACATATTCTGGTTGGTGGTTTCATCCCAACTATTGGGGAAAATTAAAAAAGTTCCAAACCACCAACCAGCATTCCAAAAAAAAATCTGACAATGATGCATAAATCGACAGTCTTGGGGACGCATGAGGGCTTAATGAGTTCCCCCACGCGACGAGCAGAAACAAATTGCTTCTTGACTGGTAAACGCTGTAAACTCCATTGAACACTAAGCATTTAAACATTTATATACTGATGGGTGTAATATGACAAACTAAGACACTAAGATTAAATTTGAACCAGCACTATAGCTATCACCTATATAGGATCCGTGGGAAAATTGCGCACAATGTCGCTTTCATCAAACATTTGGGACATCTTGGAAACCTTTCTTTAAAAGCAGCTTATTGTGGAGGCTGCGTCGTTTCCATAACACGTATGTAACATGTTCTTGTCAAATTTTATGTACCCCAAGACATCGAATGGTCAACGCTAAATGTCAAAACCTTTGGGTCCATGAATCAGAAGTCTTCTTTGGGTCCATGAATCAGAAGTCTTCTACCCATACCCATATAGTAGGTAGATGTAGGTAGATTATACCCCGATCTTGCCTCTTCCAACATTTTCAGTTCCATACTCTCATCACGCAAATTAATTAGGATCTTTTCTCGTACAAATAAACATATCATCTACATAATATGTTCCTATATTGCGCATGTGTATATATATATATACAGTATATATATGAATAGGTATGGCATGGTATGGCTCAAAAAACGGACGTATGGATCGTTCCGGACGTATGGAACGAGTGGTTATGCGGACTCGCTGAGACGGTATGGATCATGGGGATCGGGGATCACGCGTGGGTTCAGGGTATGGATCTGGGTCTTACAGCTTGAGCCGCGACCGTATATGTATTATATATATACACATAATAATTACATATATAATATCATATTGTATTGTAAATATCTATATTTATATGCAAATACAAATATATATTCTATTGACACATCATATCCATCTACACACCTGTCATGTCTCCTCCAGCGTTGTCTCTGATCCCTCTGCCCCATTCTGCCGGGGCACCGTATCTTTGGAGTGACCCTCGAAGAAGAACTCGTTGCCCATGTGGTTCATAACCACATCCTGAGGGCAAGGGGGGTTCAATTAGGGAGCTCGACCTGCAGTAAATGGACATAAAACCAATAGGATTGTACAGTATACAAACCTTGGATACCATTTTTTTTACTAAAAACAAAACAAAGCAAGATATTCATAGAAACCTGATTTTTCATCAGTACAACATATGAAAAATCAGGATATAACATCACTACGTAGCATATGATACTCATCTCAGCCACATGGGTATGGGTCAAGTTGCCTATGAAATTCGGGGGAATCCACATCCAGCTACAAAGGGTACCAGGTTTTCGCCCCGCATCTTTGAAACCAAACAGGAACTGCTTACCATGGCACCAAATCTTGGGTACAACACTAAGCAAACACGGCATGGCATCTCTGGCTTGGATGGAGGAATGAGGACTTGGTGAAAAAATCCGGCCCGCACATATCTGATCAACATTGTATTTAGTATAATAGTATATAATAGTAATATGTATATATATATATTATTGTATACTCAAACGCCTGTTTTGATCGCCGCAGTAGTGAAAATCCACGATTAACCCAGGGATGAAGCGAATAAGTCAGATTTTTTAGGCGTATCTATTACAAGTCATCTCATAATATATAATTATATATATGCATATATACATATATAGATATATACATACATATATATATGATACATATATATATATATAATTATATATATAATTATAACAAATCATACAGCATACAAACCTCTCTGGAGAAACCATGATCACCACAGCTTTCGGCCCACCATCCGCCCGGGTCTCCCGACGACGAGGATATACATACCTCGATCATGGGCAGCCTGTGTTAGGGCCTCAGTTCCATGGTGGAATTCTCCAATTGCCATGCTTGATAAGTGAAGGGTAAATGGAGGTTTCCATAAATGGGGGTACCCCCAAATGGATAGTTTATTTCATGGAAAATGCATGAAAATGCCATTAAAATGGATGATTTGAGGGTACCCCTATTTCAGGAAACCTCCGAATGATACTTCTTTCACTTTCACTGGCGTCAAAGGAAGTGCTTGCAGCCACTTGAAGTAGCTCTTTAATTTCCAAAAACAGTAACATACAGCAACCTATCCCTGACATTTCACTGTTGGGTTTATGGTGATTATGACTTATGACACTTATAGTATTCATGAATGGTAATGGGATGTATATAATTTGTAATTGAAATAACTCAATGACCATCACTGACCTTGACATCAGACCAGTGACATTGCCGTGAGGTCGTTATAATTTATCCGGAGAACCCACTTCTGCTTGCCGAAGTACCAAACAGCACGTAGTACGAACTGGCAAACTGGCTAATTCTCATCCATGATTTCAACTTTTATATAAACTTATTAAGAAAAGGGACTGGTAAGCATAAATATGTATATTATGGTGTGTGTATATATATATATATATACACATAGTTTGTATTAGTTTGCTAATTATATGATGGATTCCCGCAGGTCCTACAGGTTTATCATGATCCCATATATATTATCATATATTATCCACATTTTCTTAGAGCTTGGATCTAGCCGATCCTGGCCGACTGGCCGCCCACTGACGGTTGACACTGGGCTCGCCCTGACTCGAAGCTCTTCGAGGCTCCCCAGTCGACGATCTAAGACCGTGAAGTCATGCTGTGCGTACCTGTTGGGGGTGTTGAAAGGCGGTGCCCCAAAAATGATGGCGATTTGTCCACCTAGAAAAATGCTGGGGGATTGAACAATGGGATGTGAAACTTCGCTGATTTTGGTAGCAAAACTTGGCATAACTCCAAGTTCACTGTGGGGTTTCTGGTAGATATATGTAGATACTAAGCAACTAAAACATAATATAATATATATATATATATTGTAGATATATGTATAGATATGTGTATACATATATATATATATATGCGTTTATAAAGCAACAAACAAGCATAACTGGGGGATACTGGGGGCACCACCTTCTGGTGGCTCGGAAAAGTGAAGAGACCTGGCTGTTTAGTTGTCTAAAATGTCTCACACATGTTTATTGAACCAATGAGTTTGGGGGACAGATAGAAAGAAAGAAAGAAAAGAAAAAAAAAGAAACACATCCAGTGTCTTACCCATGTTTGTGACATGTTCCTGATTCTGGTTTGCAAGAGGATGAACCATCTAACTTGGGGGTATATTGGTGCTGATTTTATGTATGTATGTATATATATATATATATATATTATATTACAGATAATATATATATATAAAGTAAATATGTATACATACCGCTCCGCGTTCAACGCATTACAATGTTACTGTATGAAACAGAGGCATGTAGAATTGGGAATACTGCCAAGAAATGGTCGTCGAATGTTACAGTGCATGCATGTCGTCACAAGTTTAGTGTGTTTGGGGGGATTGTCATAAGGAGTGCCTTAACTTATAGATACTTATAAATATAAAGTAGGTTCACAGTGCAAAGAACGAATCTAAGAATCTAAAACATGTTTTGTTTGACCACACTAATGACAAGTGTAAGGCCCATGCTGGTATCCTTGTATCATAAAAATACCTATAAAATCCTTTAAAAAAACAGCCGTAAAATCACAATCAAAGGCGTCTTCCAACCGGTGCGCACTGATGATAGAAGTTGAACCTGGGCATTTCGCAATCCCGGCTGAATGTAGGGCTTCTTACATGGCTATGGGAAAGTGTGCAAAAGTGCGGAAATACAAAGGCCCCTGCTGAATGTTGGGTGAGGTGAGTGACCATCTGAAGGTCGATTTTCAAACCCTGAAAGTGAAGGGAAAACACTGAAAAAAGGAACCGATCTGCCACACACTGCGACAAATGGAGCCGGAATATATATAATTTTTGCTGAAAGATGCCAGTCTGGAACTATATCGACCGTAGATGTCGAATTTATTTGACCACAAATATCGGAAACAGATTCGCATCCAAAGTATCGACAGTAATGCACATCAGACATGGGCGAACATATGGCGACATCTCAATGCTCTGGGCCCCTGACCCGTTCTGGAAAATAGGTGAAATCCAAATCGCCTGCGGATGATGGGATCGTCATCACGATAAATCCAATGGGATCGCCATTTCCCATGGATTACACGTCATGGGTTGTCCCATGGGTATCCTGGGTTGTCCAACGGGTATCCTGGGTATACCATGGGTATACCACGGTATACCAAAAATTGATAAAATAATTGTGAACAATGTCTTGTGGCTCAAAGTGACAATAGCCAAATTTTCTTGTTCGAAATGCCCTCCGCTTGGGGGATATTTTTCAAGCAGAACATCCCAAGCCTGACATCCCAAGCCCTTGATGTAGTCCAGCTTCCCTTGAAGCCCTACGAAATCTCCGCCATGCCTTGAGCGTATCATTCGTGATGAAGGGCATGTGATTAATGAGCTTTATATTAAACCACATTATATTCTATTTTAATACATATATATATATATATTTTAATGGGATAAGGATGATCAACAATGGGATTTGGGGAACCAGGCTAGCAGCCAATCATGGGCACATCTACATGTCAATCCGTTGTATGTGTATGTGGTGTGGATTCCTGAACAAATTGCGGTTCAATTAACCTGCAGAAAGTGACGATTTAGAGAGAAACCATGAGATGTTGTGTGAGGTTTTATCTGTGTATGTTAGTTTCATCTATGCCTATGGGAACATGTACTTTATGGTCGAACTTCTCGAAAAGTTGAATCAATTTTGAAGATCACCACGCTAGCTGGGTCAAACCAATTGATTAGTAGGTTTTTTTCCACATATTTGGGACCTATTAGGGACATGGGATGAACATATTGCACCCCAAATGATTGTTAAGGTAGTTTGTTACATCACTTTTCTCTTGATCAATACATGATTCTATGATGCCTGTCGATTTATATTATTGAGTCTTATTGGCTCTGTCCAGATTGAACACCCCAAAAACAATCAGGACATTCAATGACATAATCCATATATCTGGTGGTTTCATGTGGTTTCCATAAATGGGTGTCCCCCAAAATGGATGGATCAAACATGGACAATCCATCTAGAAATGGAAAAATTTAGGGGCACCCCAATTTTAGGAAACCTCCATATTTCTACATATATCTGGCTTTATTGTGATATGATGTGTCCACCAAGAGGATGGCAAAACACGACGGTCCAGGGCTTTCGGAAAGGGATCCGATCACCCGGATGGGGAAGAATTTGTTCACAATCCATGGCTAGTGGTTTTTATGGTAGCCATGGTCTTTCATAGTGGTTTATAATATTTTTATAATGGTCAAATTGATGGGAAAGACCATGGGTTTATATTATATCCCATCAATTTTATAATGGTCAATACTGATGATCAAATTGATGGGATTCAATGGGATATACCCCCCAGTAATCAAACGTGGCAAGCTGGGAAATCCAAATCAATGGAGGTTTCGTTCGCTGGGAATATGATCGAAGTTTTTTTCATTGGTGGATTTTCCAATGAATACTTGAGAAAACCGGAGGGTATGCGATGGCTACAACCAGTATGATACCCTCTGGTTATGTCAAAATAGCTATTGAACATGGACCGTTTATAGTTGATTTCCCCATTAAAGATGGTGATTTTCCAGTGCTATGTTAGTTTACCAGAGGGTACTCAGTATGCATGTGTCATTCTCCCACAAGTGAGTCCCAATCCATTGAAGGTAAACCAGTGTGGTGGGTCCTCCTTCATCTTTCATCATGTTTCATCCCAAATCCCTCTACAAGGGCTTGGCAGTTGGTACCCTCAAGCTAACAGTTTGCCATTGAAAAAGGCCATCGAAATAGTTGATTTATCCAGCTATAACACGCTGATTTTCCATAGTTTTTGTATGTTTGCCAGAGGGTATGCGTGTCTTGCCCAATGCCGAACCCTTGTTTTCCCCAAGAGTTCCCACCTGAAAGTCATGTCTCTCACATCGAACCCACCATAGAGGACTTCGTTGTTTCTGGCAGGTGGAAGAACATGGGGCCAGAATATGGCGCCAGAACATGGTGCCAGGAAACACATCCGGCATATGTATATTATATATATACACATACATATCACATAAATGCCCACAAGTTCCCAATGGTATATATAATCACATTCAAATCTTGGATAATGGAATATAATCATACATTATGTTACATGATACCAATTTTGGATACATAGATGGTACCCTAACTGTATCCATGGTAGTCATTTTAAAAACCCAATGATACCAACATGATGTATATCATGGTCCATGGTACCCTCTGGTAAACATACAAAAAACGATGGAACATCACCATTTTTGATGGATAAATCCACTATAAATGGCCATTTCAATAGCTATGTTGACATAACCAGGGGGGATATCCCATGAATTTCCCATTGAATTACTCTAAAATCCCATAAAATCGCATGGTACACTGTTAACATGTGAAATCCCAATGGTCAGTCCGCCCCCCGACCTCGGATCCCCGTCTGCAAAACGGTCCTCGGCAGAACCGCTTAAGGGGAACCCCATCGAGGTTGAAATGGGCGTGACTCAAAATGAAGGGATGACGATCTTGGGGGATCTTAAACGAAAAACATTCATCATCCTTAATTTGACCCCATATGTATATATATATATATAATTATATATACATGGTTTATCAGTTTATCATATCTTAGTTATAATCCTGAATTGTCTCAGTGTGTGAAAGACATTATATGTTTGCTTCACCACAGGAAACCCAAAAGGCATCAAGGGGCCAAACCCTGGTACCCATTGTTATCCTGATGAAAACACCCTAGCTGGTATAGCTGGATGTTCATCGTGCCAAGTACTGGTAGCATTGGTTCTAAGCTATGTGTAATATAACACAATGTAATACGTCTATGTGTACACGTATAATACATATATATATACACACACACTATACTATACTATACTATGCTATACTATACTATACTCTACTGTACTGTACTGTACTATACTATACTTTACTATACTATACTATAATTACTATACTTCATTGTACAATATATTTATTACAACATTATATAGTTCTATAATGTTCTAAATCTATTCTCAAAACAAACGCTGGTGCAGGTGTCCACTCAATCTTTAGGTAGCAGCCCATTCTCAGAAAGGGCTGCCCGGCCGTAACAAGCTGATAGATGGACAGCGCTCTCCAGTCCATCGGTGATGGGAAATAGCTATGATCTGCGTGGCCAAGGGCAGCTGCTGGAGCACCCCGCAGATATGAAGTGACTGAATATCTATCTTTATATCAAAGTTACAAAACTACCATATTACTGTACGTAAATTTAATCTTCAATTGGTTTATACTTCCATATGTTGGTTTATAATTACCATTTGTTTGGGGGGTTAATTGATTGATATCTCCCAAACCTTCAAAACGATATGATGGGATTCATGATTCAGGGGTAACCACAGATAACCATATTTTTTGGGGACTGGTGAAAACATCGAAGAAAAATACAGAGCCCTAGAGCTTACATCTCAATGAAAAATTGTTTCCAGGATTCCAGTTGTTGTTTTCGCTGGAGACTAACCCAGGGGTTGTGTCTGTCTATAAGTTGCTTCGTAAACCCACGAAGCTGTAGAATACTGCGGATATGTGCACCAACATGTCCAATAGTTGGAGTCACGACTCAACTTAGCTATCTTGGGTGCCCAGCATTGTAGCAGCCGACTGATAGTATGTAATATTGAACATATTTTTATGAATCTGCCAGCTGGGGTCTGAAATGCCCGTTTATTCAGTGCATCCAGTGTCCAGCATTCTTCGCCAAATGATGACAGTCGTGTTTTTGTTGTCCAATGATCATTTGGCAACTGTTGGATTGAAAGGTTTTGAAGACTCCAGGATGTTTTGATTCAGTTCAAATCCTTTCATGAAACACAGCCACTTGGGAGGCAACAAAATAGGGTTGGGTCATGTTGGGCCTACTGTAGATAAATTGATTGGCACTCAAGAGTCTGGTTAGGCCGTCAGTCTTTGGTCGAGAGGTTCAACAGATTATGTACATAGATATTTATTTTGTGTGTATATAAATATATTTATATATATATACATATTTCAACGTGGTACCTTCCACCCTTGCCGTGAAATCAATTGTGTTCCAAGCAAAGCGGATGGTTTACAAAATTGACTGGTGACTGGGATAATTACTCACTTATAAATTACGATTTACAAATGGGTCTCTAGACATCCATCATAACATCATCTTCATCGATGGTGGAACTCTTCTTCTCCGCGCAATTGTTTGACCAACTCAAATCTACCGCAGGTCATCGACACACGATGCACAAAGCGGAAAACCTTTGGCTTGCAGAATTGTGTAGTACTTTTTTCGATGCGTTCAAAACAAAAAACAACATGCTAGTGGGAATAATCATCCCAAATTGATTACAGGACATAGGAAACATGGCTGGAGATTGTGGCAAATCCACATGCATGTAAGTAGATCCAGATACATGTGAGTAAGGATAAAAACAACAGCCATCAAATTCGACAGGTTAATACTTAACCAGCCAGTCTGCTTCAGATCATCCAACAACTGATGTTTCCTGGAAGAACACAACCCTTCAACCAGTCCACTGACATTAGCAACAGCGATATAACATCATAACATCTTTCCAGGTACTGATGTTTAATTCACTGATGTTGATCTCTGACACATTCACATGTTCATTAGTAAGTACATAAATATATATATATATATACAGCATATACAATCAGTTCATATCATCATAATTCAGTGTCTATCATCGTATATCACTATGGATTGCTACATTCTACAGCCAGAGGTCCGTAACGGTCCGGAGGTTCTACACGGCCCTCAGCTATGGCGATCTGCTTTTCTCATCCGCTAAACATATCCTGGCAGTGCACTCAAAAAAATAGCTAAGTTGGTTTAGTTCACTGGGATAAATAGGGTTTATGGGGAATATAACTATAGTTCATGGGCTAAACTGAGAAACATCACTGGGGCCTCACCTCGTAGGATAATTAGGGTTTTCACTTTTTTTTGTTCAATGGGAATCATAAATCAACTTACAGTATAACATCTAACCTTGGCCCCACCTGGTAACCATCAAGTGCAGTTCCAGAATGCAAGCAACAAAACATAGGATATACCCTATATTTGGGTGTGTCCAAAAATGGGGGATAGGCATAGGCCCCAAGCAGCCTTTCCAATGGAAAAATTCCATGGTGAACCATCAAATTTGTGGGTCCCCTATTTTCAGACAAACCAATTTGAGAATCATGTCTGGATTCTTTGTGCCAGCATGGATTTGTTTGTACACAAAAATACAATGCCGTACATTGGAGAAAAAATGCTTAGATGACAGGGAATGCATGCAAACATGCTGCAGAAACATAAGGAAACCTGACGAAACTGTGACACGCTCAGCGACTCCACAAGGCTCACTGCGTTACGGTAGTAATGTGGAACAGCAATGTGGAAACATAATCACTTGGCAGTAAAATGGTCCCCACGAGAAATCATCAAACGCCCTGATGATCCATGGTGCATATATTGCCGGTGAGCCACCCATCTCCAACAATGGAACACAATATACCGTCGGGTTAATTGATGGTTTTTACGTGGAAAACCATCATTTTTTTCATTGTTCATAGGTGACGGAGAATGGGTAAATTATGTGTCATGGTCATGGTTTTCCAATGATTTTGCGCAACCCAACAACTTTTCATGACCATGACCATCATTTTTCCGTGCAAATCATCGATTTTTTATCTATTTATGGGTCATGGTCATGGTTTCCATAGTTATGTTAAATAACCACAAGGCAAGTCAATTGAATTTATCACACGTTGCATGAAGACTATGCGATACTCCCTACAAAGTGATGCCCCACGGCCCCCAGCTTAATTGGCAACTAGGACCAGTGTTGAATTTATTATTGGGGATAATTTAAATAAATATATATATACATACGAATTTATTCATATATGAATATATTCACATATATATATATACGAATATATTCAAATATATATATATATATTTGTGAATATAAATGAATACTTATATATATATATAACTGAATATATATATATATATATAAATACACGTATATATATATATATTTAAATACACGAATATAAATCAATGTATTTATGTATATATATATACATACAAATGTAAACATAAATATGACCATATGTATATTTATTCCTGAACGATCTTGGATTAGTTTTCTAACCAACTTGTGACTGGAGGGGTCCACCTTGTAGTCGTCATTTATCTGGATCGATAGTCAAAATGATCCACGAACCCAGAGTAAGGAAAGTTTGGGATAGGTACCCCATATTTCCGGTGAAAGGGCGTGAAGTCGATCGAATTCATTTTTCCATGTCCCACCGAAATTCCCTGAACCCCCCATTAAAAAAAAAAACACCATATTTGTTCTTGCAGTCCCTATTTTTGGCGTTTAGATCCTATTGATTTAGGTTAAATCCATTCAATTGTTGGTTAAATCCCAATGTTAATGTTTGTTGGTTTGATCCCAATTTGTGTTTGTTTAATCCCCATGTTTGTCGGTTAAAACCCATGTTAACGTTTGCTGGTTAAATCCCAGGTTGATGTTTGGTGATTAAATCCCATGTTAATAACTTGTTGGTTGATCCCAATTGGTGCTGGTTAAATCTCAATTCTGGTTGGTTAAATCCTAATGTTTGTCAAATTCCAACTTGATATTCAATCCCCATGCTGGTTAAATCCCATGGTAACATTGCTTAGGTAAATCCCAATTTGTATTTTTCAAACCACGGTTTTGGTTGGTTCAAGGCCTATATTTTTTTGTTGTGAATTAGCCAAAATATTGGGGTTCCTTTCTCCCAGTTGAAGCCGAGGCACCAGGAACTCCTCCAGGGCCACCTGGGCAATCTCGAACTCCGACGCCTGCTCTTCCAGCACAGGTGCCGCCTGGGCGATGATTCCACAAGTTGGGCATTATTTAAAAAACAATGGAATTTAATGAGGATTTTATGGGTAATAATGGAATATACTGAGGATAACCACAAAAAGAGAATTTCTATTCTATAGAAGAGAACAAAGGATCTGGATTCTCCATTATTTTAGAGGAGAAAGGAAACCGTAAATACGTAATTATTTTGAACCGGCGTTAATGTCATACAAGACGTAGTTAATTAATGTAAAACGTGGTAACGACCCAGTGTCTCATCTCCATTAACCATCTAGGGGTGATGTTCAAAATCTCCAAAACCAGGACATTTACCAATCCCTGTTCGTTTCCAGCCTAAAGACATGATCTATATATATTAGTTGGCGTTAGTTGGGATAGATGATAGAAGTGAAATGTTCCCTCTGTCTTGGGGTGATGATTCTTTGCTGGTATGTGGAATTATTGTAAATGGGTCATTCTCAGGGTCGATGCAGCTATCTGGAGAAAGGCAGTCTCGTTCCAAGTGCCAAGAAGTGGGGATGGACCAGTGTTATGACAGTTTTGAACGGGGACAGGTCTGATCAACCATGAGATTTTTGGATACCCTGTTTGCAGACACACCATAATGGATATTGATGGCAACAGCTGTGGGGCGACATCTGGTTTTTTTAGTGGGCTATATTGAGGTGTATGAATACTCTCCTTCCACTTGCAGGAATAAACATGAAATTGCATGAATTCTTAAGTTTACTACCCTTGAAACATGTCTCTTGGCAAAACTGGAGCATAAACCTCGATTTCCAATCCGGGATGGCTCAAACGCATCGTTTTTTTTCAAACAAAATATCGTAAAAATTAATCGAGGATAATCATCCAACAAAGAAGAACAATAAAGATTATCTTAAACGAAGAACAATAGTAGCAAGTTGGTGGTCATTTTCCAAACAACTTTGCTCTAATAAACTGTGATAGATGATCAACCGATCAAATTCAAGACTGGTGTGCCAGTGTCTGGGCATTAAAAAAAACTGGACTTAGAAAACTTTGATTTCAGAAGTTTCTTGGAGCGATACATGATGACAGTGATACAAAAAAAAACAAATACAATGTATCATATATAACAGTACATATTATATATATAATGATATAATATATTCTATGTGTTTAATGTATAATATATATATACATCTACATAAAATACAATGTTACGTATATTGTTGTATGTAATATTTACTATTTTATAACATATTAATACATATTATATATGAATAATGTCAAGTTAGGATTAATTAACCCCTCCCAATTAATCAACCTCCACTGCCCCCCCCCAAAAAATGTAATTTAAAAACAGGTGGTCCCCCCAGATTAATAAACACTTTGGCCTACCCCCGATTAATCAACCCCCTGTGCTGAAATCCATTTTTTTATCCAACATTTTTTTTATTTCCAATTCGATTTATTTCCAATTGTTTTTTTTTACATGTTTCTTAATCATCATTGTTATACTTCAGGTTTGAGTTGATCATTGAAAATTTCAAAAAACAACTATTCCCCAAATGATCGATTTCTAATTAAAATCTTTATAAAAATCATCAGTTTGGATAGCTCCCAAAGGGTACCCCCCATGAGCCCATGTCCCCCATTAATAATAACAAGGGTTTGCCCCTGATTAATCAACCACCTTTCTGATCCATGAAATTCTAACAAATCCAATGGAATTCTATTAAGATCTAATTGACGTAAGCCATATCCAAAGTTTTATGGTTCAGAGTTGCTTATTATTAAGGGGTGGTCAAGAAAACTAACCAGAAGGTACCCCCCCTACCTTCTGGGGGGGTTATTAATCCGGTGTTGGCATTATATCATAACACATCATCTCCACTAATCTTTGGAACACAAAATACCAACCACTTCGCTGACGGCTTTCCCACTTTAAGTCTGCCAAGTTGCTGTTTTCCTTGCCCCCACGTGGCAAAGTTTGCCTTTGTCAGCGCTCCGCGTGTTGATCAGTGGGGAGGGGCCTCGTTTATGAAAAGTGAAACAACCATTCAAAAGGAATACGTAGCGGGGGAAATCACCTTGTGATTTAACCCAGGATCCATGATGTTGGTTGAAACAAGCACAAGAAAAGGAAGTATCCCACATCCGAAACAAAGACAGCATGGGTGAGACATCACACACTAAAAACTCCTTGCTGGGTAATCATGGGTTTTGCCAGGCCCTCAAGTAGTAAAGGTGGGTAAATATGCAAGCGAATGTTTGAAATGGCATTGGATTTAAATTGTCGGTTTGAACATGTTGGATCCCCAGTTAAATCACAGCCGCGACACGTCCATCGGTGCTGAAAAACCAACCGTCCTTTTGCCAATCCGTCAGCCGGCGCACGTGTTTGCAGCTCCTGATGTCAGCGTGCAAGCATGCTTGCCGCTTGCCACGTGCATGTCAATTAAAGCTGGATCATTCCTGATGTAAGCCAATTGTTTTGCAACTGTTACAGCCACTTGGCAAGTAGCTGCTAAATTTGTGGAGCATCCAAGCAGCTATTGAGACATCCGGCAACCGTTTGGCGCACAATGTTCGTAGACAAGAAAGGACCTCGAAATCAAATCCCCAACAAATAATCAATAGCCAGATATAGTCAGTGTTTTTTCCAAGCTGTTCCAAAAGCATATCCATCGTGGGGTATTACACAAATCCTGCGAGGTGAAAATACGAGAAACAAAACCACCAATCAGACACTGCTGCATCTTTTTCTGCACTGAAACCGCTTCTGGCATGCTCCGGGCATGCATGTTGCTGCCCCAAAGTAAAGATTCGCCAAGCGCGATTTCCAACTAACCCGGCTCGATGTTGATTTTTAGCAGGAGCCGGGTAAATTTTGATATCCCTTGGATCTTCCCAAAGGCAAAGCCAGTGATGGTTGGACCACGACAGAATGACCAGTCAGTCAGATGTTGATTATCGACCACTGCGGATCCAAGTCCGCAGAGGGTACTCTGCAAAATCATGCCAAGGGACGTGGATAGTGTACATTATTTTCAGAAAACCATGGGAACCATGCCTGCAGGGAAACATAGGGAAACTTTTACAGTTCATTGGGTCAGGGTGAAGTCCCATTCCACTTGTTAGTGCAAGGATGGGAGACGGCTTAAGCTTTTAATATATTTTAATCATGATATCCTTCAACAAGTCGTAGAGCCCCTGGAGTAGGGACTAAATAGTATTGTTCTTGATTCTCCGCACTGTTTGGGTTCAAATAGTGAAGCTTTATCCGGTATCTTAGATATGTTCATTTTCCCTTACAACTTACGACATTAACTTTCCAGTATTTTCTACGGTACATAGCCAGCACTGGCGGGCAATGTACCCTCCTTCACCAAGCAAAAATTCTGGGATAATTGTTGCATGTTTTGGTGTGACACTTTCTCAATCAAATATACATATGTATACAATATATATATATATGCATATAAATATGTCTCACTCAAAGGTGGGAATGGCGTTCATCCGTTAAAACAAAAAGCACCACTGTTTCTTGTTTGGTCAAATCAGGTCTGAGCCCCTTTCACGCCAAACGTGGCGTTCAGAAACTCATCACCTGCTTCTGGATCTTTCGGCAGTCACCTCGCGACAGTGGACCGATCAACGGGTGGGATGAAACCGAAGAACCACTAGTGGACCACCACCCTACTGGTCAACTCACATTTTGCTGAAAACATCACCATGTTTGGATAGGTAAATCAAGGGTAAATCAACGCACTAGCCATGGGCCATGCCTTCAATAGTGAATGTTATTAAATTAATAGTAAAGATATTCCCTTGATACACGGAGTGTAAGTATCTACATAAAGCCCTGTAATCACCATTTTGTTGGCGATAGTATGTAAACCAATCGAAATCAGCACATGTGTTAAAATAGAAAAACAAGAAAGACACAATTTACTAGCTGCATAGATTCGAATATCTTATATTGATGATTCAAATGAGCCGTGTTCGAAAACACTTGATCAACTGGTTATATATAACCTATATATAATATTATATAACTGCTTTCGCGAAGCTTTCGTGGTGCTTTTGCGACCGCAGTTTTGGCTTTCGCGGGAACATCTTTGTTGTTGTAATATATATATATCAGGGTTCAGATAAGGGGGGAGGAGTTGTGCAGATGATTTTGATAGGTACAAGACACAAAGCATAGGGTGCGCAACTACAAAATTCGATGCATGGTACCTTTTTTGCAGCTACAAAATGCAGAACACAACTTAATTTGACTCGTAAAATAATTCAAAATATGCACTACAAAAACCAATGCATCTGAAGTCGAAAAATAGCTGAAAATCGGACATGCTAACATGAATTTTCCCAATAACATTGTGTAGTTGGGTCTATGCCATCCAAAGTTCCGACCAACATAATTTCAGTAAACATTATGGGGGTGATGTCGTGACGTCAAACTAAATCGTGCATATTTTATGGATGGTTCAACTTCCTCAACATATATATATGATATATGATATAACTTATATAACTACAAAATGCAAATGAGATTTTATGTTGGATGCTTCAACTATTCAACTTGTACAACTACAAGATGCTAATGATATTTTGTGCTGGATGCTTCAACTAACTCAACAGATACAACTAAAAAATACAAATGAGGATCTGAAAGGAAACAACTACAAAATGAATGCAAATACAAAAAGGTTGGCCCAACTCCACTTTTTTGTACAAAACGACCCCTGGCTGGCAATCTGTACTGTAGCCCAAGTCCTTCCCTTTATGTAGCTGTGTTTTGATCCCGGTTATATATATATATTTGCGGTGCTCTCGCAGAGAACATGTGATGTGGGGGAATAGTACTTGCAACGAGATATGTTTATCTGTACAAGGTTGTATATACTTGCGCGGCGCTTTCGCGGCGCATGTCTGACGTGACGTTCTTTCCCGAAGCTCCATCGCGAGCGCTATCGTTTCCAATAGTTTGACCGCCATAGCAATATATAGGATGCACCAAGTTACGTAAAGTGGCTCATGATTTATCCCATTTAGAATGTCCTTTTGGATCCTTTTGGGGCATACGGTATACACATGTATACTCTATTTCTGGACACGCCCATCTACCCATATTTTTTTGGCATGTTTTGCTTATAAATATCGTACTATCATTCTAACCGCATGAGCATGTTGGCACATATTCCAAGTTCCGATATTTAGATGTTGTGATCCCCATTTGTTCATGCTTAAATCACATAAATGGGTAGATTATGGTACTAGTAGATTGGTATTAATTGATGCTCACATCCCAACTGTTGACAGCATGAATATTTCATGAATATTCGGAGTTGAATAATAACGCTCTACAATATGTATGCCCGATTAAATATGCATTTATTGATGTTCAACTCACATTTTCTGATCATTGAGGTTTCATCTATCGATGCTGCATCCTACAGTAAGTTCTTGATGGCACTAACTCTCCGTCAAATTGTGAAATCGCCATTTGTTCATTGTTCATGGTTCAAAATCTCTCTGAATCTTCATGTGTAGAATCACCATTTGATTCATAGATGTGCTGATGTTCATACTTAACCCCTGTTTTTTCTTGTGGAACCCCCATCGGATGTCTAGCTAAATTCACTGACATGCAATGAAATACACGGTTTATATAATCCAAGTAAATTTGAAGTTTTGATTCATAGTTACAATAATGTTAAGATATCCAGTTGATCCATTTCTCTAACACAAAGTGGTGCCCCTCAGTTCTGTTCGATGACCATAAACCCAACAGTAAAATATGAGTGGCAGTGAAACAAACAAACTTAGCAAACAAACTGGGGCACCACCGTCTTACTTATTTGTATGACTTGAATCCTCAATCTTGTTGTATTCCCACAATAATCCATTCTAATTATTCCCATTATGCCAATAGTATCCAATAGTAGCAAACTGGGGCACCACATCCAATTAGTTCTTGGTGAAATTCTGCTTTGTGTGGTAAAACCTCCATTCTTATCCATGTTTGTTGCTTAAATCTCCATTTTTCTTTCAGTGAAATCTCCAGTTTTGTTGCTGAAAAATCCCTATTTCTGGGTCTTAATCTCCATGTTTGTTGGTGAAATCCCACTGACCTGAGCTCCTGCCCTCCTGCCTCCCGAGTGTGGCAGGCCCCATGCCACCACGCCATGGTTGGCAACGGCTGCAAAAGCGCAGTCAGTCGCCTCCACTTGTTGCACATGCCTCCGACAGAGACCCCTTGGGGAACAAGAACCCTCTGGTAAACTAACAGTTTGCTATTGAAAATGGCCATAGAAATAGTGGATTTACCCATGAAATCTTGTGATGTTCCATAGTTACGTTAGTTTACCAGAGGGAAACTGAGTTTTTGATCCACTGAAAATGGAGTGGGATGGAATATTCTGGTGATTTTATCAGGGATGAAATCTAGGGTTTTTATGGGATTTCATAGGCTTTTTATGGGGATGGAACCACCCATTTTTTTCTGGGGATTGGATGGATCTTGGATTTCTGATGGGTTTCTGCCAAGGATTTATGGTGGATATCTCTACCAAAAGATCGGGATTGTGAGGTGAAACACCACTGTCCCAACAAGAAGCACTCATCCGAACCAAAGATTAACTTTTGTATATAATGCCGAGAAACCTTTCTAATTTGGAATCTCTTTGGAAGCTACAGTACGTATCGATATTGTCATTGGTGTTATCGCATATCATATATATATATATATGTATATATACATACATATGTAGAGATCTTGAAGATTGTTGCTTATTTCCCCAATCTTTCTTAGTTATACATCACTTTCAAATCAGTCGAAGGTCATATTCGGATGTTTCTCTGTTCATCTCTGTGCGATCGCTAGCGCATGTTCTCCGCAAGCTCAACCGACTCAACGCGGGATTGGTGAAATTATCAAGGGAAAAGTCCAAAAAGTAAACTCAGTAAACTAGCAATGTGGTAAATGGAATAGCATAAACAACTACCATTTGAGCCATGGTTTATACCCATAAAAATGGCAATATTCAGGTGGATACCACCCATAAAAATGGCAATATTCAGGTTGTGGCTTTGGGTTTACCACAAAAAGGCCATGGTACGAACCAGCCATCCGGCCTTAACTGATCCTGAACTTCACTGCTGTCACCGCCATACTCTGGATCCCCCCAAGTCACAACGGATCCATCAGTTCGCAATGCTGCGAAGGCCCCCTTGTTTGCCGCGATCTGCTGGACGTGATGGAGCTCACTTTGGACTCGTCGACTATCTGCACCCGAATCCTGTGAATTTGGGGAATTTCCAGTGGAAACCAAGGGATCTTCAGAATCAATCTCATTTGAGATCCTTTTCAATGGCCAAACAAATGGTGATGATACTGTGCCATGTTGAATTTTTGTCGTTCCAGTTCACCCCGGAGATGGGTATAGTGACAATCTTGGGGTATGTATGGGTTGAGTGCACCCACAACATTGGTACTTTTGTGTATGAATATACACCATGTTTAAATATATACATTATATTGCTGTATATTTATATAAAGATATATATCATGTCTTTGTGTATGAATATCACGCTGTTTAAATATACATTATATTACTGTGTATATATATATATATCATACCCAGGATTCCCCCAACTACGAGACCTTGCAATTTTGCAGAAACATGATTTTTCCCTTAAGGAAACCAATGGTTTGGGGCGACTACGCCAAACTTTAGTGTATATTGTATATCATAATTATCTGTCTTAATATGCCTATAGCATCCTCCCAAATTGAACAGAATAGACATGATTGGGACGATAGAATCATTCCCATTCCTAAAGCGAATTCCTCTACCTTCAAATGAGCGCAATTCCACTTCCTAGATGCTTCTGCGGACTTCGCAATTCTTGCTTCCAAACTGATTGCTAAGCCCAGTGGAAATGGGATACCATATAACTATGACTCATCATCGATATCTGCCTATGGCCCTCCCTAAGGGGGCCCTCTGGATCCAAGTACTTTTGAAACTGGGTTCAAGGGATGACTTTGCGGGTACTCCTGGGATGCTACTGTAATCTTTTGCACAGAAAAAACCGTTTGGAAAATCAAAGTTCACCTCTTCCATCTGTTCCATCTGTTTTGGAACCCTCAAAAACCCTGCGGGAATCAAACGTTGCAATGGAAAGAACACATTTGAAGAGGAGTTCTGTCAGATGCGAATTGTCTATTACCGAGTTCGTCAGGATCTTCTGGGCGCAGAATGACCTTACCCTCGGGTTATCTCACCTGACAATGAGCAACAACTCCATGTTGAATGGGTTAAGAACAACATGACTGTCCGTTGCCAGATTCCGAAATTACACTGTTTTTATTTTGAGTATTCCCAACATGTCCGAACACATTCCCACTGTGGGACACGAAGGGTCCAGCTGCCCATGGGAGAATTTGACCATCTCTGTCATGGTCTGGTATTGTATATATATATATATATATGGGTTGTGGTCATCATGGGAATCCAAACATGGGTATATGAATCATTATAAATCCAACTCATCCGTTGATGGGGGATGGCACATACACTGAACTTTACGCCGAATATGTGCGATCCCTTTGTTTTAATGTGCCATCCCATATTAATACAAGCTGGTGCCCCCCAGTTGTTGGTTTGTAACCACCATTAACTATATAGTTGCAATTCCCATAAACCCAGCAGTGACATGTTAGTGAAAGAAACCAACTTCGCGATTCCAAACTGGAGCACTAAACTAAAATTATTCAATGTCCACCCCGGATTAGGAAAATTGTTGATAGATGTTGATAGTTTTAAGGGGTACCCAGCATACATGGCTTTGTCTGAAAATGATGTATGTCCAGAAATTGCCATTTGGATGGGTAAAATGATGATCAACCATTAAAATAGGGAGGGTACCCGATTGTCAATGATGATCTGATAGTAAAATCCCATGTTTAGCAACTTGCCCATTTAGTCTGACTGGTGCTAAACGCAGGAAATTTTCGTGAATGATCCCAGTCATCACTAGTAATTTTTTGATCCCAGCAACCCCCAGCAACCCCCAGCAACCCTACGTTTACCCTCTGGTAATTTAACATAGCTATTGAAAATTGCCATTTATAGTGGATTTTCCCATTAAAAATGGTGGATCTTTCCATAGTTTTTTGTATGTTTACCAGAGGGTAACCATCATATATCCCATTAAATCCCATTAAAATACCATAGAATCCCATTAAATCCCATTAAAATGGCCATTGAAATAGTGGATTTTCATGGATTTTCCATAGTTTTTTGTAGGTTTACCAGAAGGGTAGCACCAGTAGCACCAAGCTTCGGGATCTCCCCAGGTCACCACCGTCTCATCTGCCAAGATGGCTGCGAAGGCACCGCTGCTGGCGTGGATCTCTTGTACCTAAAAAAGCGGGTTTTGGATGGACACCCCAGAAAAATCCAGGTAGAATATATTTCATATATAATATATATATATATATATTTAACTTTTATCCTACTTTGAAGTTCATTTGGTGGTACAAATATGGTAACAATGCCATTTGCGGATCTTTTTGGGGCTACTTTAGTTGGAAGTTGGGAGAAAGAAATAAAGTATATACTGTAGCGCCGATGATTGGAACCTCTAACTCCCGGCCCCAACCGTTTCCATTATTAGAATCGTTTATTCACCCATGGTGTTATTGTTTGATTCAGCCAACTATGTACATACATATATATATATAATTAAATGTTTAAATAAATATATATATAATCATATGTAATAATATATATATATATAATTATAAATATATAAATATAGATATAATCATACATATGACTATATATACAAGATTTACTTCGATATAATATGCAAGATGACATATGATATATAATACAATACAGAATATAGTAAATAATTGTAATATAGTAAGTTGCACCTTTATATATATACACATAATATCATATATATATGATACGATTTGTAATTTGGAAAGATTGGGATATCATGTGTGGCTATCATGGCGGTGTCTCTCATGAAAATGGCGACCTGTGTCATGAACATATCGATATAGCATGGTACATAGTATGTGTATAGAACAGTGTATGTATATACATATATATATATCACAATATAAATACATATATTCCAACTATAAAATAATACTACATATATATTTAATATACATTGAAAATCAGTAACCTATATAATAGTATATATATATAAATTATACAGTCTGTATATATAAATTATATCTCAACTGAAGCATCAACCACAAGTTCCTGGGGCGCTTCAAAACGCCAAGAAACCCCTTTCAGCTGCTTCTGAACGCTGGAACCTAGGAACATCTGGGAACTCCGTTGAAACAGCCGTGAAGATTAAGAAAAGGATGACAATTGGATTTTATGATATTTTATGCAAACGATTTTGGTGATTTTATGTTGACATGAATGTAAGTTTTATTGATTTGATGTTGACATGAATGAAAAAGATCCTTCTGATTAGATTTTAGCATGGGACATGGAAGATTTGGAAGATGTGACATGAATTTATCACGGCAAACTCTTGATTTGATCATCAAGCAAGGCTGGTTGGTGGTTGACCTACCCCTCTGAAAAATATGAAAGCCAGTTGGGATTACTATTCCCCAATATATGCAAAAATAAAACTCATGTTCCACCCCACCAACCAAAAGGGGATTGAAGCCGATTTGGATGAGGGGATTTCATCATTGAATCACTGGTCGTGAAAAACTTCCGCTTGGGTCTAGTGATGTTACTCATGTTTACTGGCCAAACGTTCAATTTGTGATAACCTGGTAAGCAATTTTGACCCATATGCATACCATATTTCTATACCCAAGCCAAGATTGGAAATGTAAGTGGCCCTTTCAACCAAGATTCTGCTTGGGTAATGTTCGGGATAGCTAAGCAACAGTTTGGAAACCCTACGCCCAACAGACATGAGTGCGTCAAACAAATTTGTGCCGTTGGTGCTTGAGCCACCCATAAAATCTTAGTCTTGCAAACCAGGACAGAACATAAGCGTGGCTGACTATTCGATGGCCAATTCTTGGATAGCCACCCCATCGAACATGGGAAAAGTTTGAACCCCGAACAGATCACATGGGGTGCAGAATCAGAAACCTGTGTAGCGTCATTTAACAGGTGTTTCTTCAATTTACTGATACTTACACTTGAGGATCATTTCTGACCATTTCTTGAAGATTTTACTGACCTTCTGTCACGGATAAAGTATCACCTTCGTAGTGGACACTGACATGCCCATCTACACGAGCATTGGATCTTGTGTCTTTTCCACGCTGTTGGCGCGACATTTTTGAGTTGACTTGGGGATCATCTCACTTACTAAGTGCTTTGTAACACTGCTTAGCAAGTCTGGTTAATAACACTGCTTAGCAAGTCCACGCAAGTCTGAAAAATTATATATAGTTGTATATATGTGGAATGATTTGTATATTGATATGATCTAGTTTATATATCTAAATACAGGTTGTATTAACAATTAGATACAATTAGGTTTATTGTTCGGCCCGTTGAAATGAGATTTTCTAAATCCAAAATGACCTCAGTCACGGTCAATGGAATGGTTTCTTATTGAGTTTACCCTCCGGTAAACATTGGAAAATCCACCATTTATGGAGGATTTCCCATCAACACGCCATTTATAGAGGATGTGAAAAATTGCCATATTTGACTACCAAAGGATATCACATTCTTGGGTCAAGTCATATATCAAAATCATCAGCATCAAGCCACCACCCACGGCCCGTCTTTCGAGCCACTATCGCCCCCACGCCAGCCATCGCCCCAAGTGACCACGGTTCCTTATTTGAGCGGGTTTGTCATATCTTTGTTCAGCAATGTAGCAGTCATGTCCTATGAAATATCCTAATCAAAGTTCCCCATTATTGTTGATTTGATGCCCACTATAATCAAACATGGTTTGGTGGAAAACCCTCCATTTAGTTCGATGATTGACCCCCTGAAATCTCTATTTCGAAGGGATGCAACCCATTGCCATTTGATTGCCGGAGGTCAGAGATACTGCATTAACTCTAAGACCGGGTCCAATATTTGTAGAAGAGTGGCTTTCTTAAACATGGCTGATCCAAAATGAGCATCTTGACCTTTGACTAAGGATATAAACATGTGGCCAATCATGTTTCTTGGATGCCCCTCGCGTAAGGATGTTACCCGTACTGAAAAAATGAGGATCCGAATGACCATGTCTGCCCTATGCTTTCTGCGCAAGGTGGTATCCCAGGTTATATTAGTTGGTTTATACACTCCATTCACTAATTCACTATTTATAACTTAGCTAATTTGGAGAGTAATGCTCTATTGGCCATTTTGGAAGCAGGACGGTATGCCAAATGATAGGTACGGGACGGTTGGTACGGGTTTGGGTGCGGGTACGGGTGCGGGTACGGTACAGGTACGGTACGGGTACGGTACGGGTACGATACATGGGTACGGTCGGTACGGTACATGGGTACGGTACATGGGTACGAAAACCGTACCCATGTACCGTACCCATGTACCGTACCGACCGTACCCGTACCATGTACCCAAATAGCGGCAGAAATAGTGGCAGATCTGCTGCTATTTCTGCCGCTATTTGGGTACATGGTACGGATTTCTGCCGCTATTTGGGTACATGGTACGGGTACGGTCGGTACGGTACATGGGTACGGTACATGGTACGAAAACCGTACCCATGTACCGTACCCATGTACCGTAGCGACCGTACCCATGTATCGTACCCGTACCGTACCCGTACCGTACCTGTACCGTACCCGCACCCGTACCCGCACCCAAACCCGTACCAACCGTCCCGTACCCATCTAAACTCCTCAGCAAGACCCCTCCGCACCATACGTCATGAACCCAATAGAAAACAGGGTTTTCATTGCTCTTGAAATTAGCTAATTTATAACTATATATTACATATTATATTTATTTATATATCTATATGCCAACAAACCTAGTGAAATACTGGTGAAACAAACCAATCTAGCGATTCCGGCCTGGAGAACGGAATTCGATGTTTGCAATGCCTCAATCGTAATAGTACGTGAGCCGCGCTCAGGGTCCCAGAATTTTGATCCTATTTCAATAGATGCTTCGGCCACTGGCCTTGCAAAGTGTGAAATATCGCATGTCACTTTAAAATGTCCGCAATAATTCAATACATCAGTATAATATATATATATATATGTAAATATGTATCTGTATCTGTATATACAGATATATACAGTATGTACACACACACACCTTATAGTTCTTTCGTACACTGCATTAATAAGCCATACATACGTTAACCATGTGTTGCTTAATACAACAAAGAAAACATACGGAGTCTCTTCCTGGAACCACCAGGGAAGATTCCACCATCCAACCATGGGTTGCCCATAGAAACAAAATGCAATGGTTTAAAACATGTAGAAACAAAGCATCAGTTTTCCCCATTCACATTGAAAAATAAACTAGGAATACTGTACCCTAAAATCTCAAAATTAGGATTTAGATGTGTACTTCCGAACTTCCTTGTAAATATTCCGAGATTTTTCGGTTTTCAAATTTTCGTGGATCCAGATAAGGGTCTGTAAAAAAAATAGTGTTAATTGGGGAGTGCATCCCAGTTGGTAAGACGGTAAGAAACATACTAAAACGCGACATATATATATATATAATTATATGTGTATAAATAATTATATATATATATACATGTGGGATATTCCAATTATTTACATGTTATGTATATATGGAGTATCTTCGGTCATATATGGAATATCATTTCATCAGTTATGCGTAATATGTAGATATTTTCTATATAATATCTAATACAGTATATGTACTGTGTATGAAACATCTCTCTTGAATATATATATATATATATATGTCACTTGGGGGTATATGGCATAGACCCTGCTGTATACCATATCTCTATGTTTATCGGTATTATATATATATATATAATATAGATATAATGTCAACCCTGGATTAATGAACCCCTAGGCTGTCTGATTAGGGGGATGCCATTTAAGTATCAAATTCTCACTATTTTGGTACTACCCCCCTAATTAAAAGACCATGAATTATCAATCCGGGATTGACTTTACCAGTTGATTTTTTTCGGATTTGGGGTCAGCATTCTGAGACATCTATATTATGTATGTATGTATGTATGTATATATATATAGATTGCTTGGTGGTTTCAACCCCTCTGAAAAATATTAGTCAATGGGAAGGATATGGAAGGATGACATCCCATATCTTATGGAAAGTCATAAAGTTCATGTTCCAAACCACCAACCAGTCTATATGATATTGTATATATATATGTATATGTAATGGAAATATATGGAACATCCCAATGATAGTAAATCCCATGAAAGTAAAATCCAAAATGTTTCAATATGTTTCAATGATTGTCTGATAGTAAAAATCCATTGTAAAATCCATGAAACTATATGGAACATCCCAATGATAGTAAACCCCATGAGAGTAAAATCCCAAATGTTTCAATATGTTTCAATGATTGTCTGATAGTAAAATCCATTGAATTATATGGAGCATCTCTATTTCTACATGGAACATCCTGAGTTCACCGGCAGAGCGTCCGTCCTCGCGGAGGGCGGCGAAGGCCCAGAAGGTGGCGCGGAGGCCGGTGACGTTGCGCAGCTGCTGCTGCACCTGGGCGGAGCTCGCGGTGTGACCCTGTGGAGTGTTGAGGTCGGGACCTGCTAAGAGTCCAGTCTATTGGTAAAGACCTCCCAAATATCATCAGTAATCTACCTTCCGGTAAAACATAGCTATGCAAAATCATGTGTAGATGATTTACCTCTTAGAAATTGTAATTTTCCATAGCTCTGTCAAATTACCAGAGGCTATAAACCATAGTTGGTGTTTTGTTTTTTCTTGAAGAAGAACATTCCGTGCGGATCAATATCCTGTCCTGGGAGTGGATGAACCCAGCCGGGATCTGCCATGATATATCGGCATCTAAATGGATATCATGTGATTGTAAATTCATAAGAGTCCCCCAAAAAATGCCAAACAATGTTTGCAGGATGTTCGATGATATTTACCGCACATTTTCATATAGCTCCAGGTTTCCATTTTTTCTATCTATGACTGGGGCTTGCTACGTTGATTTACCATGATTTACCTATTAAAAATGGTGATTTTCCATAGTTTTTTGTATGTTTACCAGAGGGTACCTACTGGGTACCCTCTGGTAAACTAACAGTTTGCTATTGAAAATGGCCATAGAAATAGTGGATTTACCAATTTAAAAACAGTGAATTTCCATAGCTATGTTAGTTTACCAGAGGGTAACCATCATATATCCCATTAAATCCCATTAAGTCCCATTAAAATACCATAAAATCCCATTAAGTCCCATAAAAATACCATAAAATCCCATTAAGTCCCATTAACATACATACCATAAAATCCCATTAAGTCCCATTAAAATACCATAAAATCCCATTAAGTCCCATTAAAATACCATAAAATCCCATTAAGTCCCATTAAAATACCATAAAATCCCATTAAGTCCCATAAAAATGCCATAAAATCCCATTAAGTCCCATTAACATACATACCATAAAATCCCATTAAGTCCCATTAAAATACCATAAAATCCCATTAAGTCCCATTAAAATAGCATAAAATCCCATTAAATCCCATTAAAATACCATAAAATCCCATTAAAATACCATAAAATCCCATTAAGTCCCATTAAAATACCATAAAATCCCATTAAATCCCATTAAAATACCATAAAATCCCATTAAACCCCATTAAAATCCCATTAAATCCCATTAAGTCCCATTAAAATAGCATAAAATCCCATTAAATCCCATTAAAATACCATAAAATCCCATTAAAATACCATAAAATCCCATTAAAACCGATTAAAATACCATAAAATTCCATTAAATCCCATTAAAATTCCATTAAAATACCATAAAATCCCATTAAATCCCATTAAAATACCATAAAATCCCATTAAATCCCATTAAAATACCATAAAATCCCATTAAGTCCCATTAAAATACAATAAAATCCCATTAAATCCCATTAAAATACCATAAAATCCCATTAAAACCGATTAAAATACCATAAAATTCCATTAAATCCCATTAAAATTCCATTAAAATACCATAAAATCCCATTAAAATACCATAAAATCCCATTAAAATACCATAACATCCCATTAAATCCCATTAAAATACCATAAAATCCCATTAAATCCCATTAAATTACAATAAAATCCCATTAAGTCCCATAAAAATACCATTAAAATACCATAAAATCCCATTAAGCCCCATTAAAATACCATAAAATACCATTAAATCCCATTAAAATACCATAAAATACCAATTAAGTCCCATTATACCATAAAATCCCATTAAGTCCCATATACCATAAAATCCCATTACATCCCATTAAAATAGCACTAGATCCCATCAAATCCCATTAAAATACCATAAAATCCCATTAAAATACCATAAAATCCCATAAAATCCAATTAAAATACCATAAAATCCCATTAAATCCCATTAAAAAACCATAAAATCACATTAAATCCCATTAAAATACCATAAAATCCCATTGAGTCCTATTAAAATACAATAAAATGCCATTGAGTCCCATTAAAATACCATAAAATCCCATTAAATCCCATTAAAATACCATAAAATCCCATAAAATCCCATTAAAATACCATAAAATCCCATTAAATCCCATTAAAATACCATAAAATCCTATTAAATCCCATTAAAATACCATAAAATCCCATTAAGTCCCATTAAAATACAATAAAATCCCATTAAGTCCCATTAAAATACCATAAAATCCCATTAAATCCCATTAAAATACCATAAAATCCCATTAAATCCCAATAAAAGACAATAAAATCCCATTAAATCCCATTAAAATACAATAAAATCCCATTAAGTCCCATTAAAATACAATAAAATCCCATTAAAGCCCATTAAAATAGCATAAAATCCCATTAAAGCCAATTAAAATAGCATAAATCTCATTAAGTCCCATTTAAATATCATAAATCTCATTAAGTCCCATAAAAATACCATAAAATACCATTAAATCCCATTAAAATCACATTAAATCCCATTAAAATACCATAAAATCCTATTAAGCCCCATTAAAATACCATAAAATCCCATTAAGTCCCATTAAAATACCATAAAATCCCATTAAGTCCCATTAAAATACCATAAAATCCCATTAAATCTCATTAAAATACAATAAAATCACATTAAATCCAATTAAAAATACCATAAAATCCCATTAAGTCCCATTAAAATAGCATAAAATCCCATTAAATCCCATTAAAATACCATAAAATCCCATTAAATCCCATTAAAATACCATAAAATCCCATTAAGTCCCATTAAAATACCATAAAATCCCATTAAATCCCATTAAAATACCATAAAATCCCATTAAATCCCATTAAAATACCATAAAATCCATTAAATCCCATTAAAATACCATAAAATCCCATTAAAATACCATAAAATCCCATTAAATCCCATTAAAATACCATAAAATCCCATTAAATCCCATTAAAACCATACAATAAAATCCCATTAAGTCCCATAAAAATACCATAAAATCCCATTAAGTCCTATTAAAATACCATAAAATCCCATTAAATCCCATTAAAATACCTTTAAAATACCATTAAATACCATTAAAATACCATAAAATCACATTAAGTCCCATTAAAATACCATAAAATCCCATTAAATCCCATTAAAATACCATAAAATCCCATTAAATCCCATTAAAATACCATAAAATCCCATTAAATCCCATTAAAATACAATAAAATCCCATTAAATCCCAATAAAAGACAATAAAATCCCATTAAGTCCCATTAAAATACAATAAAATCCCATTAAATCCCATTAAAATACCATAAAATCCCATTAAATCCCATTAAAATACCATAAAATCCCATTAAATCCAATTAAAAATACCATAAAATCCCATTAAGTCCCATTAAAATACCATAAAATCCCATTAAATCCCATTAAAATACCATAAAATCCCATTAAAGCCCATTAAAATACCATAAAATCCCATTAAAATACCATAAAATCCCATTAAATCCCATTAAAATACCATAAAATCCCATTAAGTCCCATTAAAATACCATAAAATCCCATTAAGTCCCATTAAAATACCATAAATTCCCATTAAGTCCCATTAAAATACCATAGAATCTATTAAATCCCATTAAAATACCGTAAAATCCCATTAAGTCCCATTAAAATACCATAAAATCTCTGGGAAACCGCCATAGTCTGAGCTTCGGCACCGCGCTGCAGTCGCCCCCGAGCAACTCATCGCCCCAGCTGATCACCGTGCCGTCGCCACGGCGCACCGCGAAGGCGCGGTGCCCGGCGGCGATCTCCACGACGTTCTGGCGAAAAATCCATGGTGAAACCTATGGAAATCTATGGTGAAAAGTCCGACGCCTTGTCCATTAGGCCAAGGGGGCTAATGCTGATGGGGCAAGGAAAGTATCGCTGAAGGCAAGGAAAAGTTCAGGCCACTTATGGAAGAATCCAGAGGAAATCTATGGAAATCTATGGTGAATAGAAAAAAAATGTGGATTTGATGGGATTTTTGATGATTTGATCACAAAGAGATAGAGTTTTTACCACCACAAACATGGGCATTTGAGACAGGATGTGAATCAAACATGTGGGCATAATCTAGAAGAATGTTGAGGGTTATGGAGATCTAACCATCGAACATCTGGATTTTCGTGGATTCAATCCTGGATAGGTCCGACCTCGAAGAATTACTCTGCTTCGTGTGAACTTCACCGTGGCATATATCCCTATTCAGACATTCTATCTGCCATCAATGACATATATGTTTGACATTGCTTCTGGCCTTCAAACCTGATATGTTGTCTGACTCAGACACTGACATTCTATCTGATATTCTATCTGAGACATTTCAAACATTCTATCTGACATATATTTCTAAGATTGTTTCTGACATTCTATCCGGGCGCGGTGGGGCCCAAAGAGCCAGCGACCCGGTGGGGCCTAGAGAGATGGCACGCTGGCAATGCTGGCTAGGAAGCTGGCAAGTGAGGGAGTGAGTGTGGTGTATGCTGTGTTGTGTTGTGTGGTTTGTGTGTGTGTGTGTGCAGGAAGTTCCGTTAAAATCTAGAGACTGTCATGCGGCAAATGGGGAAAACCCAGCCTCAAGTTCCGGCTGAACACCGGTGGTGTTCCCTCCGAAGCCTAATTGATGGAGCGGAAAGCATCCCGATATGATCTCTGGAAATCAAACTAATATCAAACCTGGCAACAAAAAATCAATAGAAATCCATGGTTGATGATGTGTATATATATTATATATATATATATCCTCTGGGGATCAAACATGGCAATGGAACATCCAGCATTAAAAAAAAATATTGTCCTGATGAATTGCCTCTTTAGAATACGTGATTTTCCATTGCCAGGTTTGAGTGATTACAGCTATACACGGCGGATTGGAAATTGAAAATGCTCGACTTGGCCATGCATGTGGAACATATATAAGATTCCTTTGCGGGCAGGATTTTTCAACAATGATCATTAAAGAAAACAACACATCTGCAAAACAACACAGTGTTCATACCATGATTTTTTGGAGTCAACAAAGTTGAAACAACACAGTTTTGAGGGACATATGCCTGCGTGGTAGTTGGTAAAATTGCAAAACATTGTTCACCACGGTCACCTGGGATCATCCCAGATGCTGTCCGGTCCCCAGCAAACGACGTGGCCGTCTGATCGAATGGCAGCAAAGGCCAGAGCTGTGGCCTGGAGAAACAGAAACTGAGAAACTCCTGAAGAATTTCATGGGGAAAGACATGGTTTCACACCGTTCATTTGAAAAAACAACGTGTTTCTCATCTCAGGTGGAAGTGTCTCAGGTAATTACCCATGCAGGAACAACATCTTCCAGCCATTTATATGGGTCCCCAAGGAGAAAGAACAGCGAATCACCGTTGAAACAAGTGAATAGATATGACATCTATGACCTGATTCAGAAGCATTATCTGTATTTATACATATTTGTAGATTTAATATATATATATACATATGTACAGTTTTACAGTAATGTAGTATCCCGATTAGTGTGGGGATACTGTATTCTGTCAAGTTTTCCCAAAATAATTCTGAATCAGTGCAATTGTTGGGGTGGTACGGTATTGTGGCATGTGTTTCTGAGGCCATTTTTTTCAGCAATTTGTTTTATTGCGTTTTCAATTTTGGAGGTGTTTAATTTTATTTGAACATACAAAAACAAATAATATTATGCCTTATTAAAACCCAATAAAAGCCGACATTATATAGATATATGTTACCTGTTTTATGTGTATGTAATAAATATATATATATATACATGGTCCGGCGGTGATAGATGGCTGTAAGGTTTCGTGCATCATTATGCCAACTTTGATGCACTTTCATCGATGGTGAAGTGGTGAAATCACCACGCAGGCCAGTCAAAATGAACACGTAGTTTTAAAGCTCCATTTCATCATCTTTGCATTTCCTTTTTTGGGCTCCGAAAAAACTACTTCAGTGGAGACATTGTAAGGTGTTTTCTTGGTCAGAGCGTAGCATCAAGTACGTGCTACATGTTACTTGAGAAAGTTCAGAGCGTAACATCAAGTACTGTACATGCTAGAAAACATTATTGCGCGTGCCAAGGAATGTTATTGCCCCCCCGACCCCAACCCCCCGAAGCAAAAAAAAAATCACTAAAATAAGACGAAACAATGCATTTCGTGGAGTCGAAATGCTCAAGATTTACAAAAACTGCGCTCCCGCTGTGATGCCAGGCACATGAAAACGCAAAAACTGTGTTTCGTCACGCGGCCTTCTATGCCCGCCCAGCCATCTACATAGATTCTATATAGAAATAAAATCCATAGAACTCCCAATTGATCCCCTGAAGAACCCAGCACTCCTCTATGCTTGTCACGTCGTGGAGCTGATCTTCGATTTGATCGGTGTCGCCCACCCAGCCCCACACCACCACACTGCCGCCTTCCTGAGGCCAATGTTAGAGACCCTGAATGTCGGTTTCGAGCTTATTAGTATGGATTACACTCCCCTAAAATAACATAGACCCTGCCTACTGACAAAGGGGGTTGGAAGATTACTTTCCACTGAGACAAACTATATAAACATGTCTATGTTTAGGGTCTATGCTGATTTGGTGGAGGGTAATTGTTAACAAAAGTTCCCACAAATATGTATATATATATATATATATATTGATCTCCCAATTCTTGGGCCAATCTGCCAGAAATAGGGACAATATATGACAATATCCCAAGTTTGGAGTCAAATAGGAACTTATAATATCTTATAATGTGCTTAGTGCAAAACAGAGCCAGCAGCTGATGGAAGTATTCGAAGGTCTGCGCCAAGGTACTTTCTCGTTTGTGGTCTTGCTCAGGTCAAGTGTCTGTCTCAAGTATCCCCATTGAAACACGACGGACGACGAAAGACGACGAAGAGGAAAAAACGAGCAAAAGGGTTTCAAGGGTTCCTCTACGGGACCTCCGGGGGAAGAAATTCCAAGGGTTCCTCTCCGGGACCTCCGGGGAGAAAAAAATAAAATAAAATAAAATAAAAAATTAAGACGGGCACATACCATTGAGAAAAACACATAGCATGTTTTATGCATATTTGCAATGTTCGGTGGCAAGTGTTCTTCCCCGGGGTATGGGTTTGTCTCCGGGATTTTAGATTTTTTCTTTTTTTTTTTGCAGCCTTGAGCGCGACCCTTCACTGTGGGAAAACACTTGGCCCTGAGAAATCCTTCGAATATGGGAAAGTTTTCCAGGAATACGGCTGGGAAACCAGGACCTTTGAGGAGGGGAAAAAGAAAGCACCTTTGATACAGGGAGGAGGGTTGAGACAGGCACATACCATTGAGAAGGTAGAAAACCCTTCATCCAGACTTTTGAAGTATGTGGAACCAGGTGGAACCATTGGCGATTTTCGGGTCACTATGGGGTCAAACATAGGGTAGCATTTTGGTGAAACGGACCCAAGACCACTTTTGGCAGGCAATCAGAAAAACATCAGTTTTGAGCAGCGTAGGCTCTTTCATGATCTTGGACCATTGGAGTATGAAACAACTGTTCTGTGGGTGATAAACTATGAACCATCCCAGTTCTGTTTGGGTTTATTATCCACGATCTCACCATGAAGCAGATCAACCAGGATCATCCCAGCAGGCCAAACAGATCAATGGTGCTGGACTTTTTTTTCTGCGTGTAGGAACATATCATAAGTTACATGGATGGTATGCGCTGAAATGGGATAAACTCTCGCTCATTCAAGGCTGAAATCAAGATGAACAGTAACAATCCATCCTGATGATCTTTCTTTCGAAGAAACCTCCATTTTGAATCAGCATAAAAGACCGCCAAGTCGCGGTGATGGCTGCGAAACCCCGCTCGGATGCCTGCGGCGAAACAGTCAGAAACCATACATATGAGGGTTTCCTAAAAGGTACATTTTGAAGGCACGACGAATCATGCGTCGTTTTGCAATGACATGGCTCGAAGAAGAAAATGTTTTGGTTGTAGCCAAAATGGCCATGCACCCCCAAAAACACGCCCCAGCTTCTACCAGCCCGATGCGTCCTAAAAAGGGTGGGGTACCCTCACAAAATAAATCAAACCATTTTTGAATTGGTTCCCATGGTTTTGGGGTACCCCCATTTTTGGAAGCCTCCAAAAATATATACACGTATTATACAATATCTTACATTTTTTCTAGCGGTGTAATGTACCCAATCTGATCTAATCTGATCTGATCGAATCTAAGTTGATCTAAAACTAATCCGGTCTAATCTATGTGCTAGGTTCAAGACATGATATGCGGTTATGGTCATCCATCCCATGATGAGAACTGGACCAATGGGTATTAATCTCTATTAGTCGGGCACGGCACATGAATTTATACATGATATGATATGTAATGTAATGTAATGTAACGTAATGTAATTGTATGTATATATGGGATTTCACCAGGAGTGGCTAAGGGTATTTATATTTATATAAATCCATCACAGACTTGTTCCTAAGGATCAGTTGTTTGCCAGTGGTCCCCAGGAAGCGGGTAACTTCCAACCTTGCTGTGGAGCCACAAGGTGGAGCCACAAGGGGGAGCCACCTACAAGGGGGTGTCCAAAATCCAAACCCAGCACCTGGATGTTGGTTGAAAAAGTTTCCGAATGTTCTGGATATTATGGGTTGCTTTTGTGATGTCCGAAAATCATCAAAACCTCGTTTTATCTCTATTTGCCATCCCCCATTATATCCATTCAATTGTGCTGTTTTTTTTTTGCGATACAACATGCCCATTTATTGACGTCAAAAATAATGTCCATCATGTGAGCGTATTCTCCATGATATCCCCATCAAATCCCAGTCATGCTGATCATTCAGCAATCATAAAACATAAATGATACCATTGAATTCAACTATCACCGTTGGTAAAATCCAATTCCAATGATACCATCATTTCTCATTCTTGATATTGGCTTTCTTCGCATCGTTGTGCTGTATTCCCTAGAATCCATTTAAGATCTGATATCCATTGATATCCCATGATATTCCTATGAAAGCACAGAACAAAGCTCCAATCATGTCCAATCTCAAGCATCTATCAAGGCTGTTCCCAATACCCTACACGAGAAGACAAAAATTAGGTAAATAGTTCGATGTGTTCATTTTTAGGTCTTAAAATAAGCCCCCAAAAACACTCCTGATTTGGTTCACATGTTTTTTTATCTTCACAAAAAATAAAAATAAAAGTCAAATCGTCACCCAAAGGTCTCACCCGCATCGGTCCCGCACCTGGATTTCTTTCACATCCCGCATCTCTTGGATTCCTTCGCAGGCTCCTCCAAGTGAAGCTTCACCCCAGGTGACCTGCTCTCAGGTGAAATTTTGGGAGGAAAATCAGGAGGACAACACGAAAAAATTGGCTTTTGCTGCTTGGAATAGGATGATTTTTTGAAAAATGGAAAACACCATCGATTTTTTGGCAAACGATGGAGAGGAAGCAACGATCCAGTTTGGTTGATGCAGTGAAACCCATCACATGTGGATTGAATGCAACATATGAAGCTAGACATCAAGAAACATTGCCAAGCTTGGATACCATGGCAAACAAAAAAAACTGTTCAGTCAATGTATCCGCCCTTCTAGCAACAGATTCAAGTACACAACTATCCGTCCAATTTTGACCATGTCAAACTTGCTAGCATCATTGTTGAGAGAAGTTCATGGTCTTCAATCTCTGTGTTCATTGGTCCAATCACAATTGTTCATTGGCATGAAATCCCTTAGATCCACAAGTGTCATCCCGCCTTGAGGATTAACCCACTAAATATTATGTAACAATTATGTATATTAATCCTATTTTCCTGATATGTGGCTTTTTTCCACGGCATAAGCAATGGCTTCATGAACGCCTTAATCAATGCCGTCGCTGGGATGATTCTCAAATCCAAACACCTTCATTGTTGGTAAATCCCGGTTGATTCTTGTGGTTGAATCCCCCAGCTATCCCCATGGAAAATCTCTATCTTGTGTTCGTTCACCCATTTATTCCCTAGTACTGCTAATAATAATGATGACATTACCCGATCCCCATTATAGTTATCCCCATCATGTAGTAATACTACTATTAATTATGTGACAGCAGTAGTAACATAATATCCCCACAATAAATACAATTTACTAGTATAACATTACTAGTAGTGCTCACTATCCCCATAGTTACTAATGGTCAATGATTACTAATATTTAATGGTAATAGTTGATAGTTACTAATAGCTAATACTTACTAATAGTCAAATAGTCAATAGTTGCCAACAATATAGTCAACCACTAGATGCTAATTACTAAAACTAATAGCTAATACTTATCAATAGTTACAACTAATATTACAGCAATAGAAGCATCATATCCCCACAAGAATTACTCTTCCAACAATATCCCCACCACCAATAGTAGTATCCCCATAATATCCCCATACTATCCCCATAATATCCAACTAATAATAGTTGATAGATACAAAAAAATCTACAAAATACTATAACCAATAGCTAGTACTTATCAATAGCAATTAGTATTACCAATAGTTGAAAGCTACCGTCTGGTTATTTAACATTGTAAAATCCATTCTAAATGGCGGTTTATAGCTGGGAAAATCATCTGTAAATGGGCCATCTATACCATAGCTATCTTAAATAACCAGAGGGTACCCTCTGGTAAACATACAAAAAAATATGGAAAATCACCATTTTCAATGGGTAAATCCACTATTTCTATGGTCATTTTCAATACTGGTTGGTGGTATACCTACCCCTCTGAAAAATATGTCAGATTGGATCATCATCCCAACTATTGGAAAGTCATAAAATTCTTCCAAAATCACCAACCAGAATAGCTATGCTATGTGACAAATAACCAGAGGGTAACATCCCCCGTCCCTCGATGCCATTGCCACGCCACCACCCGTCCATCGCTCCGCAGTGCCGCGCAGGCGCCGGTGGTGGCCTTGATCTGCTGCACGTTGCGCAGCAGCTTCGCAACGGCCGAACCTCGTGCAGGCGCCGCGCCGTGAATTCAGGGCCAAACATGGCCGAAAAAATGCTGGGAGATTCAAGAAACAGGTTGGTGAGACATGGTGAAAACCATGACAGGGGGGAATTTCAAGGAAACGTACTGAAACATGGTGAATTCATGGTGACACATGGAGGAATTCAAGAGAATTGAAGGACAATGAAACACTGATGAACAACTGTGCAAAATCGTGGAACAAATGGGGGAGAAAAGAAGCAACATGTTGTTTATCTTAACAAATCAAAACAATTTGGGTTTAACCTGTTTTATCAACAGAACTCGGATATCTATCCTGTCAAGGGGGGATTGAACCGGCAAGACTGGGGATGCAAAGCAAACAAATGGACAAGCATGCAGAGGGTGGGGAAGCCGCAAAAATATTAAAAGACCACCCATGGTTGGATGAAAAAGACTGGACATATAGTGACAGCTAAATAAATGATGTTCAGCTACAAACAACTCACTTCTTGTTGGTGTAGATTCATTTAAAAACTGAGGGATCACTAGGTGAAAGGGAAACATGTAAGGAAACATCGTGTCTTTAACTTTAACTCTAAGTAAACAAAATGCGCTGAGTGGCTGTGAACCTTCCAACATTGGGAATTGAGCAATTCAGATATAATCTGAGAGCTGAGATGCACCTGTTGCTGCAGAAAAACGTTTATTGGATGTGTTGTCGGAGGGAATCATGAGGCTGAAATCCACACATCCCAACGATCGAACCTTCAGCACATTGCCTCCAGCATTCAGTGTGATTGAAATTATCTCTATATAAATACTAATATAAATACAGAACATTATGTATACACAGTAAATTTGTATATATATAAAGATATGTTATGTATGTTGCATCATTAAAGAGATATATATATATATATGAGACTATATATATACACGTATATACATATATAATAGGGTTATATATCTACATATATATATACATATTCATCAACAACAAACAGTAGTCGAAGTCCAAACAGGTGGCTTCCACTTCTGCACCGAGGGACTATCCCCGCCGAAATCCGGATGACCCCAGGTGGCCACATTTCCCGTGCGCGAGATCAGGGCAAAGGCTTTGGCCCAACGTCCTAACGGGAACCACTAGGGAAGTGAAACGCCGGAAAGGCACAAGGGTCATGAAACATATCATTAGTAACTAATCATATAGTTAATATCGTTATATATTGTTAGTCTATCATAATAGTCCCACATAATGATTACTATACTGACTATACTGTAAAAAATGATGTGATTAATGGTTAATATGATTGACAATAACATATAATAACTATGTGACTACGTCTATAATAACTCTGTCAATTAGTAAGAGTTTGCTTTATAAGTAACCCCTCCCCCCCAAAAAAAAAACAAAAAATAATATCAATAGTAATATTCCGAACACTAGTTACGTAGTTACAATGTCTGTCATTACTATGTCTATTACAATAATCCCAAATAATGACTACTATATTGTAGTAGCCAATATCATGAGTAACTGTTAACACCTATTAGCATTAGTATGATTAGTACTAAGAATACTTACATATACCATCATATACCTAATGCTTACTAATGTTGGTAAAACAATAATAATCCATCCCCAGATCTACCATAACTCTACCATAAATGGGTGCTATACAATCAACCATAAATCCATATGGATCCATATGGGTGGTTTATGATTGCTTTACGAACATGAATGAGATTGCCGTAAGCTTGGGGACCCCATATGACCCAGTGATAGCCAGTTATGGGACAGGTTCCGGTTGCCAATCAATTGTTGGAGATGGGGACCATATTTCGGTGATCAAAACCAAGTATGACTGGGGGGGGGACTGAACATCAAAAACAATCATTACTACCAGTGCATCAGGATCTGGACAAAACCATCCCATAGACACAAGAAACTTGGCCAAGATCAAAGACAGGGTGAGGCCTGTAGATTCAGTTCATGCTACGTTTTGTTCAGCACATATCGCGGATCCTTTGGTTCAAAAACAAATCAAGTGAGCCATTAAAACTGCCACTTTCCCATCTCATTATAGTAGTTGCTTCATAGGTTGTCCTACTTTACTATAAGTTGTCATAATCAATCCCCCAAGATTTTTTGCTGGTATAAATCCCTATATTTATTAACCAATCAACCTGAAGAGTTTTCACTCCAGGGACAGGTCGACCCTGTCCTGCGGCTAATTTTGGAGCTTGCACCAGGGCCGTCACGATATCCCCATCTTTCCTGGGCGACACGGGAGGCTCAAGGACTTGGCCCCGGTTGCAGTACATCCAGCTGTGAGCCAATGATTGGTACCCAAGATGACCATTGGTTCACCATTAGTTCAGAATGGTTGGTCATGGGATATGAATGCTTCATGTTGGCTTAAGAATTGTGAGCAAATGCTTAGTAATGATAGGAATGGTTCTTGATAACATGATACAATCCATAATTGGTTGATGATGAAGAATCGAAGGATTTGAAAACAAACAATGACACTCTGAAGACCATGTGACCATGTGGATTCCATATGGCCCCATGCTTTTGAGACTTCTGAAGTTGTTTCTTTCTGAAAAAAAAAGTATGGTTCAAACACGTTCAAAATAGAGACCACCATATAGAGACCACCAAAATACAGGGCACTTCAGACTTCAGTGATATACTCACCATGTTCAATCATGGTTCATACATTTATCGTTGAAGTTTTGCGATTTTGGGGTAATGTTAGAAACGCAATAGGATCCACCATCCCCAAACTTACCATTTTTATGAATATGAATTACTAGTAAACTATGCCCAAGTCATCACAGTGAATCATGGGGATTTCAACCTTCCACAGTCATATCAGTCATAATAAAGTATAATAACTGGTGGTTGACCTACCCCTCTGAAAAACATGAAAATCAGTTGGGATTACTATTCCCAATATATGGAAAAATAAAAGCCATGTTCCAAACATTTCCAAACCATTCCAAACCACCAACCAGATATTATTGGGATGCCCACAGTAACCATCAACTAATATGGGTGGCTTATCCCTCTGCCAGGGATCAATCCCACATCCTCCAGCCGTCGTCGTGGTTCCAAACATTGGCCCTCCCAGGTAAGACGTAGAAAACCTAGGCGACACAACGGTACCCGGATGATACCCGGATGAATAAACAGTTGATATAGCTGGATGTGAATAAACCTCCAAATAATTATGGGAATTTCAGGGGTTGTTTGAATGTTTTTGACCCATCCACAGCTAAACAACAGCTATTCTACAAGGTTGAAAACATGAGACATGTATGAGTTTGTAACAGGTCGGGTGGGTTTTGTGAGATAAAATCCTCTCTGAAGTCGAAAAGGACGACAACCACAACAGTAAGGGGGCAACCCGTTGGCTAACAGTGAATATTCGTCGTGGATAGCTAAGTTCACGGTGGACAAGACCGTCAGTTCCTCCCTCTGGGGATGCAGGAGATCGCTAACGACTGGGTCACCAACCGATCTACTCTCTTCTTAGGTAGCAACAACCACTTTTTACAGGGGGAAAAAACAGTCATCTCAGATTGAGGACTAGATATACCCTCTAAAATGGGGGAAATTTAGTGTTCCACATACCTTGAGAGTTGTTGATAGCACCCAAAAAGCCACAGCAGCTGCAGCGTTTAGAAGGTGTTTGCAGCTGCAGCGGAGAACAACACGTGTGTAATCCCATAGATTCTGTGATACCCTCTGGTAACTCAACATAGCTATTGGAAATGGCCATTTATAATAATTGATTTGCCTACCGGACATTGTTTTCTTTCTTTTCCAGAGCTATGTTACTAGTTTACCAAGGGGGTACCAGGGGTATTCAAACTCTGCCAAGTCCACTCAACCCTTCAAAAAATCCCATGGCAGCGACCAGGAACAAAGGTTGAACTCTTCCTGTGCCGCTGTCTTCAAGTCACCTCAGAAGGCGCAGATGGAATGGCGAAACGGGGCCAAATGTGGGTAACAATTTCTGCGGTAAGGTTTCTATGCATAGTGTTGTATATATATATATACAACATTATACAATATATATATACATATAGTGATTATGTAAAATATATTGTACTAAGTTATATTATACCATATCAAATTATAATTTATGATATTACATTGCATTATATTATAATATATAATATGTTGTTATGTTATATTATATTCTATTACATTGTATTATATCATATTATATTATATTAAATTATATTTTATGATATTACATTGTATTATATTATATGATATTTTTATGATATTACATTGTATTATTTTATATGTTTTATTTTGTCTTATGTTATATAATATTATATTTTATTATATTATATTGTAGTGTATTACACTATATTATATCATATTATATTATAGTATATTATATCATATTAAATTACATTAAATTAAATGAAATTAAATTATATTATATTGTATTTTGTTGTATTTCATGACAATATGTATACAGATGTATATGTATCACACAATATACAATATGTACTACTTTATGTATATATATATATATTATTTTAGAATATTATATTATATTATATTTTATTATATTATATTAAATTATATTATATTATGGTATATATAATTATATTATGTTATGTTATATTATGTTATGTTATATTATGTTACGTTATGTTATAGTATACGATATTGTACTATATTATATATATGCAGATAGTATACGACCCATATACAATATGCACACCAATATGTTATATAAGCTCTCGATTTACAAAGAATGCAATGCATTGCTTAAGAGCAGGCGCGGAGGTGCTTTCTTCAAGACTTGGGTCTGGAAATGTCTGAAAGATGATGGTCTTGTTGGAAGATTCTTTCTTTTTGTGCTATAAACACATAGAGGATACAACACCGATTGACCCATCGACGCGAAGCCTGCGACCATGTTACTAACAGTGGCCTTAGGGGGCAGCGACACAGCAGCGCGCTGGCCGCTTGGAAGATAGACATCGATCTTCATCGGTCGTTCCGATGCTGTGGCAGAATGCTGCGCTGTGGCTGCAGGGTACGAAGGTCATGCTGAGTCATTGGGTCGTGAAAGATTTCAGCTCAGTGGCACAGTGAAGAAGAATTGTTCAAGTCATGGTGGATGAGCTGGAGATGTTCAGCTACGGAGGCCGCATGTAGAATCACAAATGACACCCATCATGGCTGACCCAGTTCTGGCAAAATGATCAAATCTACAAGTACATCCTCAAGTTAATCATAGTATATAAATACATACAAAAGACAATAACTCATAACTCAGTGTATGCTTCAGCTATAAGTGGCGTCCATCACGGATTTGATGCGAGGTACTGATATCGCACTGAGAGAACAACCCCATTCTTCTGGTCTTATATTGTCATACTGTTTCATGCTGCTTTAGATAATCTCTCTCATCTCTGTTGGCTATATCACATTACCACATTTTTTTTGCTCCCACATTTTTCAGTTCGATTTTTGCATCCGACTCTTTTTGTTGTTTAACATAACCACCATTAATCACCATTGTTCATGTTTGATCATCATTAATATTATCGTCATTCATGACCACTATTACGTACTAATTAAGATCTATTAATCAAGTCAATCTCTCTCTCTGAGCCGTTCCCAACTTTGCGGCGTCTCCTCAACTTGATCGAATCGTCATTCAGCAGCTCCTGGCAACGCCGGCAATGCCTCAAAAACCTGGGATATAATCCGTTCAAATCCCTTCCTCCCTAAAAACCTTACACGATCATTGGCTCTCTTCATTTTTGGGTGCCTTACTATTTCATGACTTTCACAATCATGCCAACGTTACAAGGGTCAGCAGTTCCACTGACCCCTCGGTTGTTGTCGGGTACAATGGAAAGTGTCGGAGTAAATAGACCTGGAACATCCGCGACCCTGAAAAAGACATTGTGTACAATATATATATATATGTAAAATAAATTATATTAATATTGTGTTCATTATAATTATATCCATGCATGGCATGTAAAATTGTATATTATATATATATATATTATGTGCGCGGCGTGTATATATATATATATGTATATATGTGTCTATATATATATACACCTATATACATTATGTATATATACACCTATAACCTATATATTTATGTGTATATATATATTGCAAAAAACACATATGATATGCAATGTTATGTATAGATGCATTTAAGTGTATAATATGTAGTATATGTGTATATGATTGTATGGATGCATGTTATTTGTCTCACACGAATTGCCAGTTATATATACATAGTATATATTATAAGAATATCAATTTTACCTGCGCATGGTTGTGATGTCTAAAGCTGTTTTCCGTTGGGGTCGCAGTTGCCCCCAGCCAGTTGCGGTTCCTAAGGCCCCAATGTGCCTGATTGACAAAAATTTGTCCATTCACTCTCTGAATCTCTAGCTCATGAGTGCAGTCCTGTGAGAAGGTCAGATGGCAAAGCACACAAAAGGGGAGATGGTCGGGAGATGGCAGGGAGGAAGAGATGAACATGTTATAACATGTTTTCCCAATTTTTCCTTAAATATTGTTGGTAGAGGAGCCTCTTCCACGGCTTTATAAGAATGCTTGAAAATATACACTGGTCAATTCTTTCCCTCTCCAAATGCACGAGGATAGTCCAAACTCAAACATCTAAAACCTTGGTTTCAAATTTCAAACTGTCGGATACTCAAGTTAACAATGCCAAAGAGTGGGGATAGGAATGACTGACTTTTCAGGTGTCTCGAATCTCGGGTGCTGATGGTGGTGAAACAAATTGCCTATAGCTACACAACCACCGCATTGCAGAGTTTTGCTGCAGCATGGCAAATCGCAAGTTCGAGAAGTTGCCTTTTTCCCGAATGCGTAGTGAAGGGTTCCCGTTGATAGTCTGGGGGGGCTGGACCCTTGTTCGCCTCCAGTTGCTCGTCGGGTCGCCGTTGCGTCGTCGTCGCGTCGTCGTTGCGTCGTTAATTCCGTCCTATGGGGGAAGCTGCAAATCTCCTTTTCGAACGTTTCCACGCAGCTTGTCTTGCCGTTTTGCTAACGTGTCGAAAGTGTCAAAATTGAAGGATGTCTCGCACGAAACTCGTTTTGGTGCGCCCGCGTGTCTCGTCTCGAGTCTCTGGTTTTCCTCTGGCGTCCCCGTGTCTATGGGGGAAGCTGCAAAACCGTGTCTCGTCTCGAGTCTCTGCTTTTCCTCTGGCGTCGCCGTGTCTATGGGGGAAGCTGCAAAAACTCGTTTGTTTTGCTGCGCCCACGTCGCCGTGTCTATGGGGGAAGCTGCAAAACCTCGCTCGTTTTGCTGCGCCCACGTCGCCGTGTCTATGGGGGAAGCTGCGAAACCTCAGTCTCTGCTTTTCCTCTGGCGTCGCCGTGTCTATAGGGGAAGCTGCAAAACATCGCTCGTTTTGCTGCGTCGAGTCTCTGCTATTTTCGTCGACTTTGTGCAAGCTTTGTACTACAAAGTAGTGCTGGGAAGTAGTTTTGTGCAAACTTTGTAGTACAAAGTGGTACTGGGAAATGCTTTGTGCAAGCTTTGTAGTACAAAGGAGTACTGGGAAGTGATTTGTGCAAGCTTTGTGGTACACAGTACACAATAGTACTGGGAAGTCCTTTGTGCAAGCTTTGTAGTACAAAGTCGTACTGGGAAGTCGAAGGTTTCCAAGCAGGTTGTCATGTGAAGAACCCGAAATGCTCACACGTATGTTAATGGTACAGATGTCGAAACACATGGATATGCAGTCACGCAGAACACTTTTCTGCAATAGTTTATTATTTGAACAGTCTTGTGAATATTTCCCCTGTTACTAGTCCGCAGTGTGGAGTGGAAAGTGTAGAGTGCGGAGTGTGGAGTGGAAAGTGTAGAGTGTGGAGTGTGGATTGTAAAGTAAGGAGTGCGGAGTGTAAAGTGTGGAGTGGGAAGCCTAGAGTGTGTAAAGTGTAGCGTGTGAAGTGTGGAGTGTAGAGTGTAAAGTGTAGAGTGTCAAATGTAAAGTGTGAAGTATGGAATGTAAAGTGTGGAGTGTAAAGTGTGGAGTGTAGAGTGTGGAGTGAGGAGTGTGGAGTGTGGAGTGAGGAGTGTAAAGTGTGGAGTGAGGAGTGAGGAGTGAGGAGAGAGGAGTGCACAGTGTAAAGTGTAAAGTGTGGAGTGTAGAGTGCAGAGTGCAGAGTGTAAAGTGTAGAGTGTTGAGTGTGGAGTGTAAAGTGTAGAGTGTACAGTGTGCAGTGTAAAGTGTAAAGTGTAGAGTGTGGAGTGTAAGGTGTGGAGTGTGGAGTGTAAAGTGTGGAGTGAGGAGTGTGGAGTGTGTAAAGTGTAGAGTGTAGAGCGTGGTGGAGTGTGGTAGAGTGTGGTAGAGTGTGGTAGAGTGTGGTAGAGTGTGGTAGAGTGTGGAGTGTGGAGTGTAGAGGGTCAAGTGTAGAGTGTGGAGTATGGAATGGAGTGTGGAGTGTAGAGTGTGGAGTGTGGAGTGTAAAGTGTAGAGTGTGGAGTCAGGAGTTTAAAGTGTAAAGTGTGGAGTGTAAAATGTAAAGTGTGGAGTGTAGAGTGTAGAGTGTAAAGTGTAGAGTGTGGAGTGTAGAGTGTGGATTGTGAAGTGTGGAGTCAGGAGTGTGGAGTGTGTAAAGTGTAGAGTGTGGAGTGAGGAGTGTGGAGTGTAGAGTGTGGAGTGTGGAGTGTAGAGTGTAAAGTGTAAAGTTTGGAGTGTAGTGTGTAAAGTGTGGAGTGTAAAGTGTAGAGTGTAAAGTGTAGAGTGTAGAGTGTAAAGTGTAGAGTGTGGGGTGTGAAGTGCAAAGTGTGGAGTGAGGAGTGTAAAATGTAAAGCGTGGAGTGAGGAGTGAAAAATGTAAAGTGTAAAGTGTAGAGTGTGGACTGTGGAGTGTAAAGTTTGGAGTGTGGAGTGGAAAGTGTAGTGTGTGGAGTGTGGAGTTAAAAGTAAGGAGTGCAGAGTGTAAAGCGTAGAGTGGGGAGTGTAGAGTGTGTAAAGTGTAGAGTGTGGAGTGTAGAGTGTAAAGTGTAGGGTGTAAAGTGTAGAGTGTGGAGTGTGGAGTGTAAAGTGTAGAGTCTGAGTGTGGAGTGTGGAGTGTGGAGTGTAAAGTGTAGAGTGTGGAGTCTGGAGTGAGGAGTGAGGAGTGAGGAGTGTAAAGTGTCGAGTGTGGAGTGTGCATTGGGTAAAGTATGGAGTGTGGAGTGTAGAGTGTGGAGTGTGGAGTGTAAAGTGTGGAGTGTGGAGTGTAAAGTGTGGAGTGAGGAGTGTAAAGTGGAAAGCGTGGAGTGTAAAGTGTAAAGTGTGGAGTGCAAAGTGTGGAGTGGGGAGTGTAAAATGTAAAGTGCGGAGTGAGGAGTGTAAAATGTCAAGTGTGGAGTGTAGAGTGTGGAGTGTAAATTGTCGAGCGCGGAGTGTGGAGTGGACAGTGTAGAGTGTGGAGCGTGGAGTGTAAAGCAAGGAGTGTGGAGTGTAAAGTGTGGAGTGGGTAGTGTGGAGTGGAAAGTGTAGAGTGAGTGTAGAATGCGGAGTGTAAAGTGTAGAGTGTGGAGTTGTAAAGTGTAGAGTGTGGAGTGTGGAGTGTGGAGTGTAGAGTGTGGAGTGTGGAGTGTAGAGTGTGGAGTGTGGAGTGTGGAAAGTGGAGTGTAAAGTGTGGAAAGTGGAGTGTAAAGTGTAGAGTGTGGAGTGTGGAGTGAGGAGTGTAAAGTGTAAAGTGTGGAGTGTGGAGTGTAGAATGCAAAGTGTGGAGTGTAGAGTGCAGACTGTAGAGTGTAAAGTGTAGAGTGTAAAGTGTAGAGTGTGGAGTGTGGAGTGTAAAGTGTGGAGTGTGGAGTGTCAAGTGTGGAGTGAGGAGTGTGGAGTGTGTAAATTGTAGAGTATGGTGGAGTGTGGAGTGGAGAGTGTGGAGTGTGGAGTGTAGAGTGTGGAGTGTAGAGTGTGGAGTGTAAAATGTAAAGCGTGGAATGAGGAGTGAAAAATGTAAAGTGTAAAGTGTAGAGTGTGGAGTGTAGAGTGTGGAGTGTGAAGTGTGGAGTCAGGAGTGTGGAGTGTGTAAAGTGTAGAGTGTGGTAGAGTGTGGAGTGCGGAGTGTGGAGTGTAGAGTGTGGAGTGTGGAGTGTAGAGTGTAAAGTGTAAAGTTTGCAGTGTAGTGTGTAAAGTGTGGAGTGTAAAGTGTAGAGTGTAAAGTGTAGAGTGTAGAGTGTGGAGTGTAAAGTGTAGAGTGTGGAGTGTGAAGTGCAAAGTGTGGAGTGAGGAGTGTAAAATGTAAAGCGTGGAATGAGGAGTGGAAAATGTAAAGTGTAAAGTGTGGAGTGTGGACTGTGGAGTGGAAAGTGTGGAGTGTGGAGTGGAAAGTGTAGTGTGTGGAGTGTGGAGTGAAAAGTAAGGAGTGCAGAGTGTAAAGCGTAGAGTGGGGAGTGTAGAGTGTGTAAAGTGTAGAGTGTGGAGTGTAGAGTGTAAAGTGTAGGGTGTAAAGTGTAGAGTGTGGAGTGTGGAGTGTAAAGTGTAGAGTCTGAGTGTGGAGTGTGAAGTGGAAAGTGTAGAGTGTGGAGTGTGAAGTCTGGAGTGTAAAGTAAGGAGTGTTGAGTGTAAAGTATTGAGTGTGGAGTGTAAAATGTAAAGTGTGGAGTGAGGAGTGTAAAATGTCAAGTGTGGAGTGTAGAGAGTAGAGTGTTGAGCGTGGTGGAGTGTGGAGTGTGGAGTGTAAAGTGTAGAGTGTGGAGTGTGGAGTGAGGAGTGAGGAGTGTAAAGTGTCGAGTGTGGAGTGTGCATTGGGTAAAGTGTGGAGTGTGGAGTGTAGAGTGTGGAGTGTGGAGTGTAAAGTGTGGAGTGTGGAGTGTAAAGTGTGGAGTGAGGAGTGTAAAGTGGAAAGCGTGGAGTGTAAAGTGTAAAGTGTGGAGTGTAGAGTGTAAAGTGTAGAGTGTAAAGTGTAAAGTGTAGAGTGTGGAGTGTAAAGTGTGGAGTGTGGACTGTGGAGTGTAAAGTGTGGACTGAGGAGTGTAAAGTGCAAAGTGTAAAGTGTAAAGTGTGGAATGTAAAGTGTAGAGTGAGGAGTGTAGAGTGTAAAGTGTGGAGTGCAAAGTGTGGAGTGGGGAGTGTAAAATGTAAAGTGTGGAGTGAGGAGTGTAAAATGTCAAGTGTGGAGTGTAGAGTGTGGAGTGTAAATTGTCGAGTGCGGAGTGTGGAGTGGAAAGTGTAGAGTGTGGAGCGTGGAGTGTAAAGCAAGGAGTGTGGAGTGTAAAGTGTGGAGTGGGTAGTGTGGAGTGGAAAGTGTAGAGTGAGTGTAGAATGCGGAGTGTAAAGTGTAGAGTGTGGAGTGTGGAGTTGTAAAGTGTAGAGTGTGGAGTGTGGAGTGTAGAGTGTGGAGTGTGGAGTGTAAGAGTGTGGAGTGTGGAGTGTAGAGTGTGGAGTGTGGAGTGTGGAAAGTGGAGTGTAAAGTGTAGAGTGTGGAGTGTGGAGTGAGGAGTGTAAAGTGTAAAGTGTGGAGTGTAAAATGCAAAGTGTGGAGTGTAGAGTGCAGACTGTAGAGTGTAAAGTGTAGAGTGTAAAGTGTAGAGTGTGAAGTGTGGAGTGTAAAGTGTGGAGTGTGGAGCGTCAAGTGTGGAGTGAGGAGTGTGGAGTGTGTAAATTGTAGAGTATGGTGGAGTGTAGAGTGTGGAGTGTGGAGTGTAGAGTGTGGAGTGTAGAGTGTGGAGTGTAAAATGTAAAGTGTGGAGTGTAGAGTGTAGAGTGTAAAGTGTAGAGTGTGGAGTGTAGAGTGTGAAGTGTGGAGTCAGGAGTGTGGAGTGTGTAAAGTGTAGAGCGTGGTAGAGTGTGGAGTGCGGAGTGTGGAGTGTAGAGTGTGGAGTGTGGAGTGTAGAGTGTAAAGTGTAAAGTGTGGAGTGTAGTGTGTAAAGTGTGGAGTGTAAAGTGTAGAGTGTAAAGTGTAGAGTGTAGAGTGTGGAGTGTAAAGTGTAGAGTGTGGAGTGTGAAGTGCAAAGTGTGGAGTGAGGAGTATAAAATGTAAAGCGTGGAATGAGGAGTGAAAAATGTAAAGTGTAAAGTGTAGAGTGTGGACTGTGGAGTGTAAAGTGTGGAGTGTGGAGTGGAAAGTGTAGTGTGTGGAGTGTGGGGTGAAAAGTAAGGAGTGCAGAGTGTAAAGCGTAGAGTGGGGAGTGGTGTGGAGTGTAGAGTGTAAAGTGTAGGGTGTAAAGTGTAGAGTGTAGAGTGTGGAGTGTAAAGTGTAGAGTCTGAGTGTGGAGTGTGGAGTGGAAAGTGTAGAGTGTGGAGTGTGGAGTCTGGAGTGTAAAGTAAGGAGTGTTGAGTGTAAAGTATTGAGTGTGGAGTGTAAAGTGTAGAGTGTGGAGTGTAAAGTGTAAAGTGTAGAGTGTAAAGTGTAGAGTGTGGAGTGTAGAGTGTTGAGCGTGGTGGAGTGTGGAGTGTGGAGCGTGGAGTGTAGTTTGTGGTGTGTGGAGTGAGGAGTGAGGAGTGTAAAGTGTCGAGTGTGGAGTGTGCATTGGGTAAAGTGTGGAGTGTGGAGTGTAGAGTGTGGAGTGTGGAGTGTAAAGTGTAGAGTGTGGAGTGTAAAGTGTGGAGTGAGGAGTGTAAAGTGGAAAGCGTGGAGTGTAAAGTGTAAAGTGTGGAGTGTAGAGTGTAAAGTGTGGAGTGTAAAGTGTGGAGTGTAAAGTGTAGAGTGTGGAGTGTAAAGTGTAGAGTGTGGAGTGTAAAGTGTGGAGTGTGGAGTGTGAAGTGTGGACTGAGGAATATAAAGTGCAAAGTGTAAAGTGTAAAGTGTGGAATGTAAAGTGTAGAGTGTGGAGTATAAAGTGTAAAGTGTGGAGTGCAAAGTGTGGAGTGGGGAGTGTAAAATGTAAAGTGTGGAGTGAGGAGTGTAAAATGTCAAGTGTGGAGTGTAGAGTGTGGAGTGTAAATTGTCGAGCGCGGAGTGTGGAGTGGACAGTGTAGAGTGTGGAGCGTGGAGTGTAAAGCAAGGAGTGTGGAGTGTAAAGTGTGGAGTGGGTAGTGTGGAGTGGAAAGTGTAGAGTGAGTGTAGAATGCGGAGTGTAAAGTGTAGAGTGTGGAGTGTGGAGTTGTAGTGTAGAGTGTGGAGTGTGGAGTGTGGAGTGTAGAGTGTGGAGTGTGGAGTGTAGAGTGTGGAGTGTGGAGTGTAGAGTGTGGAGTGTGGAGTGTGGAAAGTGGAGTGTAAAGTGTAGAGTGTAGAGTGTGGAGTGTGGAGTGAGGAGTGTAAAGTGTAAAGTGCGGAGTGTAAAATGCAAAGTGTGGAGTGTAGAGTGCAGACTGTAGAGTGTAAAGTGTAGAGTGTGGAGTGTGGAGTGTAGAGTGTGGAGTGTAGAGTGTGGAGTGTAAAGTGTAGAGGGTAAAGTGTGGAGTGCGTTGTTGCGCCAGCCACACAAAAGAAATTTCTCGTGTGAACATGTCGTGTGAGCGTACTTGTGGAATCATTTGTTCTTATTGTGTGTCTCTTTGTGAGTTAGTTGTCTCTTTATGAACTGTTGATCAGGTGCCTTCGCTGAGACGATATGAGCGCACGATGCATGAAAAAAAAATGTTTTCCTATTGCAGAGGTTTTCACTCGTAGTCTAAGAACGTGAATACATTCGGGTTCGTGGCTTCCACCTTGTTCAGTTTCAGCATATTCCAGTCCAGTCACGGCAGATAAACAATTAGCGAGTACGATCAAAAAACATCAAAAAGCAGCAAACCAGTTTCTAGATATCTCTAGATCAATTCATTGGGATTGCAATCCCAAATCATAATGTCCCTGACACCGCAAGCAACAAAAAACATGGCGTGGCTGCTTTCCACCCTTAAAGTGTCCTCATGTTGCTGGTAGAAAGTCTCGCGCTGGAAGAGCATGTAGCCTGCTTCCTTCCACTTCCTAATGGAGGTTGGCGTTGCAAATCTGGAATTCAGCTAAGAAACCAATTTCTTGATGGACAGTCGCGTTGGAAATTCGCTGTAATTCCCTACTATCTTGATGGACTGCGTGACCTACGTGGCAATGGTTCAAAGATGGGGTACATACAAATCGATCCGCAAAATTGTGTTGAGCCTCTTGATTTGAGCAATATTCATGTTAGCAACCCCGGAATATAGACAACCAACTACTCTAAAATAGGGATTATGCCGACAAGAGACCCCAAACAGTGTGTGTGTGGGGAGTAAGTATGACAATGTTGAGGATGATAATGTTAATTAGGGAGGATGATGAAAAATATGATAATGTTGCCGAAGGTGAGGTGGAGGATGATGGTGTTGCGAAAGATGGGGTGGAGGATGATGATGTTGAGGATGATGATTTCAAGGCGGAGGAAGATGAAGAAGATGATGATGATGATGGTGATGATGATGATGATGATGATGATGAGGGTGATGGTGATGATGATGATGATGATGATGCTGATGATGATGATGATGATGAGAATGATGATGTGGAGGAGGAAGATGATGATGTTGAAGATGATGAGGACGACTGATCCCAAGACCGCGCCGCACGTTTTGAGCGAGCCTGCGCAGTCGAAATGCACTGCAGAAATTTACAGGTAAAATGCCGCAGGCCAAGAGCGTGACACCCGTTTTGTGTGAGCCTGCGCAGTCGAAATGCACATGGACAAAACACAAGAACCATTTTATGCAGAAATTTACAGGTAAAATGCCGCAGACCAAGAGCGTGACACCCATTTTGTGTGAGCCTGCACAGTCGAAATGCACTGCGAAATTTACAGGTAAAATGCCGCAGACCAAGAGCGTGACACCCGGTTTGTGTGAGCCTGCGCAGTCGAAATGCACATGGACAAAACACAAGAACCATTTTATGCAGAAATTTACAGGTAAAATGCCGCAGACCAAGAGCGTGACACCCGTTTTGTGTGAGCCTGCGCAGTCGAAATGCACATGGACAAAACACAAGAACCATTTTGTGCAGAAATTTACAGGTAAAATGCCGCAGACAAGAGCGTGACACCCGTTTTGTGTGAGCCTGCGCAGTCGAAATGCACATGGACAAAACACAAGAACCATTTTATGCAGAAATTTACAGGTAAAATGCCGCAGACCAGGAGCGTGACACCCGTTTTGTGTGAGCCTGCGCAGTCGCGAAACAGGTAAAATGCCGCAGACCAAGAGCGTGACACCCGAGCCTGCGCAGTCGAAATGCACATGGACAAAACACAAGAACCATTTTGTGCAGAAATTTACAGGTAAAATGCCGCAGACAAGAGCGTGACACCCGTTTTGTGTGAGCCTGCGCAGTCGAAATGCACATGGACAAAACACAAGAACCATTTTATGCAGAAATTTACAGGTAAAATGCCGCAGACCAGGAGCGTGACACCCGTTTTGTGTGAGCCTGCGCAGTCGAAATGCACATGGACATCTCACAAGAGCAAGTTTATTTATATAGAGCAATTTTATACGAGAATTTACAGGAGAAAGGGCGGGAAGCCCAAGTGAGCACCTCGATCAAGCACCGGCCTGAACTCTTACCGTAAGCACCCCTCAGTATGGATACACTGTTTGGGGATGTTTGGGGTATATCTATAGATTACTTTTCTATCTAGTTGTCACTCTGGAAAGGACATGTAAAACTATGGTGATAATCATCGCTTTCCGGGAGGCCAAGCGAACAAAGGGCAGTCGTGCAGACCGTGCAACCCTGCAACTGTTCATGTCCAGCGAATCTTTTCGGCAGCTAAAAAGATGAATGTTAGTGCATTCAACCAATCCAGCAAATATGTGTATACAAGTTAAATATGTTGATGGAAAAGAAAACGACAAACATCACCAGTGTGATGGTCATTCCGGAATACACTGAATACAAGGAAAACATGAAACTCTCAACCTCGGTTCTGCTTCGGAGCTCAAATGGATTTCTTTTTGTAGGTCAGGAATCGCGCCCTACATTGAACCTTTTTTAGTATCCATGCGTTGAAGGTAAGAGATAGTAAAAGTATGTAAAAGTACCACACATTTGAAGTGAAACCAATCACTGCATGTCCTTTCACGTCGGAACGGTTATTAACCACTTGCAGCTGCATCCCAATTTGAACTAAATATCCGAGGTGAATGACTGGGATATATCCCACATATCCCCAAGTGGCTAAATAGATCTAAATAATATGGTTGAAAATGAGGTTGTCTTCCAAAGCAATATTGAGAGCCGTCACGGTCTTAGCCAAGTTGAACTTTTGCCACAAAACCATCCATGATTGACTATGCTGCGATTTCCCCAGCAAGCTAATGGTTTTACCTGGTGGAGTGCTACCACCTGATGAACTGGTTCAAGCCGAGAACCCCTCAACATTGTTGCAATCGGGGGTGGAGTGGGCAGCTTTAGTTTCTGGCTTTTGCACCGCCCATGTGAAGGCTCTTTTCTGATGAACAAAAAGGGGATTACTTTGCCAATCCTTAGACAACGAGATGACAAATATTTGGTTGCCGCTTCGAAATGGTTGCCGGCCTTCAATTGTAGGGTTGGGACGATTTTTGTCCAGCTAGACAGAGGGTGACTCACTCGACGTTCTGCTTGGACATTGGAATGGGTGTCGAATTGACTGGTGCATGGCCCCCTGGGACTTCCCGGAGTTACATGGTGGATACCGCCTGGATTCGTTAAGTGGGACTTGTGTCGCGCCGCCATGACTCCCTCACCCCTCTCACCTGGGGTCATGGTTGGGGCCTGGTGAAGCATAGCAATTATGATTATGATTATTAACCACTTCAGATGCCTCGGATGCATCTTCCCTCCCGTTTTTGCAGCCGCAGCATCTGAAGGGTTCGACTTTCGAACTCCACTGTTAGCATCGTAGGGTTCGACAACTCCAGGGCACCACCTTTCCCGCTGAAGGTTCTCAGGCCAAAAACAACTCCAAATTACTTTACTTCGAGTTATCCCCACCATGACATCTATACGTTTTGTTACTGGCAAATCTTCTGGCATTCTATCTGACATACCTTCTGGCATTTTATCTGGCATATCTTCTGGCATTCTATCTGGCATATCTTCTGGCATATCTTCTGACATTCTATCTGGCATATCTTCTGGCATATGTTCTGGCAAACATTCTGGCACTTTATCTGGCATATCTTCTGGCATTCTATCTGGCATACCTTCTGGCATTCTAACTGGCAAATCTTCTGGCGTTCTATCTGACATACCTTCTGGCACTTTATCTGGCATACCTTCTGGCATTCTATCTGACATTCTATCTGGCAGGCATACCTTCTGGCATTCTATCTGGCATATCTTCTGGCATTCTATCTGGCAAACATTCTGGCACTTTATCTGGCATATCTTCTGGCATTCTTTCTGACATTCTATCTGGCGTTCTATCTGGCATATCTTCTGGCATTCGCTCTGGCCGTTGAGGTCCAGCGGTGCCCAGTGCGCTCGGAGGGTAGAGTTCGGAGGGTCCCAGGTGGTTCCAGCGGTGCTCGCTGAGCTCGGACGTCACCATGTTCAGGTCCAGCGGTGTCACTTAGCTCGGAAGGGGGTCCAGGTTGAGGTCCAGCGGTGCCCAGTGCGCTCAGACCCTTGCAGTTGAGGTCAAGCAGTGCCCACTGCGTGCGGAAGTTGGCGAAGAGCTTGGCGAAGAGTTGGCAAGGCGGAAGTGAACATGGGAGTGGATGCAAAGGTGGTGGAGGAGAAGCTGGAGGAGAGGGAGGAGGAGGAGGAGGAGAAGGAGGTGGAGGATGAGGAGGAGGAGGCGGAGGAGGAGAACAACTGTGATAAAATCTAACAACCCTCACCTGGCAGGTGGGGAAAAAATGATGTCCAAAAAAGGAGGCTGGTTTGGCATCCTATTCATCCCTTTGTCATCGACACGTTTGTTGTTGGCTTCTGGGGCTGCCCCGTCAACCAAACAATCGAAATGCCCCAAACAATCGAAGCGGAAGTCACCCCAACAAAGGGAGCTGAAAATCAAAAAGGCAATGGTATACAATACATACATGTAATTTGATAGTATCCGTTTTGTTTCCGAACACACGCTGCATGAGAATACCTACACAACACAGAAGCCTAGCCGATAAATAACTAAATGGAACACACAAATGCAGAAACCAATGTACCAGAACTTCATACAACAAACGGAAACAAACGAACACCGATCTTCAGCAAATCCTTCTCATCAACCGCTTAAAGAGGACAGAAAGGAACACCGTGAGAACAACAACTGCAAGGCCAGCTTCAAGTTTCCATCCATCGTTTTAGGATTCATGGTCCTTCCTCACAACATGGTCGTTCCTCACAGCAGCATCATATGTGCAATGCTTTTGTTGCTGGACAGCAGCAACGTTGAGCAATGCTGTTCAGCATTGTTTTCAATATTCCTGCTGGTCAGCAGGTTTTGTTGCTGGTCAGCAACGTTTTTGCTGCTGGACAGCAGCAACGTTGAGCAATGCTGTTCAGCATTGTTTTCATTCCTGCTGGTCAGCAGGTTCTGTTGCTGGTCAGCAACGTTTTTGCTGCTGGACAGCAGCAACGTTGAGCAATGCTGTTCAGCATTGTTTTCATTCCTGCTGGTCAGCAGGTTTGTTGCTGGTCAGCAACGTTTTTGCTGCTGGACAGCAGCAACGTTGAGCAATGCTGTTCAACATTGTTTTCATTCCTGCTGGTCAGCAGGTTTTGTTGCTGGTCAGCAACGTTTTTTCTGCTGGACAGCAGCAACGTTGAGCAATGCTGTTCAGCATTGTTTTCATTCCTGCTGGTCAGCAGGTTTTGTTGCTGGTCAGCAACGTTTTTGCTGCTGGGCAGCAGCAACGTTGAGCAATGCTGTTCAGCATTGTTTTCATGGTCAGCAGGTTTTGTTGCTGGTCAGCAACGTTTTGCTGCTGGACAGCAGCAACATTGAGGCAATGCTGTTCAGCAGTTTTCAATTCGTGCGAGTCAGCAGAGGTTCAGCATTGTTTTCATTCTGCTGGTCAGCAGGTTTTGTTGCTGGTCAGCAACGTTTTTGCTGCTGGACAGCAGCAACGTTGAGCAATGCTGTTCAGCATTGTTTTCATTCCTGCTGGTCAGCAGGTTTTGTTGCTGGTCAGCAACGTTTTTGCTGCTGGACAGCAGCAACGTTGAGCAATGCTGTTCAGCATTGTTTTCATTCCTGCTGGTCAGCAGATTTTGTTGCTGGTCAGCAACGTTTTTGCTGCTGGACAGCTGCAACGTTGAGCAATGCTGTTCAGCATTGTTTTCATTCCTGCTGGTCAGCAGGTTTTGTTGCTGGTCAGCAACATTTTTGCTGCTGGACAGCAGCAACGTTGAGCAATGCTGTTCAGCATTGTTTTCATTCCTGCTGGTCAGCAGGTTTTGTTGCTGGTCAGCAACGTTTTTTCTGCTGGACAGCAGCAACGTTGAGCAATGCTGTTCAGCATTGTTTTCATTCCTGCTGGTCAGCAGGTTTTGTTGCTGGTCAGCAACGTTTTTGCTGCTGAACAGCAGCAACATTGAGCAATGCTGTTCAGCATTGTTTTCATTCCTGCTGGTCAGCAGGTTTTGCTGCTGGTCAGCAACGTTTTTGCTGCTGGACAGCAGCAACGTTGAGCAATGCTGTTCAGCATTGTTTTCATTCCTGCTGGTCAGCAGGTTTTGTTGCTGGTCAGCAACGTTTTTGCTGCTGGACAGCAGCAACGTTGAGCAATGCTGTTCAGAATTGTTTTCATTCCTGCTGGTTAGCAGGTTTTGTTGCTGGTCAGCAACGTTTTTGCTGCTGGACAGCAGCAACGTTGAGCAATGCTGTTCAGCATTGTTTTCATTCCTGCTGGTCAGCAGGTTTTGTTGCTGGTCAGCAACGTTTTTGCTGCTGGACAGCAGCAACGTTGAGCAATGCTGTTCATCATTGTTTTCATTCCCTGCTGGTCAGCAGGTTTTGTTGCTGGTCAGCAAACGGTTTTGCTGCGGGAAGCAGCACGTTGAGCATGCTGTCAGCCATGTTTTCATTCTTGCTGGTCAGCAGGTTTTGTTGCTGGTCAGCCAACGTTTTGCTGCTGGACGCAGCAACTTTGAGCACTGCTGTTCAGCATTGTTTTCATTCATTCCTGCTGGTCAGCAGGTTTTGGGGGGGGGGGGGGGTTGCTGGTCAGCAACGTTTTTCACGTTTTTGCTGCTGAACAGCAGCAACATTGAGCAATGCTGTTCAGCATTGTTTTCATTCCTGCTGGTCAGCAGGTTTTGCTGCTGGTCAGCAACGTTTTTGCTGCTGGACAGCAGCAACGTTGAGCAATGCTGTTCAGCATTGTTTTCATTCCTGCTGGTCAGCAGGTTTTGTTGCTGGTCAGCAACGTTTTTGCTGCTGGACAGCAGCAACGTTGAGCAATGCTGTTCAGAATTGTTTTCATTCCTGCTGGTTAGCAGGTTTTGTTGCTGGTCAGCAACGTTTTTGCTGCTGGACAGCAGCAACGTTGAGCAATGCTGTTCAGCATTGTTTTCATTCCTGCTGGTCAGCAGGTTTTGTTGCTGGTCAGCAACGTTTTTGCTGCTGGACAGCAGCAACGTTGAGCAATGTTGCTGGTCAGCAACGTTTTTGCTGCTGGACAGCAGCAACGTTTTTGCTGCTGGACAGCAGCAACGTTGAGCAATGCTGTTGAGCATTGTTTTCATTCCTGCTGGTCAGCAGGTTCTGTTGCTGGTCAGCAACGTTTTTGCTGCTGGACAGCAGCAACGTTGAGCAATGCTGTTCAGCATTGTTTTCATTCCTGCTGGTCAGCAGGTTTGTTGCTGGTCAGCAACGTTTTTGCTGCTGGACAGCAGCAACGTTGAGCAATGCTGTTCAACATTGTTTTCATTCCTGCTGGTCAGCAGGTTTTGTTGCTGGTCAGCAACGTTTTTTCTGCTGGACAGCAGCAACGTTGAGCAATGCTGTTCAGCATTGTTTTCATTCCTGCTGGTCAGCAGGTTTTGTTGCTGGTCAGCAACGTTTTTGCTGCTGGACAGCAGCAACGTTGAGCAATGCTGTTCAGCATTGTTTTCATTCCTGCTGGTCAGCAGGTTTTGTTGCTGGTCAGCAACGTTTTTGCTGCTGGACAGCAGCAACGTTGAGCAATGCTGTTCAGCATTGTTTTCATTCCTGCTGGTCAGCAGATTTTGTTGCTGGTCAGCAACGTTTTTGCTGCTGGACAGCAGCAACGTTGAGCAATGCTGTTCAGCATTGTTTTCATTCCTGCTGGTCAGCAGGTTTTGTTGCTGGTCAGCAACGTTTTTGCTGCTGGACAGCAGCAACGTTGAGCAATGCTGTTCAGCATTGTTTTCATTCCTGCTGGTCAGCAGGTTTTGTTGCTGGTCAGCAACGTTTTTGCTGCTGGACAGCAGCAACGTTGAGCAATGCTGTTCAGCATTGTTTTCATTCCTGCTGGTCAGCAGGTTTTGTTGCTGGTCAGCAACGTTTTTGCTGCTGGACAGCAGCAACGTTGAGCAGTGCTGTTCAGCAATGTTTTCATTCCTGCTGGTCAGCAGGTTTTGTTGCTGGTCAGCAACGTTTTTGCTGCTGGACAGCAGCAACATTGAGCAATGCTGTTCAGCATTGTTTTCATTCCTGCTGGTCAGCAGGTTTTGTTGCTGGTCAGCAACGTTTTTGCTGCTGGACAGCAGCAACGTTGAGCAATGCTGCTCAGCATTGTTTTCATTCCTGCTGGTAGCGGTTTTTTTTTGCTGGTCAGCAAACGTTTTTGCTGCTGACACGCAGCAACGTGAGCAGTGCTGTTTCACAATGTTTCTCTGCCTGGTCAGCAGGTTTTTGTTGCTGGTCAGCACTCAACGTTTTTTTGCTGCTGGACAGCCAGCAACGTTGAGGCAATGCTGTTCAGCAATTGTTTTCCTTTCCTGCTGGTTCAGCAGGTTTTGTTGCTGGGGCAGCAACGTTGTTTTGCTGGCGTCGCGACAGTCACCAACAATTTGAGCAAATGCTGGATATCAGCATTGTATTTTCATTCCTGCTGGTCAGCAGGTTTTGTTGTCTGGTCAGCAACGTTTTTGCTGCTGGACAGCAGCAACGTTGAGCAATGCTGTTCAGCATTGTTTTCATTCCTGCTGGTCAGCAGGTTTTGTTGCTGGTCAGCAGCGTTTTTGCTGTTCTTCTCTCCCCTTCTTGCTTCCAGGTCTGAGGCGAACATGCTGGATCGTCTATTGACACGCAAGGTCATGCAACGTATGATGAGGTGCTATTATTGGAACTTACAATACATGACATACAGTGACAGTATATGGGGTTTGTCTGAACATGCCGGGGGACATTCCAATCGATTCTCAGCATGTTCCTCATTGAGATAGGGCCCAAACGCCTTCCACATGGATACATCCCTCACATCACCAGGTCACGCCCGAAACGGGATGACAGTTGACAGTTGACATTTAAAATGGGTATATAGTACTTAAAGAGCTGAATATGATCCCTATATGTATATGAAACACATAATTATATATATATATACTTTATATATATATACGTATATAGACTTTATGTGTATATATATACATATTCATCTTATATACCTACCTCTGGTTATCAAACATGGCTAGCTGAAAAATCGTCCATTTATAGACAGCTGTCCCATTGTATAACAACTTCTTCCATTGCCATGTTTGTTTCCGGGCATTATAGCAGTCACCAGGATCATCCCGAGGATGATTCCCCAAAGCATACAATCTCTACTAAAGACCTCCTCTAATTGAACATGGCTAGCTGGAAACTCCGCATTTATATGTGTAGATTAGTATAGATGATTTTCCCATCAAGACCTAAGTTTATTATGGGGAATGTCCTATTGCTACGTTTGATTACCGGAGTGTGTATTGAATCCCCGGGCCCATGAACCCTGGAGGTCAGTACCGACCCAGCCACCTGCCAGCAACGTTCGGTTCGCACGTTCCACCGGCAACACCAGCAGACCATCGAAAAGCAGCGGGGCACCCGCTGCAGGCTCTTCGCGGGGTAGTAAGCTGCCTGAGGTGATTTTTCACACGGACGTAATGAAGCGGGGAATTGATAGGTTTAAGTAACAACAATGATGAAGAGTGGGATGTAACAATGAGATACTAATGAACAATAATGGGATATTCATGAGTAATGATGGGTTAACGTTGCTTCTTCTCCTTTTTGCATGTCCCCCGTTTCGCCCCGTTTCGCCCCGTTTCGGCCCGTTTCGGCGCCGAGCCACGGAAGTGTCGAAAGGCCGCCGGGCGACAGCGCGACGCCAGCGTCCAGGCCGTTTCACCGCGAAGGTCGTGGGGCGTGGTGCTGGCACCCCAGGCCTGGGATGATCCGATGGCTGGTATATCTACTGCGGCTACTACGGAGTAGAAATTGTAGCAAAATAATTATTGTAGCGTATAGGAATGTAGTACTTAATGATTATAGTATATAATACTTATGTTGTAAGTACTTAATTGGTACTTGTAGCTGTAGTATTGTGAATAGTACTCAAGTAGTATGTTGATATTACTATATATTACTATAGTAGTGTAGCATATTAATAGTACTAATTACTTATTGTACTTACAATAGTACATAATAGTACTTAATTATGGTACGTATATATTATAAGAGTACAATGTTTTGGCTTCTCGGTCGATATAGTAGCCATACTTAATGTTACACTCATGTTAAGTCTTGGCTATATGCAGTATATGTATAGTCATCCTGGAGTATATATATATAATATGGACAATTTGAAAAACGATTGAAAAAACAATCACTAAACTGTGTATATATTTCAATATCCCGTATTCTATCTACTTCAGGAAATGTATAATATAATTATATATATTTATATAGTACATAAAAAATAATGATATATGACGGGAATTCCTTGCGTGCCGGTTCTTGTTTGGTCTTTAAAACTATGATTTGTCTAAATAGTCTGAAACCCTGCATTTTGTTTAAGCAGTAGCTAAAACCTGCAGTAAATGCTAACGCACGCCTATATTATATGAAGTGGGTGCCGCTGCTAGTTATTAGTGGTGGAACTGGCATATGTTTTCATCTGCTGCAGGGCTCGTCGTTGCCTTTGCTGTCACTGCTGCTTTTGTCAAGCAGACAGGATAAACTACAAGTTCTCTGGTGGCGACTGGGTAACGGGTCCGCCAAAGCCGCTTTTTGACACTTTTGCCAGCGCATTTCTAGCGGGGATCTAGCGGGTAAAATTACGTACAAATTGGCAAATCGAGCCGTAACCTCAAAAATATAAAAAAGTTGTTGAGTAGCACAGAAATTCACTAAGACATCCTTAGGTTTAAGGAGCTAAGTGCTGCATCTTTCAGAATCTTGACTTTTCTTCATGTTGAAAGAACAAGCAGTCAGGAACACATCAAAAAAATCCTTTGCACTGAAAAAAACTAGCGCAAACTGAGCAAGTTTGCTAGCGCTGCCTTGCAGCATTGGTGAATATAGTTGCGTGCCACCTCATAACGAAGAGGAAAAACCACTAGGTGCACACTAATTATCAGCAACTGGTACAAAATTTATGTCAACTATGTTTGGCAAATGGTCGTATATCTTAATACATGATGTTAAGAAGCAAAATCTACGGTATACAGAGCTTTGAATGATGTTCATTATATGTGTATCGTATAGTTCGTTAAACATGTTATATAATAGGGCATACTTATTTCTATAGTATACTATACTTAACTGTACTATACTGTACGATATACTTTGCTGTACAGGACACACTGCGCTATACTGCACTATTGCAAATTATACTGGCCTGTACGCAATACAGTATTATACTTCACTGCACTTTACTCTACTGTGCTGTACTAAACTATCTTATGCTACCCTATGCCATAGTATACTATCCTCCGTATTGTTTGATTGGCTTCTGTTTGTGAGTTCTGTACACTCCTGTCGCTCTCTATTGCTGTCAAAATTCATTGGACCTACCATCCTGTTTGATGCTGAAAAGATGTTTGTTGATAGCATGACCAGTTCTTTATTGGTTTTACAGTTGCTGGTTCTCACCCCAAATATTCTACTCACTCCACGCTGATCCATCGCCCCGAGATCATCAAAGAAACAGCTGGAACACTTGAGAAAAACCGTTCACAGCCCACAGCACCAACCACATATTCAGTTCGACAATTGCAGTATATTAACACATATATATAAGTATGTATATATATATATATGCAGAGCATACCCGAATTAACAGAAACCTAAACACACACATGTGTATATATATAATTATAAATGTATAAATATGTGTACACACATATATAAAGCTTATGTACATATATAACATGCTTGGCTTAACTTGACAAAATATGTTCATTTAGTATATGTATATGTGTATATATATAGTGTACCAACCAACCAGTTATTCACTTCGTTTCCCAAGAGACAACCGTATTGATCAAACCCTGCGCCAGGCAACCAGAAGGTCTTCTGCACTGGGAACGCATCCATTGCCGATGGCCTCGTTACCAGGGTGAGGTTTACGAAGCGAAGCACCACGTGCCACGGACTGATAGGTAAAGCAAACAAAACATGTAGATTTATGGATATTTGATGTGATTCAATCATCATGTCATGATGACTGAATTGATAGGTTGATAGTTGATAGGATACATAAAACGTGGTGATTGAATCAGCAAAAAGATGCAAAATCATCCAAAAAGATTGGATTTCATCAGGATAAACTTGGGATGTAACCATCAAGAATGAGATTAAATCATTGAACACACGTGATTTTAACTCAATGTGTTCTTGTTTTCCCTTTGTTTTCCCGACCTAACATGGACAGTTTTCACCAACTTGTTATTCAAGCAGCTTTTGGTGGTTGAGAATCCTGATTTAATCAACCGGAGATGTGCTATGATCGCTGGATGAAGAATACCCACATTGGGGGAATGTCATCAATCCATTTTTAGGGATTAGTTTATACCTATGACACCCACAAGAATTCCCACGGTAGGACGGATGACTAAGACTAAGAATGACCATAAGCCATTATATAATCGCATGCTTTGACCATGGCCAAGCGACGCCTTTTGGTTAGATTTAGTGGGATGATCAGCACGTCCAAACACTGCCTGAAAAACAAAATATAAACATAAGCGTCTTAGCAGCATCTTTCACCAACAGTCACCAGATGATACAAGGTTGCTCCCAACACCGCAGATTTACCAGATACCTGGGGAAAATGTTGGTAAATCATCATGTTTGTTGACTGTTGGTTGAGACATATTTTTTGCTGCTTGACCCTCTGTTTGTTGACTTCAACCCTTTTTTTTCCAGAACTGAGTTCCTGGCCAACATCAATGCTGTACCTCCAGGCTGAGACATGGCCCAGAATGGGAAGTGAGTTTACAGTTGGAATTACCCTCTGGATCTGCTGAATTCGGTCAGAAGCCAGGGCCTTCCTGCATCAACTGGTTATATATATATATGTTCTGGTTGGTGGTTGACCTACCCCTTCTGAAAAATATGACTTCGTCAGTTGGGATGACGCAATTCCCAATATATGGAAAGTCATAAAATTCATGTTCCAAACCACCAACCAGCATATATATATATGTTCATTGTTAAGTCGTGTCAAATCCACACATGGTGGCTTAATCCAGTGAAATCTGCTGGGATCATTTCAGGTCACTGGTTGAGTTTTTTTGAGAAAAAACTTGAGACCATCAACCAATTCTACAATGGAAAAATAGCTGGTAAGAAATAATGTAATATAACTTAATATATATTAATTTAACGCATGTTCCCCGAATAGATTCCCAAGTAGTGGATTTCTCATTGGGAAAATAAGCCAAATCATCTTCAGCAAATCCATGAAGCATCAATAGTTTCCCAGCTAGACAGTGGATTTATCCAGATTTATATCCACATTATATTAAATCGGGAAATATACACATAATAGATTGTTGGTGATTTTTGAGACATCAATATATACGATTTATCCACATTACAATGGTAGCACCATAGTAATTAATCCAAACTTCACTGCAGACTCCAAGCCGTCCAAGCGTCTTCCCTCTGCGTTCTGCGCATCGATGTCCACACCTGACCTTAACATGTTTCCACGGTGCTGACCCAAGGCAGAAAGCTACACCGGCTACGGGTTTGTTGTCCAAGTACAGGGTATTCTAAGTATACTACCAGGAAATGGCAGTTTCAATAAGGACAATGGATTCTTGACCCAGTGGGTTTGTTGATTTTCCCAGAATCTTCCAAATTCAGTTGGGGACCGTCGTTCCCTTTGGAGGGAAACATATAGAAGATGTTTTTCAAAGTTTAAAATTACTTTAAATACCTATAACATCTCTTTAATATCCCTATAAGATCCCTATCACCTATAAATTGCTTATAAAGTCAGATGCACTCAAAAAACAAACCAAGGCTGAGAGTAGACCCTCTTTATTGCACCGTTGATCGAAGCCACTCAGGTTGAGTTTATTTATTTAGCCGTCTTCATCATGCTGGATCCAGTCCGCCCTTCTGGTGAGCCCTGTTGGTTGATGATTGGGGATTTTGAGCAGTAGCTGGATAGATAACCATAGCTTTTTTGGTGTTATCTCCAAAGTTCTGGGGTTACTATTAACCATAGCTATTTGCTAAAGTTATGGGGGTATATCCAAAGATATGTGAAGTTATGGTTCGATGCTTGGGGTTATCTCCATGGCTATAGGCTACAGGTGCTACATATATATATATATGTATATAAACACATTATTAATATGATCACCCCAACTGCGCCCCAAGCATTACTTCCCTCTGGTCTGGAACTTCACCCGTTGGAGTCAAGGATCTCCATGCGTAACAATTGCAAACAGGCATGGGCCATCAGACCTTTAGTAGCTCCTGGCCAATCCACTGAGAAAGAGGATAGAGAAAAACCTATCGCGGTCATTGAGGTTTTTCCAGGCTAGAAACAAACAACTATCATTGGTTTATAATCATGTAGGGGCCTTGCGGTAATAGTAGCATTTTGTATATTGTTGTCATAAGTCTCGAGACAGCAGCATCACTATTCTGCTCGCTTTTGTTATGACTGTCACCAGTACTTTCTATGTCTACAACTTGAAGGCATAACATCATGGTTCAGCAACAAAAAAAAAAAATGTGGGTTCCTGCAAAAATATGATCACCAATTATGGTTGGGCTGGTCCCATGCCCCAGTTTTTTTCCCCATCCAAGTCTCAGAGAATCCAACCCTGCTCAATTAAACTATATTAAACTATGATTATATAAATGATCAAACCTTCAATTCTTGGTGACGGTATCAAACCTAACCACTGATGGCTGGTCAATTGAGTTTAGCAATGCTTCCCCCTGGTTCGTAAGGCAGTTCTCTTTCCGATGTGTAAGCTTTAGGAAATTTTATCTCCATGGTAGCAGGGGTAGTACCAGTTCACGCCAAAAACAAAAACATAATCCAGTCTTTGTCTAATTTCCGGTTTATCAAATGATCAATCCACTATTCACAATACTAATTCCAGACTAGTTGATATGATATGGTACTCCGAAAATAGTTGAAAATCCAGCTGTTAATGATAGATATGATCAATTTAATGTAAAAATATATATATATATATTTATTTCCAATACATGAATAGCTAATAATAGCTACTACATTTTTTCATGTTTATTTTACGATTTTCTGGTCTTGATTGCTGGTGAAATCTCCAAATTCATTGCACTTCCGCTGCCCGTCGTCGCAAGTCCTCGCGCAGCGAGCCGCATTAGGACCTGAGGTGTGCAGACTGCTCCGTTTGACGTTTCTTTGGATATACATGGAGATACCACATTGTTGTTATCTGATATGCACATGTGTGATAAATTTTGGTATACTATAGAATCTCACCCTCAATTTAAGTTTCTATGCATGTCCAATGTTCATGTCATATACATTTTTTAACCATCATCCAATCGTCAACAGTCACTATCTACACTCACGGAGTTGGTCAAGATCTTCTTGCTTCAGCGCATGGCAAAGTCGATGGTCGGAGGGGTAAGGCTGAAACAACTTGGGCATCGCCGCGTAGCACAATGGATCTGAGTCAGAAGTTGATGCGTAAAGCACTTTTCACTACCATTCTGTCACGATTGATTTCGCCAATCACATCCAAAAACTATTGCATCGGCCTTGAAATACGATCTTCAGTAGACATGAGTTCCACAAATTTAGCCGGCGATAGGCCAAAACATCCATCCGGCATCGAACGTAACGAACGTCAAACATGACCAATCTAAAAACATTGAATTCACTGATTGCAGTGATTTTGAGCCATGCAAAGCTGTGGGGATGGCAGGATATCCCCCAATGGCCATTGCCGTTTGATAGGGAAACATCATGATCCATTGGAATTGGGTGGAACCAGGGTATCCCTATTTTCAGACAACAAAAAAAAAACATATATAACCCATATTGACCCATCTAATTGGTGCATTCTGCGAGTGACAAAAACGCATTTTTGATGTATCCTCACCATGCATGTGTTGGCTAGACCAACAGGAATGAAACCACCAACTAGTCTGACTTGGTCACCATTGAATGTTCAATGTTTTTATCCCAACTATTTGAGCAAACCCCCATTGATACATTGACGTCTGGTTCCACTCAAAAGGTCTGGTTTCGAGATGGTTCCCGTTTATGGTTCAATCGTTGCATCAACCGTCAACCGATGTGACTAAAACTACCAAGAGTATATGGTCCCCTTGTTGTTTGGTGAAACCATTACCCCGTGGTGAATCTAGCAGAATCATCCAGGAGTGACCTTGTGCTGAGGTCGCTATGATTTTACCGATATTTTATGGACATAATTTATGATGCACAACCCAAAACCTGATCCCATGGAACCAATCATGAACCATTGACTCACAAACAGCAAATGAGCCTCACTAACCCAGGAGCAGTGATCTGTGATTCAAGGTCTGCATACATGCGGGCTGTTTCTGCTGATGCAAGTGAAACTAGCGATATATTCAAAAAAACTCAACATTAGTGGATGTTGGTGGTTAACGAGACCTTTAATTTTGCAGGTATCACCTTTGGGAGGGGTAGTTAAACTATGTTAAATTCCAATGTTAATGGCCAATCTTAGATACCCTACACATGTTTCTAGCTGATTAGTATACACATCCACATTTATAGCACAATATAAAGTACTAAAGTAATTACCCCATCCAAGGTTGACCTAGTGACCTAGTTGTGTCGTCCCTGTTTTTGGTTTTGATATCTTCCACTATCCATATTTCTATGATACAACGATAATACCCCCATGATAGCTGTTAATATACCCAAGCGCATGATCTATACGGACCATAGTGACCATATACGACTAAATCTGCTATATTGGGTGATTGAATCCCCACATTTGGTAATGAAGTTCCCCACTCATTCATACTAAATCCCATTGAAGTCCCCTTTTTTCACCATGTTCTATCCCCCAAAATCCCATGAAATCCCATGAAGTACCCAGAAAATCAAATGAAATCCCCATGAATTTCACATATTTGCTGGTTACCCTCCAGTAAATTAAAATAGACCCTGCCAGATAGGGGTTGGAAGATTAGTTTCCATTAAAAATTGGTGATTTTCAGGGTCTATGTTAATTTACCAGAGGTTAAATTTTTCTAAAATTCTGCCCAAGTGGCGGTGAAGCCCTCTGAGTCCCTGTCGTTGACCAAGTGCTGGGAGAGCGGCAGCAGCGCTTCAAAGGCCTGCTCGAAGTGGTGCATTGGGTTTGAGGACAGGAACATATGTGTATGTTTTATACATATAAATAAAAATATTATTATCATTATCATTATTAATTATTATTTCAAATTATTACTATTGATTACTATTATTGGTGATTATTATTATTGGTATTATTATTACTTATTTCAGTATACCTAAATATATCTCACATTATATATATATACACATGTACGCATGCACATCTGAATCACCTAATATATATATATATAATATATATATATATATTAATATAATATATATATATTAATATAATATATATATATATATATATTAATATAATATATATATATATATATTAATATAATATATATATTAATATATATATATATATATTATGTACATATTTATATATATATATATACATATGACCATATCCAATATATATATATACATATTGGATACTATATATATATATGCTATACATCGCAATACTGCGTGTGTGTATATATATATATATTATGTGCAAACACATGCCCCTTTGTCAGTCAAACTCAGAAGGTGGGCTCCTCTCATGGAAAACCAGCATGGCAATGAACCTTTATATACTGCCTGTCCCTCCAACATGACAGTGGAAATCACCATGCGGAAGAGGCACTCTATTCACGCATGATAATCATGATGGATTTGCATTGATCCTTGCCATGCCTCTTAGCAAAAAACATTTGGGTATTAGGATTATCCTTTGTATTACGAGTAGTAGATGATAGATGATTGAAAAACCACAATAATGCTATAAGCCCAAAACGTCCGAAAATCTTGAAATGTACTATATTAAATACATCCTTTCCAGTCACAGGCCATCTCCTAGTTTCAGGGATCATCCCGGTGCAAGATGACTTTCTCACACTTAGCCGTTGGGCAGCAACTTTGTGCCAACGTTACTATGTTCGCTGATATCTGCCACTGTCGCCACTGGATTTGCACGACAATAGTGGTGCAAGAGCTGTCCATCAGGCAAAGTCAATCGCAGAGTTTGGAGGTCAAGCTTCATTTCACGCGCAATGCGTTTGTGAGTTTCCCAAGCCAGATCAGACCCATGCACAGTCATGTGCAATTCCTCTTCCCCAGCCAGATTTGAGCAAATCAGCGTGAGTGCATCATCTTCACAAAGAAATTCCAATTGCAAAACACGATTGCTGTCAAGTGACACATGGTGAATATAGCGCTCGCCAAGACTCAGAGGGGGAATGTCACAGTGTCCTTCATGGCAACCGACAATACTACATCCGCAAGCAACGGCACTTCCATCACTGCGGAGAAGCGCAGTGTGGGTTTCGCCTGCAGAAACCTGGGTTGTTTGGTGCTGACCTGCTAAGGCAAGTTGACTGTTCAGTTCTTCTGGGAAAAATATGGACTGATACTTCAAGCCCCAAGATTTGGGGTTGGATGTATCGTTCCATATTCAAAAAGAAACACAAAAAACATCGAAATGCATGGCTTTTATCTGCCCCGGGAACATGGGTGTATGAGATTCCTTCTTCCAAAGGTGGAATGTCGCATTGCCCGAAGGCAGCCATTCCGCAAGCAACAGCACTGCCGTCACTTCGCAGCAGCACTGTGTGACATGTTCCTGCAGAAACCTGAGTATATGACATTCCACCCTCCAATGGTGGAATGTCACATTGTCCAGCATCATTATTCCCGCAAGTGGCAACACTCCCGTCACTTCGGAGAAGAATCGTGTGCTTGCCACCAGCAGAAACCTCTGTGTACATAATTTTCTCATCTAAAGGTGGAATGTTGCATTGACCACAACAATTTTTTCCACAAGCAACAGCATTGCCATCGCTTCGGAGAAGCACGGTGTGATCCCCACCTGCAGAAACCTGGGTATAGACCAGTCCCGCCTCCAATGGTGGAATGTTGCCTTGCTTCAGTCCACACCCGACCGCACTGCCATCACTTCGTAGGAGAACACTCTGATGACATCCCGCAGACACCTGGGTGTATCGCAGTCCCTCTGCCAAAGGTGGAGCATTGCATTGCCCAACCTCATTTCTTCCGCAAGTGACAACGCTGCCATCACTTCGAAGGAGCAAGGTATGATCGTCACCGGCCGCCACCTGGGAGTAGGACATTCCTGGACCTAAAGGCGGAAGTTCACAGCGTCCACCCTGGTTACTTCCGCAAGCAACGGCACGACCATCACTTCGGAGAAGCACTGTTTGACCAGCGCCAGCAGAAACCATGACCACAGGATCTAGGCTTCAAAATAAACTTGTGCAAGGTGGTGCCATAGTCAGCCAATGTTGGTTTATAACTATAGGATCCCTAGGGTCTAAGTAAATTATATCATAGTACCAGTATGTGTGTGTGTGTAAATCGAGAGCCAATCTCGTTGGCCAATTTATAACTCGTGGGCACCACCCTGTGGATGTTTGTGATTTGTGCAAAACACATCCGTCAAGTTGCAAGGGTACTGAATCTTAGCTTATAATTGGGCGAAACATGGTGAAACCACGCACTATAGCTGCGGTATCACCGCGTTGCTTGTTATAGCCCAACTAAAGATTGATCCGACATGGGGTGTGGTAGAGGTATGCAACTGATTTGCTGTTGGAAAGCATGAATATAGCTCTGGTAAATAAGCGGAGCAGGCTCGTACAATTATGTCCATGATGCACTTGACTTTCCTCACATCTCACATTGGCGCGTCCCAGCATTCGATTCCTATAGGGTACCAATTGAACTTGGCCTCAAATCATCTCAAGTCAACATGTCTTGAGCCACTGAGGGGCTTTCAAAGTAGGCAAGGGCATACCTTCCAGCTTGCAGTGTAGATGGTGATGATTGGTGCAGCGATGCACTTTTTCCTTCTACCCACAGTTTGGTGGAAACAACAAATTCTCACACATGTTGGTCACAGAAGAAGATAAAGAGTATAACAGCATACTAGCGTAACAGTCCAAAGTCACTGAAGGGCAGTTCGAACCAGAACTAGCAGCTACAGTAGTAGCATCGGGATCGCACGAAGCCTCAAAGGAGCCATTCATCGCTGCCAACATCAGTGGGCTGCAGCCCTTCTTGTCACGCTGATCCTGTGGCGCGAACCGACTTCAGAGTCTGAAGAGTGCTGGTGAGCCAAGGTGGTGCCTCCAGCTGTGAAATGTTTGTTAGTTTATATACATATATATATAGAGAGAGAGAGATAGATAGCGAGTTATGATATACAAATATATATATATAATATGTGATATACATATACATAAAGCAATAGTAATAAATAAATATATATATATATATCATATACTCTATATATATCATATACTATATATATATCATTTATATGGATATGTATAGTATATGTAATCAAACATTGCTATGGACAATCTGGCATTCATATCATGTTGTTGTCCCGCTAAACCTCCGTTTATAGGGGAATTACACATGCCATGTGTGATGACCGATTCCAGCCTGGGACACCATGTTCGGGTCTCCCCGGTCCCCCCGTAAAGGTCCGGGGTCAATATCCAAGCGTCCACCAGCACATTTGCACTGAGGAGGCATCGCACCACCTCCCAGCCAATGAAATCTGTGAAGACACATTGGGCTCCAGAAAATCTAAGAATTCCTGGTTGGTGGTTGACCTACCCCTCTGAAAAATATGGTCAGTTGGCATGATGAAATTCCCAATATATGGAAAAACAAAAAAAGTTCCAAACCACCAACCAGATTCTAACAGTAGGAGAAGCATAGGCAAGCAATGATCACCTGGGTGCTGTATAAACTGTATAAACTGCATTAGTCCCTATGATCAACAATCAAGTTCTTGGGAAATGGTGGCATACCACCCGATTCACCTTGCAACCATTCTATCCCCACTATTATCCCACAATATTTGTAGATCTCAATTTGGTGGATCTGAATTTTCTTAGCTCCAGGTTCCCTATGAGAAAATAGATAACCATAGCTCCGTTCACTGCTCCCTCCATGAGGATAGTGATTCTGCAGGGGCTGACATATATATATATATCATATATACGTATATATATATATCACATCACCGGACAAAAAAAGGGAATAATTCATCTCCGACTCCAACAGATACCATTTTAAGTGATGTGAAGCAAATCCCAGTTTTACAGGATATCAGAAACCCTGGTGCAAGTATCATACATCCATTTAAATCATTTAAAGTCCCACTATACCACCATTTTTGTCAGTTGAATTCCTATTTTTGGTGTTTCATCACCATTTTGTTGGTTAAATCCATTTTCACACCAGGGTGTGGTTATATTTCGGTTGGTTAAATCACCTTTGTGTGTTAGTTAAATTCCTTTCTTGTTGGTGAAACCACCATTTTTTTGGGTTAAAACACATTTTTCTCTGGTGAATCACCATAAATATCCATAAACATCCATAAATATCCATGAATATCCATAAATCACTATAGATCACCATAAATCATCAAAGAAAAACCATGAATCACCAAAAGAGTCACTGTTTTTGCTGGTCAAACCTCCATTTTTCTCGGCTGAAATCACCGAAAAGTCACCTGGTGAGCTCCCAGACTGGCCGCTTCATGCAGTGCGGAGCGGCCCAGATCGTTCACCACATTCAGCTCCTGGGATTCAAGGGATTTCACCCAGAAAGCCAAGAAATATGGGGATTCAACGTGATTTAACCATGAATTCACAATGAAATTTGACGATTTGACATGATTTCACGACATTTTACATGATTTCATCATGAACGATTCGGATTTAAGCACAGTTTGGGATTGACATGGAGTTGACATGAAAATTTGGGACTTCACAAAAAAACATGCGCTCAATGGATGGTGTTTACCATTCATTCCCAAGAGCGTCTGAGCGCAGGGTTCTTCCAATAGTGGGGGTCTGTAAAACATCTTCTCATCTTCTTATCCTCACATCTTCTCATCTTTGCATCTTCTCATCTTTACATCTGCTCATCTTCACATCTTCTTATCTTACATCTTCTCATCTTCACATCTTCACATCTTCACATCTTCACATCTTCACATCCTCTCATCTTCACATCCTCACATCTTCACATCCTCTCATCTTCAAATCCTCACATCTTCACAGCTACTCATCTTCACATCTTCACATCTTCACATTTTAACATCTTCACATCTTCACATCTTCACATCCTCTCATCTTCACATCCTCACATCTTCACATCCTCTCATCTTCACATCCTCACATCTTCACAGCTGCTCATCTTCACATCTTCACATCTTCCCATCCTCTCATCTTCACATCTTCTCATCTTCACATCTTCACATCTTCACGCATTCACACATCCTCACATCTTCACATCCTCTCATCTTCACATCCACGTCCGGCGCAACCCTTTCGCACGAAATGAGGTTCGATCGCCAAAAACTGAGGTAAAATTGCGATTTGCAAGTCGTCCGGCGCAACCCATTCGCACAAAATGAGGTTCGATCGCCAAAAACTGAAGTAAAATTGCGATTTCAACTTGTCCGGCGCAACCCTTTCGCACGAAATGAGGTTCGATCGCCAAAAACTGAGGTAAAATTGCGATTTGCAAGTCGTCCGGCGCAACCCTTTCACACGAAATGAGGTTTGATCGCGAAAAACTGAAGTAAAATTGCGATTTCAACTTGTCCGGCGCAACCCGAAATTTCGCACGAAATGAGGTTCGATCGCCAAAAACTGAGGTAAAATTGCGATTTGCAAGTCGTCCGGCGCAACCCTTTCGCACGAAATGAGGTTCGATCGCCAAAAACTGAAGTAAAATTGCGACTTCCAAGTTGTCCGACGAAGTGTACAAAAGGGTCTGTGTGTAAAAAGGGTGTGCGTAAAAGCTTCTTTGTGTAAAAGCGTCTGTGTGTAAAAGCTTCTTTGTGTAAAAGGGTCTGTCTGGAAAAGCTTCTGTGTGTAAAAGTGTCTGTGTGTAAAAGCGTCTGTGTGTAAAAGCGTCTGTGTGTAAAAGCGTCTGTGTGTAAAAGCGTCTGTGTGTAAAAGCGTCTGCGCGATTCTGTGTGTAAAAGCGTCTGTCTGTAAAAGGGTCTGTGTGTAAAAGCTTCTGTGGGTCTGTGTGTAAAAGCTTCTGTGTGTAAAAGATTGTAAAAGGGTCTGTGTGTAAAAGCTTCTGTGTGTAAAAGCGTCTGTGTGTAAAAGGGTCAGTGTTTGCGATGCAAACTATTGTCTTGTACTTGAGCTATATTGTCTTGATACTCCTCTTCTCGTCTGCCTCTAACACATCTTTAATATATTGTTTTGTAATATGGTGTCTCCATACTAACAAGAGAAGACCCTGCTCCTCTACGCTCTCGGACCATCCGTCGTCTAGTTTTTGGGTGTGTCCTGCAAATGTTCCCTTCATCCGTAAAATGTCTAGATATGATACGAGTAGCTTGGAGAATGACAGAAAGTTTAGATGATTTTTGCTTTGAACCCGTGACTTCCCGATAATTTTCTGACTGGAATTGATTGAATATTGGGATTATAGGCAAAAACATCATGTTCGCAAGATCCCAATTTCTTGTACTTCCTACCCTATAGCTAATACAATTGTGCATCCCGAAATCTTGAAGTTATCCTAAAATCTCACACGGAACCCGAAAAGAAACAACTGCATTCATGATGCCACACTTTTTTCAGCAAAAAAACAATTTCCGCTTGCTGCAACTGACATAGACTACCTATGGATGGGCAAGTTGTAGGGTCTATGCTTCAATGGTCACATCCATTACCCCGTTCCCTATAATATATTCCTTATGTTGACTATGGCTCCATGGTCCTACATCCTCCCGCCCGATATAAAATTATGGTTGATACCAAATATGTTGCCGACATACAAATATCCGTTGTTTTGTGAAATCCCTATTATCCCTATTGTTTCTGAAAGCCTACACATCCATTGTTGCTAAAATATGCCAACATCTCATATCAGTTGTTTTGCGAAACCCCAAGTGTTACTGAAATCCTACTCACAGTGTTGCTGAATTCAATCTTTTCGACATACATTCTCCGTTGTGAAATCCGTGCTGAATCCCTGTTGTTCCTGAAATCCCCAGACTTGTTGAAATCATTGCTTCCCCTCCGGTAATCAAACCGGGCAAAGGATTAAAATCCACCATATTTATAGATGATTTTCCCATGAAGACCTTCATTGAGTGCGGGGTAAATATCCTTTGGCTTCACTACGCATGGCTCCAACATCCGCCCCGGTGGCACCATCTGAGGATGCGCCAGCAAGAGCTGCAGCACTTCTACTCCACCCCGCAGGGCGGCCATGTGCAGAGGCGTCTCACCGTGCTGTCCACGAAGCGTCACGTGGACCCTGTCGGTCAAGGGACGTCAGAAGATCTTGGAAAAATCTACCATCTGGTTATTTAACATAGCCATGGAAAATCCCTCATAAATGTGGTTTTAATGGGAAAATCATCTATAAATGGGCCATTTTCCATGGCTAGGTTAAATAACCAGAGGGTAATCCATGAAGTATATGGCACAGTTGGTGAGAGTTGATGGATCATTCTAGGGGGAAAAGATGGATCTTACCCACGGAAAAAACGTGCGTTGTCCCAACATAATTTCATGGAGTACTTCGAGAGTCAAAGTTCTCAAGTACTACACATGCAAGATTGCACCAGTGAATCAACCCTATGAACTATACAGTGGACTGTGGATAGTCAAACTGTCTTGGTCGATCGTTTACCCATCACCATCAACTTTATTGGATAAATCCCAAGTTGATAGTTGACTAAATCTCCATGCCATATTTATTGCTCAACTGAATAGAATTACCCTCTGGTAAACTAACATACCTATTGAAAATGGCCATAGAAATAGTGGATTTACACATAAAAAATGGTGATGTTCCATGGTTATGTTAACCGGAGGGTACATGATATACAGTATCCTCTACATCATGTGCCCCCACTTGTCATTCTCCGTGGCCAATCGGGATATGGGGATCGCCTTTCGCTGCGCAGCAGCTGCATGACCACCTCCGTATGATCAAAGCCGCAGGCCACCAGCAGGGCCGTCCGTCCGGCGAAATTCGTCAGGTTGGGATCCAGGCGTTCACACCTCGATCGCAGAAGGTCTGTGATCGGAGAATTCCACTGGTTTCAATACAACACAGAGCCAGAGAACCAAGCAAAATCATAGTTGGAGGGACAAATACATATAATATATAATATTATATAATAAAATATAATATAAAATACTATTATATAATTTAGTTCAATATAATATTACAATATATAATATAATGATATATATATAATCAAATAAAAGAAAACATTATTCAATATGATAAAATATTATAGACTATAGTATAGTATATAATAGAAGTATAATATATAATATACTATAGTATAATAAGATAAAATACTATAGTGTAATATGTAATATACTATAGTATAATACATAATGTACTATAGTATAATATATAATATAATTAAAAAATGAACTAATATAATACATCTTACATGATATTATATACACATATATGTGGTTTTGATTTCCACTGATCGGGATGGAACGAATTCCAACCCCTGCAATGCGAGGCTTGTCATACGGGCAGATTTTCATGGGATGTTACCCAGACCTTCATCTTGCATGGTACAGTGCTAATCCAATGTCTGATAGAATGCATTTTTTTTGATAAAACCAGTATTGTTCTACGTATTTTCCATCTTAAAATCAAATATTCCAACTTGAGAACATCCCACGGTAAACTCCACTGAAAGCCCATGTTTGCTCTTGATGAACATCTAAATTCTTGAATATCCGAAATCTTCCACCATGTTCACAATGTTTTCCAACATTCTACCATTTCTTCCACATTTTGTCTATCCCAAATTGTTGATAGTTGAATATATACAAATCCCAGCATGTTCATGTTTTTGTTTCCCATGTGTTCCACCATTTTCACCTTTTTTCCATCACTTTTCCCATGGTGTTCACCATTTTCACATTTCTTCCATCACTTTTCCCATGGTTTTCACCATTTTCCCCTTTTTTCCATCACTTTTTCCCATGTGTTCCACCATTTTCCCATTTTTTCCATCACTTTTTCCATGGTTTTCTCCATTTTCCCCATTTTTCCATCACTTTTCCCATGTGTTCCACCATTTTCCCCATTTTCCATCACTTTTTCCATGGTGTTCACCATTTTCCACTTTTTTTCCATCACTTTTCCCCATGTGTTCCACCATTTTCCCCTTTCTTCCATCACTTTTCCCATGGTTTTCACCATTTTCCCCTTTTTTCCATCACTTTTCCAATGGTTTTCACAATTTTTCTCTTTTTTCCCATCACTTTTTTCCCATGGTTTTCACCATTTTTCCATTGTAAACCAGGCCTTTTCCCAGCATTCGCGACCGAGGCGCGCCAAGAGCGAGCGCATCACCTGGTGCCGCCCCACCTCGGCGGCCACCAAGATGGCGGAGGCGCCACTGTCGTCGCGTTGGTTGGCGTCCACCTGGTGGCTGCAGCCGGGGTAATCACCTGGATTATTATCATTAATAACTATAGATAATAGTGGATTTATTCATAATCATAATGGTTAATAACCATATTATGAATCTATAGATAGTGAATGATATTAAAAGAAAACTATAGGTAATAACTATAGATAATAGTTCATTAAAAACCATACCTATACCTATTATCTATAGATTATTAATGATTGATGGTCAACAGATAATGGGTATGGTTAATTATAGGTATGGTTACACCATAATTAAGATAGAAGCACCATTCATGACCATTCCTATTATTTTTGGTGGATTTGATTCACTATCTATTAATACCTATTGATCTATCTATAGATAGTGAATGATATTAATAGATTAATGGTGATCAAATAGTGTTTATTAATTGTGTTATTAATATGGTGACAACTATAGATAATAACTATAGATAATAGTTCATCAATAACCATACCTATTTTCTATAGATTATTAATGATTAATGGTTAATAGATAATGGGTATGGAATTAGTGATTGCTGGTGATCAGTTCTGGATTGATAGTGAATTGATTAAACTATATGAATGATAGTGATAGTTCATTAATCCACTATATCACCATATGGTTATTAATGATTGGATTGGATTGATATGATGATTAATTAATGGTTAATGGTGATTAATTGCGGTCATATTGACTTAATGTGAATAGTGGATAATAGAATACCAATATAAATATAAAATAGGATATTAAACCAATGGGTACCAATATTATATTATAATAGTTTACAATACTAATAGTAATGGGTACTAAATTAATCATTTACACATCTATAACAGAATATGAATATCTAGTTGGGTATCCATTACTGTAATATTATAGAAAAGATACAAGTATATATATAATATAATAATAAGAGATAATAATATTCACTATAGATAATCAATTAATATCAGCAAACTATACTATAGATACACTTTTTCATTATACAAGACCTGGTATCTATACTATATACTATACTAATAATTTTATGTAGAATATGTTTATGCAATACTAGGTAATAATAGGTAATAATTAATGATTTTTGATCCACTATAATCCAAGTTCTTAATCCACTATAATACCAATAGTAATTATAGTAGTTCATAATATGTATATATATATACATACAATACTAATGACAATATTGTACACATGCATTGTTATACCAGAATGGTTATCTATACATATAGATAATGATGTTATGCTATATTAGTAGCTGCATATAGCTGTATATAGAATAATCTATAGAGTATATAATTGCATGATTTTATATACCCATTCTTATCTATACAATATACCGTTACATAACATCATATACATATATAGTTATTTTATACTATACTAATCATAATTGATAACAATCATGGGAATAATAATGGATAACAATGGATAGTTGTGGATAATATCGATCAAACATAGATGATGGGTATATTAATCAGCAATTAATTGGCATTCACTATGTAATAGTATAGTATACTACTAATTTATAGGCAATAAATGTATAAAATAATTTACAGATCTAGTATGTTAGCCATGTTGGGGCATGTTATCCATATGTTCAGTGATAACAATCCACCTTATATTATAAATGGACCAATTGACCAAAGATAGGATAGCACAGAATTGGTAAATTAATACCTAATATTCATGGTGGATGATATTGATGATCATATGGATGGATGATAAATTGGTACGGTATGATATATTGGGTTAACATGATGGTATCATCTATATATGTATGGTTGATATGGTGATATATGGGTTGTTATATATTATATTGATGGTGTTGATAATGGCTTCATATATGGCTCATAGTCCGTTAACATTGGTAAGACACAACAAATACTGGATAATAAATAATGTGTATATATATACATTGTATATTGATATATATATATATATAGTAATAATGAGGGATTAATAATGACAAATAGCATATTTTGGGTTCTTAATGGATAATGATGGTGAATTAAATTATAATGGATGACATATAATGTGATAACTGCTGGAAATCATGCTAATTATTAACAATGAATAATCTGTATGAACAGTAAAAATTGATATGATAATGTCGCATAATATATTGGGGCTGTGTAAAACTGTTTAGTAATGATTTACCCATTATTGTTATCCAGTGCTATAGCACATACTGGGCATCATGGGGTTAATTTAATGGATATAATGGGATTATGTAGTAATAGGGTTAGCAAATACTGGTGTGAAACAGCTGAACATTCTCATACATAGTTGTGGAAATGTGTAACCATGAGTAGCATATTCAACAATAACACCATTATCTGACCCATTCTGAATAAGATCATTCTTAATGGGTTATTGACCCATATTATCATGATTAGCCCATTCTTAAACATATCTATGGGCTTAAGTTATGCAATCATGGCTATGCAATGGCTATAATATTGGTTAATAAAAGTTAAATCCACGATTGGAAACCTATTAACGTTTGGAAAAAAATGAATTTTTCAAAAAATAATAGGGTTATCATCCAAATGTTCACTGGCTACATACATCCCGTTGTTGTTGATATTGGGTAATATCATATGTATATGACATTGCGTTCAAGTCACTAATGCCGAATTCTCCAGCCAGCCATGTTTGACTGCAACTGCGGGTACTTCACTGCTATTTCACTGTTAAGTTGATGATAATCATAAGTATAGTAACGATTTAGGTATCATTTACTACATATCCACAATCAAAAATATAACGATATTAACTGTTGTTGGATTTAGGTTGATGATAATTATAAACACAAACCAACCTAACTCCACTGTCTCACACGGCTGATTGGGTGGTTGTAAAATCCAGGTTTTTCCAGGGAGTTCACCAAGGATCAAGTGGATGTTCAACCAACGGAATGGGGATGTAACCAATAAACATTTGGACTTCATTGGATTTATATAATGTGAATAGCATGGGGAAAATCATGGGAAGATGACGCTAATAGTAAACAAATATCTCTTTAAGTGTGTGTTCATTTATCGATCAATTTGTCTATATACCATTCTATGGTATTTGATAACATGATGTTAAAAAACTTGAATATATTTGACACGCGTACGTACCTACTACATGTCCCTGTTGAGCTTTGCCTCCAATTATAGTTCAAAAATGGAACTTCTCGTTCCTCCACCAGAAACGGATAGACTCGAGAACCATGTGACCATATGGCACCTCCAAAAAACCCACCACACCTGAGGATAACTGAGCAGAAAACCTGGCCATGATCAAACGCAGGGATCCGTGATGCGGCGCATGTACAGTTAGTACAGTACTAACTGTGGTACATGTATGGTATTACTATATAGGTGTACACACAGTTAGTACAAAAGTTCATACTTATATATATATATAACGTACACATACACACAGTACTACTATAGTACTAGCGCAAAAGATCATTGAAGCAACCGTATATAAATTATCATTGCAAACGTTTGAGGTACATGGGGTAAGTACGAATAAATTTCCGGTTGTAGACATCAACCCATGCATGAGCCAATCGGATCTAATTGGTTCATCAGAATCTGCCAAAAAAACAGTTGGATTTTTTGGCGAGCCGCCTGCCACATCGTCCTGGATGTTAAAAGGTGGCTCCCTGCAGGCATAGTGCCTCGAAGCGCTTGGAATCGCTAAGTTGGTCTCTTTCAATAAGATTTCACTAGGTCTCATGGTAACCTGGCAATTATAACTAGAAAAACTCTAGTTCATGGATGTGAATGGAGTGGATAAACCAACAAACATCACTGGTGGGCCGCCTAGCTTGAATGTTTCAGCTATAGATATTTTGGGGCCGGGAAATGGCCACAAAAAGGTTTTTTTGTCCAACACACAACAAATGATGACCATTGCTGACGGCTAAAATACCTCCGCTGACGTGGATGTGTTTAACTTCACCAGGCTGCAATGGCGTCACCCCGTGGAAATCCGCTAAGTTTGGATCTGCTGCACGGTCCATCAGAAACCGAATAGCCTGGCAAGGTGGGTTTTCTCGGTGGGCTCCTGAAACAACCAAGTTGGTTTACAGTTTACCCTCTGGTTATTTAACATAGCCATGGTATAGATGGCCCACTTATAGATGGTTTACCTATTAACAATGGTGGATCTTTCCATGGCTATGTTGAATAGCCAGAGGGTAATACATTCTAATACATTTTAGAACTCCAATTCCACTATAGGGTCAATGGCAAGTATATATAACTATAGTTCATTCACGTTCTAAACCAACAGGTCATGAAGGTCTGGCTGGAGAGCATGCTCCTGCCGAAAGTGGCTAGTTTACTAGGATTAATAGGGATTAAAATGGGATATTAATGGGATTTATAGGGATTAAAATGGGATAATTAATGGCATTTGATTAATTACCCTTTGGTAATTTGACAGCTTGCTATGGAACATCACCACTCTGAATCGCTAAATCATCGAATGGGCCATGGCTTCCAGTTTGCAAACTCTTCAATGACCAGAAGATATCAGAAGATATCCCATTACCATCCATTCTCCAATATAGTCATTGGATTGGTTTGAGGGAGAACATACATATTTCATGGAGAAGAACAAAGAAATGAACCAGAAACCACCATATTTTTCGTTTGGCGAAAACATGAGACATGCACCATTTATATTTGATTTTCCCAGCGAATTAAACCTCCATTTAGTTCGGACACGTCCCATTTCTCCCGGCCTCCATTCGTCCTTCGTGAGACGCATAGCACAGTGCAGTCATACCTCGCTCATCCTGAGCGGCTGGATGACTGTGAAGAGTATGGCCAAGTCTAAAATGACTATAGAATACATTAGCCCAGATTCACCCATATTAACCCATCATCTAATCAATGAACTCCAATAAAAACATCAGCTCAATAAAGATCAAACCCAATCCCAGGCCCAAGTCCTGAAGATTCACATCTTCCTCCTCCAAAGCCTGCATCTGCTTCTTTTTTCATGGCATCGATCAACGAAATATGGCTATGACATGACTCCATTGATATCCCATTAAATCATGATAAATCATGATAATGTTTGATTGATAAGTGTTTTAACTTGTGTAAATGTGTCTAAATACCCTTACTCAACCACGTTTTTCCCCACCTGCCAGGTGAGAGTTGTTAGATTTTATCACAGTTGTTCTCCTCTTCCTCCTCCTTCTCCTCCTTCTCCTTCTTCTCCTTCTCCTCGTCGTCCTCCTCCTTCTCCTCCACCACCTCTGCCTCCACTTCCACGTCCACTTCCGCCTTGCCAACTCTTCGCCAATCTCTTCGCCAACTTCTGTGGCAGTGGGCACTGCTGGACCTCAACTGCCGGCTGCCGATCTGAGTGGGCACGGCTGGACCTCAACCGCAAGGTTCTGAGCGCAGTGGGCACCGCTGGACGTCAGCCAGGGACCTTCCGAGCCCAGTGGGCACCGCTGGACCTCAACCTGGGACCTTCCGAGCTCAGTGGGCACCGCTGGACCTCAACGGCCAGATAGAATGCCAGAAGATATGCCAGATAGAACGCCAGATAGAATGCCAGAAGATATGCCAGATAAAATGCCAGAAGATATGCCAGATAGAATGCCAGAAGATATGCCAGATAGAACGCCAGATAGAATGCCAGAAGATATGCCAGAACATATGCCAGGTAGAATGCCAGAAGATATGCCAGATAGAGTGCCAGAAGATATGCCCGAACATATGCCAGAGGATATGCCAGGTAGAATGCCAGAAGATATGCCAGATAGAATGCCAGAAGGTATGCCAGATAGAATGTCAGATAGAATGCCAGAAGATATGCCAGGTAGAATGCCAGAAGATATGCCAAATAGAATGCCAGATCGAATGCCAGAAGATATGCCAGGTAGAATGCCAGAAGATATGCCAGATAGAATGCCAGATCGAATGCCAGGAAGATATGTCAGATAGAATGCCAGAAGATTTGCCAGTAACAAAACATATAAATGTCATGGTGGGGATCACTCGAAGTAAAGTTTTTTTTTTTTTCGGATGTTTTGTTTTTTTGTATTATTAGGGTGGATTGTTATATACGTTGAGTCATCGTGTTGAATGGTGAAGGTTGAATCCCACCTTGGTTACGAAGATATTCCATGGGATGGTTTCTATATGTTTCGACATCCCCAAGTCGTGTTTGTTATACTATGTAGAGAAATGTAGGCTTTTCACAAACCATCCCTTAATTGGAGGTGTCCTAAAAAATGGGTACACCAAACCATTAGTTTTCCAATTGATACTAACTATAATAGCCCATTTCGGATGATTTTGGGGTACCCCCATGACTTATGAAACTGTTCATTTCTTCCATTCACCACCGAATAGATGGTTTCTACATTCCCAAAGTGTTTTTTACTACTGTAGATACATGCAGGTTGTTCATGGCTGTGCATGCTTCCCATCCCTTAATTTCTTCCATTCACCACCAGATACATCCAGTCACATCCCCAAAATTCCTCATCCCAAAAAGATATTAAACATTGCATAGAATAACAGTATACATGAGGTTATTGATTATATCCCACTGTTTAGTGAATATGAAGGTAGATAGTAGATTAAAATATAGATAACTAATCACTGTTGATTAAAAAACATATATATATATATATGTATATATATATATACACAATATTATTGTATAATTTGTATATAGTCTATAATATTCTGTAATATATTATATAGTCAGTTATATATATATATATATCATCAAAAAACTCTTGACTTGACATCTCCGGCCCCAGGCGTCCCAGGCGTCCCCACCTCTTGCAGCTCCTGCATACGTCCCAGGCGTGCTGCAAGGTGCAAATTGATGGGACCCCAAGGCTCACCGTGTACCTTTCTTTAGGCCAAAAGCGTCTCAGAATGGCTGGAATTTGACATATTTTGACCATGACAAATATGTGGATTTCAAGTGATTGACCATGAACAATGTATGTGGATTTCTCAGGTGTATTTCAGGTGATTTCACCCAACAAGGCCGGGATTTTGCTGATTCTAAGTGTTGATTTAGGTATTCTTAATTTGAGTTTGATAATGAACTGATGTGATTCAAGCCACACATATGAATTTGGCAAAATTTCGCACAATGGTGATTTCACCATCTATAACGGCGATTTTATCCAACGAGGTGTAACTGTATTGAACATATTTATAACCATCAGTAAAATGGGACGTCATTCTCTAACCTTCGTTACAAAGTGCGGTTCAACAGATTCATGGCTACGTCCCAGTATCCGTAAACGCACTGTTTTGCGATGCAGAAATATAGTCTGTAGACCTAGAAATTGGAAGGTCGCCGTGTGGAAATATCATCCAAAATGGTGATTTGACCAACAGTGGGGATTCAACAAGAATGGGGGAACAGATTATTTAACATGGTTTAACTTGGTCTAACACACAAGCAACAGTTTGATTGGGCAACAAACTCTAACACTCAATCATGAAGGTGAAATGTTGTTGAACCATGTTGAACCATGTTGAACAAACAAACAAACAAACAAACAAACAGGGTTAAACAAAAAGGATGTAGGGTGATCTAATCTGGAAACATGTTCTTACTTTTTGGTTGCGTGATTTTGTGGTCCCTAACAATGGCAAACATGGTGATTTGTTTTCAATGTGCTGAAATGGTGTTGCAAAGTTCGAGACCACCCTTTTGATTTTTGAATTTCAGACTATATAATATAATGTATATATATATATTGTATTCATGACTTTACCACTTTCTCTGAGTACCTTTGGGGTCAATGGGGTCCAGGGAACTCAACTTTAGCGATGAGTATTAGTGAACAACAAAGAAAACAACATACATTTGTTCAAAGTTGTTTCCCATTTACCGAACAGCATTGATCTGTGAATTTGAGTTTTGTCTTGAAAGTCAAGTGACACAACACCTAAAATTTCATTCTGTCAATTCCTACTGATACACATCAAATCCGTGAAGCTTCACCAGCCACTGCCTTTAGATCCTAGTGCTTCAAGATGCTACAAGTAGATTCTGACTATACAACATACTACAACAGTTTGGTGAGTCATGCACAAACATCGGGCATTGTTTGGGATTATTGTGCCTCCAGTTTGATGCGTCTAAAAACCCTCTGCTGGGTCATAAAACCATGGCGCCTGTGCCGTGCTGCTGCCGTATTTTCTTTCAGTGAATCTCCCATTTTCAGTCGAACACCCCGAAATTGGATATAGGTGCTCCATGGTGGTCCCCAATATGAATGAATAAACCAAGTTTTTACCCATATTGTTTGCAGCATTGCAATCATGTTTCCTTTGCCAAGGGACATTGAGCACCTGTTCTGAGCAGTCTGGCACATCCGGGCTCTCGCTGGGGAAAGGCCTCGCTGCAGGCTGAGGGTTTCCCATGTTTCCCCTTCCCCTTGCCCTTTTCTTGATTCTTGGATACCAAAATTAGGAAAGATCCTCGGATAATCTAGAAACACGTAGAAGCATTATCTAAGCACGGAAGATGTAGGGTGATACCGCAGAGTTCTCCCACCAAACTATACATCGGATCCTTCCTGGGCATGATCACAAATGTATACCCTCTTCCAGTGCAAATATCTGGCACCTTGAAGCTAAAAGAAAGTGATGGATCACTATGATCACTATTTTAAAGATGCACAGTCACACAGTGGACCAGGGTTTCGGGAGTATTTCCTGCAGTATGGATTGTCTGCGCAAGCGCATCACCTGATGTGACTGGCTTGTTTGATGGTCAAGAGCTGTTTGAAAACCTGACCAAAAATGGGAAATGCCTCGAAAATCGGTGAACAATAGTGGAAATCTATAACCATGTCAGAAAAAACCCAAAAACTTGGGATTTAAACCCACCTGGTACTTGTGGAACTGTTTAGATCTATTTGGTGGGCACTTCGATCCTCAAGTTTTGAGTGGGAGAATTGTCAGCTAGTTGAGCCAAGAGGCCAAAGATTCAAATCTTTCAAGAGACCTTTGCTCCCTTCCAGCGCATCATTCTGGGACTCCTGCGAAGTTTCAAACAGCAGCTTGGAACATCCTCCAGCTCGCTCGCTCTCCATAGTGGCAAACCACCATTGAGATGGAAATGCAAAAAATGACTAAATCATCCTGAAGCTTGGCCCGACTTACCTGTTTCTACTGTTTTGTTTTGTTTTGGGGGGTGATTCTCACCTGCAAAACTCCAAAAGCTTCAAAGTCCATTTTTTTTTCGATTCCTGCCGTGAGCCTCACCACAACTTCACCGTCCCTTGGTGCTTCATCTGTCTTAGTAACTAGTTTGTACTATCTGGTCGTCATTCCTGGGCCTGATCCAGTGATGGTATCCTGCGAAAGGATCGCGGTTATTTAGTCAAGATCCCCATTTTTCGAGTAATCAAGTGATGCATCGCTTCGGCGTCACCTCCAGCAGTTGTCGTAGAATGAGTTGGACTCGCTCCCAACGTAGCTTGCGATGCCAGGCCTCCCGTGACGGGAGATGGTTGTATGGATTTTTCATGGGAGTTGATGCTATAGCCTACGCTGAGTCAAAATGGATATTAACATCGGGATACTTAATACGTGGGAACTATTACCGTAGCTGGGTTCATGTTTAACAAGAGACTTATGGATGAAAAGATTGATTTAGAACTATGTATAAACTATTTCGGTGCAACCCTGACGTTGCTCCGCACCGGACTCGCGGAAGGGTTGCGTGTTTTTGAAATGCCATGTCGGTGGACTTTCAATATGCAGATGTATATGTGACCCATTATCATCATGATCATAATGATCATAATGATCATCGTGATCATCATGATCATCATAATCATAATCATAATCATCATCGTCGTCGTCGTCGTCGTCTGTTGTCGTCGTCATCGTCATCATCATCATCACCACCATCATCATCATCATCATCATCCATTATCAAGATAAGTTGATGCTATTTTCCGATTCAGCATATGTGTCAAATGAGGTGATGGATTTGTTGATCCTTTATGAAGATAAGTTGATGTGATTACGGCATTAAACACATTTGTCATAGGGGGTGGCGGGTTTATGATCCCTTATGAATATAAGACAAATAAGTTAATGGTATTGCTCCATTCCACATGAGTTGACACTGGTGATGATAATGGTGATGATGATGAGGAGGAGGACGAGGGCAGGAAGATGGCTGTAAATTGTAAGATGCTGTAAGTGTGGGGAAACGTCCGGGTTGGACGAAACATGACGGAACTATTTATGTTCTTTGTTTGGGATTCAAATGTTGAATCTTCTAATGTGCGTTGGGATTTCCTTCAAATAGGAGGATTCAGGTATTAAACATCCAGACTCTCAGGCTCACCCGGAACCAATCCCTAAGAAACAGAGGGATGTCCATCCGCAGCTAGTGGCTTTATCATGTTAAAGCCATCATTTCTGCGTCAGATGTGCCATTTCTGCTACGAAAATCCATCATCCTGTCCCAAGAAATTACGCCATTCTGGGAGAATTCCCCTGGTCCGGTGAGGTTCCTGCGGCACGAGGTCATAGGAAAATGGTACTGTTCTATGATAGAACCCCAAGATCGTCTGATTCTGATTCGATAGGCGAATCATCTTCCAGACTCTATTTTTAAGTTTTCATGTCAATTAAAATTCCATGATTAATCCCCATTAAGATCCCATTAAAATCCCAATGCAATAGTAGTATCCCCACTTATGGACAAATTTGGGGGGCAGAATTTGCCGAAGCACAACAAATCCAAATTTCATCCAGCTCATCTCCGCCTGCACAAAGTCCTGTCCGGGGAAGTAGCCGCCATGTATCTCCAGGGCGTGTTGGTGTGCATCGTCGCCGCAACAGGTGAAGCACACCCAGCAGAAACCTCCGAACTGGGCCCAGCCCCCCTTGGAGACAACACCTCATGCGCCATCTACGTGCTTGTTTCTAGAAAGTTGAACATAAACACCACTTCATATATGTATATATAATTATATATATGGTCCCGGGTCAAAATTGTGTATGGAACGTTCCGCGGTGTTCCGGACGTATGGAACGAAGGGGCTTCGTAACTGGTCTTGTTCCGGACCTTTGGAGTGTGATGAAATATAGGCTATACATAAATAGATATAATATATATATATATACATTATATGTAACATATATATAACATACATCTCAAGGATATGCACATTGAAGCTACTCCTCATCTGCACGACATCCTTGTTGTACACCTGTTCAACGCAGGTTTGCCTTGCATGGCTAGTGCTCGTGCACTAGATATGACATGACCGGTAGCCAGTGTCACCCATGTGAAGCTGTCGACTGAGCTTCAGACCTGTCACGCAGGTCCCACCTCCTACTCTTAAAACTCAGAGGTCCCTATGGGGTAGATTGTGTCCCTGCATAGCAAGACTCTACCCTCCCATAACCCACGCACAAAGGATGGCTTACGAGCAGTCTATGTGAGAACCTGCCATGTGTTCACCAGTGGGTCAGGGGTGGTACATGGGTGGTCCAGGTCTTCAACGGGTATGGAACGGTATGGAACGGGGTCTGGAACGAAACGGCCCACTCCAGCACAGCACTGCCACCACGCAGCACATCTTTATCAAAATTCGCAGTTTGGAGCGAGAATAGCGCAGCAAGCAATTCTTAGATTGCCAGCTGGCAGCAGCCAAGCGCATCTCTACAATCAAACACCACAGCTGTGCCACAGCCTGCAGCAACTTTAAGTGGTGCAGGCACAAACCTGCCACAGGTTGAGAGGGAGGGAGGGTTACAAGCAATCCATTCTTAGACTGCCAGCTGGCAGCAGCCAAGCACATCCCTACCATCACACAACAAAGTAGGTAGCAGCTGTAAGTGCTGCAGGCACAGACTTGCCAACACAATCACAGGGCTTGGGCATAGTAAACGTATTCTTGCATGTATGCACTCATGTATGTACGTGCGCTCATATATGTGCGTACAAATGTAAAATCAGATTGCACATAATCAAATATATATATATATAATTGTAAATATATATATATATATATAAAAATCAACAATTATTATATATAGTTATGTATATATAATAACGTATGGATCAGAGGTATGGAACAGAGGTATGGAACAGAGGTATGGAACGGATCCTTCAAGCAGGTATGGAACGGGGGTATGGAACGGGGGTATGGAACGGGGGTATGGAACGGGTGTGGTCCCGGAGCTTGTTCCGGACCTCCTATTTTGACTTGCCCACATATATATATATATATATTCATCATCAATTAGCAATGATTGAATGGTGGAATTTACAATCTTCCATTTTTTCGAGCTAGCTCAAAACATGTAGCTGGCTCAATTTCATCAGGGGTATGTTTTGACAGTCACCTTGGGCTTTTTCAGAGGTACCATATCTAGTACTAAAGTAATCAGTGGGGACTGAACCTGGCAATTTAACACATTGGGAAATTCCTGCGAACTCGCTCAACTGCAACGAGCTGGCTCAGCACCATCGAGCTCGCTCAAACACATCGCTCTAGCTCAGGGGCATCGAGCTAGCTCAATGGCATCGAGCTGGCTCAATTTTTTCAACGAAAAAAAAAAACGAGAAAAAAAAACACCAAAAAAATTGAGCCAGCTACGTCACGTTGAGCTGGCGGACGAATGTGAGAGCATCAAAACGAATACTAACTATGTATTGGCCGGGTTCATGACGCATTGGCGAGCCGGCTCAAGGGCATGTAGCCGGCTCAATTTCTGCGATGTTTTTTGTTTTTTCTTTTTTTTTTCGCTAAAAAAATTGAGCCAGCTACGAGGCGCTGAGCCAGCTACGTGGCATTGAGCCAGCTACGTGGCACTGAGCCAGCTACGTGGCACTGAGCCAGCAAGGTAGCTTTGAGCTTTGAGCTAGCAAGGAGGCAGTGAGCCAGCAAGGTAGCTTTGAGCTTCATCATATATATATGTATATATATATATATGTATATATATATGTATATATATATATACCTATGCAATCCCAAGCATATAATATACTAAATCTAGGGCAAAACATTTTTTTTGAGGGAGACACGTACCTTTGAGCTGGAGCGGGAATGTGAAATCTACCATTCGAAATGATAGGTTTCATAGTGACATCATTCGTGACAGTCACCCGGCATTTTATGGGACACCATGGGACTCCGCCGGTGCACCTTCGTTGCAGGCCAGACAGGACATGGCCACACAGCCATCGGGATCGGGATCCAGTGGACAGTGGCACTTGGGGCAATGCATCGTGAGGCATTCCGCCACCTTCAACGTGGCGGTAAGGGCTTTTTTTTACGTGTCGGATTGGTGGTTTTTCTAAAAGCCTGGAAGAATGGACCAATGGAAGCCCTGAAAAGGCTAGTGGTTGAAAATACTCCTTTCATCAGCTTGTGAAACTGCTGGGCTATAAAGGGGTACCAGTAAAGTTCCAGCACATCTTGAAAGGTGGTGCAAGTGGGCCCTTGGCACCTGCTGAATCCTGTTACAATGCGTGGGCCCCAAGCTGATTGCTCAACTCCAAAAACGAGGATTTTTGGTGGATATATGTACAATTGGTTAAACCAAGTTGTAACTGGTGGGGTCCATACGGTCCATGTGGTAAAAAAAAATATCAGATCTGATTGCCAAATCCCGTGAGACATTGCCTGGACGATTCTTGTTTCATTCCTATCCACTATACTGGTACATCTTGGGGTCATGTTCCATTTAATCATGAGTTATCATGATTTATCACTATCATTTTTTATCCAACACACTAAACAATAGGAGTATGACGTATGTAAATAAAAGCTGGTGTGATATTATTACGGTTGACCATTCTTACTATCCTCTGCTATTCACGATACCAGTTCCGAGGCCACGAGGGCACAAGGCCTGTAGCTGGAAGAGTCGTGGTGACATGTGCTGCCGCAAGCGCATCCTGAGGCGGAAAAAATTCCTCTCGGTCTTGTTTCATGTCCCATGACGGATCCATGGTGCTGGTATATATGCTAACATGACTGGGGTATATTGATGGTAAATGTTGCCATATATGGCATACATGGATCCTATGGGTGTTTGTTCTACTTCTTGCTGTGCAATACGAAAGACTTTCCACATCTTTCCACCATAGAACCGTTGTCTCTGATGTATCTTCTCTCTGCCTTCCCCGACCAGACCTCGCCATTCTGACCCAGCTGCTGCTGCGGATCGTACTGAATATAGTCTGCCTGTCCATCACAAAGAAGCCAGGTATGTGGCAGCACATCTTTGCCTCAACTGGTTCTGTCTGGTTGCCGCCTTGTTTCTGAGGGGCGGTAAACGGTACACGATTGTTGGCTATAGGATAGTTTCTTTTTGACAACTCGCATGTCACAAGGAATGATATTTGGAGAGACACATCTTGACCAAACAAACGAGTTTTCGGCTTGTGACTACGTTCTCACTCCGAAGTTGAGCCTTGAACTCAAGTATGAGTTTCTGCGTGCATATGACGTGTGTGTATATATAATATAAGATGCTATGTATTTCTATATATATATAATGCTTATGATGTAATATATCCAAACACTATTTCTTGTTGGCTTTCAGTCTCTGGATCTGGGATTGGTGCATCATGGATGCAAGGTATGCAAAACATTGCAAAACTAGAATGACACCCTGGAACTCCTCAACCTGAATCTTTACTCTGCTTTTGGGTTGCAAAGCTGGCTGGTTTTACTTCATTATTTAGCTACACTTGAATGGAAGCTGAGACTGCCCATTTGGACACCCAAGAAAGTACCATAGGAATCCAGCAGGGATCATTCTCCATGCCCATTCTTCCAGAGTGTCATTGTCATTTGAACAAGGGCCCCTTATCTATGGGTATGTATATAACATTTTATAACTATTGTTCCCCCTCCAGAACCAATCCAGGAGTCCTATATGTTTGAAAACTAGGGCACCCCAGAATATAATGATCGATCATCATTTTCCCATATTTGCCTTTACATGTCCTATGTTTTCTCTATTAAAATTTCTGATTTTGGAAAAACATCGTCATGTGCGTTGATGGCTATTCTATCCGTTTCTATCCCAATATCATGGTAGAGGCAAAAAAGAAACATAGTCACTTCTGATGGTTAACAATCTCCAATATTATCCCATTTATAACCTGCCGTACAATATCCAAGCAACTACGTCCCATATCGAAATTTTGCAAACTCTCCACATATTGATGGTTAACTATGTAGGTTCCCACTTAAATCCAACCAAATGGGTAGTCATATCCTCAGTTCTTATTCTTAGCTAAATTTCCATGTGTGTTTGACTGAAATGGTTTAATCATAATGTGGTTGGTGGTTTCAACCGAACCCCTCTGAAAAATATGACTTCGTCAGTTGGGATGATGAAATTCCCAATATATGGAAAGTCATAAAAGCCATGTTCCAAACCACCAACCAGATCATAATGTTTCCTATCAAAAAAAAAAACTGCACACCCCCAGTTTTCAGACCTGGACCCAGCTGCTTTTACGTACTTCTCTCGGTTCATCGTTCTCCGACACGCGCGCATGTGTCACCAAGCGCACCGACCTTTAAAAGGCAGCATTGAAGACATAGAATCGAAAGACTTCAAATGTTAGTTGATTGATTTGTTGATGCAGTTTGTCACAAGGAACATTTATAGTTTAACATTTGTTCCACCGATTGGACAAGAAACGAGGCGTTGCCAAAAATTCGCTAATGTAAAATTCACACATGGGGGAGGAAACACGGAGCACCGTGATGTTCTCAATGATTCCCTAAATAACTCCGATTTCCAGTTTGTGTTACCCTCTGGTAAACTAACATGGCTATTGAAAATGGCCATAGAAATAGATAGAAATAGTGGATGTCCCTATTAAAAATGGTGATTTTCCATAGTTTTTTGTATGTTTACCAGAGAGGAATCGTCTTGGATCCCCCGATTTTCACTAGCAATCCCTGTGAATTCCAATCCTTCCTAGGACTTGTTCACCAGAAACTTAAAAACATATCAAATCGTTAACTGTGAGTGAATGTTAGTGGGAGTTTTATGGTCAACCCCCATCTAATGGAACTATATAATTCAAAAGGCTAGATACGATTAAATGGGGGCGTTACCATTTCAATTTATATAATCCTCATTTATCAACAGCAATCCATCTGGATGGCTACAATATACAGCATGTTGAGCTTTCACCGGTAGACCTGGACACAAGGTCCTCCACAAGCACAGCCCATTCGTCCTCGCCCGTCTCCTGTCACCAAGTAGCCCAAAATGAGGCCGGAGGCCAAACAAAAAGCACCGATCACGAAAACAAACAGGCATTATATATATATATATATACGTATATATATATATATATATACCGGCATTATTTACCATTAAAAACAATAATATACAATAATATACAATAATTCACCGTGTGTATTAGCCATATTAACCACCAGCATGGTCATGTTCATTGAAAAAATGATGGTCAACCATCAAATTCTCGGGATCTTGGGGGTTGGCTTCTGGGATGGTCATCCAAGTGATACCGGCAGTCAGTATAGCCCGAGTCCTACCATCCACCATCATGTCTGGATTACTGTACTGTAGGTTATCCAGGATTTATCCATGCTTATTCAAAGTGTGGCCAAGTCACTTTAAATCCATGGTCGCTGAGTCGTTGATCATGAAGAGGGTCATAGTCATAATATCATCCCCCTAATATTAAACACCCCCTAAACGGTCCCACATATGTGTAAATTCCCGACTAAACCATGGTTTCTTGGGAGTGCTTCATATCCGGGGGAAGGGATTAGTCATTCATGGCGTACTTTCATTGCCTGGCGGAGATCCGTCTGTGTGTCGCTGCAAGCATCCTGATTGGTTGATGCATCAGGTAGGGGATCATGTTCCAATGAGATCCCCAGAACTAAGCAGCTCGAATTGCTCTAACCATATGGAGGTGTCCTAAAATATCTAAAATGGGGGGGGACCCCCCAAAACATCCCATTTGAGTAGCTATTTTCCCATATATTTTCCCCTCCTAAACCATCCAGCTCTTGGGGTAGGCTGCGAGCTCTCTAGGCTGCGCCTCCTCAGGGTCAGCCGCACTCACCGGATCGGTGGCTTCCACGAAACGGCGCAGTGCCGTGCCAGCCAGCTTTGCCTGGACCTGGGGGCGGAAATCGAAATTTCACCGAACCAAACATGGGGTGCCATGGGGTGCCAATCTCATGGTCAATGTTCCGGATGCAAAGTGTTGCTTCGAAGTTGTTGTCCCTTTTTCTGGACAAAGTCATGTTCAATATCGAAACATCTGCTATAAACAGGGGATTTTGCACTGTCTACACTTGCAAGATTGGATCTCTATACATGTTTATAAGGCATTTCAATAGTTCGTTCAGAAGTAGATTCTAGATAATAGTAGATCACAGTAGATCTTCAGCCACTAGACCAGAGTGCAAGCCAATCCTTCATACAATGTACCTATATATTCATACTATGATTATATCAAGGTATATGAATAGGTACATTGCATGAATATAACTAAATTGTACTGTGATTAAATGGCTCGTAATATGATACTATGATTATATACTAAGGCATCGTGTAAGAGTCTGAAGGGCTCAAATCTGAGCGGCTTACTTGGGGTCTGTTTTCTATGAGCTATGTGGAATATCAAAATCACCAAAGTGCTGGTAAATATACCCTCTGGTGAACTAACATAGCAATGGAAAATCATCATTTTTAATGGGAAAATCCACTATAAATGGCCATTTTCCATTGCTATGTTAGTTCACCAGAGGGTAAATATAGCTGAAAAATATCCCATTGTTTGGAACATCCAACTGCACTTCTTCGCACCTCTGGGCGGGAAAAGATGGTGCCTTCCCCATCGGCACAGGCACAGGCAGGACACAGAATTCCTCCTGCTGGGTCGCTTGGGAGCGCCAAATTGCCGTTTCTATGGGATTTGTTTGAACTGTATGTAGTTCATATGAGTTAATCATGGTTACTATGGGTTACATAATTGTCGTTTCTATGGTATTATGGGTTTTTTTCACCCCCATAAGTTGGGATATAACCCCCATATTTATGACCACATACATCTGGCAGCCTCCTTAGTAACAGACATGATTGATGCATTCTATGGGTTTATAGCCTCCTTAGACTTTCCTTGATTGGTTTGTCTTTTCCTTGGATGTTCTTTTCCTTTGTTTCTCCCTTGGGAACCAAAGGAAACCAAAGGAAAACAATGAAAGCCAAAGGAAAGCAGAGGAAAACCGTAGAATCCACCCAGCCCCAAACCAAAGGAAACCAAAGGAAACCGAAGAAAACCAAAGGAAATCAAAGAAAATTGAAGGATACCGAAAGAAAACTAAGCCGAATTGATTTTAGCTAGTTCCTTTGTGTTTCTTGTTGTGTCTTGTTGTGTTTCTTTTGGAAAGGTTGACACTGCTAGCTTTTGGCCCATACCTTGGTGGAAATGTGTAACACCTGTAATACTGGTACTGATAGGTTGAAAAAAAAAACAGATGAAAACACAAGAAAACCAAAGGTTTTCGAAAGAAAGGACAGGGGGATCAGAGGAGAACATCGGATCAGCTAAGGTAGCCCTGCTGTGAAGAATGCATGTTTCAGTGATGTTACTAAAGAGTTCCTATGAATACGCATTAAGTGGAAGTGTAATTGAAGTGTACCCAAAAAATCTGTAAATCCGGAGAAGTGTCACGGAAAAAGTTACGCTATCATTCAAGGGGGTCTAACTAACTATTGGTTTTCGACTAGGTACCAAAGAGTTGGGGAAACATCTAGTTTAAAACACCACAATTTATGGTGAGATCAGATCCGTTGAGTCTTTGTTCCTGGCCATTAATATTAAATTCCCATTGATCGAAGATGAAATACCAAATTTAATGAACCGGAAATACCTCATTTGATTGCGGGCACTGTAAACATGTCCCAATATGTGGGTGAAACACCCTCTTGATGCAGTTGTTTGGAGTCTTGCGATTGATGAAGCCCGCCAGCGCCAACGCAGAAGGCTGGATCCAGTGAGGCCCGAGGCCCTCCTGTTTGAGCTGCTTTATGTTCACCAATTCAACTCTAGATTCGTCTCCAAATACATCCAATGATGACATATTTGGAACCATGAAAAATCATGAAAAATCCCCATGATGGTTTCATACCATAGCACCATATTTTTGTTGGAAAACCAATGTTTTTTTTAAATGGTTCAATCCATCACAAAAACCCTGTCCCTCATACTAAACACCAATGAAACCGAACCTTATCTAGTAATATCTAGTATTGGATCTGCTCATTTTTGGGGGCCACAGGGATGGTGGAATTACTAATGGCATTTCAGGATGGTCAAATCCGACGCCAGCATTTTTCATGGCAATAGAAATCCCGTTTAAGTAGCCATTATAGAGGAAAGGGACTACATGCGACTACCCATGTCTCATGCTTAAATCATCTCAAATCATCTTAAATCATCTTAAATCATCTTAACTCCCAATTTTCTTGGTTACCAACACCAAAAGATTGTAAAATTCACATTTTGTTGGTTTCACCATGGTTTCCACATGTTTTCCCCATGGTTTCCCCCACGAGAAATCTCGAACTTCCTTCGTAGCGCCGAAGCTCCGCCGTGCCGATCAAACTGCACACGTAGGGCTCCTCGACAGATCACAAGCTCAGTTTGAGGGAGATTTTCATCAAAGTTCACCAGGAAAATTGGGAAATTTATTAATGATAGTAAGGAAATCATTAAAGTGGATCATCCACCATAGTTATTATTTTTTATTGGAAGTTTGAGGGATTATTGAAACCACCAACCAGGAAATTTCAATAATTTCAATGGATCATTAAGCTGGTTGGTGGTTGACCTACCGAACCCCTCTGAAAAATATATGACTTCGTCAGTTGGGATGATGACATTCCCAATATATGGGAAAATAAAAAATGATCCAAACCACCAACCAGAGTAAGGAATGTCAATGGGAAATTTGCATGGACACCTCCAATGGGAATATGAATCGGATTGATATATTTGATATGGGATATAGGCTATAGCTGGCGACAATATGGGAGAATATGGGGCAGATAAGTTTGTCCAAAAATAGGGTATCCCCAAAAACCCATTGGTCAATAAGCATTGTGCAAATTAAAATGTACTTTTTTATGGCCATCTGGGGAGTATACTCCATTTTCAGACACACTGGGGATCAAACGTCTACAAGACTGCTTTTTGTTTCACAAGTTTAATGGGAGATGGCAAATGGCGACTGAGGAACCGTATTGCAAAATAGCTATAGCATCACCCTTTGCAGTAAACTCAAACATAGAGGGTCTGAAAATCCCGGTTTTTGCGAATGGTGGCATTGGCTATGGATTCTCAACAAGATAAGCTATTGATGGTACTTGACCCAGTAACGGATGCAAGAGTATTCCTGATTTACAACTTACAAAGAATGACTACAAGAGGTTACAGAACACGCCTAGTCCTGCCTATGAGATGCTGAACGGTGAACCACAGGACAACCAGAAAAGGGAAGCCATTGCCAGAGAAAATGAGCAGCCAACTCCAATTTAGGCTTAATTGTAGTACAGTATATCCCACTTGCAAGTGTTTCACCCTTGGCTTTATTATTCCCACGCATGCAAACATATGTATAAATTCAATGACCCATATGCGAGCCTCTACACAAATCTGGAGTTCCAACAGGTTTTTGTCAGCACTGAACACAGCAGGAGTTTCTGGCGAAGCTACAGCCCGGCTGCTCATGTTACGCCGGTGCCATGTAGGAGTGTAAACAATCGGATACATAGCCCGTTATTTTAAACCAGAACTGATAGTTCGGATACAGCAAGTGAAAACACTGGTTGGGATGCCCCCCCATTCTTCACATTTGCCCGATCAACAATGGAAACCAATCTTTCAACCCCGGCTTTATCCCAAAAACTTTATCTATCTCATCATTTTTGGACTCCAAATCCATGTTTTTTATGATATAGAAAAGGAAGGGCATATGCGGCATACTTAGTTGGAGGTGCAGTTGGGGGTATAACCATGGATATCACCATGGGTATTTATCTTCATAATTGGGAAAGTCAACCCCTTCCTGGTCTCTTTTTGCCCATGAAATTCGATGATTTTCCCCAGCAAAAGACACCCCCAGTGACTGTTCCGAGATTTTTTCCCAGATAGCCGCTAGCCAGCTATTGTTTGATTACTCTCCACATATCCTACTGTACATTATCAATGTGAAAATAGACATTGATGGACCATTAAAATATCTAAGAATATGGAGAGTAATCGATGAATATCCATATACTGGTCACATTGAAAATATCTAAGATCATCCAAATTCCATCAATATGTTTTTGAATTCTATGTATAAAGTGACCATGACAAAATTCCATTCATTATACCCATTGCATATCTCCACTATATCCATTGTCCCCAGTATCCTAACATGTTTGCTGGTTAAATCCCATTAAATCACATTTTTTTCTATATGTATGTCTTGCTTAAATCACCATGTTCGTTGGTGAAATCAGCCTTCTTTCATGGTGAAATTACCATGTGTGTTGCTTAAATCCTCCCTTTTTCCTGGTGAAAAATGACAATTTTCCGTGGTTCAGTGCTGCCCAAAAAAGGTCCCCGCATCCCATCCCAGGGCCGTCCAGGCAATCACCGCAGAGCAGCTGATAGAGACCATGGGGGCGAGCGCACAGCAAACCCAAGGACTTGGGGGATGCCTCCGTGGAGGAAACCCGTAAGGATCAACCGCTGGGTGTTGTACCCGGCCTGGTCAACGTTTACAGTTTGCGACATTGAAGCCATGGCCCAGTCGAAATAGTTGATTGGTCCATTAAAAATGGTGATTTTCCATGGTTATGTTAGTTTACTTGAGGGTACATACATATATATATAATGTGGTTAAAACAATAATAAATCTCCAAAATGTTTGATGGTCTAGACCACCCATTTATGGTGGTTTTGGGGATGGTTTATTATTGTTTTTAATCATACATGTATCACTTTTGAGGTACCATGGGTGTATAAGATTCCATTGAGAAAAGCCTCGGCGTAGCATTAGAAACGTATATTGATGATTATACTTATAACCACTTCTATGGGCCTGGGTACAGTTTGTATTCTATGAAATGTCGGTTTCTTGGAATGTGGGATCCCCAAAACCATGGGTCTCAATACTCAAATGGTGTAATTCTGGATATTTTGGTATCCCCCATGGACTGGAAACCTCCATATATGGCTGATTATTGGTGACAGTTGACGATCATTGATAAACATAATTTGTTAAATGGGACATGTCTGCAATGTCAACCCGTGTTCCTAGTTATGGGGATTGACCAACATAAGACAAAACAATGATGGAGATATCATGGTGAGATTCATGGGGAATATAATGTGCTGTATAGTAAAGTGTCAACCTCAAAAACTGGGTGATAATGAACATTTGGTAAATACAAGGTGTATATATATATAATAATCGGCTCATATCTTAGGCAAAGTCGATAATGGCTGACTTATAACATGTTTTCGAATGGGAAAGATGAATACAATCGTGCTTGACTAATAAGACGGTACCCCGTACGGTACACCCAAATAGTGATGTCATCTGCTAATACATGGACCCGCCGCCAAATGATCAACAGCCCAGGGGTGAATACAGTCTGTTTTTCTCTGGTTTCAACATTTGTGACGAGAACAAGTGATTCAAAACCTTCAAAAGTCTTCGGAGGAAACGAACTTTGACGAATATGCACTGTTTGACTTCGCAAGGAATTCTGATCCGTGAAGAATTGACTATTTGACTCCCAAAAAGGTTGATGGATTCCCCACAGCTAGGGCTGCCCGGTGCCTCCAAACACACGCAGCACAAGGCTTCCAGGCCTTTGATCATCCCAGAGCTCTGGGAACCACAGGTATTTTGGATCTTTTGTAACGATAACCTCTGGTAAACATACAAAAAACTATGGAAAATCACCATTTTTCATGGGTAATTCAACTATTCCTATGGCCATTTTCAATAGCTATGTTCGTTTACCAGAGGGTAACAATAGTTCTTACGTCATTTTGGGGGAATATCACAGATATATCTAGTCTTCTCTTCTTATGTATTCCTTATATTTTTCAGGAAAACAATGAAGAACACATAGCATGTTTAATCAGTTCTCGGACTGAGCCCCAGAACTTGAGCCAATTTATTTGTATTTCAGATGATGTGGGAAGACGAACTTGTGTTGGAATATGTCATATTGGAAATTGGAAACCCAAAGATTAAAAGGCAACTGATCCTCTAAACAGCTCTAAACAGCTCGGGTCATGGGGTTCCCAATGGCTTTCCGCACCTCGTTGCAAGGCCCAACAAGCTCTCAACACGTGCCGTAGCAGCGTCCAAGCACGGCCGCCGCCTCGGCCGCAGTCTGGCCGCTTGGCGCGCTTGGCGTTGGCTGGTCCTGGCCATGGCGTTCCGTGGTGGGAGATGATGATCCAAATGATCCCAGGAATGTTAGTAAAGCACTAGGATCCACCATCCAAGATTTTCCCGAATGCTTGAATTTGTGGTATAACATTGGTATATAAATTGTATAAACATATATATTATAGCCATCTGTAGCCATATGAAGGTTTCCCGAAATGGGGGTACCCCCAAATCATCCATTTTGACAAGATTTTCCATTATAAACCATCCATTTTGGGGATCCCCCATTTATGGAAACCCCCATATGGATATGATATGCTAGCATTATTATCTCCAATTTAGGGCTAAGAAGCTATTTATCAAAGAAGTGGATAGAACCCACGGCAATAGTGTTAACTTATCCAATAAATGTAATTGATATATGTATATATACACATATTGATATCATGCTCCTGCTGTCCTGCATGTATGGCAAGCAAATATAAATCAACCAAGGTTCACATGCTGGAAGGAACTATAAACATCCACAAGCAACATACATGGGTCATAGATTTGAACATAACACATCCTTTAAGTCACCACCAGCCAGGTTTGGACCAGTCAATCCTAAGAAACATCCAGTAATTTACTCGAGTGGGTCCGTCCGCTGTTGACCGTTCCAAGGGGAGGGTTTCACAATGTTTTACATTCAACATATGGATGTGTACCATAGTATTATATATACATTATGTATATATATATATATGTATGTATATATATAATGGTTATATATGTATGTATATATGTATATGTAACATAATGTAATATATACATGTAAATATATAATTTATAAATATATGAATACCCCAATGTATGGCCATCCAAGCAAGGAACAGCATGATTAAGCACCTTTTTTTGGTGGGGAGCGATCTCATGGTTTGTTCCCAAGCGAAGCACCAGCCTGCCACGGGATCTGCTTCAACTTCATGGTCTCTCATTAACCTGAGACGGGATTTTTGGGATCATCCAAGGCCTGAAAAAAAAGGTCAGAATATATAATGTATAATATAATATATGTATATATATATATAACTTATATATATATGGAATATATATATATATTATATATGGAGGTTTCCATAAATGGTGATACCCCCAAATGGTCTTTTTAATGGAACAACCATCTACAAATGGTTGATTTGGGGGTACCCATATTTTAGGAAACCCCCATATAATGCTGTAAGTAGTGAGTCCCAGCTGTTCATTGGACAGTGAGGTCCCAACAGAATCGCCAAGCTCCTTACTGGTTTCAAACGAAATAAAAGTGCAGTATTTAATCACGTATTGCCAGGCAATAACCATCAATAACCATCAATCTTGTTGCTATCTATCAATCCTGCTGTATTACTTGCAGGATCATCCCACAAATCGTAAGTGGTTAGTAACCTTGGTGGTCATACGTCCCTAGTTCCTGGAAAAAATCCATTGAAATAACTGGTTTATAGTGTCAGTGTTATAGTAATTCACCAGCAAACTCTCATTGTGTTGGTTATAACCCCCATGCAAACTATAGTTGCTGGTACCATAAACTCTGTTTAAGTGGTTGGTAACCCTGTTTGACAAGTCATTTTGACAAGTCGTTTCCCCCGATCCCAAGCTATCCAAAAGCCGCCTGGCCAGGCTGGTTACAGTTGCTTGCAAGGTCTTCTCATGACTTCCAGCCTTGCATGTCAGGAGCCAAGCAAGGTCGCGACCTGTTGACCTATTTCACGAATATATACCTAGGGCTTTATACCAGTTATACCTTATAACCAACATTTATCAACATTCTATATAACACTTGAGCGGTGGCGAAAACCTCTATATATAATTCTCTTCTAATCCTACTTGCGCGGTCTTCCGCGCTGCTTCCGCGACCACAGTTTTCAGCTTCCGCGGATGATTGGGTAGGCTGATTCTGCTTCCGCAGAGCTTCCGCGATCGGATGAGCAGCGCCTGCTTCCGCAAACGTGGGTTTCACTTCCGCGGGCCCAACTTAGTTTCATCCTCATATAACTTTCTGACTTGGAGGTTTTTGACGCTGCTCACTTGTTGCTAGTATAGTTCACGGGGCATATAAACCCACTTCTAACTGAACTTGGCGTTTCCCAAAAAGGTGCCTATTAAATTTCCATTTTCAGGCACGTCTCAGTACGGAGTTCAATAAGCAGCACCTCGGACGCGGCCATTGTTTGAGATGCTTAAACCCAGAAATGGATGTTTACAGCACACAACCAGAAATGAACAAATATATACAAATATGTAAATGTAATTCGCTGAAAATGGACATGAATCAAAACTGTACTACCAATAAACCCAAAAATAGATCCAAATAGGTTAGTTGTTTAGCTTTAGTATTCTATCATATTCTATCCAATTTGGGGGGCTTGATCGTTTTGACGTCAGCATCCAGCCTCAGCTCTCAATAGCTCCACAGCCAGGTCAGCCAGGAGTCGACAGACCTCCGGTCTGTACCCCTTTTGGATGAAGTCTACATGGGTTTTTGGAGAACAGTGGATGCTTTCCGAAGAAGGATGATGGATGATGGATTTTCATGATGGATTTACCCATTCAAAATGGTGATTTGCCCATTCAAAATGGTGATTTACCCATTCAAAATGGTGATTTTCCCATTGAAAATGGTGATTTTCCATGGTAAATGATAGTTAACCTGGTTGGTGGTTGACCTACCCCTCTGAAAAATATGAGTTCGTCAGTTGGGATGATGAAATTCCCAATATATGGAACAAAATGTTGCAAACCACCAACCAGATGATTAGAATTATAATTCCAATGATTCTTGCGATGATGAAGGATACTGTAGATGGAAGAAATCCTACACGAGTTCATAGGTGCTTTATCCACGTTTATCCCATCATTTGTAGGGTTTCAACCATCCAAGGTAGTGGAGGAAATTTCAGGCCATTTCCAAATACCTACTGTAAACTCGTCGTCTTCAAGAATGGATGCTTTGAATTTGGAACATGTTTTTGCCAGTCTCAGTCTACTGTATTAGAGGAAAACTCACTAGAGGTGGACCGCTTCGAATTGGTAATTGGATTAGGATGACATAGGATGACTATGTAAATCATCCCAGTTGAACCAAATATCCAATTATAACTGGTTCGTGGTTTCAACCCCTCTGGAAAATATTAGTCAGTTGGGATGATGAAATTCCCAATATATGTTCCAAACCACCAACCAGTTAACATTACAGTGTAGAACCTCAGTAAATACCAGCCCTGACAGATGGTGCTGTGAATCATCTCCATTTTATTTTGCCAAAGAAAGGGAAAAAGAACAGTGTGTATATGTTATATAGAACGTGTGTGTGTGTGTGCGCGCATCTACCATCAACCAACAACAGCTAGTTTCTACCACTGTTCATGCACTTGTGCTGTCCCTGTGACCGGAAAACCCACCAACAGAGTCCCCAATGGCCCTGCATTTTTACAGCTCAAAAGAAGCAGCTTCGATCCTCTGGTCCATGATGGTGGTCGCCACCAGGCCATCAACTGCTGTGATCCTTGAACTCACGTCGGTAGATGATGATGTACTCAGGATAGACTTGTGCTTCATCATAGACCTTGGACGAATCGGGCTGTTGAAAATGGGGATGACTCTTCTATGTTTCAACCATTGATACAAGGACATTTATGGCCTAGCTATGGCTAGTTGGTGTATCTTCATCACAGTCATGGGGATAGACAGTGACGCTGAAGCATGCTGAAGCCAGAAACCAAGACATCAGACTCACAAGACACGCAGGATCTCGCAGGCATGTTTATCTGATATGGGTATGGGTCAAAGTTGGTGTACCCTGGAATGGAAGATCTAGAATCTAAAATTAAAACTTATTTCATGATGGCATATCATTATGACCCATTCCCATATGTATATATATACATAATATATATATAATTACTATACATATTCATTTATGTATACATACGTATATTCAAGCCGCACCTCAAGCTCTGAAACTGGACGTCATTGAAGCGTGGAACATGTGGAACTCCAAAATTCCAAATGGATTGATGGATCCAACTGCTTTGAAACATCCAACAAGGTCTCATTTTTTTAGGTACCCGGACAATTTTTAAGGTCATACAGTCATACAGTGTCATACATGTTTCCCCATGTTATTGCACATGTTGGTGATTGTTGGTGGATAGACATCTCAATTTTGCTGTGCCTTAAACTGCAACATTCCGAAAACTGGGTTGGATAAACCGGTTCAAACTCATATCTCATCCTGTTTTGGCTGTTGTTTTATTTCAAACTAATGATCTCCCTGTCTCCGCTGACAAACTTCGCTTCTGAGCAGCAACGAACTCGCGATAAGTTCCCGCCGCTCGTTCGCGATCACCCAACACACCATCGTAGTGGCCTGGTGTTGGTCGTCGGGGGCATGGCGATGCAGGAGGCACCAAACAAAACACCATGCAAGACTTGGAGGACCACTGCTGTGATGGTGGTGATGGTCATCATGTTTATATGTTTGAATCATTTGTTAAATGCAGCAGAGTTGTCTGTCGGAATGGGTGATAGTGATGATGCAAGTTATCATTGGAACATACTGGAACCATCATGAATAATAAATATAAACTACGGTCCTACTATGAAAAATAAGTGCAGTCAAGGTGCAGTCAAGGTACTGTCAAACGGCTCTAGAATCAAAAAAATGCACTAATACCAGCATTAAGAGAAACATGATAAACATGCATGAACACCACCAGCCTATCATTCATTCACCAGTCAATATTGAAACGAAGTTCTGTGAATGCGTATGTGGGTTTCCCTCCTCTCGACCAACTGGGTTCGTATGAAAAAAAAGGTACAGTGCCAAAAAAACAAATCACACATATATCATTATATCCATTTACATATTCCATTAAATCCCATTCTATCCCATTATATCCCATCATCAATATCTCCATGAGCAGGGTTGCTCCTCACACCCCAGATACAAGGGCAAAAAAATGGTAGATCAATCAAGAGGTAAAAATTGCCAATGTCCTTCCTGGTGGATATCATTTACACTCTGGTAATCTAAATAGCTACGAACAAAAAACACAATTTTGAATAGGTAAATCAACTACAAACGGCCCATTTTCCATAGCTATGTTGGCTATGTTGGATTTCCAGACGGGACCTATGGGTTGGAACAGCCCTGTTGGTCATCCCGTACCCACGTCCCACCTGTCCCCATCGCTCGCTGGATGGCCGTCACATCGGACTCTTCCAGTCGGAAGAGCTCACCACAGCTGACGCGGCACAGAAGCAAGGCACATTTTCCGGAGAAGAGACCGCTGGGATCCTGACAGCCAAGATGGTTGCTCAATGGGATCCTAACTACCATTGTCTCACTGTCCAGATTCATGGGAGCTTGACCACAGGTCGCCAAAGAATGGGAACATGATTGAAAAAAATGGCTTTTGTTACATACACCCGACTCTCAGACTTCGCCAAAATATAAATAGATGTAAATACGTATTCCAAATATGCCCAAATCATACACAAACACCACCCTTTGGGAATCTAGCTTGGCCAATGTTGCCCTTTGTATTGGAATTCTTCGACCGGATCTCCCACCCTTTGTGACATCACCGATCGCCTCGCGTGCATACTCGTCGCATTTGCTGCTTGCCTCTGCAAAATAGGCGCCGGGACCAAACATGCAACCTGTGGCTCCGGACATCTGCAGGTCGAAGCCATGCTGTCCTGGCAACGTTCAAGAAACCAAGAGATTCTCAGGCTAGGATCCCCATTCATGGGACGTGGACCATCGTGGACCCCTTGACAAGCACCCATCAAATGTTGCAATGTCACCCCAAGGTGTCTGTGGATACCATGGAAAATACCGGATGTGAAGTCCATCAGATTTCTTCAGATCTGCTTTGACTCATACTTCACCATGAATCTGGCTGAATTCTCGTACTTCACCAGCCCCGAAATATGGTCGAAATATGGGGATGATTCTCCCAATCCCATTTATTGTGTTAAATACGGTACATAGAGTTATAATGATATCCTTTGTATATATATATACCTTCATATATATATATATATGTATATACACCTTCATATACATATATATATACATAATATTTATATTTTTATCTATCCTTTTACTATCCCAACTAGACTCTAGACATCCCAACCCCATCTCTGGTGATATCCGCACCCCCGTCCTATCCCCAGGACACCAGCAGGACTGGATCCATGGAAGAGGTACAGTTCGTTGACTTCGGATTCGAGACGTTGGTTCAATCCTGGCCGAGATCCATGGAGATCCATGGAGCACTGGCGTTGTGTTTCAATCTGTGAATCTTTGAACATTCAATGAGATATCTTGTCTATTGTATACAACATATAATTTGCATATGTGCCTCATTATCATTTGTTATCAATGTTTTATAGAGTATTGCATGTAATGTAGTGCTTGTAGTCAATCTACTGCATTCAATCCAAGTATGTGCATTCAACCAGTGTCATATCTAATAATAGTTACAACATGCTACAACATGTTACAATACTATTGTATATATTCCAACAATCTAAAATATTCAACAGTGTATGTAGATGTAATATATAGTAACTCACCACCACTTTACAAATTTAAAATTGGATTTTACTTTTTATATTTTTTTTGAGGCCAAAAAACATACGCAGCCGCCTCCCAAGGCCTTTGTGGTCTTGCATGCACCACCTGCAGAACAAGAAGATGCATCAGCAGAAACGGAGGTTATATGAACTATACCCTCTGGTAGTTTAACGTAGTTATTGAAAATGGCCATAGAAATAGTTGAATTACCTGTTAAAAATGGTGATTTTCTATAGTTATATTTGTTTACTGCAGGGTATACACATCTTTTTTCAAGAATTCCAGGAGGGATCAAATAAGCAAAACGATAGAATTCTGGGGAGACAGCCAACAAGATCAACATGTGTCTATGAAAAAGGAGATTGACTAAATTTGACGCTCAAATTGGGGATTCCAACCCCTCTGAAGCCATGGGTTTTTCCCAATCTAGGCCCAGCTTGCAAGAACCATAATCTATCCTACTCAACTTCGAGTGTTCAGCAATTTCAACTGCTACAAATTCTATATACAATACTAAAATGGAATCTATCTGATCATCTATTGATACGGAAGCAACAGCTTGATTTGCAACCAGGGGAACCAACACCAAGAAAAGGGTGCCTCCTCACTCAGCTTCATATGGAGGTTTCTTAAAACTGCGATCCCCGAAGAAACTTTGGGTTTCAATATATATATATATACTAAAATGGTCTCATTTTGCATGATTTAGGGTTCATACCACATTTTAGGAAACCTCCATATGTATCCATCTGTCATCTTCATATTATGTGTCATACTGCTCACAAATACCGTGCTTGTGCTCAAAACAACTCCAGTTGCCTTCAATTCAATATCTGAGACTGAGACACCCACAGATTCTTTTGGCATTTCCTTATTTCTATACAATTACTATCACATACTATCACTATCAAACCACTCCCTTCTACAGGGTCCAACAAACCCACACGTGGTACACAGCGAGATATGTGGGAACTTATAACCCTTGGGCCCTTGGGTCACAGAGTTCAAATATCTTCAAAGTCTATATACTCTGCACAAAACAAGAAACTCATCTTCAACCATCAACCATCAACCAAGCAACTTCCTTCCAGGTCTTCGACCGCAGTGACTTCTCCTCGTTTCAATTGGATCATCCGCCGCTTCTCCTGGGACGTTCGACTGTCCAGAAAACCAGGCTATTCATTGCCAATCTGGTGAAATTACGCGTCTACCCAATGAGTTTTTTTCCACTGCGGTCAAGTGCATGCTTGATGCGTTCCCATTTTGCCCCTGGGACTTTGACATTCCAAATCCAGCCAACAGTCATCCAACTTCCACCTCTGTCGTACGTTTATATACATTTATAGCAAGTTTCACCTCACCCTGGCCCCTTTCCATCCCTTTAACCGGCCAGGCGGTCCCAGCATCCAGGTAGCGTTTCCACAACGCATGATGTTCCAAGCGCTGAATCATCTCCACCACCAATCGGCAAGGCATCTTCCCCCCACGATCGCGAGTGGATTTCATCACAAAACCTTCGGGTCGGACTGCGTTCCACAATGACATTCAACTGGCTGGGTTAATATGATGGTTAAATATATGGTTAAATATGGAATTGGCGATGTGTGTTTCGACATGGACAGGCTGGTGGCCCAGTTTGCTAAGCTGGTTGATAACTCAACAATCGACACTCAATAAGGCCCCGCTGTTGATCCCTAAAAGTTCAACTTGTGGCTGTGTATATATCTATTTATATATATATATTTATATTTATATATACTTTTATATATATATATATATTTATTTATTTAACCATGATATCTACTATTTATTATGTATATAGAACATTATAGAACTATATATATATACGGAACATAGTAAATATGATGTAATATGATATGTGGTAAACCCATCTCAACCATCAACAGCTATAGAAATCGATCTATCTATATATGTGATTTATATGGCTCCAACCCATCCAGGCTCACCCCAAGCAGCCGGATTTTGTGACCATGACCGTGCGCCTTGTCTGAAGAGACCATGAGAACTTAAGCCTGTGCGGAAAAACCTCGTAGGTACAGTATCTAGCTAACCTCCAAGGTTTTCTGATGATTCATGGATTTATTATGTTTTATTCCACCCTAGCTGTTTGGGATGGCTACCCCATCCAGAATCACCCTGAGCCTTGAAATCTGCCAAGCAGCACTCGTCAAGAAGATGCTGAATTCGGCTCTGCCTAGGATTATAAGCCCGGAATACCTCTAGGATGCTGAATTCAGGTTTTTTTTTACGATTTCAATATGGTTTTGGATACGCGTTGACGATATGAATTTGATATGCTTTGAATTTGGGATTATGATTTCGATATGGGTTTTGTTACGATTTTGATACGATTTGGATATGATTTTGATACGGTTTTGATATGGTTCCAGTGAGTTGGCTTCAAACAAAGAAACAGAAACAGCCCAGGGACAGGTTTTTGGTCGAGTTTTAAAGTGTTTTTATGGTTTCGGTATGATTTTGATATGGTTTTGATACGATTTTGATACGATTTTGATACGTTTTTGATATGGTTTTGATATGGTTCCAGTGAGTTGGCTTCAAAAAAAAGAACAGAAACAGCCCAGGGACAGGTTTTTGGTCGATTTTTCGCAGGTTTTTGTGGTTTTGATTTGATTTTGATACGATTTTGATATGGTTTTGATACGATTTTTGAATATTTTTTGGATATGGTTCCGATGGGTTGGCTTCAAATCACAAGTTTGACCCACATCAGAAAACATAAGTGAAACCATATCAAAATCATAACAGCAAAACCAAGCCATAAACAAATCATAACAACAAATCATATCTGAAACGTATCAAAATCAAAAAACAAAATCTTCATCCTAGAGACTTCGGATCTTATAAGCCTAGGACACCAAATCAAGAGTGGTTTATCATGACATGGCGAATCTTAGAAGCCATTCAAACAGTATCGATATCAAAGATATAACAAGAAAAACAATGCAAGCATCCCAATTTATTGCTGAATTAAACGTTTTGCTGGTTAAACTCAATATATACTCAATATACATACTCATCGATATCAAATATATAACTCAAACGTTTTGCTGGTCATTAAACATCCCAATTTATGGAAAAAACAAAGGACTTGACTAAATCGGTTCAAGGTTGACCCAAGTCTCAGGGTGGAAGGAGGTCCCAAAAGAGTTTACCAAAAAAGTGTGCAGCCATTGTTTTAGTCAATTTTAGTCGTTCAAGCAACCAAAATTCATCATGATCTGCGTCTCAACTTGTCTGAGTACCCAGATCTCTACGAGCTCAATCTGCCCACTGATTCAAGGAGTTTGTCATGATCTGCAGGCGCAAGAAAGTTAATTGCTCAAATGACCAACCTGTGCAAATCAAACCAAGTATTTCCTCACAGATATGGAGCCACATGTCATGGTTGCCCAACTAATATATATATATATATATATATGTATAGTTTATGTCTTTATGTGCTAGTATCAGCTAGGTGAATAGCTGGAACATCAAAATCCACAATGACCCAAATGGTCAAAAGACACTTGAATAATAATGATTATTAATCATTATACATATGTGATATATATAAATATACATACATATGAAAAAATATATGTATATATTGTGACGGAGTCAAAGTTAGAATGAGTCCCGGTTTTCCAAAAAAAAGGATTCGTGCACTTAGAATGAGGTGAAAAACACCCTCAGTTAGAATGAGGGGGGCCTTCCAACCTTCAAATCAAATCATAAATCTATCTTAAACCATCCAAAATCCAGTAAAAGGAAATAATTTCCAATGCAACGGGTCATCAAAACCACAAACTATATATATATGCATGAGTTGTCAAGGTTTATATTCTTTCTCTTTCTCTCTCTCTCTCACTCTCTCTCTCTCTGAAACCTATCTCTTCCATCCCAGCCTGCACTCGTCACGCCCATAGGCGGTTGTGGTCATTTTCCGCGTTCCCTCTAGTCCCTAAGTCCGCGTGGATTCATCAAAACAACGAAAATATGTATTTATATATATATAAATATCCAGAACTAAAAAGATTCCAACACCAATAGGATGGGGGTTCCTGTTTTGGAACTTTCAAGAGCCCCTGAAGCGGACAGAATTCGCACATGCTTTGAATTTAGCCTGAGGCCGCCAAACTATGGAACGTACTGGGGTGGCCCCGAGTTCGGGAAGTCCCAATGAAAAAATAGATTCACAGTTAGAATGACTGCCCTTAGCCGACATGCATGGACATTTACATAAATATATATATACCGTATATACACATAAGAAATCATGCTTTGTGATGAAACCAAAAGTTTTGATGGTTATAGTGACCGAGGGAAAGATAGAATGAGCGTTTGGAAAACCGCTATGATTTTTTTTGGCCAAATGCAAGGCAAAACCCCTCATTCTAAGTGAAGGCACCCGGCTTTTCCATTTATCACCACAGTTAGAATGACGTCGTTTTTGCGCTTTAGGCTCTGACTTTGCGGCATGTGTGGGGAACTCTGCATTTTGGCGACCACAGATAGAATGACGACCAAACAGATGCCGAAACCGTTACACAGTCCCAATCCGTTAGATTCTTCCAGAAAAGTGTCGTTTAGTCCATGCCACCCATACCCTTCCGCCTAGGATGATTCATAAACACGACCATCATCATCACATCATCTAAATCACCTGATCTAGTCACTTCGTCATTACTACCACCATCTGCAAGAGCCATGGACGACATCAGGGAGGGACTCCTGCTATCAGCACCACCAGGCCTGACTGGTTTTGGGCCTGCCCTCAAGCTTTACACCGAGAGAGAAGGGGAGAGACAGTTAGATATAGATATCGATGTAGATATGCATACACAGCATGTACATATTCATATTTATATACATACGCGCACACCTGTGATATTTTAGTGTGTATATAAATATAGTGATATTTGCATATAAGTAGAGGATCCGGTGCTCCTCTTTGACAAATATTTCCCTTTCAATTTCAAGCATGCTGCAGGCGCTGAACCTTGGGAACGCAGGGAGCTGGCTCCCCTGCCACCACCTGATGAACCTCTCCCGGAATCGGTGGAGACGAATTCACCGACAGCTGAGCCATCGGCAAGTTCAGTTGAACCTTCTGCGATGACAGCCCAGCCCGTCCCTACTCCAGATCTTCCCGCCGGGATCAAAGAGTTCAAGACCACGTGCCTTGGAATTGGTCATGGGTGAAAACTAAGTGGATCACTTCAGTTTAACTTTGGAAGATTATCCCGGTATGGGTTTTTCACTGGTGTAGGTGGGGAAACTGCTGAAATTTGTGAGGCTGAGTTAGAATGGGGTGCTTGATTCAGAAGCTTTGCTTCCCCCCTACCAAGCTTTGCCCGAGAGCCGCAGGTTTCAAGTGAAAATAGAGGGGAAGACGCGGATCTTCCCAATCAAGCTATACGGTGACAAGCTAGCCGCCCGAAAAGCAGCTGTCACGTTTCAGCAGCGGGTCACCCGCATGCTGACCCGATGTGAGGTCATGAAGGGTCAGGCACGGATCTGAGAACCCAAGTAAATACTTTGACCTTCAAGCCTTCCTTATTGTGCGAATTTGCATATACCCATATATACCCATCTATAATACTTCCCCATTGTTTGGGTACTTTTACCTTTTTTCATAGGGTACTTGGGGGTTTAGGTATTCTGGAACAGTCATTCTAACTCAGCTGGAGAAAAATGTTCAGCCCAGGGGATCTAACAGAATCGAACGCTCCTTCGAAAGAATCATATGAGTTGATGGTAGCTTGTAAGTTTCATTAAAGATAACCATCAAAACTTCTGGTTTCATCACAAAGCATGATTTCTTATGTGTATATACGGTATATATATATTTTTTATTTATGTAAATGTCCATGCATGTCGGCTAAGGGCAGTCATTCTAACTGTGAATCTATTTTTTCATTGGGACTTCCCGAACTCGGGGCCACCCCAGTACGTTCCATAGTTTGGCGGCCTCAGGCTAAATTCAAAGCATGTGCAAATTCTGTCCGCTTCAGGGGCTCTTGAAAGTTCCCAAACAGGAACCCCCATCCTATTGGTGTTGGAATCTTTTTAGTTCTGGATATTTATATCTATATATATATAAATACATATTTTCGTTGTTTTGATGAATCCACGCGGACTTAGGGACTAGAGGATCGAAATTTCAAAACAAGGCGGGAAAACGGGGAAAATGACCACAACCGCCTATGGGCGTGACGAGTGCAGGCTGGGATGGAAGGGATAGGTTGCAGAGAGAGAGAGAGAGAAAGAGAAAGAATATAAACCTTGACAACTCATGCATATATATATAGTTTGTGGTTTTGATGACCCGTTGCATTGGAAATTATTTCCTTTTACTGGATTTTGGATGGTTTAAGATAGATTTATGATTTGATTTGAAGGTTGGAAGGCCCCCCTCATTCTAACTGAGGGTGTTTTTCACCTTATTCTAAGTGCACGAATCCTTTTTTTTGGAAAACCGGGACTCATTCTAGCTTTGACTCCGTCACAATATCTTTAATGAAACTTACAAGCTACCATCAACTTATATGATTCTTTCGAAGGAACGTTCGATTCTGTTAGATCCCCTTGGCTGAACATTTTTCTCCAGCTGAGTTAGAATGACTGTTCCAGAATACCTAAACCCCCAAGTACCCTATGAAAAAAGGTAAAAGTACCCAAACAATGGGGAAGTATTATAGATGGGTATATATGGGTATATGCAAATTCGCACAATAAGGAAGGCTTGAAGGTCAAAGTATTTACTTGGGTTCTCAGATCCGTGCCTGACCCTTCATGACCTCACATCGGGTCAGCATGCGGGTGACCCGCTGCTGAAACGTGACAGCTGCTTTTCGGGCGGCTAGCTTGTCACCGTATAGCTTGATTGGGAAGATCCGCGTCTTCCCCTCTATTTTCACTTGAAACCTGCGGCTCTCGGGCAAAGCTTGGTAGGGGGGAAGCAAAGCTTCTGAATCAAGCACCCCATTCTAACTCAGCCTCACAAATTTCAGCAGTTTCCCCACCTACACCAGTGAAAAACCCATACCGGGATAATCTTCCAAAGTTAAACTGAAGTGATCCACTTAGTTTTCACCCATGACCAATTCCAAGGCACGTGGTCTTGAACTCTTTGATCCCGGCGGGAAGATCTGGAGTAGGGACGGGCTGGGCTGTCATCGCAGAAGGTTCAACTGAACTTGCCGATGGCTCAGCCGTCGGTGAATTCGTCTCCACCGATTCCGGGGGAGGTTCATCAGGTGGTGGCAGGGGAGCCAGCTCCCTGCGTTCCCAAGGTTCAGCGCCTGCAGCATGCTTGAAATTGAAAGGGAAATATTTGTCAAAGAGGAGCACCGGATCCTCTACTTATATGCAAATATCACTATATTTATATACACACACTAAAATATCACAGGTGTGCGCGTATGTATATAAATATGAATATGTACATGCTGTGTATGCATATCTACATCGATATCTATATCTAACTGTCTCTCCCCTTCTCTCTCGGTGTAAAGCTTGAGGGCAGGCCCAAAACCAGTCAGGCCTGGTGGTGCTGATAGCAGGAGTCCCTCCCTGATGTCGTCCATGGCTCTTGCAGATGGTGGTAGTAATGACGAAGTGACTAGATCAGGTGATTTAGATGATGTGATGATGATGGTCATGTTTATGAATCATCCTAGGCGGAAGGGTATGGGTGGCATGGACTAAACGACACTTTTCTGGAAGAATCTAACGGATTGGGACTGTGTAACGGTTTCGGCATCTGTTTGGTCGTCATTCTATCTGTGGTCGCCAAAATGCAGAGTTCCCCACACATGCCGCAAAGTCAGAGCCTAAAGCGCAAAAACGACGTCATTCTAACTGTGGTGATAAATGGAAAAACCGGGTGCCTTCACTTAGAATGAGGGGTTTTGCCTTGCATTTGGCCAAAAAAAAATCATAGCGGTTTTCCAAACGCTCATTCAGCTCATTCTATCTTTCCCTCGGTCACTATATATATAAATACATACATATAAAGATCAAAATAGATCAAAATAGCAGCACATGTAAAGAGAAAAGATATGAAAGGTGGAGAAAAAATACATTTATCTGGGCAAATGATAATAATTCACTAACCTGAATAGTTCGGCCATTTTGGGATGATTCCCCTATAAAAACCATGATTCCAGGGTTCGGTTGCAGTGAGGTCGCTATAATTTGCCCAGATTTATGGTAGCCATTCCTTTAATCATCCCATCAATCAGTAATGATCACTATTAATCACTATGAGTCAGTATTAATCACTATAACTGTTAGTTAACTATCCATTGTTAGTGATAGCCATTGGTAGCCCTTGGTGGACCCACCTGAAGCCACCTGGTAGGCCACGTTGCATGGCATCGCTGGAATCCAGCATCTCCATGGAACAAAAGTCCTAGTGTTACACGATGGCCGTCTTAGAGGACAAGTACTAAGATGGATACGAATGCCATAATCCCCAAGAACCATTCTTATATATAATGTATAATATAATATATATATATATATGGATTATACATATAACTTATATATATATATATATAACTTATATATATATATATATAACTTATATATATATATGGAATATATATATATATATTCATGGGGTTTTCCATAAATGGAGGTACCCCAAAATAGATGGTTTACAATGGAAAATCCCAAATAGAAATGGATGATTTGGGGGTACCCCCATTTCAGGAAACCTCCATATATGGATAAGAGGGAGGATTCCATCTTATATATGGATAATCATTGAAATGAGTAATTGTAGGATATTGTATGTAATTGTAATAAGATGATAGCAATTGGATGATTCAATGATTGTAGTAATGGTAATAATATCCAATAGCCCAAGTAGGTACCCTCTGGTAAACTGACACTGACATAGCTATGGAAAGTCACAAGTTTTATGAAAGGTAAATCATCAAACTAAATGGCCGTATTAAATTACCAAAGAGTAGTAAGAGTAACAATCCACAATAACCCAGGGATACCCATGTAGTATAACCTTCTATAATCAATCAACAGGGATATCTTTAATGGCTTCGGAAAGAGCTCGATTACCCTGAAATGTCAAAATGAAATGCAAAAAAGACATGATCAATCCTGAAATTTTAAGATATCCTTGCTTTGGACAAATCCAAATGGTACCTGCATATGTACAATGGTCAATGGTATTATTCTAATCAGCAAGTCAAAGAAACATGTGAAGCTACTTAGCCTCATGAACATATCTATTGTATATCACCATGTTCACCAATTTTCCAAAAACATGCAAGTGATTCTGTGACGAAAAAAACCACCACGATTGACCCCTATTTTGGGAGCCGAGATGACACATCTCTGGCTGCGGGGCTTGTCCTGGCTGGACTCTGCAACGTTCCAGTAGTTGGGAAGTAGCACAGCCATCGATCCACTCATGGCCTAGCGGCGTTGAGACAGCTGCTGGTCAAAGTTCATGCTTCATGTTACATGGAGGTCTCCAAAAATAACAGAAAAATCTGATTGTGATTATATACTCTGCTTTAGTTTTATGTGTTTCTATCATTTTCTATCTATGTTGACACCCATGTTTTTCAGGTAGATGAGATGGAAAGCCACTGCACCGTCTCCAACACAGGTTGCCAATGGTTGCCATTGGCAAATTGGGTCTGTCACTATGCCGCAAGCTTATCCAAAATTGTTAAATCCAAACAAAAACCGCTATGATAAGCCACTGAATTGGGGGTAACCCCTTCTTTGACAAACCCTTTAATATAATTTAATCCCATCCTAAATATTAAAGAACCCCATTTTATGGTCCCATGTTTTTCAGTTACATCCACCATAGTTTCTGGGGGGTGTTTAATATTAGGGTGAAATTACAATTGTATCTAATATTACCCACAGGCCCCGTGTGTTGCCCAAGCCCAGAATAGCGTAAATTACAAGGCTTTTTTGTTCACACTATACATCTTATAAATTCTCCCACCCCCGTTAAACTTCTACATTCATTGAAGATTCTTCAATAAGGGTTTAATTCTCCCACCCCCCCTTAAACTCTTACATTCATTGAAGATCTTCAATAAGGGTTTAATTTTCCCAACTCCGTTAAACTCTTGCATTCATTGAAGATCCTCAATAAGGGTTTAATTTTCCCAACCCCGGTAAACTTCTACATTCGTTGAAGATCTTCAATCATCATCATCATCATCATGAAATTTGCCTGGAACGTCGGAACGTCCCTGTAAATTTCCGGGCACACAGGGCCTGGCCGTAATATTAGGATGGGTAACAATTCCACCAGATGTCTGGTTTCCTTTTTCAATTGCTAGATATTTCCCATTGAAATTGCGGGTCCTTTCCCATTGAAAAAAGGACGCCAGAAATCCATCCGCCAGAAATTCCTCACCTCTAAGTCCAGACTCACTGCGTCACCCTGAAGAATCGGCTCGGGGGTGACGATGAATGGTGGTGATGAATGGTGGGAAATAATGGTAGTCTTGATATGGTTATACAATGGTGAGATTCATGAAACCAATATGTTTTCCTTGTTCAAACGAACATGACTAACATGAGTTCGAACGTTCTTGTGTTTTCTCAAATCGGTTTATATAATTTTATATATTTCTCATGTGTTTCTGTCCATGAGTTACCCTCTATTCGCTGGGCTGGTGCAGAACTGCGGTCGCCGTTCGATGCTCTGCCATATAGTGCCCCAGTCACTTCCAACGTGATTTGGGTGGCAGTTACTTATGGTTGCATCACATTTCGCTGGGGGCAGTATCCACGAAAGGTGATAGTCGAATGTAAGCCCCAGATTGTCATTCAACCCTGGGTTTCTGATCATTGATGGGTCCACTTCATATATCGTTGGATCATAAATGAGAATTGTATGTGATGTCTGATAATTGCAGTTAATCACTCTTGGGGGTACCCGCTCCACTCAACAATGAACTCATGATGTCATGATGTCATGGACCAGGTTTTGTTAATCAACCACAGTGATACTTCTACCCCACTGGTTACCCCCAATCAATTCACCCCCGGATAGTTAACCCCCTCAAACCCCCAAAAACCAGAAAGGTCTTCCGAGTTTCCATATTTTTTGCACCATTTGCTACGAAAAATCTTCACCACCTTTCAGCCCATCTGAAATAGAAACGATCAGTCCGTTGGGAGCATCATCCTGCGCTACCCTGGGTAAATATGCGAACAGATTCGGAGAAACCATGTTTATGGAAAGCCTGGGAGAATGATCTGCATTTGTGGTGGCTTTTCCACATCTATGTTAGTTTACAGGGTTTGAACGGATGATTGGTTAGTATGATCCCCAAACTAATCATCGACCAACAGGTGTTTTGAACACTGCTCAAACAAAAATATCAAAATCATTAAAAGAAAATCAACTATATAGATTGTGAAAGAAACAGGTTAATAACCAACATAAAGCACACAAACACCTGCTCAAATTACAGAAAAACACATCCAAAAACATCCAAAAACTCGATTCATTTCTGGTTCTTGGGGCTTCCCCATGTCCCAACGTTGAACCTTCTCCACCATCTGCAGGACTCCACCGGGCTCCAACTCCATACGCACAGCCGGTGTCATGCGCGCCACGGAGGACACCATGGAGGACTTGGAATGTTGCCTCGATGTTTGGAAGTTAAAAATTGTGGGCGAATTTAGATATGGATGGAATACTATGGATACTTATTATATATATATAGTAATATATAGAGTATAAATTTAAGAACATCTGGTCAGAAGTTTCAGAATACTTAACATGGATTGGATTTGTCCCAGGCGAAATAAGTCGGATTGATAGATCTGTTGGATTGGCCAATGGTGACTCCAACAGTACCGCAGGGGGTGATGCGGAGCTGTGGTAATCTACGTACGAGGGGTGACATTCCGAGTTGATGGCAGGAATTAAGGGCTCTGGAGATTCCTGGAAAACCAAACATTGGGCAAATGATCAGTAAGGAATATACTGATAAGAGCAGGAATAGGAAGGACATGGAAGGACTATTCCAAGTCTGAAAATGATCTTCCCAAGCTTTTTCGTTCTTGGATCAACCATGAATTCAGAGAAATGATGCGAGAAATACCGGATGCCTAGCAGTGCTGGTCCAGTGAGTCCAGCCCTTGTTGTTTGCTCCCAATGGATATGGCTGTTTCTGAAACTGGGGTATACCTCCCAAAAATAGATATTTAAATATATTTGCTTGGTCTTGGGGTAGTAGAGTACCAGATTTTCAGATAAACTATATTGAACAATGTGTGAGCAAATCATTTGAATTCATGATATGGATTCACAAACAGCAGCTTTCGACAGGGCGCCAAGACTTCATAGGAATACTCTGCCATTGCTGTTGTGGCAAGACTGAGAAGTGCTTCCGAACGTGCCAAACCACCTTTTGAGTGTTCGAATACCTCAGTGACAGAGAAGGATCCACAAACCAGCCAGTCCATAAAAAAGGGGTTGGTGTCGGTGTTGGTTGGTAAATGTCATAACATCACCATACATCACCCAACTTGGGGATATAATCAGATACTTGAAGGTAATGTTCAAAATTCCCAAAAAGGATCAAAAAGGGACATTTACCAACCATTAACCACCAGGGGCCTTTTTCCGTGTTTATCCTTTGTTGTTGTATCTGCAAAGGGTGATCTGATGAAATCCTTTCCAAGACTGGTGCAAAACTGACACTCACGATCTGTCATGGTCATTTAAATCCGCCACTGTAGCACCTGGATTCGCATGGTAGATCCAGGCCACTGTCCATCAGGCAAGATCAGTTGAACACTACTGATGTCAGCATTGAAACGCTGCGCAATCCATGCAGAGCATTCTCCGTCCTGCCAGGCCTGAGCATGTCAGATTGTATCACCTCCAGGCACCATAGCTGCAGCTAGCTGCATAAGGAAGTCTTCACCATGTGGCCTACGATCACCGTACTGAATTCCAGGCTCTGGCGAAGGAATGTTGCATTGTTCAGAATCATTGCAGGTCTGAAGGCAACCTGCCAATGCCATCATTCCGGAGAAGCACTGTATGAAATGCGCCTGCAGGAACCTGCGTATAATATCATCCAGTGGTGGAATGTTGCACTGTCCTCATTCAATCCAAAAACTACAGCATGGCCATCGCTTCGAAGAAGAATTGTATGACATGCACCTGCTGAAACCTGAGTATATGATAGTCCGGGGTCTGAAGGCGGAATGTTGCATTGTCCAAATCTATTGCAGCCACAAGCCGGAACATGGCATACAATCACTTTGGAGAAGCACTACATGATCGCCACCAGCTGAAACTTGTGTGTATGGAAGTCCCTCATGTAAAGGAATGTCGCCAATTGAGCCGCAATCATTCATACCGCAAGCAATGGCGGAGCCATCGCTTCGGAGAAGCATTGTATTCCAATTGCGGGCAGAAATCCCGGCGTATGACATTCCAGTATCAGTATCTAATATTGGAATTTTGCATTGTCCTTGAGAGTTCCTTCCCGAGCCACAACACTGCCATAATTGCGAAGGAACACTGTACGTATCCTTAGTCTTCCTGGTAACCTTTCCCATGGGCAACTAGGCCTCGGCGACGGTTTTTGCAGGAACCAGGCTGCCAGCGAGGAACCACAAATAGAAGCAACTGGTTTATCACGGTTCCACTCATTTTCTAACGGTTCCAAAGTATATTTTTCCTCTTCCAACGCGTTTTGTCACGGTTCCGACCTGTTTTGTCACGGTGCCAATCGCTACATCAAACCTTGGTTCCGAAAACTATGCTTGGGTACTTGTCTCATAGGTAACTGAAGTGGTTACCTGTCCCAAAGGTAACTGGAAGGTTAGGGTATGTTTAAAGCCTGCAGAAACTTGGGTGTAGAACATACCCTCGTCCAACAGAGGGATGTCGCATTGTCCACAGTCCTTCATTCCACAAGCAACAGCATGACCATCACGTCGAAGAAGTACTGTCTGAGTCCCACCTGCCGAAACTTGTGTGCACGACAATCCTGCAGAAAAGGGCGGAATGCTGCATTGTCCATGGGAATTCATTCCGCATGCCATCGCACTGCCATCACTGCAGAGAAGCACTGTATGCCTCCCTCCTGCAGAAACCGTGGCAAACAAGAATTGAGCCTATGCAAATGTGCAGGACCCACGTGGTAAAAATGGATTGAACCATGGGAACCCCCTATCAGATCAGTTGGCATGAGGGGCCCCTATAACTATGGTGAAGTGTATCCAGTACAGTAATAACCCCCACTGCACCCCCAAATAGTGTCTCGTTCGTTTCCGAACGTCATCGCAGTAAAACAACTCGTTTGTGAAGACAAACCGTCTTCGAGCACCGTAAACATACGTAATTGACATGTTCCTGCACGTGGTTCCTGTTTTTTGTTGCCAACTTGATCAAAGTATTCATCCTGAGTTCTACCCAACTGCTAATTGTCTCTTCCTTGGTCCCGCGGTCGCCGAGGGACAAGTACATTCGAAATGGCAGCCCAAGAAAACACAAGTGGCTCAGAACATGCCAGGTCCAACCTTTAAGGCAACCCGCGGTGGGCGATGTATTCTGGTCTTTTTTTCAAACATCACATTTTGGAGCATCCAGGGACTGTGTCGGAAAATAGCATTGTTTATCTATTTAAAAAGGGTTTACACCATGTTTACATCATGTTGTATTCATGTTGTATTCATCTTGTGAATAAGCAATGCCCAGCCTTAGGGGAAGATCAAGGCCTAAATCCCAAGCAGATTTATTGAGCAATATTAAATATTCATTGGGACTCAAGTCCCCTGCTATCGATTTTTCTATCTATCTGTCTATCTCCATTTATATGAATTATATATGTATATATACACACATAATATGCCATCTCACAAGCACAAATGTTCACAGAGACTTTTATATACTTAAGTATGCATATGTGTGTGTGCAATAGATATCATCCTATATCCATCATTTAAATCATTAGATTACGTTTGTGACTTTTCCGAGTCACTCATCCACCAGGGGGTCTCAGTATCCCCGCTGCCAGCAGAGCTCATGACGACCATGGCAAATTGGCGGTGTGGAAAATCCCTCAGTGCTGAGATATCATCGATGAAACTGGGGGAAGAAGCTGGGGGCGTAATCCACTTAGATATGGGTAAAATGATACTTGTTGGACATATCATGTCCTATGGATCCAAGTCCGACTTGAGAAGGAACAATAACATCCAAACTCACAGCCCAAATACTTTCTCATAAAAGTTACATCACCATTCAACTTTCAACCAGCAGCCTGGCTGAGAATCATGTACCAACTTGCAACTGGCTGGGAGATCTGGGAGAGATGCCAAGAACCTCAGTCTTTGGGAAAACGTCCCATTTTTGTTGGTAAAATCCCGATGGTGTTGCTAAAACCACCATTTTTTTACAATTCCAATTTTATCAACACCAGTATGGGGATTTTACCATTATGTTGGTCATGTTAACATTTTTTTGGGTGATTTTACCATGGTTCCAATTGTTTATGTTTCGCAATTCCTAATTCTATCCGATTTTCTTGGTCAAATCCCCTTTTTTTTGTTGGGATTTTTAAATCCTTAAGTATTTTTTCAATCCCCATATTTTTGTTGGTCGAAATCGTCACCGTGTTTTTTTTTCTGGTATCCCCATGGCGTCCAGGTCCTTCCAAGTGTCAATCGGATCTTTTCTTTTTTCTCCTGCATGATGTCCGTGGTGTTCCGCCGACAGAAGTCCTCCCTGAAGCGCGACAACCTGAGGTAAAAAGGTTTTGGTAAACTTCGAAAAGGTCACCTGGGGAATAATAATGGTTAGTAGATGACAATAATTGGTTTTATCTATGGAATTAATAATGTTAATCCCCAGATGACAATTAATAGTCATGGTTAATGACATTAATAATGGTTAATAATGGTTGTTAATAATGTTTTTTTCTAATGGTTTGATTCTGGCTTGATTTTGGGAATAATGGTTATTAATAGATGTTAATAGTCAATAATCGTTTATATCATCGATAGGAAGTCATAGTGATAGTCAACAATAGATTACAATGGTTGTTTCACCGCAACAAATATTAAGGTCAATAGTGATGATGAATGATGGTTAATGGTTGTGAATAGTTAAGAATGATGATTCATGGTGATGAATAAAAATTAATGGTCATGAATGATAATTAATGGTGATTCATGGTGATGAGTGATGATTAATGGTGACAAATGATGATTAATGGTGATTAATGGTGATTAATGCTGATGAATAATGATTAATGGTGATGAATGATGATTAATGGTGACTAAAGTTAATGAATGGTTATGAATGGTAATTAATGATGACTAATATTTTGCTTGTTACGTGTTTAGCCTCAAACCATGGTTAACCATGCTTAATGATGGTTAATAATGGTTGATAAATAATGGTTAACAACGCTCGATGATGATGATGATGATGATGATGATGATGATGATGATGATGATGATGATGATGATGATTCATAGTGATTGTTACTTGTTAATGTTTCATCTCAGCAAACATGATCTATTGACCAGGGTGATCTGCAACTTGCGTAGGTAGTAAATGGTTTATCGTTAGAAAACAATGGTCATATAATAAATGGGACCTTTACTAATGGTTAACTAAGAGTGGTTAACAATGGTCAATAACGATGATTATATACAAGGATGATTCATGGTGATTGATGGACATAAGAAGCACATATGACATATGGTATGCTCACCGTTTAATTTATTGGTTAATAGTTAGTAAAAAAAACAGCAGTGGTTAATCAATTGGATATTTACCCATGCTTAACAGTGGTTGAGAGTGGTTGACAATGGTCAACAATGGGTCAATAATGATTCATGATGATTACTGCAATGGTGATTCATGGCGATTAATGGTGATTGATGGAATTACAATCCGGTTTTCAAACGTGGCTGGCTGGGCAAATCCCCAGCAAATGGAGATTTATAGCTGGGAACCTAGCCTATAAATCGTGGATTTGAATTGTCAATTGCCGTGTTTTACTACTGACCATTTGAGAACTTGCAGGAATATCTAAGTACATATGGTGGTTTCCTGAAATAGGGGTACCCCGCCCGAAATCATCCGTTTTAATGGGATGTCCCATTAAAACCCTACCATTTTAGGGGATTTTCCATTTATGGAACCCCCCAATTTTTGTCCAAGGGAAGGTCCCCAAACGATAGCCTCCTGTAAGTTGCTTTAGTTCACGAAAATCCTATGGATGATTTAGGGTACCCCCATTTCAGGAAACCGCCATGCATATTTACCAACGAAGAATCATGAAATATCATGGGATGTATACATTGGCAACAAGAATTATGGGATGCTCTTGATATTTCATGGAGATATGATGGAATATATCATCAACACTATGATCCAAACATGTATATGTATATATATATACATGTAATTATTATAGATATGTACGGTGTAGGCCAGTTAGAAAACAGTGGCAAAAAAAACCCACCCCAACTACAGGACATCTGTGAGTCAACGAAACGTGAAAACCCAAGACCATCGTCCCGTTTGACGGGATGCAAATAGCTGTGCGGAGATATATGGGTATGGATCAATACCTATTAATACCATTTTTAGTGGGATGAACATCCATTTACCAGCTATTTTGATGCTCACCAGGGGTACAAGGTTTTGACACACTGCCATATAAATGTTCCCCATTTCATGATGGTTTAGTCAAGTTAAATGAAGTTTAATCCCCCACTTTTTGTCTGGTCACTGAGTCACTGGTCAAGAAAAAGTTTTCATAGAAATTCTGGAAACACCACTGTTTCCAATGGAAGACCCTTAATGACAATGTCACTGTTTTCCCCATGAACAGCGTCATGTTTGGGGGGAATGTCCAAATCCGCAATGTTTCATGGCCCCTTCGGCAAGTGCCGACTTTTGGAGATATCTTCATGGGGGGTCACCTTTCGGTGATTAAAAACCCAAGAATCACTTGGAGTGTCATAACTATCTTGGCTAGATATCCATGTCCCCATGAAAAACGTCCATTGAAATCCTGGTGTATCCCAGTATCACCCCATTTTTAGACATACCTAAGGCATGTCTAAGTGCCACCCCGGGAGCTGAGCTTCAGTCTCTGCATCTCGCGGGAGAAAAGACAATGGAAAGCGACAGGTCAAGATCAGTTTCTTCTCGCCAGTGTCTGCCTTGGCAGCACCACCACAGAGGAAGAACAACCATGATAAAACAAGGAAGAAGAAGAGAAATAGGGAAACAAAAACATATGTATATGTGACTATATACATATATACACGTATACATACACATATATATATATACCCTGAACTTCTCAGTTCTCGTTTAAGTGGCACCTTTGCAAAGTGCTCGTTTCCCACTGCCTTTTTACAAAGTACTTTAAAACTGGTTGATTGATCATGCCTCCATTCCCTGTGCATCATTAGATGGCTCACGTGGGAAAGGCTCAAAATGCTCACTATTGATCACCTGGAGAATATTATTCACAACCATATCAAACCATGCATCCATGATCATTTTTGGGGGAGCATCAGCGATTGATTTCACTCTTCAATGAGAATCTGGTGGTGTCAACAAAAAAAGCGTGATAAGTGCGTGAAAACCCGTGATTTTGGCGTGAAAGCGACCGAAAAAAAACGTGATTTTATGGTCACTTCCAAGCGCGTGAACAGTACAAGATTTCCTCATGCAACTGGCAGCACATCCACTCATAGCTGTCTAGTGCCACACCCCTTTGTGGTAATAGAAAATGTGGTTGAAGAGTCCCTCGCGTATAGCCCTCTGCTGAAGCCGAACATGAGGGAAATGGCACAGTTCTTGCCAATTATCTACAGAACAATGAGGTGATTTGGCTTAAAGTCAAGATGGCACTTTACAGCAACGCAGGCACTTTGTTCGAAAGTATTCGTGTCCCAGGCACATTGGAAGGTCAAGGATATATATATATATATACATATATATATGTATATATGTATATATATATATGTATATGTATATATGTATATGTATATATATATATATATACATATGTATATCTGTATATGTATACATATATATGCTATGTATACATATGATATTATCGGAGTAATCACAATCAGAATCACGATCATACACTCACAACTACAGCCAGACTGCAGAAAACCGACCCATCCCAACAAACTGACAACTATAACTGGGTGACAACTCACAAGATCGTAAAACTACCAGCCCTGTTGCCTGGATCACCGTCTCATGCAGTAAGCCCTGTTCCTCCTTCACCCCTTTGTGGTACAGCAAGTGAAACATCGCCTCAGGCTTTCGTTCACCCATCGGCGCAAGGTGGGAAATCAAACGATAGGAAGCCAACGGTTTGGAGTGGCTTTCTTTAGACATAGAAAAACATGTTGGGTATTGTTGGATTATGTGTGTTTTACCATGTTTTACCATTGATCTCCGCTAGGTATACTCGTAGTTGATTCACCAATCGTAGTGGTGGGTGATCTGCGGCGGCAGAAACGGCAGGGATCAAGGATCGCTGTGAGACTATGTATGTAGACAGTTTTTTGACATGGATAACCATATAGGACTGTCGACTTATATATATATTATATATCTATATATATATACAATGGCTTCGCAAAGGTACCATCCAAGCATCACTGACAATTGTGAAACAACGTGCTGCAAACCCGTTAAAGACTATTTTATGGAAAAAAAAGAAGGTGTACCAAATCCGCAAGCAGAGTTTCAATTGTTTGATCGGGAGACAGCGTCTCATCAGAGAAGCCAGTCATAGGGAACGTTGCAGAAGCGCTGTGAGTGTTTACCCGCTTGGTATGAGTCTTCTTACCATCCTTGCGGTGTTCCTTGGATTTTCTGTGAAACTGCAAGATGATTGTGTCAACATGACATGGCTTACAACTACAAGACTATCTACACAGTTCTACACAGTTCTACACAGTTCTACACAGTTCTACACTTCTATTCAACACCAATCATCTAGGTTAGATATTTAAAGTTTAAAACAAATGTGTACAGATGTGAACAGTATGTAATCTGTCTGTATGTCCGCAGCAAGTTGCAATGCAGTGGAGGGGAGTATGGGACCTTTGTGGTTTCAACTGGGCAAGCACAGATGGACTGCTTCTTTTACTGCCAAGGTGCATGATGATAGTTCTGAATATGAAACCTGCTGGGGGTTTGCGCTCCACGAGTAAAAAACTGATTTCCTGGTTGAAATACAAGGGTTGAAACTAGAGTAGCCTTGGTGTTACGGGAACTGGAGCCAGCATCTGAAGAAACTAACACAGAAAGATAAATGCTTGGCATACTGGACATTCCTGTATACTGCACAAAAGAACACACAAATATCTCAAAGAAAACTCCAATTTCACACCAAGAAACTCAATAATTGGTGATGCCTTCTGCAGTTTTTGGATGTATTCTGCAAATTTGCTCTCACTCTGAATGTTGGTCAAGTACGAGCAAGGTTTGCTACAGCACATTTCGGTCAAGTACAAAAAATAACCTGAGCGCAAGAGGGATCACGCTTGAAGTTAGTAAATGGTTTGGAGCTGGGTTGACATTTGTAACGCAAGACCACAGCCACATTATCCGCACAAACATTCCCAAAAAAACATGAGCAAATAATACCTTCAACATATTTCAAAACTTGGTTTGAAACTCGTAAACAATCACTTCTAGTGATGTGGCAGTGAGGTCGCTTGGAGCTTGAAGATACTATTTGGGAATGATTTATACATTTATACAACACGTTTCTTGTTAAATATTACTAAATTGGGGATGGTTTATTCTTAGGTTTACAATATTAATGATTCTGATATCAAATACAATGTTTTTGGTGGAAAAAACTTGTGTGTATTAATATATGTGATAAATAACTTGTTGTTCGTGAACAAATTGGATCCTCCCTTTTCACACTGATATGGCTGCGGAAACAAAATACCTGGCGCGCTGCTGTTCACATGAAAATAGCTGAAAAACTCCTGGATATTCACGTGAGACAAGTGGTGGTGCTGTGATTCATCCCCATATCATGTAAAACACGATGTTTTCTGATTAAGTCCTGATGTCATCATTCCTCCTGCTTTGCCGACTATTTCTATATCTATCTCAGTAGATGTTCATATGGAAGTTTCCTGAAATGGGGATATCCCAAAAACAACAGAGTGTTGGTTTCCTGAAAAGCGTTAAATATGTCCAGTTTCGAATGATTTTGAAGTCCCCCGGGGTTAGGGAATCCCCCATGCACCCTCCGGAAATCGAACATGGCAAACTGGGAAGGTAAATTTTGATCACACCAAAGGGTACCTCTGGTTGCTTGATTCCAATATGTCCCTTATAAATTCCCATGAAATCCCACTAAATCCCGTGAATTGATATGGGATTTAATGGGAATATATAGGGAATATATATATATATATATCCCATATCATATTTCCCTAGCCATCTCTGATATGACCAGCTAGTTGCTCAAGGCTTAACTCCCCATTTTCTCTCGGCAACGTTACCAGGCAACACAGCACTCCAGCCACTAGGAAGCGGACGTCGTGTCCGCGCCAACTGACCAGCATCAGCACCACACCGGCGACCCCCAAGAACCAAAAGGAAATGTCCTCGCAACTCACCTGCCGAAAGATGTCGATCTCCGCAGTTTTGTTAACGCCAGGTGAATCTGTCTATGTAAATGAATAAATATGTGTGTGTGTATGTATATATATATATATGAACAGGGATCGCCACACACACCCTCACCCCCAGCCAAATGGTTCCTTATCCCCCTGTGGCCTCGGGGGGGTGTCCCAACAACAACAGTCCTACATGGGCACTGTTTAGGTGGTTGATGTCCAGTTCATAGGAAGTATATGAAGAGTGTTTAGGGACCCTAGGGAGCTTACAGGGACTATATACATATATAGTCCTTAGGCGCACTATGCAATGAGTCGTATATAGGTACGCTATAAATCATGTGTAGGTAGCATATAAGTATATAGGCAGTGGACGACCAATGTATATACCAGTAGTACCGCACAAGGCGGTGGCGGAAGTTTCAAAAATGGAAAACCTATAGGACAGGTGAGTTGGTGTGACGCAAAATGGCAGAGCGAACCCACTGATGGATTGAAAGGTGGTTGAGTGTTTCTCCCTTTCTGTCTCTCTTTCTCTCTTTCTCTCTGTCTACAGAGCTACCTTTCTAGCCATCTACCTATCTACCTGTCTATTCATGTATCTATCGATCGATTTGTTTATTCACCTATCTATTAAACTGTCTATCTTTCTCTCTATCCAGCCATTCATCCATCCACTTACTTCTCTCTGTTAGTTTTTTTTCCGTCCATCTCTTCATCGATCCATGTCCACAGCTATCCATCACCATGTTCTTCGTTCTGTTTCTTTACCGATTCATCCATGCATCTGTCCGTCTACCTCTTCTGCCAGCTATTAGCTATCCATCCATCTATCTAGCTACCCATGCGTTTATCTGGTCATCCACGCTTCTAGCGATCTTTCGATCTAGCGATCTATGTGTCCATATGTCGATCCATCTACCTGTCTATTGATCGATCTGTCTCTCTGTCTAGCCACCCACCTTTCGATTTATCTCTCGATGTATTTATGGATCTTGCGATGCATCGATCTGTCTATGTATCTATAGATATTGATCTATTTACCCGTCTATCTATCGATTTAGCTATCAAATCCCATTGCACCTATCCCCTGTTGTGCTTCAAAAACCGATGCCTGCAAGAGCTCCCACTGCGTTATTTTCCTTCATCGGCCTACGGTTGCACGATTGGTGTCGGAGACAAAACGGATGCAAAACGCAGACGCGACACGGATGGGTCAGAAAAAACACCATCATTCCAGCGTTCCAACGACAACACTGGTAACAACATGGTCATATGCTGCAGACTCGCGAGCGCGGCCAGAAAAGACACACGCTCCATTGAAAGTCGTGCTTCCAAAACTGATACCTGCGAGAGTTCCCACTGCGCCTGCCACGAAAAATGCATCTTTGCAGATCCTCTTCAAATGTCCCATGCCTGCCATCGTTTTTGGAAATGCTACAAAACCCTCATGTTTTGCTCACTTTTGAACAGGTGCAGAATCCCTTGCGCCTGCCACGCGAAACGACATCTAACCTCCAAAAATGGTCCCTACATGGTGTGTTTGTACATTTTGACTTGGAAATGTGCTTCGCGCCACAACGGCGTGCACTTTTTCGACATCTCAACTTCCAAAAGTGGTCCGACAATGGTGTGTTTTGTACATTTTGACTTGGAAATGTACTTCGCGCCACAACGGCGTGCACTTTTTCGACATCTCAACTTCCAAAAGTCGTCCGGAGCTGGTGTGTTTTGTACATTTTGACTTGGAAATGTGCTTCGCGCCACAACGGCTTGCACTTTTTCGACTTCTCAACTAGTAAAAGTGGTCCGAAGCTGGTGTGTTTTGTACATTTTGGCTTGCAAATGTGCTTCGCGCCACAACAGCGTGCAATTTTTCATCTCTCATCTGGCCAGCTGGCTCCGCACCCGCCGCTTTAGCGAGCCTACTTTTCGACCCTCCGGAGCCACAAATCATTGGAAAAACAGAGTGAATCGCGACTTTCCTACCTTTTCACCCATCTGCATCTTCTTTCTTCTGAATCTTTCTCTTCTACTCTTCTTTCTTCTAATCTTTCTCTTCTCTCTGCCACTTCCCTGCTCTGCTTTTCATCTGTCCATATTGTCGGAAGTTTGACTTCTAAACTTCCTTCGATAATATATATATATATTATAATATGATTATTATATATTATATCATATTATATTATATTATATTATATTAGATTATATATTATAAAAATAATATAATATAATATAATATATTATATTGTATATTATATAATATTAAATTACATTGTATATTATATTATATTTTATTTTATTCCATTATGCTATGTTACGTTATATTATGTTATATTATGTTATATTAATTATAAATATATATTTATATATATACTACACTTCAGATAGGTATACAATACTAGTTGGGTATTATATCTAGGTAGTGTATATATTTAAATGTATATATATATACATTGGTAAGTGCATACTGCATTCACGCATACACTATATAGGATTATAAAGATAGTATGCATAGGCATAGGTACGCTTTCAGTATATAATCTATAGGTAGCAAATATGTAGCACATGAGTGGTAAGCCATGTGCGAGGTACGCTATAGGCAGTACATAAACAGGTCTTGGGCAGTATGTGCTAGACATACAGCTAGACAGGGTCCAATGACGAGGTTGTGGCTCTCAAACGCTGCAAATAGCGTGCAAATGAAAGGTTCAGTGAAGTCGGGGGGACCATGCAATTGGGAGGAGGGGGAAGGGAAAGTGGCGATCCGGGACCGGGCTCATACACATATGTATATATATATACATATATTGTGAATTCTCAAATATGTGGTCACATTCCACCAGGGGTTCAGCCAGCCGTGTGTCTTGTCCCGTTTTGACCATGTCTGCCAAGGGGTCGCATGACATCAACCGATGTCTACCGTGGACCGTTTCCACTCAAAAGCCCATGAGGGGGTTTTGGTGCACGCAGAGTGCCAGGCAGGAAAACAAGCTCGGGGCGAGCATTGGGAAGCCATAGGTGTGGCCTTTCGGTGTGACTTCAGGTGGCTTAGCAATAACTATTGGTGGTTCATCGGCGTGGACATTCCCTTTTTCTCAACTGTTGCAGATCCCTACCATTGTTGGACGCCCAATCCACAATATATAATAATATATATCTATAATATATATGCATATATATATATATATACATACATACATACATATATATATATGCATATATATATATACACTGCATATATACAGCATACATATATGTGAATCCTGAACCTAACTGACTCTTCTGGAGGGCTATGACAATGAGGGCTTCCCAGGTCCCGGCATGTATGTTCCAGGGTGGTAAGCCTGCGGTCGTTCGGAGTTCCTGGCTGAATCTCCAGGTACAAAATGGGACTGAAGTATAACATATCTAGCATACCTGATCTTAGCCCTGCAACCGCATCACTGACACTTGTGATGAATCCATTTAAGCCCAACATTCACCAGGGTTTTGTCCAAAGCTGTAGTTCTTGGATTTTCCAGCCTTCTCTGTAGGAAATCCCAAATAGATATTGATGTTTTGTTGTTGGAGATGATCGATGATTCAAGGTAAGCGTGTCCCCAACTTAAGCCAATTGACCTGAAGAAAGGAGTGCACCTTCCGGGAAAGAGGTGCAGCACAGAACCTGAAATACCCTCTAAATCGACAGGTATGGAAATCTATGGAAAATCGATGAAAATGAATGAACATGGCCCATTGAGTTCCAGAATTCCCTAGGAACACGATTCCTATATCCTAACCGTCTCAATAGGCTCGGCCCAGAGAACCCCGACAACGTTGAATTCCCTATGTTGAAACAACACACACGCACAAAGATCCACTATAATCATATCTGTCATCAGGTAGAATTATAGAAGATACACACAATTATACATATATATATATATATACATAAAAATATGAATACATGAATATACAAATATACATAATCTTATGTGTATATATATATATTCTCATTATCTCCGCATTGTGAGTGACAGCATCCCTCATTGTGAGCGGCGACCACACCTCATCATGTTGATCGCTAAAGCGGACCGCCTCGCCAGGTGCCACCTGTCAGGGTTTTTCGAGTTTCCAGGAGTAACCCGAAAAAATGTCTTCGTGTCTTCGAACAGAAAATGGTCAAAATGACGTGATTTCATGGGTAATTTTGATGGAAAATGATGAGAATATGGTTTAAGATACAATTTCGATGTAGGATTTCATGATATCATTTAACATAGCTATGGAAAAGGGCCCATTTACTTCGAACATTTACCTTTTAAACATGGTGATTTTCAATCGCGAACTTGTTGTCAAAGATCATACCCAAATGGTAGCTCTGATTTGGGACCACAGCATCAACGTGGAAACAATCATTAAATAGTCCCATAGTCCCAATTAATAAGACTGAACAGAATAAATAGTTAATTGGGACACTAATTATTATGTTTGCAACAATAATTAAGTAGTCCCATAACTAAGTTACAAATCAGTAAGTTAAAAATCTAGGGGTTCATATCCAAAATGGTTATAGTGACTAGTCAAGTCTAGGACGCGCTACCAACAAATTGATTCTTCAAGCGGGCATGTTCTCTTAAAAATGCAGAAAAACAAACACAAAGTGGGCCCTCGAGTTGTAAGTCGGCTCAAATTCCCATTAAACCCTCTCTATACGATTATATCCATATAATCTATATATTAGTGTGAAGATCCATATTTCATATAAATCTCAAAAAACACATATATATATATATTTCATACACATACCCACAATAAATCCATATTATATATATATATACATATATAGTTATATTCAAATCCCATAGCTATTGCAGTAATACACGAAGAGAATTCCATCCGTTCCCGGCCTCATTGTTGCTGGAGCTGTCCGACTCACTGTTGCTGGAGCTGTCCGACCCATCATCCATGGCGGGTCCAACGACTCACTTGGTTGAAAATTCACCTGGTTTATTGTGGTTTATGGTAATGGTAGATATATGTGGTTATATAGGATGATAAAGGATGATATAGTATGATATATGATATATATATATATATGATATAGTATGGTCAAAATCAAGTATGATACTGTATAATATTACAAATAGATAGGTTTGTAAACCACATAACTGGAGGGGGCAGGTTGTAGTTCCGTCATCTTCCGGTTACCTGTCAAATAGGTGACACAAAATCAGCAGTTAAAATCACTTAGCCAACTCTAGGAGCAGCGCGATTATCGTTTCGGAGAAGAACTGTGTGTGTCGAAAACCATTGCAAACAAACAAGAACAATTTTACAACATGTTGGTTATTTTCGTTCAGACGTTCTTCAGAAGATGTTGCTTTACCGTTTTACACGGTGATATTTCATGATATCTTCCGGAACAAAACGATGTCAAAATATGTCGAAATCATAGAAATACAGTACCTTGCGGTGTTTCAATGCTGACTTCGCTAAAAACGTGTCACTCTCCTGGGCTGGTTGGGCTGGTAGGCACACAGGGCAGAAGCCACAGAACATGATGGAGGCAAAGAGATGGGTTAGCTTCTGATTAGTCCACGTAAAGAATGCTTATCTCCATGCTTTCCAGATATGCATGGATATGAATAGATATGTGAAGATAGACAGAGAAAGCTTAGCAAAAAAATATGCCCCATAAGTTGGTCATCTTGCGCAAGGAGGACCTGGGCTGCAGTTTAAGCAGGGGGGTGGAGATTTTTCATAGGGACTTGTGAGAAAGCACTGTCCTCTGGACCTCTGGAGTCCGTTAAGAATCAAATAATTTCAGACTCAAATTGACATATCATTATAGTTGCTTGATCGCACGGCCAAGTGGTTCAAGTGGTTGTTTCTTGGGACAAATTTACTGTTTGTTTGTCAGCTTTGATCGTGTTCAACCTCTGCTGAGTCAACACAGTGCTCAAAACCCTGGACGGACAACGCAAGAAAAAGTGAAGGGGGTGTTCGACCAGCTCTTCTGGTGATCAGATAGTTGGTCAGCGGAGTATTTAGGGCTTTAGGGAATCAAAATTTGAAACTCGCGGATGTTTCCTCAGAGGTCAGGGATGGTCGATGCAACCAAAGGACAGACGACCTCAAGAGACTTTCCATGAATCTGGGAGCCCTTTGGGGAGGTCGATCACGGACTGAAAATCAATGGATTTGGTGGGAAAAAAAACTTTCAAAACTGAGGCTTGCCGGACTTGTTTCCCCTCCCACCTGGGATCTCTTGGGAAATCTTGGACCATCCCCTCCCATTCCATGGCGCACATCGAGTCTCTGCTTCGATTCTTCTCCGCTGCAAGCGATCCTCATCATTTTTTCGATGCAACGAGGAAAACGAGGAGTCGTGGTGTCATATTTCCTGAAACATGACATAACATAACATCATATGCTCTCTCTCTCTCTTTATATATATATATTATTATGTGTATGTATGTATATATATATATTGTGTGTGTAACATATATACAAGAAGATATACAAGTCATTTACCATTCATGTACCACTAGTTCAATAGGATTATGTTAGTTTCTACAAATTTTCAGTGAGGATCATCCAGGCCTGAATAGAAATCCTGGTGATCATGGGGATAGCCGGGATAGCACTTGCAACACAACTCCCCAAGCCTCAGATCCTCTGAAAATGTTCCGCAATTGGATTTGGCCATGTAACTAGGATTCGACGGGGTGTATCTGGACTTCAATGCTGCTTGTGGGCAAACATGTTGTTTTTCTCATACTATCCAAACATGTTGGTTGTTGGATGTATGATGATACATTGAATGGTTGATGAATGTCTATCGGACACTCTCCCATCACTATTATCGCTTTTTAGAATGTTCACTCCAATGATTTCAGTCATGACCTCAGTCCGTAACCCATGGCGAATCGCACACGACTAACCTTAGATGTACTGCAAGAACCCAAATGGTTCTAGTCTATTTTTCCCACCAAATGTACTTCAAAACCAGCTTGCCCTTCACATCCACAGACCCAGGACCCACCATTGCTCAGGCACCAAAGTGCATCTTCCAGTTCCTGCAGCTCGCACAGCTCAGTGGAGATTTTCCCCATTCTGCTGATCTGATCCCTGCAGGCTTTTGAAAAAACAATCAGCCTGTTGGCCTCCAGTAAACAAACATATGACCATGTGCGAGTTCCATAACACTCTGTTAATTTACTGGATAGTATTGTATATGAATTGATACTATAGATGCGAATTGCCCAACTTCCAACTAAAATGTAACGTCTGTTCTTCCTTTTCCTTCTCCAACAAAAAAACATAGCTACAGAAAAAACACAACGTATAGATTCCATTTAATTACCATGATTGACAAAAATCTGGGAACAAATGGTGATTCTATAGTGTTTTGCATGGATTTACCTATATTTTTACCTGTTCAAAATCTACTGAAGAAATGGTGATTCACATGGATTCCATGAATCCGTCCATCTCAGTCCTGATTGCCGCCGCTGAGCAACCTCAGCAGCAGAAGAGCCAGACCTTGCAAGTCCTCCCGGATCGCGCAAAGATGGGGGGGTACCAACCCACCATCTTCAGATTCAATGGATTGGTTTAAGGGAAAATCTACAGGAAACCATGGTGTTTACCATCAAAAATAGGGGTTTCCTGTAAATTTTCCCATCATCCAATTCTATGATAGATATATTTAGTACGTAAATGTATGTAAAAGATTGCAAATGAGTGTAAATGATTGTAAATATATGTAATCCAAATCTGACACTACTAATTTTGCCCATGGCCGTGCTGTGCTTTTGTTGAATTGGTTTTAATTAAGAGGTTAGATGGGTAACAAAGGTTGACACGCACCCTTGCAATTGATTAGCTGTTGATGATGCAGATATTATGAGACACATGCTTTTATCTAAAAAACACATGAAAAGAGAACCAGGTGAAGGACCGCGCTATATATACACATGTCCTTTAAGAACCGTTTCAACTGATACTTCCATACCAAAATTGGGGAACGAGGATCTCTATCAACGTGTGAAGAAACTCCCAATGCAGGTAAGCGCCACTTTCATCCGACGCACATGAGGGATCAGGTAAGCAAGAGCCGTGTCACGGCTGCGGTGGAAGGTCAACACAATCAGAATCCTTGGATGACAAATTGAACAGCACCCCCAACTTAGAGTTGGGTTGACCTTCCACAAGAAGGCAGAAGCCGGTCTGGCGGAATTCACCAGCAGCTTTCTTAGACCTCGCCTTCGTCTTTGGATCACTCTTCCTACGCGCTAACTCATCAGCTTCATCCCAAATTGACAAAGAGCCCGTGCGAAACATCTCTTCCAAAGCGCCGTTAGATTTGGCCACATCATCCTTTGTCAAAACATCGGCTACCATTCTTGGATGAGGTGACCAACGGAGGATGGATTTGGACTTCTGCATTGATTCAATGATGATGGCTATCTCAATGGCTGTCCTACGGTCTTGACGAGAGGAGGGGTTTTCCTTCTTCAAGGAGTCGAAAAGGCTCTTGGCATCTGTAATGCTGCATTGTTCCAGTCTCTCAGTCTCTGGGTGCAACCTCTTGTATAACTCTCCGTCTTCGCGAAGTATTCCAACAAAAGGGAGGATGGAAGAGGACCAGTCATGTTTGTTTACATCACCGAAAACGACATCCCTGAACATAATTTGCAACCACTCCAATTCACCAAGTGCTTGAGAAAATGCCAAAGCTTCACTTGCCAATGAGGAAGAAACCCGACGTTTCAACTTCGAGGAACGCCATGATAGGATGGACACTTTTGTCTTGGAGGAGGCTGAAGGAACTCGCTCAGCAGCCAGTATCAACCATGCTCCTTGTACGTTGTCCAGTGAGACATTCTGTTGATGTCCTGGAGGAAGGCTGTCGACGCCCCCAGCATCTGAAGCAGCTATCAAGGTCATCTTGTTGTTGTCAAATTTGTGAAGCACGAGAGGCTGGCTAGCAGTGCTTCGCAAATGGCTGATCAGCTTGTTGAGGCATGCCACGTCGTGAACTGTTGCGTTCTTCAACCGACTGGCCAAAATGCTAATGACGCCGCAAGCTTCCGGCCGAGTCTGGTGGCCGACCCAATTCACTTTGTAAAGCATTGACCTGAAGCTTTCGAACTCCTCGCTGTCCAAAGGACTGGACCTGTCAGACAAACGCCCTTTCTTGAGGTGTACTGGAAACAGTTTCTCCAGGATATATTTTTCCTGGTGCATGATCACTTTGTTGTCTCTGACTGACACATGACGGCCAGCAAAGTCAGCAGTGTCTTGCTCCCATTTTCCAAACTCAAACCTTTCACGAAGAGCTTTCTGTAAGACAGGAAGAAACTCCTCTGTGCAGGCTATGTTGAGGTCATCTACCTCAACTAAGACCTGAGAAATCACTTTACCAGAAACTCTTTTGATCAGCCAGCATGGTTCGATAAGAGATCTCTCAAAGCCTAGGCCCTCAAAGAAAGTAAGCAAAGTGCGATGCCAGCGAAGTGGAGAATCGTCAAGGCCATATATTGGGGCTACTATCTCTATGAGCTGGTCACTTGATAGGCCTAGGCCTTCGCAGGGTACAGCATAAATCTTTCCTTGAGGACGCTTCAGCTTATCAGCCTGGCAGAATGCATTCTTGATGTCCAAAAAACTGACTTTCAAACCCATGTTGAGGCACAGTTGGAAGAACATGTTGATGGCTTCTGTGGAGGGCATCGGCGAGTAGACTTCAAAAGTTCCAGAGTCTGGATCCTGATGTCCATGAAGACACCATCTGGATTTGAACTTAAAAGATCCTACTCCAGGTGTTGGTTTCTTGCGCCGTATCATGCGGCTTGAGATAACTCTCTCGGGATTTGTCTTCTTCACTTTTTCGGACTCAACAACTGATAAGACCTTGACGGCCTTCAGCCTCAATATCGTTTCCCATTCGTCCTTGTCGGAAGCTTCAAAGCCGAGACGCTCTTCTTTTGAAGCCTTTTTCATGTCAAACTCTGCGCTCTTGGCCTTTGGCGGACCGGCAAGAAAATTGCCGCCGTCCTCAGAGAGTTTCAAGGAGAAGAAGGAGCAAAGATCATCCCCTAGGGTTTCATGCCCATCTTGCTCAGAAGTGTCTGGTGGCACCTCGGGGGGCTGATGTTCAGAAGAGCTGCGTGCTAATTCTTCTAACGGCCGAGGTGTTGAAGCCGTTGAAGATGTGCTCATTCTTCTTTGTTGCCTTTCTTCTCTGTCCAGCCGACGAAGCTCTCTGAGGGCTTCGCGCTCCAGTTGTTGTGACTCAAGCTCACTGACTCTCTTTCTAACTTCTCCAGCCGCAGCCACTGGTCTCCTCCTCTTAGATTCTCGAGAAGAGGCATCCGATGGGATGGGTTCAACCTGTGGCTCATCGGCCGTAATGACCGACACCTGCCGTTGCCTAGGAGGCGGTGGCAAAGGTGTTGGTGGTGCTTCAAGAGCTGGTGGAAGGAAGTCTCTGATGGCTGTTCTTTGGCCTTGTTCGGCTTCCTGGTCTTGGCCACTCGGTTCCTCTGGAATTGACTCGAGTGGCTGATTTGTCAAAGGTGGGTTTGATGGCACGGATTCATGTGCTGGGACAAGTGGCTTTTCCCACGCCTCGGCGCTTGGAGCTCCTTCGCTTTCAACATCCACTGCTCCAGCTTGCTTCGCTTTCGTCTGCTGAAGAATGTCTGCTAAGGAGGGTAAGCTCGTGAGCTCAGCGCCGAGAGCTTCCAGATGATTTGCTGCTCTGAGCTGATCTGAGCTGCACTTCCAAATTCTGGACCTCATAGCCACCCAAACTGAATGGCCAGATTGCATGATCACAACTCCAGGCCCCACCCACCTTGAGCGAGTCATATGCCCGCCGCCTGTGCCTGGCAGCTTGCGCCAGACGTAGACCCACTGGCCCTGAGCCCATTGGCGGCGTTGATGACTTTGATGCGACAAACTGAGACGAACCTTGTCCTTCAAGTTGGAGTTCATGCACAGTTGCCTGGCTCTTTGTCGGATTGCATGAGCCCTTGCAAATTCTGCCGCAGGAGTGTCTGCCTCGAAGGAATCAGCGTCGGCATCAGCAATGCCTGGAATCACCAGTTGGTCATCTGACAGGAGCTCCAAGGGAACTCGAGGATTCACTCCGAAAACCAGCTGGTAAGGCGAATATTCGCCACGATGAAACCACCTGTTCTTGTGGGATGTCACCATGATTGCTAACATCTCCAGGTCCGCGCTGCTCTGTAGAACAGCCTGTCCACTTTGTACTTCTTCTTCCAGCCTCTGCTTCAGCCATGCACCATGTCGCTCAACCCTGCCATTCTGCCAGGGCGCAGCACTGTCAGTGACTGACTGCATGACGCCAGCCTGCTCTAGGGATCTCTCGAAGTCGCCCTTGAACTCAGAGCCTTGGTCGCAAAGGACTACTTCTGGAAGACCGAAAGGAGAAACCCAAAGCCGGTTAAACAAAGCCCATGTGTCTCTGGCATTGGGAGGACCTCCGGAGTAGTTTGGCAGCAAGGCGACTTGTTGAAGGTTGGTCCCCTGGCAGACTGCGTTCAAGAACGCGTGTGTCTTTCCCATGAAGGAGATATAGAAGTAGTCAATACCAATCAACTTGTTGAAAGAGAACGTCCTTGGGAAGGGGGCATGCTTGTGAGGAACTGGACCATGCTGTTTGGAGCATTGAAGGCACTTGTACTCTTCTTTGACGTATTGTCTAACTTCATCTCTCGCCCCCGCAGCTTTCAACATGGCCAACATTTGATCTCTGGGGAGATGGCCCATGCTCACATGCAACTTGTTCACTAGATCTCGTTGTCGAGGCGAGATGGACATTGCCCTAGCCTTGACTGGAGAGGGAGTTTGAGGAGCTGAAAGCTGACGGCGAGAAAGATCTGCTTCTTCTTCCAGATCCTCTCCATCTCCTCCCAAAGCCTGCTCGTTCTCAAACGCATCTTCCTCTACTCCATTGAAAAGGGACCAAGAGTTACTGCGCCTCAGCCACCAACGAATTCCATCGAGGAGAGCGCTGACAAGCCCAACCGGGTACTCCTGGGCTTTGGCCGGTAACCCGCCCTGCAATGGAACGTGAGGATGGTCTCCAGAACACACCAATTTTGACAATTCTCTGATGATGCCCAAGTGATTGGTAATACAGCATGTGGGCTTCTTTGACAAAAGCCCTGAAAGCACTGAAAGGCCAGCTGCACACTGATCAAACTGCACCAAGAAGACTCCAAATTGGGACATCAGCCACTGGGAGGCGTGTGTCGCTAAGCTTGACGCCAGTGCTGGTTGCTCAATCCAGAAATGCCTACCACGCTGGAGCTGGTAAGCTGCGACCTGAATGCAAAACTGGAACATGGCCATGCCCCGAGTCCTGATACGCAGAACTTCCTGTGGATCCATCTTGTTCCAGTTGGAATTCATGAGAATGCTGAAGGGCCTGCACTCTGGTGACATCAAAACGAGATCCGGTTCTTGTTCTCGCAGGCATCTCCAAAAGGCAGCCCTATCTCCCGCATCAAAAAAATCCCAACCAGTCTGAAGGTCAAAACTTGGAGGTGAAGTAAATGAGACTCCGGCGCAAGGCAGCGTAGATGCCCTCTGTGGTGAAAACAGCTCACAAACCTTGTAGGGTTTGGACTCACTGCAGAGGTAGCTGCTTGACGATACATGGCCGTTGACCATGGGAGCTGCGCATCTACTGTCTGCTACCGGGGGGTGGCCGGAACCGGGGCCATGACTTACTGACACTACCCTACCTCCGAGATGTTGACCTAGAAGTTCAGCTATTTGAGATTGTAATTCAGCATTCCTACTTGGGCTCTTGGCCTCTTGGTTCCTACTTGGGCTCTTGGCCTCTTGGAGTCCTTGCGTCTCCACCGCGCTATTGCTTTTTTCTTGGAGTCCTGACGTCTCCCCCGTCTTATTGCTACCTTCTTGGAGTTTTTGCGTCTCCGCCGCATTATTCTTCCACTCTTGGAGTCCTAGGGTCTCCTCCGCACAAAGGTGAGACTGATGAGGTAAAGCCCTTTTGAGCTGAACCAAGGCCAAAGACAAAATGTCTGAATTCGCATTGTGGTCGGATGATTCTATGATATCATGCACTTCTTGAGTCAGACCCTTCTTTACATGTCTTGGGATCTGAAACTCACGATCGTCAAGATCGTCGGCGGATGCCAAGGATTCAAACAGAGATGGAGACCACCAAACACAAAAAACATCATCGAACTCCTCATCGGTTCGATGCCAAGTAAAAGCAGTGAAGAAACGAGGGATGAACAACAGCTTTGTGAAAAGGATAAACAAACCATTGACCTAAAAATTCTTTGCCCCTCTCAGATGAACAGGACGCTGACGTAGCATCACCACCTTGCACCACCGAAGCCAGGGAACACAAGGTCATCGCGAGCCGAAGAGCTCCCATTCGTTTGGGTTCCCCTCCATCTCCTCGTCGTACTGGCCCTGGGTCTGTGGGAGAAGTGGCATCTGGCTGCTGGTTGCCGCGCTCTGCATCAGGCCCGACATCTGTTGTTGGAGATGCTGTTGGCCTTGGATAATGGGACCCAAAGCCTGTTGCATCCCCGCGGTGATGGCCCGATTCTGCTCGGCCAAGGTCTCTTGCAGCTCCTGCTGGGTGACAAAGTTCTTCTCCGCTGCTGCCTGTGATGCATAGGTCGCGGCCTTCTTGATGTCCTTCACTGCCTCGCGATCCACCGCAGGAGTCTGACATGACTTCCGAGTTGAAGAGGGGCGAGGATTGTCCTCCCCGTAAGGGCGGTAGCAAATCTTGGTCTTGCACAGCAGGCAGCTGTCCCATGACCCGTATTGATTTTTCCCAGTGACCACTTGTTCCGGAGGATGATGGCAAGGTGCTGGTTCTGACAAAAGAGGCATCCTCACGTTGAAGGGCCCTCGCGTCAAATGAAGCAGCCTGCTGGTCATCCCAAACCACTTGGACTCCAAATGCTCCCGATGAGCCTCGCTCCGAGGAGCCCTCGCGCTCTTGGCTCGAGTGGGAGCACGGAAACCCTGCATGGCAAGGGACGTCAAAAGTAAGCACGCACGTGGCCAGAAATCTGAGCATGTGACAGCTGCTGGGGCAGCGGGCTCGTGAACTCTCTTGAGAAAACACGACTTTGGCTTTATCAAAAATGTTTTGACAGTCTCTCATGGTGATTGAATGTTTCTGGACATCTGAGAAAAAAGACAGCACCTGACACTGACATGCTTCATGTGACTCACTGAAATCTGATGCGTGCAAACTTCGCTGCGACTGTTGCTCAATCTGATCAAGAAGTGCACTCCTACATGATGCGTGATTGGACTCATCTGCAAGGACAACACGAAAGTCGTCATTGGAAAAAGAAACGGCAGCCGAAACCCAAAACTGCTCACTGGATGGAAAAACCTCAAGCCTCGGAGGGCCACTGCTAACAACAATAAAGAACCGTTCATCAACCCAAAATTGCACATGTGCGTCCCCGACACTCGGACATGCAGCCATGTATGCTCTCGCCTCTCTAGAGGGTTGTTTCAAAAGAAAAGCATCTGGGCTCAGGTTGTGTTCTGCCAAAACTTGTGATGGCACTTCAAACACCTGAGCTCCATCTAAAACATTCAGCAGGCGATGTCCCGACTCAAGCCGTGACATGCTAGCTTCAGCATCAAACGTCTTGAACTTCACCATGTTCTTATCGGTGTCGATGACCGCTCTGGCATGCTCCAAGAGGCCAATTGACAGCAAGTGAGGAACATCTTCATCAATCACTGTCAGTTTCACTATGCCCGGGAACTTGCCCAAGAAACATGGTGAGAGCGCCGTGAAGAGAACCTTTGCCTTTCCACCAATGCCCAGAGCCGGCGGTGGAGCCTCGTCTAGCTTCACCGGCTGCATCCCAAGCTTGGCGAGCTCGCCGGACAGGCGATCAAATGCCTTCTTGCCGATCAGGTCTTGGCTGTCTCCTGGATCAACTACTGCATATCCGGGAGGGATGCTCAGAAAGCAGAAATATGATCCAAAGCCAGAAAACCCGCCCAGGTGCTCTGACTTGCTGGCGGCACCCATGAAAACGAAGGCGTTGATGCCTTTGTTGCCATCCTTGGCATCCGACTTGGGCTTGTAAGGGCTAGTGCAGTCCTCTCTCCAATGGCCTCGTTGACCGCAATTCGCACACCTGGTCACCTTCTTCAACTCAGCTATGCTCAGCCTGCCCTTCTGGCCAAGTGGCCGTGGCGGCCGAGAGGCAGGTTCGTCAAAATGACGTCTGTCCTTCTTTCTCGCATTCTTCAAAGCCTTGTTCTCAGCCCAGGATCTCTTTTTCCTGTTCTGCATCTCGGTCAAGCCATTGAGAGCTTGATCTTCATTCAGATCGTCACGATATGCCACATAGAGGAAGGCATGGAAACTCCTGCTCGTCCAAAGCGTCCTCATCGTCAGTCAACTCGTGATCCTCAGTGACGTAGTCTCCAGAGGCGGCGGCTTCGGCGCCGTAGTAGGCATGAGACTTGCTCTTCATGATTGGCTCATCCTCGGTGTCAAGGACCTTGGAGACCCTTCATCACCTGCGAGAAGCTTGAAGCCCCGCCAGTGAGCGAGCGGAGGTTCTGGAGATTCTGCTTGGAAAGACCCGCTTGCTCCTCCATCATGAAGGCCTTCAGATCATCAGGGATCTGAATATACCGAGAGGCGGAGCTGAACTGAGCTTCTCGCCTCAAGGTATACTGCGACAAAGTCTCGTCGCTGCGACGAGGGCCTTCGTACAGCGCGGCTCGAATGCTTCGCCGCTTCTCAGATTCCTCCTTCTCGCCGGCCAAGACGTCGAGGATGGAGAAGATGTGCTTCAAGTAGTCAGAGGATTGCAATGCCTCATCCGTGAGGTGATCCAGCTTCGACTGAAGATCCCAGTCGAAAGTCTTCAGGACCTTTTCACTGCGACGCCACATCAAGACGTCGGTGTTCATGTCCCAACGAGTCATAGCTCTCTTCCACAGGCGGTAATGAGGCCAGCCTCCCCAAGAAGGAGGGTCACTGAAGTCACCCTTGTAGCCAGGCTTGTCCCACTGTCCCCATGACGTAGGACGCCAGGTAGCGGGTGTCCAAGTGGCTTGGTTCGCTCTGGACCACGGGTCTGAAGAATCACCCTGAGATTCGACAGCTCCTAAGTTGCCCTGAGTGTGTGAAGCCCCCAAGCCCCAACGGCCTTCATTCCACTGTCTCCATTCTTCTTCTGACCATCTGCCATGACTCCCCCTATCTGGGTTCGCATCCACAAATTCAGCCAAGCTAGGAACTGGCTCTTGCCCACCCGTCCTCTCCTCACCAGCAGCGCCAGTGATGATGGTGCCCTCCGAGCTAGTCATGGAAATTCCAAAGGTCTCCTAGACGTGCCCCAAAGCCAGGGCTCCGGATACCACTGAAGAAACTCCCAATGCAGGTAAGCGCCACTTTCATCCGACGCACATGAGGGATCAGGTAAGCAAGAGCCGTGTCACGGCTGCGGTGGAAGGTCAACACAATCAGAATCCTTGGATGACAAATTGAACACGTGCTTGTTTGCTTTAATTCTTGCTTCAGCTTCAATTCTCAATTTTGGGTGGTGAGGGACTGGTTAACACAAATTCAATGGTGTTCTGCTGGTGGAGTCTCCGTCTTTCTTAGACCCCTGCTCGGCAGAATTCCTTACTACATAGCTATAAACATAATCCCAATTGGTGTGTTAGTTTCTATTGAATCATGAAAAAGTTATTCTGAAGTCCCAACCATTGGCAATATGTCATTCCCTTGAATTTTGTCTATCAAATCACTTAAACCCCACTAACCTCCAAAGAAACAAACAAAACAGAAAAACTCAGTCAATGTAAACTGAGCATTGCTCATTGACTCCCCATATATGTTGGCTTCACTGTCCATGGGGTATACGGCATACCAGTATACCAGTATACCCAAACTGGAAATCATCACCTTCCCCATGAACAGTTGCCATGAAGTTTCCTCCAAAAAAAAGAAACATAAGTCAATCTCGCCGAGTTCATTGGTGGATTCTGATTCTTGCTGGGAACATGTGTCAGATTGTACTCAGAAAAAACATCCATATTCAATTGTTAATGCACTATGACTGGTGGACCCCTCAGTTTTGTTTCTTTTATCCACCACAAACAACTGCTCTGGCCATTTATCAGTTATATTAATAAGTTATAACTGGTTATTTTTATGGGATTAGACATTCTATAAATGGGCTGATTTCAGGTCACTTATCACTGGTATAACTCAGGTCACGCTGGTGAAATCACCCGGCGTGCGACCTCGCTGATTTCCAGTGGATCTCCCGCGCGGATCGCGACGCCCAACAATTCCACCTGCCGGGATTTCAGCACTATGGATGTCTATGGTGATATGTGGTGATATTTTTGGGGTAATGGTGAGACAATGGGGATCTAGAACTATAGTTATAACATGTTATAACTATATCTATATTAAATACCCTCTGGTTATGACTAACAGTACGCCATGGAAAGATCCACCCATTTTTCATAGGTAAACCATCTATTTCTATGGGCCATCTATACCATGGCTATGTTAGTCATAACCAGAGGGTATATACAAAGAGAGAGGGGGAGATAATAGGATGGTGGATGGACTAGATTCCTACACCCTCCGTTATCAAAAATGGCTCGGAAATCCCCGAACTCCATGGAGCTTTGCTTGGAAAATCATAGACTGCAATGATGGATTTTCCAGCAAGCCATGCTGCAGATTGCCAGAGGGTATCATGGTGTTTTTTCGTAGAAAAGAAATGTCTGACCAGCAATTGGCTGCAAAAGGGTATTCAGCCAGCAATAGCATGTATTCAATGTATTCAACCAACCAAAACGGAGGACATATCAATATCAGAGATGTTTGGCTATGGGCATTTGTCAAATGTGGATGGCAATCAATCTGTGATAGAAACCAGCCGAGCATAAGGCACTAAAGCGACAATATGAACCGTGTAGAAATACTGTATGTAATCAACAATGTGGGCAAGGGTTATATAAGATTCCATTTAAATTATTACCTGGGACCCGCGGCTTTTGCTGATATTTTATTATCAAATGATCAATAGCATCAAAATCCAGTACCAAAAGAGGTCGGTGACCGTCGGTGTCCAATGTCCCAGTCCCAGAACGAGTTTGTCTGATAATTGGGTATCTCTTTCCATCATGGGAAAATCATACCCAATTACTAATGATGGGAAAAACATATTCCATGTACCCAATCCATTATGATGGTTTAATGATGGGAAAATCATATTCCATCATATTCCCCATCATTAAAATAATATAAATACGGGATTGTTGGGAGGTAAAATGTTCATTTTGGTATATTCTTGGACTAACCCATATCACCCCAAGACTAGCTGCATCCCATGAAATGTCCCCCGTTAAAAAACATCCTCATATTCTGGTAAATCCACAGCCCATATTGTTGTCGATGAATCATTGTGGTAGTCCATTCCCGCAACATGAAATACCGCCTCAAACGGCCCTCCAAACGTGAATCACATGAAATAGGACTAGTACATTTCACGACATGGTTCTGAATGGCACGTTGAATCAGGAAGAAGAGATTATTTAAACATACCCTCTCTCTATATAATTCTATATATATATAACAGTTTCTGACATTGAACACCACCATATTTAATGGGTACCCTCTCGTTTCCCCAAACGCGGCTGGCACCTTTCCATCCGCCGCCAAGCCAACACCGTCTTCCCAGCGGCCAAAGGTAACACCCAAGCTGTGGAGGTTCCAGAGACTCAGTGGCTATCCGAAACGCTGAAGAAATGGCTGGGGTTGCCATCAAAGATGCGGATTTCACACATGGACCATGGATTGTTGGTAAAAAAAATGAAAAAAATGGAAAATGAACTGCTTGACTATCAGGTTCCGTGGTTCAAATGGCCATGATTCAGTGTGGGGCCATTTCCAGACATACCCATTGCAGTGAAGAAACCCATTGGAGGTTCCCAGAGTTCCCTTTACTAACCATTTCTGGCACGGTCTAGTTATAATTTGCCAAGAAACCATGGATCGGAAAGTTCCCAACCAGGAGTTTTATATAGATTTGTAGAAATATATTTTTTGAAGTCCCTTTCGATATCTATATAATTTTAGATTCAAATATCTGTATACTGTATACATATTATATATAATTATACACCTAATATATCTAGCACAAGGCGTTCATACAAACAACGCACATGTAAAAGGTGGATGTACAAAGGGTTTGCTGGTGATGAAGTCCCTCAATTTGGGCAGCTGTGAGAACCAGGTACCAACGTCGTCATCGGATTTTGCTGCCTTGAAACCTTCATTATCACCGGAAATGTTTTTTTTCATATCTTCACATCAATCATGTCCACATCAGTTCCCATGTTTATCCCAACTAATATACACCATGATTTACACCACGGTTTTCCCCATGATTGTCATGATTTACACCATGATTTACACCATGATTTCCCCATCATAACCGGTGAATGCGCCATGCCACGCCGTGGCTGCGCCATGCGCCACGTGCAAACGCTGCGGAAAGGACAGCGACGACGTGTTCAGCGTCTGCCAGGGCTTGGCGTAGAAGAGCCTTTCGAGGCTTTTTGAACGTTGGTGAAATATGGGGTAACATCTGCTTATTTAACATAGCCATGGAAAATCACATGTTTTTAATTCAAGGAAGTTGGGAAGCAATACTTCCGAGTTACGAATGACTTTTACTTGATGGAATTGACTATGATGAAGGGTGGTACGTGATCTAGCAATACACAGCATAACAATACATAACAAGAGAATAAGAAGCTATGGAATTGACCTTGATGAAGGGTGGTACATCACATCACAATACATACGTAACTATACATAACAAAAGAATAAGAAGCTATGGAATTGACCTTGATGAAGGGTGGTACATCACATCACAATACATACGTAACTATACATAACAAAAGAATAAGAAGCTATGGAATTGACCTTGATGAAGGGTGGTACATCACATCACAATATATAACATAACAATACATAACAAAAGAATAAGAAGCTATGAGACAGGGTTGTGACGAAGGGAAGTGGTGAGGAAGGGAAGTGGTGACGAAGGGAAGTGGCGACGCATGAATGTTGCATGGGGCTTGTGTTGGAGAGGAAGCCGGAGCACGAAACCTTGTATTTTTCCATGTAAAGTGGCTGCAGCCGGCGATGAAAGGTACCTCGTGTGTGCGGCGGGTGCGGTTTGGATCGTTTCGAGGTCAATCGGTTCCTCCTCTGTGTTCTGCAACGAGTGGTTGTTCCTGTGTGCGTAGTTCTATTCGTTTCTTGAATCTGTGGTTGCAGATCGCATTGGAATGGCTGCATGATTGTTCTCATCTGGTGTTGCCATGTGCGTAGGTGCATGCGGGTTAGCCATGTCATGCTGCAAAACGCATCGTAATGGCTGCATAAAATGTTGCATGGGGCTTGTGTTGGAGAGGAAGCCGGAGCACGAAACCTTGTATTTTTCCGTGTAAAGTGGCGGCAGCCGACGATGAAAGGTACCTCGTGTGTGCGGCGGGTGCGGTTTGGACCGTTTCGAGGTCAATCGGTTCCTCCTCTGTGTTCTGCAACGAGTGGTTGTTCCTGTGTGCGTAGTTCTATTCGTTTCTTGAATCTGTGGTTGCAGATCGCATTGGAATGGCTGCATGATTGTTCTCATCTGGTGTTGCCATGTGCGTAGGTGCATGCGGGTTAGCCATGTCATGCTGCAAAACGCATCGTAATGGCTGCATAAAATGTTGCATGGGGCTTGTGTTGGAGAGGAAGCCGGAGCACGAAACCTTGTATTTTTCCGTGTAAAGTGGCGGCAGCCGACGATGAAAGGTACCTCGTGTGTGCGGCGGGTGCGGTTTGGACCGTTTCGAGGTCAATCGGTTCCTCCTCTGTGTTCTGCAACGAGTGGTTGTTCCTGTGTGCGTAGTTCTATTCGTTTCTTGAATCTGTGGTTGCAGATCGCATTGGAATGGCTGCATGAATGTTGCATGCCGTGTGTTGTGGGGAGGAGTGGCTGCATGAAGGCTGCGACAGCATTTTGGCGCTAGTAACTTTCCTTTTAAAGATCCTTTTCAAAAGTGCTTCAAATTCGTCGTCTTTTTTTCGCTTTGGCGTCGAGATCCGGTTTTGGAGCTGCAATTTCCGACGCCGTTGTGCGTAGTTCTATTACTTTTATTGTGTTTTGCAACTCCGTCTTTGCAGATCGCATTGTAGTGGCTGCGTCAGGGTTGCTTCTTGCCGCGGCTGCATGCGTAATACTATTGTCTTTTGCAGCTGGACTTCGTAAATCGTATTGGATGCATGAAGGCTGCGACAGTGATTTGTCAGCAGATTTTCTCCATTTCGGCGCTGGGAATTTTCCTTTTAAAAAGTGCTTCAAAATCGTCGTCTTTTTTTCGCTTTGGCGTCGAGATCCGGTTTTGGAGCTGCAATTCCTGTGTGTATACTATAATACAAGCTTCTCTGTGCGTCAAGGAGCGTCTCTGTGTAAAAGTTTCTGTGTGTAAACGCTTGCCATGTGTAAAAGCACTGTGTGTAAGTGTTCTGTGTGTAAACGCTTGCTGTGTGTGAAAGCTTGCTGTGTGTAAAAGATTTTGTGTGTAAAAGCTTGCTGTGTGCAAAAGCTTCTCTGTTTAAAAAGCTTGCTGTGTGTGTAAGCACGGGTACTACTGGTAGGTAAACCATCTATAAATGGGCCATCTATACCATGGCTATGTTAAACAACCAGAGGGTAACATGGTGAATAAATGTTGAATATACGGTGATCATATTATTATCTGGTTGGTGGTGCAATAACCATATTGAAAAATATGAAAGTTAATTGGTTTCGGGTGACATCCCATATATGACATGGAAAATAAAAGTCATGCTTGAAACCACCAACCAGTTGGGTTGGGTAAAATATTAGGTGATTGGTGAACGATGAAACCATCCCATGAGCCAAGTAGCTATGGTGGACCTGGGGGTGAAGGGCTGGGAAGGGCCCTGCGCGCTCCCAAGCACTTTTGGAGCGCAGGCACACCTCGTTAAAAAACAAGGTAATCTCTGCATCCGGACCCAGCTCTAACACTGTCCTCAGTCTCTTCGTGGCCCTGAAAGACCAAAACAAGAGACCTCGCGGCGAGATGGCAAGGGCAATCGCTGCTTTCACAGACTTTGCGTTCTGAAGACAAGACGATCATTGTATCCTGTTGTATCATTCGAATATTCCTTCTTATATATATTCTGTGCTGTGCTGCTCCGTCCCTTTCGTCGCGCCTGGCTCCACCATGTTCAGCGAATGCTCCTCGTGATTTAAGCCGTTGATGAACGTCCAAGTCACTGGCTCGACCTTGGGCCAAAGGTTGTGGTTTTACCATGTGCGATGCCGTGAACTAGTGGACGTTTAGTTTATGTAGCTATGCTATGCTCGAACGCAAAATTTCGAGGCTCCGGGCTGCCATTCTGGCCTGATGCACGTTGCGGGCTGAAAGTGGTGAAGCGGACGCTAGTTTTTTCTGCGGGGTTTCTGGGTTGCGTCTTTCAAACTTTGACGCTTTGGGTTTCAGACGCTCAACGAAGGCAGGAGCACGGTGACAACTTGCCGGCTTGAAAAAGCTGTGACGCGGCTGCGGGACAACAGCAAATCACGACCTATGTTGCCATATCCCTCTTAATTGTCGGATGCCTTGCTGCTGCACAACGATTTGATCAACTAGCTAAGACTTCCTATCAACATGCCCATGTTCAACTAGGACCGCTGCGCAGCGCTCAACTTTTCCTTTTTATACCTCAGGCGCGTTGTCCATGCGGTGAAAGCGCTGCTGCGGCCATCGCCTGACCTTGCAAGAACGGGGACGAAGCCAATAAATCTCAACAGTCGAGCAACACATGGCTGGATGCAGCGCATGTAAGCAAACTGCTCTGCCGCGCCTCCGCTAAAACCACGGCGCCGGGTTTTTGGCGTTCGCGCTCGGCACGTATGCCTGCAGCCCGGCATGGTTGTGTTGGGTTTCATCGGCCGCCGTCTCTAGCACTGACCCTCCGCGCCTCCTCGCACATCGTTCGAAAGATCTGGAGGCTTTTGGCGTTCCCCAGCCGCTTCTTCGAACTCGGCGCGACGATCTCCATCACCTCAGACCAATTCTCCATGCAGCCCATGCGCTTACCATGTGTAAAAGCACTGTGTGTGTAAGTGTTCTGTGTGTAAACGCTTGCTGTGTGTAAAAGATTTTGTGTGTAAAAGCTTGCTGTGTGTAGGAGATTTTGTGTGTAAAAGCTCAGATGATCTGAGAAATTCTGAAAGACACCCTGAGATTACACCCTCTTTTCTCCTTTTTTGGGATATTCAAAGCCCCCAAATCCAAAGAAAGGGTGTAATCACAAGGTGCTAAATCCTGGCATGGATGCGCTGGCTCAGCTCAGAGGTTGATGGACGACTGTGTGACGCATCATGCATTACCTCTGCATTCAGTTTCTAGTGTTCCAGTTAAGAACATGCGAAAAATTGGGAACCAAGGGAAGCACACCATTTGAAAAACTTATCCCCTGTATCACTATCAGCCTTGCCATGGCCAGCCCACTAGTGCAGCGGCATCTGGCACCGTGCGGCATTTTGCCTTCTTTGCCAATCTACCATTGCGTGCCTACTGGGGTATTGCTTTGGAGTACACAGCCATTTTTCCAATTGGTGCACCCAGGGTGTAGTTGAAGAATCCCCAGAGATGAGATGAAGTGTGGAGTGTGAAGAGTGCAGTGTGAAGTGTGGGGCGTGAAGAGTGCAGTGTGAAGTGTGGAGTGTGAAGTGTGAAGTGTGGAGTATGAAGAAAGCAGTGAGAAGTGAGAAGTGTGAAGTGTGGACTGTGAAGTGTGAAGTGTGAAGTGTGGAGTCTTAAGAGCGCGCTGTGAAGTGAAGTGTGGAGTGCGAAGAGTGCAGTGTGAAGTGTGAAGTGTGGAGTGTGAAGTGTGAAGTGCGGAGTATGAAGAAAGCAGTGAGAAGTGTGAAGTGTGGACTGTGAAGTGTGAAGTGTGGAGTATGAAGAAAGCAGTGAGAAGTGAGAAGTGTGAAGTGTGGACTGTGAAGTGTGAAGTGTGAAGTGTGGAGTCTTAAGAGCGCGCTGTGAAGTGAAGTGTGGAGTGCGAAGAGTGCAGTGTGAAGTGTGAAGTGTGGAGTGTGAAGTGTGTAGTGTGGAGTGTGAAGACTGCAGTGAGAAGTGTGAAGTGCGAAGTGCAGCTTCAAATGTGACATGTGAAACAAGACACCACTTTCGCAGAGTGCACGCACGCACGGGCTTGGCTGGCGCACGGCGCATGCAAGTTCTATAGATGAGAAAGGTCTTATATATCCCTAAGGCAACTTCCGTCAATTCCATTTGATATCACCAGTCTTAGCACACGATCATATATATGGTTGGTGGTTGACCTACCCCTCTGAAAAATATGAAAGTCAGTTAGGATGATGAAATTCCCAATATATGGAAAAACAAAAAATGTTCCAAACCACCAACCAGTATATATATATATACCCTAGCCAACAAAACCCGGGAAAGTCGCAGGGTCAGCTGGGAAACCCAGGGTTTTCAAACAAAACCCAGGGTTTCGCAACTCTGACCAAGATATTTTTTTGAAGCATCCAACCGAGGAGCTTTGTTTCGAAACACCAGCAACCACAAGCCTCTTCGATTTCAAAAAACACAACAAACACCAACCACGACAGGATGCTTTTTTGAGGCATTCAACGCGCACGCGCGCGCATAATTTCACGGGTTATCACTGGTGAATCATGGGTCCATCACGGTTTCGTCACGGGTTTGGAAAAACATCGGGTTTTCCCAAAAGCCAGGGTTTCCAGGTCCAAACCCGTAGGTAAACCCCAGGTTGACAGGCAAACCCGACAAAACACAAGGGTCTTGTTGGTTAGGGTATATACATATTATACACAATACATATACATATACTGATACATATATATTCATGCCATTAAATACACATATCAACACTATTCATTACGACATATTACGACTATTCATGTCAGTTGAACATATATAAGGACTATATCAGCACTGTATATTACTAAACACCATGTAAACACCATATAATATAAACAACATAGAATATAAACACCATGTAAACACCATAGAATATAAACACCATGTAAACACTATACCCATATGTCAGTTTATATCCGTATCCGGATGGGATAAGCCACTACACCATCAGGCCCAACAACCTTGTGCCGCTGTCCGCAGCCTCCGCCTTGGCCGCCTCGGCGCCGCTGCGCCGAAAGACGCCACTGGAGATTGGATATTTCTCACTTAACAGCAAGTGGTAAAATATGGTAAAATTATGATACATATTTATAAAGTATGTTAAAGTTGGAAAATCTGAAAATCTGTGATGTAATACAGAAATCCTGAACCATTGATATCCGTTTATGGCTTTGTCTGAAACTTGGCTATCTCTTTCTGATTCATCCCTATCAAACTATCACCAACACTGCCATATGTTGATTCCATTTGATCCCCATTTTCAGCCCAGCTGCAGCGGATCTGCGGGAGAACCTGGGCCGGAACTGTGGATGGTAGAAATCCTGCACCACCAAAAGGATGGTTGAAACCCTATGAATCATGGTACAACAACTGGTGCAGGATTTCTTCCATCCACTGTATGAACCCACATCTCACACTGAATCCCACAAAGACTGTAAGTTCGGCTCGAGATCTACTTTCAGGGAAGGCTTTACGAAGGCTCTCCGTCTCCGAAACCGGACGCACCGAACCCACAGGACGCAATACGTAGCCATGACCGACCGCTGGATTGATGGGATATGGACGCTGAAGGGACCGATGGTAAAAAATGACCATCAAAATGAGAATCAACATACAATGAAATGGTGATTTACCCATTCAAAATGGTGATTTACCCATTCAAAATGGTGATTTACAATGATTTACCCATTCAAAATGGTGATTTACCCATTCAAAATGGTGATTTACCCATTCAAAATGATGATTTACCCATTCAAAATTGTGATTTACCCATTCAAAATGGTGATTTACCCATTGAAAATGGTGATTTTCCATGGTAAATGATAGTTAACCTGGTTGGTGGTTGACCTACCCCTCTGAAAAATATGAAAGTCAATGGGAAGGATGACATCCCATATATGAAATAGAAAATAAAACATGTTCCAAACCACCAACCAGACAATATATCAGTGAAATAAAATGGAAATTTTACCAAGTTGGGATAAGTTATCCTCTTGACCATCATGTCACGTTGACATAACTTGAAGTCGTTGTAATATGATGTGATTTTGAGTGTTAATGAGTATCGCCATGTATCGCCTAGATTTCTGAACACAACTGGCTTCAGATTGCTTACGACACAGGCAGTACATGGCAGTACAATCTGCTCGCAGATATGAGAGCCCTTTAGCATCCTTCAATTCAATTGCCTTCAATGTCTCGTGCCTTTTGTGTCTTCGATTCATTGTTGCGCAATCGCCCGAAAGATATCACCCCACAAAACTTCTGCACGTCAAAATGAAACAGGTGTGTCCTATGGCATGTTGAATGATCAAAGCTTTTTTGGTTCAAAGTCATGTGCAGAAAACACGATCGCAATCAAAATTATACATAGATCAGATCAAATGCCAATGTGTTCTTTTTGAGGTGCAATGTTACATCATGTTACACCCCTTTGTAGATAATTACCTTTGCATATAATGATTTATACCTTCAAAATATGACGAATGTTTGCCTTTTTCCTCCATTTTCCACACGGAAATCGCCAGGCCCAAGACACCCCAACAGCGGTGCCGCGAACTTCGCGCGAAAACACAGGAACTGCGTGCGCAAGATCTCAGGATCCGAGAGGCGTTTTTGCAGCTCGAGGCAAATCACCTCCAGACCTGTGCCATGCGTTGCGATCAAGGAGGGAGCTATGTAAATATAGCTAAGTAGCAGCTAAGTGAACTTAAGTGAACTCATCTTTCACCGGTTTATGGTAATTGTATGTAATTGTATGTAATTACAACTTTAGTTGAGGGATGCGAATTGGATTTATCTGACTGATTTCTTTCAAAAACTGAATTAAGGTGTATTTGCGATAGTTAACCCCTACATTCACCATCATTCCAGTGACATCGCAGGATTTGGTCGTCAAAAATTGATCCTAATCAAAGGGGTTTTCTGCTGGGATATCAATGGGCCAATGGGATTTCGCAGCGAAAAAGGGGATTTGACCAACCATTCCTGGCCGTATGGGACACATTTATGGGGATGATATGGCAGTGTGTCAAAACCTTGCACCCCTGGTGAACATCAAAATAGCTGGTAAATGGATGTTCATTCCCCTAAAAATGGTATTAATAGGTATTGATCCATACCCATTTATGGGGATGATATAAATGGGATGTGAATGGATAATAAGATCATAGAATCACATATGCAGTAAGCAGCATCAAGCGCCAATATGGGATAACGGGGGACTCTTATCTTACTTAAACAATGGGGATTCGTTTCTCCCAGGTCCATGGCCCAACTTGCCAAAACCTCAGATCCGATTCTCCGTAAAGTGACGTTAGAAGGAGCAAGAACAATAATCATAACACATTTACATAAATTTGTATAAAGTAATCATGTATTGGTTCTGACCATATCATAAACAGACCCATCACATCAATATTCTTTTATGGATTCTTAGTTGTATATTGGTGTCTGTCTCAAGATTCTCATTGTCAGTCTCACTACGAGTTTGGGGTCGAACCATTGTATATGCGGTATGTTCATCCATCCCAAAAGTGGGAATTGCGACACAATGGGTATATCAAGTATTAATAAATTGATGACCATTCCCGGATGGGGGCACCTTTACCCAAGTTTTGACCATGGCACATACCATGTTGGCTATTAGATGCCGCTATATCACATTGTATTCCCATTATATATTGGTTCAACCCAGTATTTGACGGTTGAGCAGTCAAGCATGTTATGAGCATATAATGGTACTTGCATACAGTATCCGTATTACCCTCTGGTAAACTCACATAACTATGTAAAATCACCACCAGCAACAGGTAAATCAACTATAAATGGGCCATGTTCAACAGCTATGTTAGTTTGCCAGAGGATATCAATGAAACTGGACTTTCACTTTTACCCGCGCCAATGCTACAGCTTCAGCCCTGAGCTGCACACGTTGGGCTGAAGCGAGCGTCGAGCGCCACGCCAAGTTTACTCATGTGGCTGTGGCTCAATGGAAAGCTTCTGTTACGGGGTTCGGCAATCAAACATGGCTGGCTGGGAAATCCAGCCAACTACATAAATGTGGGTCTTATTGGGAAAATCATCGAAAGAAATGGAGTATTTTCCAACAAACCATGCTTGATAGCCATGCAGAGGGTAAGGATAATGATTGCAGTGGGAAATCCATGTTTTTATGAGAATATCGTTTACAAATGTTTATAAATACAATACCCCATCCAATGACTCAATAATCAGCCATAGCCAGATGTTCAATCATTATCTTGGCATTTGCACGGCAGATTGAAGCAAACAACTGCCCATCAGGCAAAATCAAACGGAGACTCTGAAGGCTAACCTTGAGTTCCTGTGCGATGCGCCTGTGACTGTACCAGGCCAAATCAGACAAGGAGGTGGTCAAGGGCAAGACTTTTTGCCCGGCCAAAGTCCAACAGGTCAGGATGACCCCTTCATCTGTACAATCAAAAGTCACTTGAAAAGCCCTCGCTCGGACATCCCCAATATAGAGTTTCCCAGGTTCCAAAGCAGGAATGCTGCATTGCTTTTCATCATTAGCGCCACAAGCCACAACACTGCCATCACTTCGAAGGAGCAGTGTGTGATTGTGACCGGCAGAAACCTGGGTGTATGTCAGTCCTTCAGTCAAAGGAGGAATGGTGCATTGGTTCTCGATATCTCTGCCACAAGCAACAGCACAGCCATCACTTTGGAGAAGCACTGCATGAGACTGGCCGGCAGAAACTTGCATGTAAAATACTCCGTCATCCAAAGTTGGAAGGTCCAGCACTCTATATTTAGTATCCCCACAACCAATAACACTGCCGTCACTTTTGAGAAGCCATGTTTGACGATAACCTGCACAAACCTGCGTGTATGACAGTCCTTCACCCAAAAGTGGAATGTTGCATTGGCCATCTTCGTTCATTCCGCAAGCCACAGCACAGCCATCACTTCGGAGAAGCACCGTATGACCCCCTCCTGCAGAAACCTGGGTGTAGGCAACTCCTTCCTCTACCAATGGAATGCTGCATTGTCCCAGATTATTTAAACCACAAGCCACAGCAGAGCCATCACTCCGGAGAAGCACTGTGTGCATATAGCCGGCCGACACCTGAGTGTAGGACATTCCTGCATCCAGTGGTGGAATGTTGCACTGTCCATTCTTATTGTCCCCAACGGCAACAGCACAGCCATCACTCCGGAGAAGAACTGTATGGGTGCTACCCGCAGACACCTGGGCGTATAAGGTTCCATCAGGCAACTGCTCAATTTCGCATTGCCCGGCCCCATTCCATCCGAAAGCCACAGCAGTCCCATCACTTTGGAGAAGCACTGTGTGACCACCGCCTGCGGAAGCCATTTTTTCTATGAGCCCAATCTCGAGGGCGGATTCAACTCTTGAGCCAAAAGCTTCTCACCCATCGAACAGCGAACAGCGGCTTTGCCAGCCAACAAAGAGCCCCATGCCAAAATACTGACTGAAACTAATTGTAGATGCCTCAGTTTTATTGAAAAGTGCTTGCAGGATCTTATAGATGTTGTTCACTCCATCTTTTTGGGAGCGAACATTATACATGCAATTCCAACTATTCCAGGGTCGACACAAGTCTAACACCTCAGCTAGTTCCACCGTTTTTTCAGTACTGACACTATACTAAATATACGCGCTGACACCATCGTTTGCCCAAAAATTCAAAGGGTACAAGTGGAAGGGTTACACCCCTTCAGGATAACATAGAACAAAAACCGACTGTTTTAGAAATTTAACATGGAACAAATAAATGGTACAAAAATGACCCCGGGAAGATTAACATGGAACAAAAGTCAATTGTGACCGGAACCATTTTTTTTCCTGAAAATGACCCCGACCTACGTTGGCTGCCCCCCAAAATCGTTCCATGTTAATTTACTAACCATCAACAAAAAGTTCCATGTTGGTAGTTGCCAGGGGGTGCCACACGATTGTTTAACATAGAACTCCTGGAGGGGTCCTTTCTCAAACCTTGTTTTCGTTCCATGTTAAAACAAAGTTAGCTGAAAATGTCTTCTGGCCCCAAAATGAGATCCCGCCCAAATTCCAAAATGATTGGGTGATTTTTCTTGTTAAAGACTGTTCTTAAAAGTACTCATTTGTAACATTTTGGCCAGGAAAAAACTGCCCCCCCAGAAAACGTGGATCTTGCTTCCAGGGAACATTCATTCGTCAAGCCCTCAAACAGTATAGAGGGCGGACAACACAATTCACCACAGAAACCTTAACATGGAACAAAAAAAAAGGGATAATTGTGCGTATCCTCCTAATTACTTTTCTTGGCACTAACGTCAACATGGAACAAAGCAAAGCACTTTTTTTTGGGTGAATAGCTTGTATCCCCGTACCTTTCTTGGCACCAGGAAACCATTTTGGAATTTGGGCGGGATCTCATTTTGCGGCCAGAAGACATGAACCCTGGCACTAGCCACCCAAGGGACGTCTGTATGGCCTAGGGTGGCTAGTGCAAGGGTCCATGTCTTCTGGGATGGCTGGTGCCAAGAAAAGTACTCTAGTTTTTTGTAATGTTTTGTTCCATGTTAACGTTTCTGGGTTTGCTGGTGCCAAGAAAGGTAGGGGGATACAAGCTATTCACCAAAAAAAACTGTTTTTTGCTTTGTTCCATGTTGACGTTCCTGGGGTGTTTGGTGCCAAGAGAGGTAATTAGGAGGATACGCACAATTATCCCAAAAGAACGTTTTCTGTTCCATGTTAAGGTTTCTGTGGTGAATTGTGCTGTTTCCAAAAAATGCAATAAGCCTAGATCGGGGAAAAAGGGAAGCTGCTTGGGAGCCCAAATTGTAGATCTATGCCAGGTTAACGAGTGCCAGAATCGGGACAACACGACCCCCCCCGACGGTGGTTAACATGGAACAGGCGAACCCGTTGTTGGGGCAATGAAAAATTATGAAAAATAGAGAAAACAAGGAAAAAACAATTAAAAATAACAGGGTCTATGTTAACGAATAAGGGGCCAACTTTTTACCTTCGAATATGTCCTCCAGAATTCCACAACTTTTAACATGGACGATTTGGAAAAAAACGTCTATGTATATAAATGATTGCGGGGCCAATTCTCACATCCGAAGATGCCCCTCCAGAGCTCCACAATTTTTAACATGGAACATGGCGGGAAAAAATGGTTTTTCCATAACAGGGTCTATGTTAATGATAGCGGGGCCAATTTTCACCTTCAAAAATTTAAGAAAAAATATCAACATACCGTATACCTGAAATTGTTCCATGTTAATGTAGGATTGGCTAATTTCTGTTCCATGTTAAATTTGTGTGGTCATTTTTTGGTACTTAGAACGTTCACCCTACCTTGTTCTATGTTAGCGTGCGAAAGCATTTTTTTGCACGTTTTGACCTTAACATGGAACACACGCGCAAAAAAAAGGTGTCTTAACATGGAACCTCAAAAGTTTTTTTTGTTCTATGTAATCCTGTAGGGGAGTAAGTCATAGCATCTTGTCTTAAGTCATTGCCGGGGTCCTGTTTCTGCACGTGTACGCTGCAAATGGTTTAAGTCACGGCCGCTCGTTTTAAGTCATAGCCGTGTAATGCCTTTCCCCATGTGTACGCGGCTTTGACCGAGTTTCGTATTATATTAGTTGTCATCAGTTCTGCATGGAATTCCTATTCATTGTATATGTTTCGGGTATGTACTTCTTATGTAATTCACCATGCCTCCGCTATAAAAGATTGGCTCATGCCAGCAGAGCGGGCCCGTCTCACCCGCGCAGCGGTGGGATTGTGCCGAGAAGTTCAGTGGGTCAGGACGGTAGCCCGGAATACTCACAGAAACACCAAGAGATGCTACAACAAATTACCTAGATCATAAGATTACCATCTTCCCCATGACCCCTGAAAGATACATATCATTACCATTTGGGTTGGGGGTGGGTTTTGGGAGAGAGTATCCTGATTGTTCATCATCATTACATGCCAGATTCTTCCAGGTCCGGGCAAACGATGGCGTTTTGACCGTAAATATAGTATCCAACAAAAAACATACTATATACTATTATTTAAAAAATTAATATGTATATATATATATATCACAAAATATACTATAGCATACTATATGTAGTATTTTAGGACACTATTTTAAATACATATATACATATATATATATATTGGTACGGTTCAAAAAAATAGACTCAGAAGTCCATTTTCGGGATCGTAAACCAACAGATTATTTATAATCGGCTATGAAAATGAGTTTGTACATGCCCCTGTCTTTATACCCCCAGTGCTAGATATCCACCATTTAGTTCGATGATTTTCCCAGCTATAAGCCTCCACACCGGAGGGTATCACCATTGGTAAATATCCATCAATATTCCCATTTACATCCATTTACTATAGGTAAACCCACCCATTTGCTATTGGTAAATATCCATAAATATCCCACAAGTATACCCAGTACCTTGGTCGAGTTCTCACCCCCGCCTTGCAGCGAGTGTGGACAGGGCAGTGATGATGGACACGACTCCCAGGGCACTTCCAAACAAAGCGCTGGAGTGGAGCGGTCAGGACGTCTGGCAACTTGGAGGATCATCCCGAGGGACAAATGAGTAACGTTACCAGTTATGACCATTTAGAAAATGGCATATATATAACTTATAACTATAGTTTCTGACATTAATAACTATAGTTAGGAGTTATATATATATATATATAAATTATAAGCAATTTTCCAAATGGTCATAACTGGTAACTGGTAAGTGCTTAGGAACTGGGGCTACTTTACTTCACCCATTTACGGGATAACTCATGGGTTACGTTCACCAGTTGCCGATACCATCCAAGGAATGATCCAAGTATGGGATCACAGAGTCAGAGAATATATGAGAATATGGGGATATACTATGACTGTGATATCATGGAATATATAATCATAGAACAATTGTTTTTTTTTAAAAAAATACCCCCAAACCACCAACCCATACCACCACACCACATAAGCACATGTTGAATATTTATATATATTTATATATATTTATATATATTTATATATTGTTTTATAATATTTACATAATATTTACATAATATTTACATAATATTTACATAGTATTTATATAATATTTATCACTATAGCAACCAAAATCGCGTACGTTGTCAAGAAATAGAGTTTACATGAGTTTGCCAACAAAATCATGGATCGAATCCTTCAAAAATAAAGATTTACTGTAATCAGCAAAAAATGTTTAACTTAACCAACAAAAAAATGAATATCAACCAAAACAGGGGCTTTACACATCCCAGAAATCATGGTTGTTTAGGCAAATCCTTCCAACCGTTAAAAAAGGGATTTCGGGTGACGTTATTTGACCATCAAAACTGGGGATGCAACAAAAACTGGGTCGTCAATGGGGCACTGGTGGAGCCATACCTACAGCCTATGATGGCGATCATCACCCCAATTTGGGGTTGAAAACAAGGTTAGAACAACCAACCAGATTCCAAGTCCGTTTGTTCTTGAATATGATTTGAACAATCAAAGATCCGAAATGATTTTTAAAGGATGCAATTGGTGCATTATGAAAAGTCCTCGAAGTCAGTTTGGTGAAGATTCAAACTGTGTGTTGGGTTTCCAACACATCTGAATGGAATTGATTCGAAAAAGGTGTTCAAGACTGCCAAACTAACGCAAGAATTCCGGGAGACTTGGTCATCTTCCCCCAATTGAGCCATAAAAAATACTTCCATCCCATCCCCTGAAATTCGTTGACATACTATAGTTGATTACTGCGATCCCGTGGGGAAAATGGGTCGCCGGATCATCTGGAGAAGCCATATTTTTTCGTCATAGTACAGAGTCATATTCGCACCATGTTCCCATGGTTTTTGGCTGCTGGAAATAAATCATTTCCATCATATTCCATCATATTCCATCATATTCCATCATATTCCATCATACTCCATCATATTCCATCATATTCCATCATATTCCATCATATTCCATCATATTCCATCATATTCCATCATATTCCATCATATTCCATCATATTCCATCATATTCCATCATATTCCATCATATTCCATCATATTCCATCATATTCCATCATATTCCATCATATTCCATCATATTCCATCATATTCCATCATATTCCATCATATTCCATCATATTCCATCATATTCCATCATATTCCATCATATTCCATCATATGCCATCATATTCCATCATATTCCATCATATTCCATCATATTCCATCATATTCCATCATATGCCATCATATGCCATCATATTCCATCATATTCCATCATATTCCATCATATTCCATCATATTCCATCATATTCCATCATATTCCATCATATTCCATCATATTCCATCATATTCCACCATCATATTCCATCATATTCCATCATATTCCATCATATGCCATCATATTCCATCATATTCCATCATATTCCATCATATTCCATCATATTCCATCATATCCATCATATTCATATTCATATTCATATTCATATTCCATCATATTCCATCATATTCCATCATATTCCATCATATTCCATCATATTCCATCATATGCCATCATATTCCATCATATTCCATCATATTCCATCATATTCCATCATATTCCATCATATTCCATCATATTCCATCATATTCCATCATATTCCATCATATTCCATCATATTCCATCATATTCCATCATATGCCATCATATGCATCATATGCCATCATATTCCATCATATTCCATCATATTCCATCATATTCCATCATATCCATCATATTCCATCATATTCCATCATATTCCATCATATTCCATCATATGCCATCATATGCCATCATATTCCATCATATTCCATCATATTCCATCATATTCCATCATATTCCATCATATTCCATCATATTCCATCATATGCCATCATATTCCATCATATTCCATCATATTCCATCATATTCCATCATATTCCATCATATTCCATCATATTCCATCATATTCCATCATATGCCATCATATTCCATCATATTCCATCATATTCCATCATATTCCATCATATTCCATCATATTCCATCATATCCATCATATTCCATCATATTCCATCATATTCCATCATATTCCATCATATTCCATCATATTCCATCATATTCCATCATATTCCATCATATGCCATCATATTCCATCATATTCCATCATATTCCATCATATTCCATCATATTCCATCATATTCCATCATATTCCATCATATTCCATCATATTCCACCATATTCCATCATATTCCATCATATTCCATCATATTCCATCATATTCCATCATATTCCATCATATTCCATCATATTCCATCATATTCCATCATATTCCATCATATTCCATCATATCCATCATATTCCATCATATGCCATCATATTCCATCATATTCCATCATATTCCATCATATTCCATCATATTCCATCATATTCCATCATATTCCATCATATTCCATCATATTCCATCATATTCCATCATATTCCATCATATTCCATCATATTCCATCATATTCCATCATATGCCATCATATTCCATCATATGCCATCATATTCCATCATATTCCATCATATTCCATCATATGCCATCATATTCCATCATATTCCATCATATTCCATCATATTCCATCATATTCCATCATATTCCATCATATTCCATCATATTTCATCATATTCCATCATATTCCATCATATTCCATCATATTCCATCATATTCCATCATATTCCATCATATTCCATCATATTCCATCATATGCCATCATATGCCATCATATGCCATCATATGCCATCATATTCCATCATATTCCATCATATTCCATCATATCCATCATATTCCATCATATTCCATCATATTCCATCATATTCCATCATATTCCATCATATTCCATCATATTCCATCATATTCCATCATATTCCATCATACTCCATCATATTCCGTCATATTCCGTCATATTCCGTCATATTCCATCATATTCCATCATATTCCATCATATTCCATCATATTCCATCATATTCCATCATATTCCATCATATTCCATCATATTCCATCATATTCCATCATATTCCATCATATTCCATCATATTCCATCATATGCCATCATATTCCATCATATTCCATCATATGCCATCATATGCAATCATATTCCATCATATTCCATCATATGCCATCATATGCCATCATATGCCATCATATGCCATCATATGCCATCATATTCCATCATATTCCATCATATTCCATCATATTCCATCATATTCCATCATATTCCACCATATTCCATCATATTCCATCATATTCCATCATATGCCATCATATTCCATCATATTCCATCATATTCCATCATATTCCATCATATTCCATCATATTCCATCATATTCCATCATATTCCATCATATTCCACCATATTCCATCATATTCCATCATATTCCATCATATTCCATCATATTCCATCATATTCCATCATATTCCATCATATTCCATCATATTCCATCATATTCCATCATATTCCATCATATTCCATCATATTCCATCATACTCCATCATATTCCATCATATTCCATCATATTCCATCATATTCCATCATATTCCATCATATTCCATCATATTCCATCATATTCCATCATATTCCATCATATTCCATCATATTCCATCATATGCCATCATATTCCATCATATGCCATCATATTCCATCATATTCCATCATATTCCATCATATGCCATCATATTTCCATATTTTGCCGGTGAAATATGGTAGACACCTATCTTTCATGATAAAAAAAATATAGGGGGGTCCTTAGCCATTTTCCCCAGACGACCAATCCTCAACGCGCCTGGGTGCTGACCTTGGGAGAGGGGATCTCTTCGCATTTCATGGGGGATTTCATGGGAATTCACCCAGACACGTTGGGTGATTTATTGCTTGGTGATTTAAATGTTATAATTTGACTATAGTTTAATAGTTGACTTAGTTGATTTATTGATATTTATTGGTGCAAACTTTGACTTTCTTTTGTAAAATTCGCCACCAATATGGGGTGAACTCTGCCACTCATTTTAGGCCCACCTTGGAAGGAACTGGAGCTGATGAACATGGACTGAATGCTGAAGGAAAATCATCATATCCAAAGGAAAATCATAGGAATATGAATCAACTAATAAGACCTTTGGACGAAATTTGCACGCTGCTCATGCTATAACTGCTGATGTTTGGACAAAAGGCCAATGTTTCAGATAGAAATCTACAAGTGGGTCAAGACAATGGCGTCATCTGCCAGGCCACCGACTTCGGTACAACACCGGTGGCGCAGTGGTTCCAACGGTTCCACCGGTTCCAACCGCTGACGGCGCAGTGGTGTGGGCACGGCGCAAAGTGGGCACGGCCATCCATGACTCAGGGAGGATCACTCCACGAATCGTCAGTGGTCAGTGCGGCTACTGATGATCCCACATGATCCCACTTAGTGGTCATAAATGTGAATAAGCCTGGTTAGTATCGTGGGGGTATTCCATTTGTTTTTTTTTGGTATAGTTACTGACCAGTTACATCCAGGTACATCCAGTTTGATGACCCAAGTAGTTTACCCAATATCCTCCAAGCAGGGTGCCCGACATGGGAGCGATTTCTGTCTACAAAACGATAGGGGCTTTCGGCCACATCAATGGGATTTGACTAACTCATTCATGACATGGGTCTGTTCAGAAATGGTATACAATAAATTACAATAATATATTCGAATGGTCAAGCTTGGGGGAACGAGAATAGATGGAGTTTGGGGTGGTGTATTTTTGGATTATCTGATGTATCATGATGTCAGTGCGAATCTTAGACATCCATCTTCAAAGAAATGGGCTGCTCCATGACGAGTGGGGGGTCCCAAGAACTGTCGGGATATCAGTGAGCCAAATAGCTTGACAGACTTAGATATCTATAAATATAGATATCTTGGATACTCTGCAAAAAGTTGTCCTTTAGTTGGCCAAACAGGAATATCTGGTAAGCTACTCAATACTGCAGGCATTTCCGGAAAGGCTACGGTTGCTCAGCAGCTGCAGTTTCGCAAGGCGAATCAGCCAAGTTCTGTCGCTGAATCATCATGCAAATGCAGACAGCTACCCTCTGGTAATGATTTACAGTTCGCAATGTTCGCAACATGTAAAATCACCATCTTCATAGGTAAATCATCGAACTCTAGCTGGGCCATTTCCCATAGCTATGCTACATTACTGTAGGATAAACATTAACTGATTTCAGAATAGAACCAGTGCATCTCTATATAGTTATTTTCAAATCTGAGTCGTTGGGGATCATCTAAGGGACATCTGCGTCCCTTGATGGTTGGTCATTGATGGTGGGGATTCTGTGCACATACATATGACCATGTATGTACGATATATCATAATATATGTTATATGTAGCCAACCCAATATTACATTATGATTATTATGGACATCATTGTACATCATAATTATTTTAAATACTCTACATGCAGCTGCACCAATGTGTAACACATAATTATGCAGCTAACATACAGATACATATGATATTACGTACATACATTAGAAACACAATAGAAACACGTACACAGCTGTTTTTTTAAACGCCTATAAACCCCGTATTCTCATGCATTTTCCATTTCCAGCTGCTCCCCCGCAGAACAAACCTGAGGGTTTTTCGGTGGTGGCCGTGGTGGCCTACCTTCCCACTGACCATAGTAGTTTTCTGGTACCTGCTACCAGGGCTACCAGCTGAGTCTTCAGCTCCCCAGCTGCCACCCCAGGTGTCTTAAGGTCCTGGTGAATGGGTTGATGAAAAACATCGAATTCCAATGTGTTTCGAAACCATCAAGGAACATCGAATCACATGAAATGTACGTATAAAAACTTCAAAACTCTGACTTCTGCGAAATTTTCAGGGCTTGAAGAGTCTCAATTTTCCACTATCGGGGGTCCCATGGATCACTTCCTAGTGGCAGAGGCATCGTCAGTGGTTATCCATTTCAAATCAAAAGGTGATGTTTATAGAGTCTCCGGCCGCATCTCCCCATGGTCACGTGACTCTTTTCGAAGTTCCTTGGCGCAACGATCCATGATGGTAGGATTTAGGGATGATCATAGATTTCCATCATGATGCTACAGTTTGGTTATGTACGCTAAAATACACATTGCTTATGTCATAGTAACATAAAAATAACTTATTGTCATAGTCATAATCATATTGTAATCTGAATATGTGTATGAATTTGTATGAATGTGTATGTCAATGTCATTTTGCATCTAACTAGAGGCGGAAGTGCGCCTCAAACATCAATTGTAGTGCCAAAGAAGAACTCTTCGGTCTTTGGAACTCACGAATTCGAATCAAACCACTGCTGGAAGATGTTGGGGCCCGGGATCTATTTAAGTTTGCTCACTTGGATCACTGGTTGGTGGTGCAATCACCATCTTGAAAAATATGAGTTCGTCAATGGGTTTCGCATGACATCCCATCTAACTATTAAGGAAGTCATAAAAGCCATGTTCCAAACCACCAACCAAATCATGTGGGATCACTCTTTTTGGAGAAAAACCTATGGGATCCTATGGCACTATGGGGTGTCACACTGCCAAGCCACACGTTCCATCTAGAGTTCTCCTCTGTGTGGGGAGCGGATCTGACCATCCACAAAGCCTCAGCACCGACGGCAGGAACTGGCCGAATCGACATGCAATTTGCGGCCGAGATAGCTAAGTTGATTTGAAAGCAGCCTAAAGCAGGTTTACGGTAGATACAACCTATATATATAATTATATAATTATATAATCATGTATAGATATACATTATATATATATATATGATTATATATGTATGAATAATATATGTACGTATAGATTAATCCCTTCCCCCTATTACTAAAACCCCCGAATAATAAAAACTAGGGTCCATCTCCAATTTTGGCAAAATTTCAGGTTGGCCAATTTGACTTTTAATTGATTTCCTTTTGGAAAACAATTTAAAAATAAAGCTACTGCTGTTTGTAAGTTTCACCCCCTAATAATAAAAACTAGTCAAGGCCGGGGTGTTCTTTATTAGGGTCCGTCCGAAAATTATAGTTTTTTATATTCAGGTTTTTAATTTAATATTAGGGGGAAACTTCGAAATCCAATTTTCGGCAATATTTTAATTGCGTTAAAAAAGGAAATTTATATAATTGATTTTGAAATTGAAAAAAACATACTAAGGGTTTTAATTCAATATTAGGGTCCGCTTTGGTTCCCTAATAATAAATACCCCCCTAATAATAAAAAAGTACCTGAGGTGTTTATTATTTAGGGGGGGTAGTATTAGGGGGAAGAGATTATATAGATGGATTTATAAACCAACTTCTAACTGCGGGGACACCAACTTGTGGGATTGGGAAGGGCCCACCCTTCCTCTTGTGGCTTTAATGATTGAAACCACCAAGCCAAGCGTTGCGACTGCTGATGGTTTGATCCCCGAGTCGAATTCGTGCGTCAACTTTGATCCAAACCATAGGGCAGGCTACGAGTGACAAAACTGATCAAAACTGGCTATAATTACCACATGTTAACACTGAATTGGATGGTTGGGTACCGATGCTGATGGTTAAGACATGCTAGTGACTCTAATGACCCAAAAACTCGTGTCCACCATTGCCTGGTCGACCCTTCAGCCGAGCGGCAAGCAGCTGCAAAAGGTATAGAAGGCATCTCTCCGATTCCATCTGAGATGAGGCACCAAGGCAACAGGGCGTTGCCAGGGCGACACCGGAGAGATATGATAAGGTTGTCAGATTGGTTCTTGATTGTTTTGGTTACCCTCCGGTTCTCAAACATGACTAGCTGCTCAAATCCATCATTTGTAGATGATTGTCCTATCAAAACCTCCATTTACAGGGCTTTTCCATGCTTTTCCCATTGCCATGTTTGATTACGGGGGGTACATGCACTGATTCCGGATCAGTCTTGGTGGTTTTCAAGGCACTTTGAAATCAATTTCCAACTGAAGAGGCATCATGCCCACAAGCATGGCTTGTTAAGTCAGCTCACAATTAATTGAAGCCTTGAATCTGGAAATTTTCGCTCGGAGTATCCTGAATCGCTGCGATTTTTATTTCACCAGAACCAGCCGGGCATGGTGAGTCTCCCCGAGCCCATCCCCAAAAACCTTGATAAACGGCTGGAATTTCAACCATCCCCAAACGATAGATGTATTATTGATTATTCTTGGGTGTCCAACATTAATGTTGTTCGTCACATAACTTCTTCACCAACATGTTCTGTGATTCGTCACCAAACTAATCCTACCATTTAAGATATTTAAGGAGATGGGGTATAATGTTTATAATTTATAATGGTTGATACAACATTATCCCACCCATAATAATGGTGACTTGGGGATGCTGCAGATGGCGCCTTCTGGCCCCCAGGTGAGCCTCCAAAACTGTACGGAAAGATCAGAATCGAGCTCCTCACTGGTCTCAGGGCTCCCAAGCTTCGATGAATTTGGTCCAAGAACAAAAAAAACAAGACACCCTCTGGTAAACTAACATAGCTAATGAAAATGGTCATTTATAGTGGATGTTCCCATTAAAAATGGTGATTTTCCATAGTTAGGTTAGTTTACCAGAGGGTAAACATAGATAAACAAAGGAAACTATGGATTATGGTTGTTTGTTCCAATGATCTTTGGCTTTGTGAAGTATCTCTTCAACCAATTCTGGTAAATATGGTTTATAAGATCTAGAAATATTAGAAACTTGCCGGAACAATAGCAATCAAAGGAAACCAGCTGTTCAAAAAGACTAGTTTCCCAGGATTTCAAAGATATTTCACTGCAATTCTTAGATATTTATCACTGCAATGTTCACCATATCAGGCTATGATACTCATTTTGATGAGAAAATTCAGGGCACACACAGACATGATACAACTGGGTATATATCCAGGTCTACAAACAAAAAGGTCAGGACCATTCAGGACCTCATCTGCGCACACAGATTTGACTCATCTGCGCACATAGGTCTGGGGTAGGGTTTGGGGTTTGGGGTGGGGGTGCTAATAACGTTCATGTTCCCTTGCACACACAGGTACTGCACACTGATCACGTCTTGTGGTGGGGGTGGGGTACATTGGGGTACCAACCCTTTAGCAGGATTATGAACCACTTCCTGGGATGCACATCCAAGGAGGTTCTGCTGGATGTTCCAGTCCTTGCACCCGCGGCTCCGGTGTCGCAACGGTACCGACACCCGGAGTGACAGGTCAAATGAATTCCATGCTGAGCCGATGTTGCGCTGCGACATACGAGATGTTTGTGATCCATGATGGCGTGACTCATCTCACTCTCTGATGTACTGTACCCAAAGGGATTTATATACCCTGTTTGGGTTTGATTCACGGAACATGTGCAGGAAACATCAGGAAAGTGTCTTTGTTTTGCCATCGATGCAAGTCAACCCCATGATTCCATATGTCATCCATCCATTGGGGGGGAACTCCCGCATTTTCCGAAAGCCATGTCCACCCTTTCAGGCCCCATGTGCTTGGTAGTCGCCCCGATTCTTGTTGGGGGCCAGCACATCTTGCCCTATTTGTTGACAACCCAAATATCCAACAGCATCGTCACATAATACGTTAAATCATATACATATACATATACATATACATAATATACATATACATAATATACATATACATATACATATACAATCATATACATATATGGGGATGTCCCATTAGCTACCCATTATATCACCATGATGGTTGGTTTACATTCAAATCTAAGGGGCGCCTGTCAGGACACCTCAGTGACATCCGCAACCTTTTTCGCAGGGCTGCGCTGGGTGCTCTCCCTGGCCACAGATCGGTGGGGAAATTTGGCTGGAGCAACCCTGATTTTGGTGAGTGTTTCTGGTAATCAAACCTGGCTATGGAGAAAATTCATGAAATTTCCTATGCTTAGACTCGTGTTTCCCATCAAAACCACCACTTTTCCGCTGAATTTCTGGGTAGGAAACCCCTACTTTTCCCCCCATTTCATTATTAAGGGCGGTTCCTTTTAAAAACAATGGGTGGTTCGATCATTTCAGGACCAAAAACAGGTGAGCTGCCTCTTGGGCCGCTTGGACACCAGGTGATGAATAGAATAACTCCCCACTTATCATTCCTATTTTGTATTGTCTATCATACCAGTAGTGCCGCACAAGGCGGCGGCGGAAGTTTCAAAAATAGGAAACTGATGGACCGACAGGTGGTTGGAGTTTTGTTATGTTTTGTTTTTTGGATTGGTTGCAATGGTTGCAGTGGTCGCACCACCACAACTGTTGGATGTAGTGTGGTGTAGTGAAGTTGTAGTTTAGTCTAGTGGAGTTGTAGTTGTAAGTTGTAGCTCTCATGTGATGTAATTAGTGCAGTGTAGTTGCAGTTGAAGTTGCAGTTGTAGTTGTGGTGTGGTGTAATTAGTGTAGTGTATTGTAGTGTACTGTAGCGTTGTGTACTGTAGTGTGGTTTAGTGTAGTGTAGTCTAGCGTAGTGTAGTGTAAAGTAGCGCAGTTGTAGTTGTAGTGTGTTGTAATTAGTTTCATCTAGCGTAGTATAATGTAGTGGTAGTTGTAATTGCAGATGCAGTTGCAGTTGTAGATGTAGTGTAATGGAATGCAATTAGTGTATATAGTGCAGTGTTGTAGAGTGTCGTGCAATGTAGTGTAGTAGTTGTAGTAACATGTATATGTGTAGCTGTAGTGTGCTGCAGTGAAATTAGTGTATTGCAGTGTAGTAGTAGTAGTAGTAGTTGGTAGTAGTTGTAGATTTGGTAGTAGTCGCCGTCGTCGTCGTCGTCGTCGTCGTAGTCGTAGTCGTAGTCGTAGTCGTAGTAGTAGTAGTAGTAGTAGTAGTAGTAGTAGTAGTAGTAGTAGTAGTAGTGGTAGTGGTAGTAGTGGTAGTAGTGGTAGTAGTTGTAGTAGTGGTAGTAGTGGTAGTAGTGGTAGTAGTGGTAGTAGTGGTAGTAGTGGTAGTAGTAGTAGTAGTGGTAGTGGTAGTGGTAGTGGTAGTGGTAGTGGTAGTGGTAGTGGTAGTGGTAGTGGTCGTGGTAGTAGTAGTAGTAGTAGCAGCAGGAGTAGTAGTAGTAGTAGTAGTAGTTGTTGTTGTTGTTGTAGTTGTAGTTGTAGTAGTAGTAGTAGTTGTTGTTGTTGTAGTAGGTAGTACACTAGTCGTAGTCGTTGCAGTTGTTGTTGTAGTTGTTGTTGTTGCTGTTGCTGTTGCTGTTGCTGCTATTAGTGTTGTTGTTGCTGTTGTTGTCGTTGTCGTTGTCGTTGTTGTTGTTGCTGTTGTTGTTGTTGCTGTTGTTGTTGTTGTATTGTTATAGTTGTAGTTGTAGTTGTAGTTGTAGTTGTAGTTGCCTGTCTATCTACTTAATCTATCTATCGATCCATCTATCTATCGATCTATCTCTCTCTCTCTCTCTCAGTCTGTCTGTTTATCTTCTTGTCAAGCTTGAAAACGAAGCTATTCTGCGAGACTTCCTCAGTTTTTGAACTTGACAACATCAAAAACGCAGCAATTCAGCAAGACTTCCTCCCTTGACAACGTGAAAAACGAAGCAATTCTGCGAGACTTCCTCATTTGTTTTAAAGTGACAACATCAAAAACAAAGCAATTCTGCGAGACTTCCTGCAAAAATGGAAAGTTGAGTGCAGAGCTGACAGCCTCGTACCAATGAGTTTTGCGATTTTTCCACTCCTCCTGTCTAAACTAATGCGCGCGCCACGAAAAAGTGATGCCAGGTCGTATACGAAGTGCCGCACCTGTCACGCAGAATCATCTCAGCAAACCTGAAGATCTGATGCTCCAAAATGCAACCCTTCTCAGGACATCAGCGGCGGGACCTCCCAACAGCTCTGATGAACATGTCTCTTGTACTGCGCCTGCCACGGAAAATGCATCTTTGCAGATCCTTTTCAAATGTCCCACGCCTGCCATCGTTTTTGGAAATGCTACAAAACCCTCATGTTTTGCTCACTTTTGACAAGGTGCACAATCCCTTGCGCCTGCCACGCGAAACAACATCTGAACGTCAAAAAGTGGTCCAAGCATGTGGTGCTTTTTGCATTTTTACTTCGGAATGTGCTTCGCGCCACAACGGCGTGCTCTTTTTCGACATCTCAACTTACAAACGTGGTCTGAACCTGTCAGCTTTTTACACTTTTGACTTCGAAATGTGCTTCGCGCCGCAACAGCGTGCACTTTTTCGACATCTCAACTTCTAAAAGTGCTCCGAACATGGTGTGCTTTGTACATTTTGACTTGTAAATGTGCTTCGCGCCACAACGGCGTGCAATTTTTCATCTGTCATCTGGCCAGCTGGCTCCGCACCCGCCGCTTTAGCGAGCCTACTTTTCGACCCTCCGGAGCCACAAATCATTTGAAAAACACAGTGTTTTGGACTTTCCTACCTTTTCCGGCACGTGGATCTTCTTTCTTCTGAGACTTTCTCTTTTTGATCTTCTTTCTTCTTCTCGTCTCTTCTTTGACTCTTACCACCTCTGCTTTTCTATCTGTCCATATTGTCGGAAGTTTGACTTCTAAACTTCCTTCGATTCTATGTGTGGATTCATAATGGGGGGTTTAACTATATAATGCATCATCTTGGTCAACTCCAACGTTTCAAAATGTGTATATATATATTATATACATTGTTGGTTGTGTATCCTATCATATACCATTCTCTCCCGGTGATGGTTGGTTTCAATACCCTGCACAAAACACAAAAAAAAGAACCCTCATTTTTGAAGCTGGTAACCGCACTGGTAACCCAAACAACAAGCCATCCCGATTCTACCAAAAATGGGTGGCATATGGTGGTGTACCCCCATGTTTGTTGGTTAAATCCCCATTATATCCAAAATGCGCAGTGAAATTCTGATAGTTAACTCACTATTTCTTGTTGGTTACTGTTACCATCCCCGTAAACAACAAATCGACCCTGCTATGAGTTCGGTTGGAAGACAATTCTTTCCAACCTAAAAATTGGCTCTTCTCAGCGTCACTTTTCGTTAATTTGGGAGATTGTTGAATCCCTCCATGTCTGGACAAACATGTTTGTTGGTTTATAGACCCTACGAACTATATGTGTAACTAACATAAACCCAACAGTGAAATGCGAGTGAAACGGGGCTTTTGTAAGTCATGGGGGATCCCGAGTCGTCATCAGAGAAGCACCTGGGCCAAAGAATTATAGACCAAAATTTCGGGTCCCCTGGAGGTTTAATTCTTGACCCATACCCATATTATATGTCTATATATCAATACTATTATATAAAAATGTTAAATACATTTTTTTAAAAATACGTTTTTTTTTTTTCTATATGTATTTATATGTATATATGTATATATATATGATTATATATGTATGTGCAGGAAAATGATATATCATTTTTATTTGACCAATCAATCCGATCCAATCAATCGCGATCTCAACTCCGATCAAATCAAATCCATGAATCACTGAATGAATGAATGAATGAATGAATGAATCAATCAATCAATCAATCAATCAATCAATCAATCACCCAATCAATCATTCACTCACTCAATCCTCACTCAATTAGTCATGCTCCTGATCCCTGCTAAGGATTGAAAGGTGACACCTGGTTGAAAATCTCACTCCCCAATAGTGACAGTCTACTATTGAGACGATTACCCACCAATTCACAGCCCAGGGGCAAATGAAAATCCGGACACTACAGTACCAATGGTGGTCAAGTCTCTTTCGTAGTTTTTCAGTGCTTGGATGGTACACGAGGTTGATAAATAGGTTTTACCTTGGCTATAACCCCCTAATTACAGTATATGACATTGATTGAATATATAGTCATATCTAGCATGCTGCAACCTAATTTCCAAACTTCGAGAAACCTCCAAACTGGCACCAATGGCTGACTCTGAGGCTGTAACGCTGCGACACCGCGACGCCAATCACCACTGTCACGTCAATCCTGTGTTGGATTCCGATGACATTGGGAGGTTGGTGAGCATGAGAGAGTGGCTGTCACCAAAATGAAATGAACATTGTTCAAAACCCGCTGTCGTTAGGTTATACTTGTTGGTGAATAGGGTGTTCCATAACGGATTATGATAATCCCAAAAAAATGTTCGGTAGCACGACCGTGCAACCCCCGTATATAGCCATCAACCAACAGAGGCTTTGGACATCTTTGGACACTCCTCTAGTGCACTGCAGGCATGATTCTGCTTTACAGATCTCCATGCACTCGAAACTTGACTCATTTCCTCTGTGTGTGTAAGCCAATCAATTCATTGGAGTTCCTCTGAAAATAAGGTACTGTACCCCAAAATATCATGGTTTAAAGTTTCAACCATTGTTTTACATTCTTCAATGGCCATGAATTGGGAGACGCCGATTTTGGATAGATCATTCCTGATGGTTGAAAGCCACTCTTGATGGATCTTGATGGGTAAATCCCATGCTTGGTGGTCAAATCCTTATGTCCATGGTCTGATGGTAAAAAATCCTCTTAGATCCCAATGTTTGAAGGTCACATTCTCGTTTTTGGCATGTTAAAATCTATTAAAAATCCTAAAAGCATCATCTTGGATCTGCCTCAGGAACCCCATGAAAAAATATACAACAGCATATTATATCTTTCCCTTTTGGATTATATATATTGATACCCCTATAGATTCCCCTTGGGGATTTCCCATTGGGAAGGCGTTCCAAATTATACAATAAATAACTTCCCATCCAGTGAAAAGCATCTCAGGCGCGCCTGAGATGTCCACTTCATGGAAGGAGTCCGCCTGAGCACCTGCGCCAGGTCGAAAAAAAGCTATCCTTTTATGTGTTTAAACCATGGTTTTAACATGTTGAAACAATGGAAAAACACCTGAAATATCCTGAAAACAACAGCTGTTGATGTTTCTTTAGATTTTGGTTTTTCAGCATCTTTGCAGATGGACTGGACTCCTGCCTTCGCTGTCCTCTCCGGCCTGAGAAAGCCACTTGCCGATCAGTTGGCCACTCTTAGATGTCTTACATACTAGATTATATTATATAGTATATCTTAGTAAATTAAGATATATCAGTACATTGTGTAATGGTATATTGTGTCAGTACATCTACATACTATGATGTCAGTATATTATGTCATGATGTTATTATATATTCTAACAATATACATATATATTGTGGTTATTATTATTGTTATACTTATTTATATATATAGTTCTAAGTATTATATCTGCCATATCAGTCAAAAGATCATACAAAAAAAAACACCATCCAGTTGATTTGAACGCAGTGATAGACCCGCAGACTCCGCCGAGGCTGGGCTCGCGAGAGCGAAATCCGATGGAGCTGATCATGTCAGCTATGGGGGTTTCCATAGTCATGGGGGTACCCCCATAGCTGGATGGTTTATTTCATGGAAAATACGACGAAAAAATGGATGATAACTAGAATCAGAAGAAGCCCTATTTCAGGAAACCTCCATGTGGGTGTATGACGTGAAATTATGTGTTTCCGACGTTTCAACAAAGCCACATAATAACACTCATTAGTATATAACCCCCATTTGATGATGGTCAAACCCAACTTCCCAATGTATCATAATTGTCCCAATGTGCCAATGTGTGGTAATTTCATGTGCATCCCACTTACCAATTATCCAGTCATACATAAATAAATAAATATAAATATATATATATATGTATATGTTATGTACATACATATTATATATATATATTATACGGATGAAATATATATATATATATTATGTATTGAAATACTATACCGGATATATTACGATATATATATACAGTATATAGGTGATCACCTACAATGCCTGACTTTCCCGCTTCGCCTCGTCATCCCACAACGTGGCATTCACCTGGCTGATGAAAACTTGGCTATACCCCAAGTTTGGCAAGGTTCATAGGGAACATAGATGAACATAGTGACTAATTGAACATGTTCCACATGTTCAAACACAGTATACGGTATACCCAAAATATCCCAACACACATCCAAATTTTGGGGTACCCCATTGATCAACTTATGGGTGTGCACCACAACTGCCCAGCTCAGTGGTCAATCATGTGTTTACATCCCTTATGTTACATTGACATGTTGATACCTATTCTCCAAATTCGATCCTTGGGGTTCTAGTTCCATTTCTGACTTCAGTCCTTCTGTTTTTTTGGGGGGTCGGCTTCGTAGTCCATTTATCATCACATACAAGGTGAGCCCATGGCTCTAAGGGGGTCACCGAGGGGTTATGACCATCCCCAATGTGGTAACGCCCAATCGAATCATCGACCGGTCTTCATGCCAGTGATATAAAGAATACGATGAACTAAATCTCTTACAGTACCTTATTTTGAAGTAAATTAGTTCACAGTACCTCATGTTTAAGTAGATTGACTAAATATTTCTTTCAGTACCTAAAACTTTGCCACGATTATTGATTCACTAAAGATGTGGTTCCCCAAAGGACCCCAGTTTTTTCCCACCCGGGGGACCCCTCAAGCGGCCTTTCCGGCATTGATGTGCAGCACCACGGGGCCGCGATCCGTTGGCACCTCATGGGTAAGTTGGATTATACCGTATAATCCAACTTAAGCTAATTGGTTAAAAACCATTGTGAGATAAACCAGTTATATCTCACTATATCTCAAGTTTTTTTGTATCCATGGAATCCATGATAGTCATTATATCAGTTATAATGGTGGATATATCTGCGGTTGGATGGGATCACAGTTCACATTGTGGCAAACGATGACTATACGTCCATGTAGCAAGGTAGCAGACAGTCACACCAGTCATACCCCGCATGGTGGGCTCACAAGTTCTACCATCACACAAACCCATCTGGGCTTCTGGTACTTTCTGATAGTCATAGTGAGCATATACTGTAAACCACTATTGATTGGGGATGATTGGGATATCAACATCCCACAAGATGTGAGGTTGGTTGATAGGGGGTTCCTCTTTTGAGCCCGTTCATATGTCCCAATGAAGCAGCTACAGTAGTAAAATCCCAGAGGGGTTAAAACTTAAACCAAATACCCTAGGGTAAACTAAGATAGATGTGGAAATGGCCCGTTTATTCGTGATTTACCTATAAAAATGATGATTTTTCACACATCTAAGAATCTAAGTTAATCTACAGGATTGTAATTTTCCAACTTTATTGCAACATCTGAATTAAGTTCCCATATGTTCCTCCCATATGTTCCCATGTTTGATGCTCACGCGAAAAGAATGGCGGTGAAACCTTCGCCCTTTTTTCCGCGGCCCCCGGCCACCACGTTGCAGTCCTCAAGGGGCCAGCCACCTGCGCCGCTGGATAGGGGTTGGACGAGTTTCCATTAAACATGGGTGATTTTCAGGGTCGAACTGTTTATTTTTTTACATTCACACGCAGAAAGTCAGAGACTGTGCGGCCATGCAAAGTGTCAACCAGAAAAAACTTCATCATTTCAAAAACAATAGTTTGGATGAGTTTCTTGAAATTACGATAATTACGGACCAAACATCGTCTAGCATGGTTTTGTTGAATGGGCAAACCAATGGTTTTGGGTATGCCAATTTCAAGAACCATCTATATATGGGTATGGTAAAGGGATGTTCATCCCCCAATTACGGTATCATAGGTTTGTTTTGATGTTCGATCCATTCCCATACATATACGTATACATGGTGGTTGTTCCTTGCCACACATCGGGTTTTAATCGCCCTCCATGAATCAACCAACAGTTGGATGCGGCTAAGAAGTGGCTGTTCACCGGTGAATAATCAATGGATTTAATCAAGCGCTCTATGGCACACCTTGAACAGTGTGCTTTTGGACCAGCAGGATTTTTGATGTTTTTCTTGAAGGGCCCCAGCCCCACTCTTTACTCGTTTTGCTCTTAAGTTCCAAGAATCTTTGTGTGACTGATAATTTACTCGTGTTGGTTCCGCTTGTCTTCATCGGTTGTTTGCTACAATAGTCCTCACAATTGGGATCCATACCAGATTCTCTGATGAACCCAAGCTCCAAAATAATCCCTCATAACTCATATGGGCCTCCATGGCTAAAACACAAACATCAATACATTCCATTCTATGGGCATATTTGAAGGGCATTTCTTGTTACGGGATATTAGGAGAAAGGGCATAGCAAATCTTAGAAACCCTGTGGTCCATAAGTTGGATGATGATTTGTCCAGGGTCCTGCTAAACTGCAAAAAGTCACCTTAACCCATAAAAAAAATGCAGGTTTTCACGGGAAATGCACCTATAAAATCCGATCAATGGATACAAAATCCGATATAAAATCCGATCAATGAGGGATTTTCAATGGATTTTCCAGCTTGCCATGTTTGATGACACCCCTCCGGTTTCACCCGTTTCACCCAAACACGCCCGCACTCACGGAGATCTCCTCCGTTGCAGGAGCTCGTCGAATCGCGCCTGCCTGGGATGATGACATGGTGAAGGAGTCAAAGTTGTACAATGGCGAATGATATTAATATGGTATTAATAGTTGTACCACAATATGATATTGAACGGGATTTTATAGTGATTTAATGGGATTTTATAGTGATTCAATGGGAAATTAATGGGATATACCCTCTGGTAAACTAACATAGCTATTGAAAATGACCAGTGGATTTTCCCATTGAAAATGGTGATGTTCCATAGTTATGCTAGTTTAACCCTGGTATTAACATAATATTAATGAATACCATGGTGTTATTGTTACATGGTATTAAATACTATTATATAATGTATAATGATGATTACAACATAAGAATGATCCATATGATATTACCCGCTTAATGATTAATATTAATAATGTGTTATAGTTATATATATATATATAATTGTTGTTGTAATGACCATACCATCCACAGTCTGATATTATGAGGGACCATATGAGGTTGCTGATGAATAAGGGTTCTACTGACATCTCGGATTACCTATGGGATCCAATGGGTATCTTTCCTATCCTATCTTCTCTGTATTTTTTGTGGAGTATGATAACCTCTTCAACCAGACACTCGAATCTTTCTGAATCAAAGCTTATCAGGGTCTGGGCAAGGGTTTGGGCAACTGCTTGTTCCGTCTTGGATGAAAGTTGGGTATCAAGTATGAAGCATTGGATGGTCATGGGTTTGTCCAAAAATAGGATACCCCAAGTTCCCGTGGTTTATCATTATGTTCCCCAGTATCCCATCATGCAAGTATCCAATAAAAAAAAAAAAACAGACATGTCCATTGCCAGCCAGCTTATTGACGACAGAAATCCCATGTAGGAAAGTCCACGGGAATGTCCAATCTACGTACGGATTACCTGGTAAGAATGGTCAGTCTGTCAATCTCGAATATCCAATTTTATCAACTGGGGATGGGTCATTTTTCCATTCAAAACCTATGACATTACCATATATTTGAGGGAATAACAATCCATTAACAATCGCTATTTAATAGTGTACCGTTTGGGTACCAGGCTTTTGATCAACCAACTGACTGTCAGCTGCTGACAGTACACAAATCAATCTGGTTGGTGGTTCCAACCCCTCTGAAAAATGATGGAGTTCGTCAGTTGTAACGGTTACTATTCCCAGTATATGGAAAAATAAAAGCTATGTTCCAAACCACCAACCAGTCAATCTATTGGGATTCTTGTTGAGTCAGAAACTAAATTCCCAGGGGGAATCCAACAACTTTTCGAATTGGATTGGTGAACACACTCTCACTTGAAAAATAATCTATTGGATAATCTATGGAACCCACCATAGATATGGTTAAAAACTTGGAAACCCCCAAAAACCATAGGAATCCGCTCCAGCAAATCCGGCAAGCCCGGCCTTCTCAAGCACGCTCCAGCCGCGAAGTTTCAGGTCCACCTGGGTGGTAAAAATCCGAATCGCCAATTGATAGGTGGTAAAGATCCCATGATTGCTTGGGTTTCAAGATGTTTCAACCATCCAACATTGGTGCTGCAGGATTTCTGGAAGTCCAACCACGAAAAATTGAAGATTTAGTGAGTCAAACATAGTTAAATATGAAAAATGTGGATTCATTGAAAGAATACCTCTAAATTTGTTGCAATCGCCATCATTTGATGGCAAATCCCTCCCACAAGCATCTGAAAATGATCTGCTGGCGGCTTACGTCTTCAATTTGCTGGTATGTATTTACTGTACTTGTGGATTATAGAGATATACTTACAAGTAGTCTTGGGTTAAACTACAGATATACTACTTATATATATCTACTTATACAGATATACTACTGGTATGATTTGTCCCCTACATCCAACAGAAAACCGCACTTCCCTAGGTTCCTGCACCTCATTCAATGCCAGGGATGCAGTTGCTAAGGACTGCAAGACGTCGCACCAGCCCTCCTTCGTCGGTCCCAATATGGGTACTTGGAGCTGGGGTTGTGAACGGGTATAGCCATGGTGATAACCTCCATAAGTTGGGATATAAACCCTATAACTATTGTTATACATATATATATAACATTATATAACTATATTATGTTATATATATATTATATCCACTTATAACTGGAACTGCACCCGACTTTGTGGACCCGCAAATCGCCAAGGACCTCTGACCATCCACTCTTGTGCCATATGGAATGAAAAAACAACTAGCACATATCATGTTGGCTATAAATCCAACTATATCCCATGATATCCCCATTAATCATATTTATATCATTCTATATCCCCTGTAAACAAACATATGCATTAGTTGTTGTCTATTGTTGTTAAATCATCATTTTTTATGGTCACATCCCCATTTTCAACGGGTCAAGGACCATGTTCACTGATTGTGTCCATTATAAACCAACTTGGGTAAATGTCGATCATAGTTGGTTATCTATTACAAATATATTATATCCCGATTGATATCGCATCTGGCTGAATCACAATCACAATAATTCACCAACCTGAAAAAAACAGAAACTTGCGGCCATTTGGGGATTATTCCCCAATCCTATGCATGATTCCAGTGACTTCACAGTGAGACGTGAGATCACTAAAAATCATCCATATATATATAAATCAAATCATGACGTACTATATATTATATATATACTATGTATTGTCCTATATGTATGGTATGTCATGTTACATACTATATCTTATACAAATATGTATAATTATATATATAGTATTATATATATTATTATATATATTATTATATATATTATTATATATATTATTATATATATTATTATATATATTATTATATATATTATTATATATATTATTATATATATATATCGTAAATTGAAACCCCCAATTTTCAATGGTGAACTCTAACCCCTTTTCAACACCTGTGCGAACCACTTCCGGACTGGTGTCCTGTACATCAAGGCCCGTGAGGGACACAGCACATCGGCAGCGCTCGATATGGGTGCCCTGGCACTGGCAGGGCGCCGGGGCCCCCGGGGCCCCCATGGCCCGGGTCCCCCATCCCTCTCTAATTAGTAAAATACCGCGAAAAAAATCAACCAATCCGTTTTTCTTTGGGAAAAAACAGATGTATGTATGTGTATATATATAATTATATATATATAATAATATATGTACACATACATTGACATACATAATTCCAAGGCCATTATCACCATGTACAGAACTATCAAAAACACATCAAATAGAGGAGTTCACCATCAACAATTTGGGTCGCTATGGGATGTACAAGCATATATATTTGCGATAGCCATTAAGAACTAACTATGAAAAAATGGGGGGTGAATGCAATCCCCGATCATTTAAATAGGTGCTGAAACCATCAAACTGAGCTGTTAACTGGTGCCCAATGTTTTTGACCCAATTCATCTATAGATCCAGGCCTAAACCGTAGATCTATGTATTGCATGTTTAACCAAGCACGACGGCGGAGGACAACATATATATATATATATACATACAGTTGAAACAGTAAAAACATCTACATATAATTATAATTAATTATAGTTGAAGCATTTTTTTTTTAAGAAACATCTATGGGCATCAATGGATATCAATCGCCCATTGACACTTCACCCATGACATCACACCTCCAGTAGTGCGGCTGTGGCACCAGCCACTGAAACACCCACCTGCCGATGGTCCCGGGCCATTCTGGATGTGACCAGGCTGAAGCTCTATCCTACCCCGAAAATTACCATAGAAATATGGGAAATCATGCTTTAAACCATCCAAATGATGTAAAAAAATTGGGGGTAGCCTAATTTCACACAAACATACACAAACTCATTTTGAGTTGTCTCAAAACTAGGAACTTAAGAGCAATACAACCCTGGATTCATGACCAAGAGATTGCGCTGATTGGTGATTTGATTCATCTGGGATCTACCTTCCACCCATCTAATGCGCGGAAATAACAGCAACTAAAAGTACACACCTCCAACAAACACAAATAAAGCATGCCTTTATTAATTTTCGGGGACTATTTGACCATCTATCATTTGTCTTGCTATGGCTACCCTCCAGGAAACTAATGTAGATTTGGAACATCCACCATTGATGGATCATTTCCAAATGGGAAATCCATAGATTTCCATAGCGATATACACGTTTTCTGGAGTGTAGTCCCATATTCTTGGTATTTCTTGGTTCTATCCAATCAATATCTTCTTGATATATTCACCAATGTCCCACTCTCTGCCTCACAGTCGCGCACGACGCAGCGCAGTAGCCGCACCAAACGTGACGTCGATGCGGTGACTTCTACACCTGGAGTGGCAGTGCTGAGCAAGAAGGTCACTTCCAAAAGATAATATGATATGATAGAACGGTGATTTACTATCACTATTTTAGGATTGGGTTTTGACTTATGTGCATATTTTAAGGGATGTTACTAAATAACGTAGTATATAATCTCATACCCGAAGTGGGAAGTGGCTAGAAATCATATCACCATGTAGTTGGCTTGTTTAATTACCCAATACTTTGGTGGTTCATATTCCCTATATAACTTCACTAATCCAACTATATTAGTAGCCACTGTAGCAGAGGGAGACACATCCAAGCAGGGACGTTCCCAACTCATGAGGGTTTATAACCTATACCGCCTATACCCATTTGTGACCTTCACCACCAGGGGATGTAGACGTATTTGGGACCATCGGTGTTTCATAAAAATAGGGGGATACGATTAAAATGGCTTCCCCGCCCGTCTGGGAAAGAAATCTAACTGGAACATCGTAAAGGGTAAATGAGATAGTTCATATAGTTCTATCAAATGATTCAGTAAATGAGGATTGAAATTGATTTAACCTTCACCAGTTTTTTGGGGAATTCCAGTGAAGTTGGGGCTCCCACAATGGCGGATTTGAGCCTCCAATGTGTGGCAATGAAAATGGGGAAAATGAATATGATAATCAACCATGTGAATGGGATACCCCACATAAGGACACACAAAAAATATCAAAAAATTGGAACATCGCTAATGATGACTACATCAAAAATACTTTGATATTGCCATCTGGTTATTTAACATAGCCATGGAAAATCACCATGTTTAATAGGTAAACCCAGGTAAACCATCTATAAATGGGTCATTTCCCATGGCTACGTTAAATAACCAGAGGGTAATCTTTCGTTGCAAGTCAGGTTACCAGGAGATTTCACCACCCAACCTCATCAACCAAGGAAACGCAGAACGAGTTTCGAACATTGCTTCACCAGGAAGAAACAGAAGTAGTTTTACCATTGTCTCAAGAATAATCTAGCAAGCAACTAGACTGGAAACGCCAACTGTGCTATTCTTGAAGCAAGAGGTAATGAATTTGAACGGAGACCTGCAAAGATAGACCCATTACAACTGGAAGTTGGCCGGATAAACCACCTGTGAAAAAACGCCAAAAGGCACCTGCATCTCGGTAAATTGGGCTCCCCAAGCTTTGGAAATTGCACGTGGACACTCCTAAAACCACTTAAAACAGACTAGTGTATTTGAAGGATTTCAGTGATCAGTGGAACTAGAAGCAACATCGGAAAATCACGGGGATTCCCAATTTCATGGATTCCAAGAAGCCTCGATGTATATGTATACTTAATGTATATAATGTATGTTCATAATATAATAATCATTACATTGATATATATATATATTATACAGATGCATATTATATATATATCATGAATACATATATATATATACATATGTATATATATATATAAATGACACCCTATAATCATCAACCAACGGGCTTTTGAAAACCCACCCCTCGGCTCGGGCCTACTCCCTGACCGCCAGTGTCCACCTCCGTTTCCATCGCCACCCAGGGGCCCCCCACGGCTGGATGAGTTATTTCCATCGGAAAAAAATTGAAAAACGATGGAAAAAAACAGGAAAATATGGAAAAAATGGATGAGAACTGGGGGTACACTAAAATAAATATATATATATATATCTATATCCATAGATAAATATCCATAAATCCGAAGATCCGAAGTAGGTTCAAGATGGTTTGTGGGACCCCAAGAACTATTGGATTTAAGTGCTGGTTCCAAAAAAATCTGCGGTTGGATGATGTTGGATGAACACATAAAATCATATAATTAAATCAACTTAGATAAGTATGTATCTAGGCGGGCAACATCCACATTTTTTACGCACCAAAACATCTTCTTGTGGGACATGTAGGGAGCCATAATTGCAAATATATTGAATTAGCTTTTGGGAAACCAAATAAGCCCGGCGATCTTGCTTGCTTCACCTCTCCATAGTTCTCCATTGATATTGGGAACTTGCCTGGGTCAAGTCGAGAATTGGGTGAGATCAAGAATGATTTCAATGACCGGACTTTCCCATGACATGCCATGACCAGACTTCCCATACACTTGGGGTTTTAGAAACTCTTAACCCATACATACCGATACTGTGAGAAATCCCTGCTTGACGCTTGACATTCCTTCAGTTGGAGCCTGGTCCGAGTGATATGACGCCGTTGACCTATTGAAGTTGATTTCAACTGGGATACAAGTACGTACCCTCTGGTAAACTAACATAGCTATTGAAAATGGCCATAGAAATAGTGGTTTTTCCCATTAAATATGGTGATTTTCCATAGTTATGTTAGTTTACCAGAGGGTAGTACCTATTGAACATATCCCAGCCATACTGTCATATTATGTCGTATTGATGTCTCTTCAGACTTCCCAGGGCCATTTTGTGAAGCTTTGGCCTTTGATGGCACGGACAAATCCACCATTTTAACCACCCTTTCAGGTGTTGTCTACCCTCTACCAAAAAGATCGGGGACATTATCTAGTCCCATGACTATAAGTCAACCCCCACATTCTAACTGTTGATTGAATTCCATCTTGGGTGGTTACTGCAACCCGCCTGGCATGGTTCGTGTCTTTAATCAACCTATACCAAATTAAAAAATTACATCTAGACTTAGATATTTAATATTGCCTTTTCAAGAATTGTTTTCTAGCTACTTAGTCCCTTTCCCATCAAAACGGTAAAAGACTCACCCACCATCATCCTGGTGACCCCAAAAGGGGACCTGGCCTCACATCGTTCGATGCTGCAGCCGCCAGCCAGCAAGAGGGCTGCACCACCATGCGTGCTGCGCAGACGCAAGCGACTGAGCCTTGCCACACGAAGTTCCAAACGGTGACGGTTGGCGATGTTTATCGTTGATGAATTGATATAGACATGTAAACATCTAGAATCTATGTAACAATGTAAATAAATACATATAAAATATACAACATGTAAAGATCATGTAAAAATAATGTTATTTGACAATATATCTTAATAGATATACCATCACATATATACCACCATCCAATAACGATGTAATAGTTGCCATGGCTATCATAGCACTGAAGTTATGCGAGTAACGCCGTAACGCCCAGTGAACTGACCCCCATAACAAGGTGAACTCAAAACAAGTAATTGCTGGATGGTTCTGGTATATATGGATGTATACAATCACATATAGTATAATATATATATATATTTGGTAACTATGTTTGTTTTTTTTCACCATAGAATTTCTGTAGAACCACACAACAATGGATTCAGGTCTTTTCACATGTCAAAGCTGCCAAAGTCCCTTTCTCAAAAAAGAGATCCAGTTTTGATCCCAAAAAAACTCCTCCTAGTTGGACGTACACACTCACACCCCACTTGATAGGTGCTCCATAATCTTTATAATCATTGTATACTTTACATACACCCAGTGTATATACATAGTCCATTTGTCTATGTCCATTGTATTACGGTGTCCCATTGAAAAATGGTGCAACACACCCCGCTATGTGGATGTATATGTTTTTCAAGTGGATGGATAAGCAAATACTATATCATATGATATATATATATATATACATAGATTTATATATATACAGTATATATATATATATGTATACACATAGAATCACATAGATACATATGTATGTGTATGTAAATATATTTATGTATATAATTGTATATATATATATATGTGCGTGTGTTTGTCTGGAAATGGGGTACCCAATTTCAGGCAAACCCCAAGAAATGTATATAGATGTGGCTTGTCAACCACTTAAGAAAAACATCCCAATCAGCGATGTTTGTTGGTAAGTGGGGTTGAAAAAAAAAATAATCCAGTTATGAATGGAAGAATCCACTGGGACTTGCGATCACAAGCGGGTCACTTATATTAGAAGTGACGATTCGTGGGATGATGAAATCCATTGTTATTCTTATATTAGTACATATACAATAATACACACCATTAAGTATCCACATTCTGTTTCGATATGTTTCGATGATCTTCCAAGACTTTCGGGACATCCCCATCCAGATTTTACAGATCCCTTGACTGTATACTGGTTGGTTGACAGGGATGCCCCAATAGATTGTGAGAATCCCCAATTCTTTTTGGGCATGCAGTATAATCGTGGAACTACTCATTAAGCCACAGGTGTTTAGTAGCCACTCAGATATATCATTAGGTGAAAAATGGTGAAAATCATCCCCGTTAAATCAACAATTCTTGGTGGATCAAATTTCAATATCACAACCCTCGAGTGGAATGATCTTCCTACCTGCCATGCCCAGAGGGGGCCCGGACACCACCGAGTCCACGTTGGGCCCCGCTGCCACAATCAATCCCTGGGCGAAACGTATCACAGTTGAGATCAGTTGAGGGTGACTGCCCAACCAAACAGCCTGGAGATTCATTCTCCTGGAAAAAATATGAAAAAATCAGAAGTTTCCGCTTTCCAGTGATTTCAGGAGTTTCAGGTGTTTCGTGTCATTTGACAGTGCGACACTGTCAAGTGGGGCCATCCCAAACCCTGAGAATCTGAAAATGTTAGCTCTCCGTCATTTGGGGATTTGCGGATATTTGCGGGAGTTTTGCGAAAATTTGCGGGATTTTTGCGGGTAATTTCCAACGTCTTCAGTTGCAACTTTCACTTTGCTCAACTCAACCCTCAGACCTTAAAAAACACCCTGGACGTCCAATTGCCTTTCCAAAAACAAGGAGTTTTAGGAGTTTCAGGTGTTTGACGTCAAAGTCCATCGTTTTCAGAGAAAAGCAGGTAAACACCGAGAACTCAGGGTTTTTACCAGGATTTTGAATCTCCAGGAGGAGTTGATTTATGGATATTGATGGTATAAACGCATTTCACTTATATAGGGGTGGGATGGGCTGGAGTGGGGTGCTAGTGGTTGAACAGATCCCAATCTCAATCCTTGTTGGAGGTGGTCACCTCCGTAGTTGCTAGTCCCTGAGATGAGCTGTAAAGTCATTGGGAATATCATCCTATTTCCAGCGATGCTGAAATAACACCCAAGGATAACTCCGATTCGAAAGGAAACAGACACATGCACACACGCATACAACATTCCCTCGAAAAAGGACGTTAAATTATGGTTGTGTTGTGTACGAAGATTTGTGTGAATGAATGGGCGTGCGGTTTCACCCACATGATCACAAATTGTGCATTGTCCCCCTGCGGCATTTTGTGGTGTGTTATGATCATGGGACATGCCGGAGTCCACATCCAAGCTGTGCCGATATTGAACGGGTTTTGTTCACTCACATCAACGAACAGGTGATAGTTTAAATATATAAATGAATATGATAGCCTTTTTTCACGCCAGAGACTTCGACGGGCTGTATGTGAGCGGTTCTTCATGGGATCCTCTCGCGAGTTTTACTCACATCTGAAATGGAGGCCACTGGATTTCCGCGGCAGACTTCGGCCAACAACTGTCCATCAGGCAAGACCAATCGAAGCCTTGCGAGAGCAAAATTCAATTCACGCGCAATGCGCTTGTGAGTATCCCAGGCGAGCTCAGAGTCAATCACATTCAAGCGCAGCACTTCTTCACCAGCCAAGCCCAAGCACGTGAGCACAACTGCATGATCCTCGCAAACAAGATCTAGTTGCAAGACAAGGTCTTCGGCAAGGGTCGTAAACTCACTGACGTAGCAAATTCCAGGCTCTGGCTGAAGAAAGGTGCCATGCTCATCAAAGCCCGCTCCGCAAGCAACAGCGCAGCCATCACTTCGGAGAAGCAGTGTGCCCTGCTCACCTGCAGAAATCTGAGTGTAAAATGTTCCCGCATCCAAGGGTGGAATATTGCATTGTCCATTTGTGTTGTCTCCACAAGCCAAAGCTCGACCATCCCGTCGGAGCAGCACCGTGCAATCTGCGCCTGCAGAAACTTGTGTGTATGACATTCCCTCCTCTAGAGGTGGAATGTTGAAGTGACCACCATAATCATCCCCGGGGCGCATTTCGCCACAGGCAACGGCAGTACCATCACTTCGGAGAAGCACAGTATGATACATGCTGCTGGAAATCTGTGTGTATGACAGGCCATGATCCAAAGCAGGGATCTTCCATTTCTTGGCGTACCTGCTGCAAGGCACAGCAGCACCATCATTGCGAAGAAGCATCGTATTGTACCCGCCTGCAGAGACCTGGATATAAGACATTCCTTCATCCAAAGGTGGAATGTTGCATTGTTCCTCAAAGTTTCTTCCAAAGGCAACTGCACGGCCATCGCTGCGGAGAAGCACTGTATGAGTTGCGCCCGCAGAGACCTGTGTGTAGCGCACTCCTTGCTCCAATGGTGGAATGTTGCAGTGTCCCCAAAAAGCATTGCCACAAGCAACAACAGATCCATCACTTCGGAGCAGCACGGTGTGATCTTCGCCTGCAGAAACCTGGGTGTATGACAATCCTTCAGGTAGCGGTGGAATGTCGCATTTTCCTAAGTCGTTTGGTCCCTCAGCCCGGCAATTGCCATCACTTTGGAGAAGCACAATGTGACGCGAGACGGATACCATGGCAAAATGGCGAAAACAACTGGCAACGATTAACGTCTGGAACGAGAGTTTTCGATTGTCTGTATATATTCTGAAGGTAAAACCATGAAAAGACAATCTAACTAAATAATCTTGCAATTCGTTCAATCATGTGTCTTTTTTGATTCCTGTTTTGGAGATCGCAAAACAGTCGTGAAACGACAGGCACTTCATTCAGCAACAGCTTTTCAGAAAGCAATCGTGGATATTCTACAAATATCTAAAAATTGTCCATGCTCTTCAAAATGCCTTTTTAGTGCCATTCAACTACAGTTTTTCAGCTGGACCAGAGGCGCGATGAAAGTGAGTTTGTTCGAATGAGAAACGAGTCTTCCAAAGCCTCAGGTGCTGGGTTAACCCCTACTAAAGGAGGGGAAAGGATGAAAATGGAGGTATCAGCATCTGAAACAATCCAACAATCCGGCTCATGTGAGTTCCAGGGGTATATACAAAGCTCGGAACTCCAAGTCTAAGCTTTGGACAGTCCAGCTCTCTCTAAACTGGGTTCACAACCAATTGGCGCAATTAACTTGACAGTCAGAATCATGGATGCTTTACCATCTCCATACTGTAGTGGTGCCACAGACCTGTCTTCAAGTTTAAGTTGAGGTTACCCTCCAAGATCGAAAGTTTCACTATGAGATCGACAAGCTGTTGTCTTGTTTTCCCTACATGTGATGGTTAACAGTGCAAAGATTCAAAGGCAAACATTGGCAGTTTGGCTCTCCGTGTATGTGGATATGTTCTGTTCTGCATGTCATATACATATGTCAGGTTTTAAGATGTTAAAAACCGGTAAAAATGGACACGGGAACATAGGTATTGCTGACATTGGAACCACAAATAGTAGGTTTTGAACATTCTTGAACTTTGAGCCACTGCCAAGCCATGTTGCCTGTTGAAGACAGGGTTCCTGACATTTCCTCCATACATTTGATCCTTTTGATGCAGGCTACCCAGAATTGCACCACCAGTTCAGGAGATGATGCCTCCAAAAAAGGGACATTTCTATAGAGACCGCCATTTTTTGAAATCCAAACGCTTCGCCGATGCCACACAATCAATTGTGGCATGTTTCCACTTTATATTCACAAAAAAAGTCGTTGTTATGAAATGCTACCCATAATGAAGGCAACTCCACCAGTCCCATGAATGATATCGGAGCAGGTCAAAGTAGTGAGGTCAAACCTGAGGGCTTGAAAAACATCAGTTGTGAGGTCAATTTATCCATGCAATTTGCTGCTTCAACAGGGAACAGAATGACTTGTGGGGAAGTTTGGCGTTCAGAATTTGGAGACAAGCCCATAATTTTTGCCTTTCCTTTATCCCCACATCAACATGGCTAAAAATCACATATGTACCTCAGGCAAGAACTGGGTGTGTCTGAAAACATGGTAGCCAAATCTTTTGACGATCTTCCCATCATCATTTGGGTTTGTTTGAGAATAGGGGCACCCACAATTCCAGCGGATTGTCATCCTTTTCCCTCGCAAATGGCTATAGTTGGGGCATATCATCCAATTTTTGGGGGGTGTATAGTATAGTTGGCTGTAAATTCGAACCTATGGTGACTCGGGGATCCAAAACATTTTCAGGCACACCCATTTTCCTTCAATACAAACTGTACCCATAGAAGTAGTTGCTCACTTGTTTAACCAATATAATCAATAATCATCAATATATGTTTCCAATGTAATCTTAATATCATCAATAATCATCAATTTTAGTGAAGAAAAATCATATGTTCATATATGTTCCATTTTCAACTTTAAGTTTTTCCAACAATACACCCATATGTTTGTTCATAGATTCGCCCAGCCGACCCCCAGCCGACCCCTCCACCTCTCCGTCGAGCTGGGCGGAGTTGTCTGCTGGACCGCAGATGCAGATGGCCTTTGGGTTGCTGGGGGTTGCTGGGGGTTGCTGGGGGTTGCTGGGATGATTATTATAATAGCGATTATGGATCATTCCCGAAAATTCCCTGCGTTTAGCACCAGTAAGTAATGCTATTAATCTAATTAATGTCATTAATATCATTATAATAATTGTAATATAATTGTTATTAATGTAATGGTCACTAAGTAGTTTTCACAACGGTTACTAACCGTTACTAACCTGTTTTATCAACCCAATGGTTTTCTGAATGGTTTAGTTGGTGAAACCAATGGTTTTCCATATCTATGTGAGTTGAAAAAGGAGAGTACAGCCAGAAAAGTTGGAAACCAAAAAAAAATGTCTGGGAAACTCACATCATCTACAACATCCTGAAACAAAAGTGAATAAAAGTTTCGGGGGACCTACAAAAATCGAATAGTTTGGAAAATGACAAAGTCACTTCAAACCCTTGAAACAAACAACCGATTCAGTGTCGAACATTGGCTGTATTGTGGTTTCAACGTTGTTGTCGGCGTCCCCCCATTCCTGGTTGGGTCCATATCCCCGAGGTTTCATACTTCTCATGCTAAAAGCCTCCATGTTGGGTCAAAACATACACCTCCAACTTGGGGATTTTTGATGGAAATATTCTGGTTGGTGGTTTCAACCCCTCTGAAAAATATTATCAGATTGGATCATCATCCCAACTATTGGGGAACATGAAAATGTTCCAAACCACCAACCAGATATTATATCAAGATATCTGTCATTCAAAAGGTGGTAAAAATCCTCGCTTTTTCAGTTGGTTTATGTCAGGTTCACCGCATACTGTTACAGTTATAAGTTAACCTCTGGTAAATTAACATAGACCCTGCCAGATAGGGCTTGGAAGATTAGAGTTTCTACTAAAAAAATGGTTTCTTTTCAATGTCAAACTGTTAATTTACCAGATGGTATAAGTATCATAAACCAGAGTTCTTGGAGTTTTCTCAACCAACTGAGCGATTTCCTGGGCTCCCGCGGTCGACCCCACCTTGTCGATGATCATGGGCTGCAGCAAAGTCTCGGTATGGCCCTGCCTGAGCGAATGGCATTCAATTGGTAATGGGGGTATAATGGGATAATCTGAATGTAGGTGTATGTATATACATGTATATATATATATATGTATTTGTATATATATATATGTATATGTATATATACATGTATATACACGTATATATATATATGTATAATATATATATATGTGTGTATATGTATATATATATATGTATGTATATATATATATATATATATACATGACCTTGCAGTGCTTACAATGTATACATATGTATATATATATATATATGTATATATATATATATATATATGTATATATATATATATATGTATATATATATATATCATGAACAATACGATTGAACATGGGCCGTTTAGTGTGATGATTCGCTAAACATGGTGATTTTGCATAGTTATGTTAGTTCACCAGAGGCTATGGTATGTTCAGGGTTTTTCTGTTTCTTACATTTGTGAAAGGTCTAGTGAAGATCACTGGCTTGTAACAACCGGTATGGTTTCCCAAACATGGTGCCCACAGGGCCCTCTACGTAGTTTATCACATTGCTATAGAAAATGACCCACTTACTTCAATGATGTCCGTTGATTTATATAGCTATTCAAAAAGTATGATTATGACTATCATGATATATAATATATATATATATATCGTTATCATATAAAAGTATTCATGTCACTATATGTTATCATAAATCAATATTATGCTGTAGTATCATTGTTTCATATAAACGGAGGAAGGGATTGTCTGGTCCCAGGACCCATCTCCCTTCTCTTTGTTGGGGAAGTTTATATCACGAGACAGTCCGTGTAACTGTGCAACAGTCACAATGAAGAATCACATTTGGAAAAGTCATATCCTTTAATATACATGTAGGGACGACATATGGGGGGTTCCATAGTCATGGGGGGCACCCCAATAGCTGGATGGTTTATCAGGGAAAATCAGATATAAGAATGGATTAGGGTACCCACATTTATGGAAACCCCCATATGTTGTTTCCATCTCGGCATAAATCATAGGTCACAGCTGGTCAAGTGCTCAAGGAGCAGCCCAGGTGGGGTCTCTGGAGATATTCCAAGAGGAGATTTTGATACATTTGGGGATTTCCATAGTCATGGGGCTACCATGGGGTACCCCAAAATAGATGGTTTTTCTAGTGTAAAGTTTTATTGAAATGGATGATTTGGGGGTACCCCCATGACTATGGAAACTTCCATTTTCGTGTGGCGGAAAATGAATGAACATGATGAACGAAAGCTCAAGTTCTGGGGTAACCTGTTTTCGGACAAAACCACAGAACCTCAAGCTGTGATTTTCCCATGGCGGCGATGTCAGATGGCCTTCGGCTAAGGTCACCAGTGAGCTACTTGACACGGCAGGCAGTTTTCAGGTGTTCCGAACTGGCGCCCTGATTTGGGACGACATCATTCAACGCTGTTTTGAAGGCCAGGAAATATGCATTTGTCTGAAGATAGGGAACCCCCAAATTCCCCCGTTTTGGGTAAACTGGGATCTTCAGCTTGCAAGTTGGTAGGGACACTAATCTGCCCTGCTCAGCTCCTCTAATATCAATGGCCAGTGGTACAAAGAACCCTATAAGATATAAGTATGAAAAGTTATGGCATACTATAGAATATTAATGTTATAACTAATCTTATTGAACTTACGTGCCATGGTCAAAAACATGGTATTTGGTTAATGGTCATCCCTATTACAGTAATGTACCAATCCCTTTCATGGGAGAACCGCCCGTGTTTTGACCCTTGACCATGGCACATATGATGAGCCCACAATCTCTAAAGACTCCGAGGGCTGGATTTCAAAAAGTAACACTTGTTTGGTACAGAAAAAAATAATTACTTTACTTCGTGTGATCCCCACCATGACATTTATAGATTTTCTTACTGGCAAATCTTCTGGCATTCTATCTGACATATCTTCTGGCATTCTATCTGGCATTCTATCTGGCATATCTTCTGGCATTTTCTTGTGGCATTCTATCTGGCAAATCTTCTGGCATTCTATCTGGCATTCTATCTGGCATATCTTCTGGCATTCTTCTGGCATCTCTGGCATTCTATCTGGCATATCTTCTGGCAAATCTGACATATCTTCTGGCATTCTATCTGGCATATCTTCTGGCATTTCTTCTGGCATCTATCTGACATATCTTCTGGCATATCTGGCATTCTGGCATTCTATCTGGCAAATCTTCTGGCATTCTATCTGGCATATCTTCTGGCATCTATCTGACATATCTTCTGGCATTCTATCTGGCATTCTTCTGGCATATATTCTGACATATCTTCTGGCATTCTATCTGACATATCTTCTGGCATATATTCTGACATCTTCTGGCATATCTTCTGGCATATCTTCTGACATATCTATCTGGCATATCTTCTGGCATATTTTCTGGCATTCTATCTGGCATTCTTCTGGCATTCTATCTGGCATTCTATCTGGCATATCTTCTGGCATATCTGGCATTCTATCTGGCATATCTTCTGGCATATCTTCTGGCATATCTTCTGGCATTCTACTGACATTCTTTCTAATTTTCTTCTGCACATTCTTTGTCCCATATCTTCCTACATGAGGTCCGGCAGGGAACACTTGGCGTGGATACTCGCGGTTGAGGTCCGGCAGGGAACACTTGGCATGGATCCTCGCGGTTGAGGTCCGGCAGGGAACACTGGGCGTGGATGGTCGTGGTTCAGGTCCGGCAGGGAACACTGGGCCCGGATACTCGCGGTTGAGGTCCGGCAGGGAACACTGGGCGTGGATGGTCGTGGTTGAGGTCCGGCAGGGCACACTGGGCGTGGATGGTCGTGGTTGAGGTCCGACAGAGAACACTGTGGATCGCGGGTCGCAGTTGGACGAGGAGGACGACGAGGAGGACGACGAGGAGGAGGAGAGGAGATGAGGAGAGGAGAGGAGAGGAGGAGCAGGCAACTGACATAAAATCTAACAACCCTCACCTGGCAGGTGGGGAAAAAAAAACCTGGCGCTGAAAAACAACACATTCTATTGGTTCATGGATTATATTGGCATATAGTAGGATGGGTACATTTCAATATAAAAATGTATATAATATGATGTATAAAAGATACATACATACACGCATGCATGCATGCATACATACCAATACCAATACCAATACCAAAACCAATACAATTACAATACAATACAATTACAATACAATACATTACAATATATTACAATACATTACATACATACATATATATATATATGCAAATTATATGTACATATAATGGGATGTAATGGGATTAATGAGTAATGGGGTATGGTCATCCATCCCATCATGGGATTTCTGACATGGGAATGGCTTGACGACCATCCCCCAAAATGGATGCCATTGAGAAACTGTACCAGTATCGTCCTGAATCCGGGTGGGTCAACCCACGACCTGCATCGACCTGCCGTGTCATTAATGTCCAATAAAGCTTTGTGTGCAGAAAGTGAAAATTTGTTGCAACATGGTGGGTCTTTGTTCTGTCTGACTTGTCAAGCATTGTCACCATCAAGTGAAGCTATGGCTGAAATATTCAAAAACCGACATGTTGTGTTGGTTCAAAGAAAACCTTTGAGCAGTGAAATATCCTCTTGCCAGGTTCATTGAAACTTCACATCACACATCTTTTTGTGGGCGAAGCACTTCGCCACACGTTTCCCCCTGGCCAAACAACACCGCGGCTTTGCCGCGGCGGTGGCCGCGTAATTTGTTCAGCTTTCTGTATCTCCAATGCCTTCAAATTCATCACCTTTCGGCGTTTTCACCCATTCAAAATCCATTGGCTAATCATCATTATTATGATTAAACATGGCCATGAATTGGAGGCCAACCACCCATTTTTAGATAGACCCTTTTATGGGGAAACACCAAATTTCTGGTACGAAAAATATGCCATGTATCAGCCAAACCATGGGGGTAGACATTATATGATATATTAGCTACCATTCATTATATATATATGGATAGACCTCATAATGAGAGTCATCTGGATTCTTAGATTTCTTAGGTACCACGTTAAGTGGCATCATGGCCATGTTGGAGTCGTTGGTGGAAATCTCGCCCGCTGAAATCTCGAAAAATCAATCGCGAAAAACATTGGGAATCACCATTCGACCTTTGGGATGAGAATGTCGACATAATTCTTGGTCCAAATTGTAGCACCAATAGGAATAAATTTATGGTAGCAAATATTAATGGTACTTAATATTAATGGTACTTAATGGTACTTATACCAATTGTAATGGCAAATATTAATGGTACTGAAAATATTCAAAACCAGAAAGCTCATTTTTTGTTTTGGCAATAGTCCTGAAAGCTCTCAGACAGTCTTTAAGGATCCTTGCATTGACAATCATTATATAGTATTGTCACTCCCTCCCTGGAGATCTCAGGTGGTAATGCTCATGAAAATGACATCATTAGATTTCAAATGCCATTGATATTATACACATATCACATATCTATAAATATCCTGGAGCAACCAGTGGTTATCATTATTGCACATAATATCAGATCATCATAGTTCATGAATCATGAGTTTGACTATTTGGGAAGGAAAAAAAAAACATGTCATGTCTGTCAGGAAAATCCGAAAATCCAATGCTGCTCAGGTTCCATCATCCACCGCGAAGTCCTTGGCTGTTGCTTCGCATGCCAAATGACGCTGAAGTCTCCCTGTATTTATATATCAGATTTGCTGGCGAAGTTAGCAGCGAACAAATCATGCAACAAATCCAATCTTTAGCTAGGAAAGCATAATTACCCTACTTTTAGTTGGCCCAAAAATCCTTCCAAAATACCATTCTTGATGCCGTCTTCACAGCTTCTTCCAAGCTTCCCATTGCTCCCTGGGTGGTTTCTCTTCGACCTTCTCCTCCCGCGCTTTCGGAAGCCTCAGGGTGGCAAGGGAAACATGTTTCTCTAGAGATTTGAACACAGATTGGTGACTTCTTAGCCAAAATCTGGCCGAGATTTGACATGAGATTTGACCAGCAAAACTGGTAGAAACAAGATGAATCAGGTGTTTTGAATATTAAAGAATGGAGATTTACTTATTTACCCTGAAGTAAAATCGCATAGATATGGAAAATGTACGTGTATATATATATATATATATACAATCTATATATATATATATATGTACTATTCGTACATCATGTTCCCTCGAAAACCATGGTTTTCCCCTCAATATAGCTATGTTGATTTACTGGGGGAAAACTAGACTTAACCGACCCAAACGGTGATGTTTAAGCTCCACAACAGCAATAGTTAATTGGCTAACCATGGGATCATGTGGTGAGTTTCAGGAAAAAATGTGACAGGAAAGCATCATTCTTTTACCATCAGGTGCAGTGTAAGGTGACAGGAAACCATCATCTCTTACCATCAGCTATAAGGTTTGAGCACATGAAACCTACCTTGGTGGCCATTTGCAAGTCCAAAAAGCTACTTTCCATTTTTGGGAGGTTTCCGTGATAGTTTTCCAGGGGAGAAGTCACTTCACTAGGCTTCTCATCATCAACGGCGGCATGAATCGCCTCCTACATGTCACCAGTCACCAGTCACCAAACAACAGTCAGCAGCCAAGAGTACCATTCTTGTCGTCAACATCACCATCATGATCAACATATATTATATAATCATATATAATCATCATCGTCGTCGTCATCACTCATAATCACAATTATAGTCATAATCATAATATATAATAATTATCAGCCATAATAATAATTATGAATGACAATCAGCCATAATAATCATAATAATATAGTCATTATCATTATGAATGACAATCATCAGCCATCAGCACTTCAGCAGTTCCAACTTCCATCCACCACATCCATTCTCGAACGGCAATTTGTCTATGGATTCCACCCCCATTTTTTGGGGGCAAGGCTTGCGCCGTGACAATTGAGCCCTTGCCGTTCTCCCCAGGGTCCCGTGGACGGGAAAACTCCTCCCCATATTATGAAAAAATCTCGTGGGCAACATAGTTGCATAGTTGCAGGCTATATCAGCATATGTCATGCTTGAATCCGACATGTTTGTGATACAGTAATACACCCTTTTGCTGGTTGAGTTCCCAGAAAGCTAGATGTCTGTTGGTGAAAACTCCATATCTTAATCACCTGCGAAATCCCAATGTGCGTTCACGGTTAAAGGATGTGAATTCCCCCATGGCTTTCCGGAAAAAACGAGCGACGGAGGTATCCGTTGATCCAAGGGCGGAAGACGACTGAGCAACTTCTTGAGGGGCTCAGCCTGGATTCGACACGGCCCGGGCAAAGACGGGGATATTGAGACACTTTACAACATTTTACAAATGTGTGTCTAAAAATTGGGGTATACCATGGTAATACCTACGGTAATACCATGGTATACTGATGTTTTTTTTGTATACCATTGTATACCCATTTTCCATTGCAGTTTGAATGGGACATTTTGCTGATGATTGACCAGTGGATTTAAGGGGTGGATTTGCTACTGGTGATCGTTTTCTAAGATCCTCCAAGTAAGTCACTTTTCGGACAAGGTAACTAGTAGATAAGTGCATTATAGTATGTAAGAGCTATCATTACAAGTGAATTAGAAGTGATTAATAGTAATGGTTCCCAGTAGTATAAGGAATAGAACATTATATATGTCAATGGTACTTTTAATCATTTTGTTTGTACAATAGTAGAAGTAGTATGGATACTAATTAAGTACTAGTAAAATTCAAAGTGATTTAATGTGGGATAATGTGGGCAACTCAATAATAATAAACCTAGCATTTGGGGATGATGCTTAAACACATGTTAACATCCATGAATAGTGAGATTGAGGATGGTTTATGGCATTGGGTTTACCGATGTTTACCTCATTAATCTCTACTAAAAGTCACTGCTTCAGGAACCTCCCGGACCTGCTGAGAATCCCCGACGTCCGCTGTGCGGAAAAACTTGGCGTTTCGAGCGCAGACCTGGCGTTGAGGAAAAAGGTGTGTTTCAGCAGACAAAAAACATACGTTTTGGGAGAGAGGTGAAACATAAGTTTCCGGCTACCAAAACAAAGCTTTCGGCTGGGAAAAGGTTTGTTCCCGAAAGGGAAAACAAACGTTTGCAGGAAAGGCTGGAGAACCATCGGGAAACCGAAGTTTCAAACTAGAGTTTCGAGTTTGAGAAACAATTGTTTCCAAGCCGGAAGGAAAGCGTTCGTTTGTTTCCGACCCGTCCCCCCGGCTGCAGAACAGACTTTTGCCGGAGTGCCACAAGTTTGGCGGGGACAGTCTCACATGAGTTCGTTATGCCGGCTGGAAATGAGATGAAGAAGAAGAAGAACAAGAACAACAACAACAACATCATCAACAACAACAACAACGACAATGAATGTGGCGAGGCTGTCAAAGTGTGGCAAGTTGGTTGGCGAGGCCGAACAAAAATAGGTGTGTTTCGATGTGTTTCGCATGAGACGGATCCCAATCCATTTTGCTGCGCTATTACAAAATGGGCAAGGCCGATGTAGTTTGGAAAACACTAGTTTGCTGGGAAAGCAACAAAAGTATTGAAACCATAGTTTTGGTCTCTGGAAAGAAACGTGTTTTCTGCAGAGCCTCTGTGCCACATGGGAAACGTAAGTTGTGCGCTTCACAAAACACGCCAAAATTGCCGGGTTGCCAACGTTGCCAACGTTGCCAACGTGTGGTTTGCTGCTCAGAAACAAAGGGAAACGTTGGCTTATGCTGGAAAACAAACTGCTGCCTGCACTGGGACATTCATGGGATTTCGTGGGACTTTTTGCAAAGTTGACCTATTACTTCGACACAAGAGACTCGCCTGCTCCATTGATTGGGATTTCACATGGATTTCATGGGAAAGCATATCCTCCGGTGTCAAAGATGGCTGGAAAATCCCCAATCAATGGAGTTTTCAAGGGGGACATGTCCATTGCCATGCTTGATCACTGGAGAGTACCATATTATTAAAGCTCAAATTTTTGTAAACCCAATGATCCATAGATTATTAGACTTATCAGCTCACATATATCCATTATAAGCAATAATGTCCTTTTGGTAAAAATAGAGGGGCCGGGAGCTGGTATACCATCTATCATCGTTTATCTGTTGGTATTTCGGGGTTTCCAAACAACACCCTCTTTTTTCATCAACCAACCAATGGGAAAGGGACATCTATGGTGATTAATAGTGGTTAATAGTGGTTAACAATGGTTAATAACCACTGTTAACCACTATTAACCACTATTAACCACTAATCCTTTATAATATAATGGTTAAATAATGGATAATAATAGTTAATCATGTACAGTAATGTGGCAAAGCCAATAAGAAACCTCCAATTTCAGAGGATTACCCCACAAGCGGTGGCATCTGGTTATGTAGCTACGGAAGCCATGGCACATGACAGTAGATGGTAAACATGATGTTTTACCTACTAACAATGGTTATTGTCCATATATATATATATATATATCATTGTATATCATAGACTATATACATTATATACACTATATATGATATAATGTGTATATATCTAAATAATTCTAAATATATAATGTATATTCACAGTATATACATTGGCTTCGAGGACAGCCTGCCTCCTCCATGGTGGGTCTTTTCTTGGGATCTTTCTGCAAACACATCCTGAGCCGCACCACAATCGCCACAGCACCAGGCACGGCAAGGATGATCATGGTGAGGGTGATTCGCATGAGCAAAATTAAATGCAAGAATACATACATTCGATACGTATACATGTATGTATATATATATATACAATTACAATTATAAATATAACCCAAGTATATCCAAGTATTGTTTTCATCCTGGCATCAACATCATTGCCATCGCAACACTCTTCCAAATCAGATGTCTTCCGTTTAAGCTTTCAACGAGATCCCACAAAACCAATTGTCACCATCGATGGGAATCCCATCATTTGATGGCATAATTCGTGTAAAAATCCCAACTATATCCTCCAATTACAAACCATTCTCCCAGATGGAAACTCCCCATTGGTAAAACATGGTAAAACCGCCACAGAAAAATTTCCCCAATGACCCAACGAAACTCACAGGTCTTCACCGCCCAGGCGCTCGATTAAATCTAAAAAAAGGTGGGACAGCTTCCTGGCGTGGTGAGCTAAGAGATCCTGTGGGTGGCGAAATCCTGCACCAGCTAAGGGTAACTCTCTGGACTGTGACTATGAAACACTGGGACCCAAAAAATTGGATTAGAAGGGGATCTTTACCATCTACCAACAGGTGCAGGATTTCGCAACCATCCAGGTGTTTGTTATCAACGTGTTGCAATCAATTCCTATGGGGACAAACGGGATATATGAGATTGATATGAGATACATTGACCAATTAGCTTTCAAATGGTAAGAAGCCTCATTTTTTGCTGGTCTGATGTAAAACCCATCAAACATTGTTATTTCGAAGGACAGGACATGTATTTACAAGGAAATGTCTGAAAATGGGCAGCCATCTGAGAAAAATAACGATCAACGATTGGATTCTTGGCACATTAAACTTTCAGAGAACCACATGACTATTGGCCATTGATGTCGGCTAACTGCGTTCTGTTCTCTTCTATGTTCTTGTCATTTTTCATAGCTTTTCCAGCAGTGTTTCCTGTCAAAGTCCGTGCCTATTCGCCTTTGGTGGTTCCTTCTCAATGATGATCTTCATGACCTGCGACAAACCAATGCCAAGTTAAGGCGTTAAGGATGGCTAAGCGGACCTGAAAATGCTACATTTTCACCTGATTGACCCATTCAAAATGGTGATTTACCCATTGAAAATGGTGATTTTCCATGGTAAATGATAGTTAACCTGGTTGGTGGTATACCCCTCTGAAAAATATATTAGAGTGAAAGTCAATGGGAAGGATGACATCCCATATATGAAATGGAAAATAAACAATGTTTGAAACCACCAATGACCAACCAGGAAAAACATCGAATGCCATCAGAAATGGTTTCAAAATTGCCCCACAACGGCAGCTCATAACTTGATGGTCATGTAATTTTTGTCTGAAATATTGGGAACATGTTTTTTTCTGATACCAACTGTTATCCCCATCACAGGCTGAAAAAATCAGTACCCCGTGGCCCCATGGCTTGATTCCGGCGTTTTTGTGACCAGTTCAATCCCCAGATTTTTGGGCTGGAAATTCCCATGAGATTCTTGGGAACGTTGAGCATTGAAGAAGCATTCAGATGTCAATTAATGTAAATTAATGTCAATTAATGTCAATTGATGTCAATTGATGCTTAAATCATCTGGAAAATCCCAAGTTCGTGAAAAACCCCAAGTTTTCATCGGTTTTTATCTCAGTCGTTTGCCCATCAAAATTCACGGCCGACTCGTTGAAAACGACCGCGCCTTCAAGGGATGCATCCTTTGGTAGGGCGCCTCCCCTGTGGCGAGCTCGATGCCAGTGATGCCTCAGCTCATGGTTAATGATGGTGAATGATGATGATTATTGGCCATTGATAATTACTAATCCTGGACAATTCCTGGATAATCATGATGAATGATGATTAATGATGGATAATCATGATGAATGATGGTTCATGATGGTATCATAGTCTATACGATTATATAGATTGATTAATAATTAATGGTATCATAGTCTATATGAGTGGCGGACAAAATTACGTATACTACCCGCAATGGACATGGCCAAAGTGGATGTTCACTCCCCACTACTTTAGTTTTCCGCTAATTTTGTCAGTCACTCATATAGTCAATAGTGGTTGACAATTCCATCATGGTATATCATGGTCAATCAGGGTTGCTCCACTTAAACCCCAGGTACCAGGGGGGTAAATGACCGTAAATATAGAGGTAAAATTACCAATTTACCCCTCTTGTGGTTATGGGATGGAGCAAGCCAGTTTAACTACAAGAAATGTGGAGTCTTGATCAACAAGAGTCGTCGGTTGTGGTGTTTAAATCATGAAGAATTGGAATTGAACCAAGAGAACGAGGTGATTTCAGCAATGAAAAGTGCGACTTGACCAGTCAGAAAGTGCAATTTATATAGCCAGTAAAATTGGTGGTTGAGACAGCAAACATTGTGGTTTGAGGGGTAAAAATTGTGGTGCGAAAATGTTGATTTAAAGAGCAAATATAAGGAACATAACCAACAGTTGTAATTTGGGGGTGTGCACCGAACTGGTGGTAAACCAACGGATGCAAAGGAGTTTTCGTAGCTTGGGGTCCCTCAAGCTGCTGAAGCTGCAACCCATACTTCTTGCGTGGGTTGTTGTGACTGGGAAGTGTAAAAACAGGTATAACCCCTTTACCCAGACTTTGCACCTGGCACTGGAATAAAAACATCATCTAAAATCTAAAATCCAATGTGGTAAAGCCAATGCAATAAACCTACCATTTGGAGAGGGTCGGAAATCCCACCCATAAAAAAGTGAAATTGGGATGATTTGCTGTTGCGTTTACCACATTACTGATGATTCCCCATTGATTTTCCCAAAACAATTTGATGTTCCGTTCTTCACAGCCAGTTGTTTTTTTTCCACCTTCAGTTCCCTCCGTTCCGCCCAGAGGCCGTAAGACCAGATATCCGCCTGCATCCGGACTTTGGGAAGGGATGGGAAGTGCAATTTGTCCGAAGTCCTCAAGGGAATGGCATGCTTTCTATTTACATATATATAAAAATATAGAGACAGAGAGGGGAGAAAGATATTGTATAAAAATGTGGCTGGTATCTATCACATAGATAATATGTATATATATATATTATAGTTATGTATATTTATATATATATATATTATAGTTATGTATATATATAGTATAGTTATGTATATATATAGTATAGTTATGTATGTATATATATAGTATAGTTATGTATATATATATATATTATAGTTATGTATATATATATAGTGTAGTTATGTATATATATATATGTATATATATATTATAGTTATGTATATATGTACTATAGCTATATATAGTATAGTTATGTATTATAGTTGTATATCATAGTTGCATCTTATAGTTATATGTCATAACTATATATTATAGTTATATATTATAGTTATATATTATAGTTATATATTATAGTTATATATATATAGTATGTATATAGTTATATACAGTAGATGTTAGTAGTTATATATATATATAGTCAAATATAGCTATGTATAGTTATATATCGTTATATATAGTTATATATAGTTATATATAGTTATATATACTTGTATATATAGTCATATATATATAGTTATATACATATATCATATATAGTTATATACCTATATAGTTATATATATGTATATATATAGTTGCATATACTTATATATAGTTATACATAGTCATTATATAGTTATATATAGTCATTATATAGTTATATATATATAGTTATATATATATAGTTTTATATTATATTATAGATAGATACAAATAGATAGAACATAGATACACATCAGGTCAATCAAGTCACCACTCGACTGCACCGCCTTGTAATCGTAGCCGTGAGTTTGCTCCAAGACCTGTGGGTCGGGGACCAAGGGGGGAGGGGACCCTTAATATGTGCATATTTCTATGTGTTTAAGATATATATATATATATACACTGTATGATGTGTATATTATATTTTATGTATGTACACATCTATGTGTATAATGGGGTGTATATATATATATGGTATATATGTATATATTGATGGTATATATTATAGCATTTGTGCCATGCTCAAACGTGGTATATGGGGTATGGTCATCCATCCCACAAATGGAATCCTTGTACTGGGTATTGTATATGACATCTATAATGCTAGGAAAATGTATCACTGCGAAAACAGGAGTGAACCACTATGGGTTAGTTTATCATTATTTAGGACAACAAATAATTATGCTTAGTTTTCCATTATATACCTGCACCCTGAAGTGGGAGTCAACCCCTCTTGATCCTCAAGGGTCAGCACCAGTACCAGTACCTCAAATTTTGACATGGCTTGGTGATTTCGGCACCATCACCTGGCTTTTCTTTGCATTGCAAATGTTGGATTGCCAGAGGAGGATCTTTGACTCAAATCCCCGTCCGGTTGGTCAAATTCATGTTCTTAATGTCGAAAGAAACATATATCGTCTGCTGTTTGAAGTTCCGTTTCCGACGCTTAAACCCAAACGTCCTATAGTTCGACCAGCATTGTTGGTGGTGAGAGTAACCCACAAAAAGATTCAGAAAAGGTTCAATTTATATGTATATACCACTATTTCAGGATGGGATATGATTTTACTGCAACCTTTTTGGGGCTTGCTATCAATATATATATACATATATATAATATATAATATATATATATATCATCAGGCAATTCGCTACATAGCTATGGAAAATGAAACAGTTAGTTCGATGATTTAGCTACTATAAATATCTACAAATGGTGGTTTTCCATAAACCCCAAAAACCATAAACTCCAACAATTGCCAGAGGGTATACCACAAATCCACTTGTTAATCAACATCTTCCTCATAGTTTCATGCTTCTTCGACCAGCAGAACCAGCAGAACCGCCTCTGGTGCCATCCAGCAGGGCGTTCCGACGAAGGTCTGCCGTTTCTTGTCGTCCCTGGAAGCCGGGAAGTGCCGAAAGTGCCAGGCCGGCCCGAAGTGCTACAGTTATAGGCCTATAGCCAGTTATAACTGGCTAACTGACCTCATTTAAGCGATATACACATATGTATATATATATATATATGATTTGTTGATCCATTGATATATGTCACCTTGGTTGAAGGAGTTATAATCCCATTTATAACTGTTAAGGGTCATGTAACATGAGCAATACTTGGTGACTCGCAGGCATCTTTTTGGGTTAGTTCATCCGATTCAGAAGCTTGATGACAAAAAGTATTTGTGCCAAAGATTGAGTTAGCACAAGCAGCAAAAACATGCAAAAACATAACAAGTATCTAACAGATATTCTCCAGCACTCTTACTTGGGTCAAAGGTCCAGAAGAAAATGATTTTTATCAGCCAGTTGTGTTGGTATCATATCCCATCTGTGTAGCTTGATTTCCCAGCTCTGTGGCTTCTGGTGTTCTCTCCCAATTGAGCAGTTCCAAACCCTCCCCTTTTGTAAACTAACATAACTGTGGAAAATGGCCACTGTTAATAAGTATCTCAACTAGAAATGCGCCATTTTCAACCGCTATGTTAGTTTACCGGATGGTATTGCAAATGGGTTCCACTGGCTACTTGGGAACGGGATTCCCATTGACTCGGACACCATATTCCCCAAAAACGTAGTCAGTAGCACCCCATATCTCATTGAGCTAGAGAGGTGTGGGAAACTGTTCATCAAACATGACATTCCTCACCAGAATATATCTAATATATATATAATATATGATATAATATTATATACATACATACATACATACATATATATATATTATATAATAATATAATATATATATATATATATATTTAATATAATATATATATAATATATATTATATATTATATATTATATATATAATATATATATATACATATATTATATTATATAATATATATATATACATATATTATATTATATAATATATAATTTATCTATATATATATTAATAAAATATAATATATATAATATAATATAATATATATATAACATAAATAATATATATAATATATATAATATATATAATATATATAATATATATAATATATAATATATATAATATATATAATATATAATATATATAATATATATAATATATATAATATATATAATATATATAATATATAATATATAATATATATAATATATAATATATATATAATATATAATATAATAAACTATATATATAACATTTATATAATATATATAATATATAATATATAATATATATAATATATAATATATAATATAATAAACTATATATATAACATTTATATAATATAATATAATATATATAACATAATGTGTATAAATATAATATATGTAATATTTTATATTATATATATTATATTATATTTATTATATTATATTTATTATATATATGTTATATATACATTATATTATATATAATATCTATAATATAATATATATATATTATATTATAGATATATATAATATAATGTATATATAACATATATATATAATAAATATAATACAATATATATAATATATTATATATAATATGTAATATATAATATATAATATATAATATATAATATATAATATATAATGTGTATATATAATATAATGTATATATATATTATAATATAGATATGTATTTTATAATATAATTTATATTAGAATATTAAAACAATATTGTATATATATATACAATATATATATACATATATACAATACTATATATTTATTGTACAGTAATAGAAACTGATCACTTGATCTTGCCTTCTTTTTCATGGATGGATCATGGCACCCATTAAACCCCCCTCACATCGAAATAGCTGGTGCTGGTGGATGTGCATCCCCCAACATATGCTCTGGTATAGATGGAATACCATCTCTTAATTTACGGTAACCGTTTATGGAAAATCACCATTTATTAATTCATAGGTAAAATGGGATTGACTAGGTTCATCCTCCCAAATATCTTGGGAAATTGCAATATTTCACTGGCCTGAAACAAGATGAAAACAAGGCTATACTGGGATCATTGCCCCAATCCTAACCATGATTCCAGTGAGGTCACAGTGAGGTCACTATGATTTACTCAGAAATACTGTGGATGGTTGCGAAATCCTGCACCACCAAAAGGATGCTTAAAACCTTTAGAAAATCATGGGATAAACGATCTATCAACTGGTGATTCGGATTTTGCTGGCCCATCCACAGAACTTTCCACTGCGTTTCGCCTCAGTGGGGCGGCAACACCGAAGTCCGACAGGAAAACCTCAGGCGAAAGGAGGCTTTCTTCACCCCCCATTCTGCGGTCGATATTCTTTATCCCCCTACTAGGGGTGTTTAAGAATGGGTTTATCGACCTGGAGGGGTTGGTAATTATGATAATCATGATAATTATATTTATTTAAGAATAGGGGGAAGGGATTATCATTGACTCATTCCCTCATTGACTCAGGGTTGGTTTATGGGGAATTTTTTAGAGGAGAAACCAGGTAGATGTTCCCTTGAACAAGTAAAAATTGGACAACGACGGTGAATTGAAATGGATGCTTCAGTTCCACATTCACTCAACTTCTCAACTTTCAGAAACATCAAATTACAGTGCCCTCTGGTTATTTAACATAGCCATGGAAGCCATGACCCATAGAAATAGATGGTTTACCTATTAATAGCATGGTGGATCTTTCCATGGCTATGTTAGTCATAACCAGAGGGCAATATTCTATAATTCAATATAACGATATCCTGGTTGGTGGTTTCAACCCCCCTGAAAAATATGAGTGGATCATCATCCCAACTAAAATAGGGAACATAAAAGCCATGTTCCAAACATTTCCAAACCACCAATCAGTATCAGTATAGTTTTCTCCAAGTGCTGGTGAGGGGACATCCATTTACCCATGGTTTCCCGTTGAGAATATGATCAATGGGGGGAACTCTCCCCACATCTATGTGACTTGACCAGAGGGTAAATATGAAAGCATGGTTAAAATGCAGGTAATTGATGGTAATTGTCCATAGGTAATGAACATATAACATCTCTCATATCACCCTTAAAGCCTTAGGCTTTAAAACGACAGGTTGTCGATGGCATCGCAGTCGTCCAGGAATCGGCACAATTGATGACTCCAAGGGACTCTGGCATCAAGGCTCAAAAGGATATTCCCAGCTTTGAGATCTCGATGGATCTGCATGTTGTCGTGAAAATACTTCACGGCCTGGCCGAAGATGCGTTGATTCAGAAGCTTCGGTTGCTGTCTGAAGCTTTTCTGAAGTGACTATAATAATCCTGGGCATTGTTTCCAACTGTGTCATACATGTGTTGTTCTTGTCTTGTTCTTGCACTACTTCTTATCATATGATACTCACATATGAAAAAAACAAATCACATATCATATACACACATTATAATAATTACCCATGTGGCCAACCTTTCAATGGTCACTTAACTCCTTTCAATGGCACTCTCCAGCAATCCAGTTCCATCATCGAAGCTCTCACCTTCGCGACCTCACGCAGGATGTACGCAATGACGCCTGAAACCGGGGCCGGTTTCAATGCACGTCGCGTTCAGCTGAACCATGGAGATTTTAACAAGCGAATTTGGGTTTGAACATCAGGTACATACCACATACCTCAAAATGCAATGGTTTATTATCATGTGTCCATTTAAAAGGACTGATTTGGGTATACTGTTTATACTCCATTTTCAGACATAGCCATTTCTGAAGTGAGGAGATTTGGGGATGGGTTCCTCTGAATCATGATGATCTGCCCCTGTTTTTCAGCGACGTTTCCACTGAATAATTCTGGACCCAAGTGATGCACCATAATTCGTATGCTTTTCACACTGAATAAATGCACAAATTACCTTTAATATGTAGCAGTAAAATCGGGGAATCTATGGGAATGCAACGTTTGCTGGAGTGCACTTGGTATTACCATTCTGGTGATTCAGGTGTCCTTGGGGTTCCTCCATGAACGTCACCTTTTGGTGGGGATCACCATTATGCATAATCGCAATTTCAGTTGATGTTAGTTGATGTTCAAAACCCCCAAAACATTGAAACAAATAGGTGTGTAAAAATTGTGTACTGCCTGATTTATCATCATGGTTCATCATGTTTCCCATTAGAACAATCATGAAAAGTATAATTACCCCATGTTCAATCAGAATCATAATCCTATATTATATCATTATATCATATTATATTCTATGTATTATCATATCATGAGATACCCCAATGATATTCCATAAGAATCATAATTTTCAAATCTCCGTGATAAGCCCCATGACTTTTCCGCATCGTCCCCGGGTAAAGCCGGGCGGGTCCGCTTTCGTCTTCGAAGCCCATCGAACCCCCTGTGGCTCTCATCACCTCACTGTGGATACCCCGAAAAGGCAGCCATGTTCATAACTGCTTGGTGGTTTTATCCTCTGGTAAACTAACAGTTTGCTATTGAAAATTGCCATTTATAGTGAATTTTCCCATTAAACATGGTGATTTTCCATAGTTATGTTAGTTTACCAAAGGGTAACCATCTTGAAAAATGATGGAGTTCGTCAATGGGTTTCGGATGACATCCCATATATATATATATTATGGAAAATAAAATTCATGTTCCAAACCACCAAGCAGATTGGGTCCGATGAGAATCCATTGAATCCACTGGAATTGGGGGTCACATTTTCAAACTATCCCACCAACAAAAATTGCCAGAAAAACTACGAAGCTGAACTTCCTTTAAAACCCAAAGGGCTCAATGTTTAGAAAAATGCGGAGGGATTGCTTGGGGACATCACCAAAAAGTGAGGGCGATTGGGCAAAATAGATGATCTAGGTCCGGTGGCTAACGTATGGAACTGGAAAAGCACAATGTTTGATAGGTAAATCATTATCGCTCTCATCTATACAAGGGCCAGCTATACCATAGCTATATAAAATAACCAGAAGTATCTATATATATATGTGAATATGGTTGGTATGATATAGATATAAATGGGTATTCAAGCTAATCCAACCCCTAATATCAAACATACCTATATATATATACGCATATGTATACGCATATATATATATGTATATATATAACACATACATATGTTCATATATATATATATGTATGTATGTATGTATATATACGGCAAATGCCTGGGTTTTGCCCGGACCCGCAATGACGACGGGCGACGCATCATCATCATCATCATCATCATCATCACCATCATCATCATCATCATCATCATCATCACCGGGGTGGGAGTTTAATATTCCCTAATATCTTTGTTGATCTTCCCAATTGCATGTAAAGTTTAACGGGGGTGGGAGTTTAATATTCCCTAATATCTTTGTTGATCTTCCCAATTGCATGTAAAGTTTAACGGGGGTGGGAGTTTAATATTCCCTAATATCTTTGTTGATCTTCCCAATTGCATGTAAAGTCTAACGGGGGTGGGAGTTTAATATTCCCTAATATCTTTGTTGATCTTCCCAATTGCATGTAAAGTTTAACGGGGGTGGGAGTTTAATATTCCCTAATATCTTTGTTGATCTTCCCAGTTGCATGTAAAGTTTAACGGGGGTGGGAGTTTAATATTCCCTAATATCTTTGTTGATCTTCCCAATTGCATGTAAAGTTTAACGGGGGTGGGAGTTTAATATTCCCTAATATCTTTGTTGATCTTCCCAATTGAATGTAAAGTTTAACGGGGGTGGAAGTTTAATATTCCCTAATATATTTGTTGATCTTCCCAATTGCATGTAAAGTTTAACGGGGGTGGGAGTTTAATATTCCCTAATATCTTTGTTGATCTTCCCAATTGCATGTAAAGTTTAACGGGGGCGGGAGTTTAATATTCCCTAATACCGTTTTTGTTTTTCCCATAGGAATTTCGGGTGTTTTGACTTTTAATTTTCACGATTTGAGAGTTTAAAATCTGCTATTACCTTTGTTGTTTTTTCCATGAGTTGCAGGTGTTATGCCGTTTTTTGTTTTTCCCATAGGAATTTCGGGTGTTTTGACCTTGTTTGTTTGATAGTCTCTAGTACCTGTGTTTGTTTTCCCATAGGAATTACGGTAATTTGCAACATCATTTGTTCGAGAATGGGACATATATACGCTGCAACGCCTGGGCAGAACCCAGGCGTTGCGCATATATATATATGATTAAATGTATGTATATATATATATGATTAAATGTATGTATATATATATATATATGTGCATTTGTATACATGTATATGTATGATATATATAATATCATGAATATAATCTAATGTAATATAATATAATATAACATTATATACTATAGTATGATATACTAGAATACAATATAATCTGAGATAATGTAATAAAATATACTATAATATACTATGACATAATATACTATATTCCAGTATTCAGCTAAGCTTTATGTATATATAATATATACCATATACTGTATTTGTTTATATCCCCATATGTCCAACAAACCTGGGCAGGCGAACATACGCGCAGGAGCCGCCCTCCAGCAAAGGCATCACCTGAGCGATTCATGGACCCCTATGGGGAATAACTTGGATTTATAGGATAAAAAAAAGAAATTATAGGGAAAATCGGATTCTAAGTGCATAATTAATGGGATATATATATATATACATATAATAAACAATATGATATGTGATGATTTACCCTCCAGTAAAATCTCACAGTTTGCGAAAATGGACCATTTCTGGACGCTGTGCCGGAACAACAAAATGGTGATTTCCATAGCTATATGAGTTTGCCAGAAGGTAATCTAACATAGTTTTGGGACATGGCCAAGGAAATAATAGGTAAATCATCTACTTTCATTGCAAATTTTCCATGGGAACATGTTAAATTATCAGAGAGTATTCTGAGAGTTGGATAAAGGGAACACATCTATTGGATGAAAGGAGAATATGGGGATTAAATTTGGGATATATGTACTTGTGTATAAATATATACATATATGTATTTTATGTGTGTATGTAATGTTATGTTATGTAATGTAATGTAATGCAATGCAATGCAATGCAATGCAATGCAATGCAATGCAATGTATGTTATGTATGTTATGTATGTTATGTATGTTATGTGTGTTATGTATGTTATGTATGTTATGTATGTTATGTGTGTTATGTATGTTATGTATGTTATGTATGTTATGTGTGTTATGTATGTTATGTATGTTATGCATGTTAAACGTTATGTATGTTAAACGTTATGTATGTTATGGTATGTTATGGTATGGTATGATATGGTATGGTATGTATGGACGTACGTACGTACGTACGTACGTATGTATGTATGTGTGTATAATATATATATATATACTATTTTATATATATGAGCATACTGTATGTACTTGTATACATACGTATATGTAATGGGATGTGTTTGCGGGGAAACCAACCATGCTGAGATTTCAATGGATTGGTTGAAGGGAAAACCGTGACGAGAAACAGTGGTCCTTATGCCAGTTCAAAAGAGGTTTCTTGTTTTGTTCTCAACATTCAAGTCTGGGATATTGGAAACCTCATTGTTTTGCTGGTGAACAAATATGTGAATAACATTAATATTCAGTAGGGGTGCATTGATCATATCCACAGTTCACCCTGGCACAGGCAGCAATAATTATACACCCCTGGACAGAAACATAGCTCCATTCATGTGGTACAAGGCTTTTGCCTCATCCCCCTTATCAAAGAAGCATCTGATTTTCCGAAAATCCTGAAAATCGGACATGCCATCACTGGTTGGTGGTTTCAACCCCCCTGAAAAATATTAGTCAGATTGGATCATCATCCCAACGATTTTCGGAAAATAAAACATGTTCCAAACCACCAATCAGTTCAGATTCTTTGCAGCATGAATAGATCCTCTCATTTTTTTCCTAATTCTGCCTCAGGGTGCTCCGAAATCACCTGACCACACGATGGAAAAACATGGGCACCCTGTCATTATGTTGTGTTGCCTGTTTTGATTACCAAACGCACCCTGCTGTAGATGAATAAGGCACTGTGATTATTCTCAGTACTGTATTTGTATCTATATAATAATATTATTTTCAGTACTATACAGTATCTATACTTGTTACAAATAATCACAAATATAGATGCAGCACTCTCACCCAAGAATAACACACACACATGGATCCCCGACAAAATAGTCCACAAGAACTGGACTGGAGGCTGTGTACTGATGGAAATAGGAAACTTTCCAACCATCGTTTGAAGCTGAATCATCGAAACAACCAATGAAAAGACCTGATCAATACAAAACCATCTGGGTAAGTTATAATGATTCACCAACTGACCAACTTCTTTCAAGGCCATTGTGAGGTAGTTACTTGGTGCATCCAAGGCATCGTGGGTATGTTATTAAGGTCGTTAGCTAACTAAGTTACTGTTTTTTTCCCACATAAACAACTAGGCACCGAAAGGATTCTGGGGGACGCACCAACCATCTTAGTAGCTGGGATGCTTGGTACCATGATGACATGAATCTAACCAGCATTTCGATGTTTGAATCCGGGCTGAGAAAGAGGCCAAACCGAAAGATCCAGATGTCCGACTGCGTGATTCAACATGTTTGTGCGGTAGCAACAATAATCAGAACATTCAAATACTATAACTCAACAGTTTTTCAAAAAATGAAGTGGATGTTGTTCTTGTTGACTTTATCTCTGCCAACAACTTCACGAAGAAAGTTGCTGCAACAGCTGTAGGTTTTCCATCTTCAGGCGAAGAAACCAACCACATCTGCCTCTTGGTTGGAAAAGCAACCTGGAGTCCCAGACGACAGGCATTTGTTGTGTGTGTGTGTTTGTGTCCCCAGAGTTGTTGGCTGATGTATATGGTTTTCACTGGTATTTGAGATGGGTTTATAATGTTTTAGATGGCTTTATATGGGAAAATCACAATTTTTAATGGGTAATTCCACTATTTCTATGGCCATTTTCAATTGCTATTTTGACATAACCAGAGGGAGCCAGGTAGCCCAGTTTGAGACAAACCCACTGCCGTGTGGGTCATCCCAGCGCCTTTGTTTCATTCCCTAGGAGTGGTGGTCTGACTCATAACCATCCCCCAGGAAAAGATAATAGTTATCTACAATATATACATATATATATACACATATATATATATACATATATATATATATACATACATATATATATATATAATTATTTATATATATATACATATACTATATGTATTATAATAATCCAACTCTGACAATGGTTCAGGTGTTTTTGACAAAAATGACCCCCAAAACGCACCATGCTTCTCTTGAGTGGTTTTTTTAATGTTTTTTTACCAATGGTATCCAATGGTGGGAGACGCTCCTCATCATGGACATATCCAGCACATGGGCGTTCGGTGAGCCTTCAGGTTCTGAATCACATTGGAACTATGTGCTTCGACTCCTGGTATCCAGTTGTAGCTACCCCAAAATGATCCAAAAGGGCAATTGTTGTGGAACCTGTGTAACCTGTGTACCGCGGGGGCCCACAAGGTTCGCACACCAAATCGGCACCACGCTCAGGGCTTTCTTAATCTGGGGCTATATCTGGCCCCAATTAAGAGAATCATATATAATCAAATGTATATATATAATATAATGATAATGATCCAATATTTGATTAATGTGGGCAAATTAATAATCAATAACCCCAAAAAATTGATGGTTTATACCACCCATTTATTGTGAATTTTGGGGGTGGCTTATTAATGATCCGCCTCAGAGGTGGCAGTGACACAATCCCGCGCACCCCTTGGGGATCCCAGGGGATTGCAAGGGATCCCAAGGGACGTGGTAGGCGATCACGTTCTCATGACGACACATCCTTGACCCAACATATTTGGCAGGGGCCCGGTGGTGAAAGGCATCATTTTTTTAAACATCAATTTCATCAAACAGGTGGAATCGTATGGATTTCATGGTGATTCAACCATCTTCAGCCATCTTCAACCATCTTCAACCGAATTTTTGAGATTCAGAATGGGGGACTTTGCCATTGGGTTGTTCAAATCCCCATTGTTTGGTTGATCAAATCCCACTGGGGTTGGTCTTCTGTCCTTGGACCTGGTTGAAGAATATGGAGGTTTCCTAAAATACAAGTGGAAGGGTTAAGTCATAGCATTTCGTTAAAATGATACCATGAAATATATCAGTTTACATAGTGTATACTACCCTTTCATGTTTGAATCCTGGCCAATGCTGATAGACAAAGAACCTCGAAAAAAAGAGCACCGCATGGCACACACTCATCCAAGAGCAAAGACAACATACATGACTAACCCAAAATGCTTAAACGTGATACACCAGAATACATCACTTTACATACTATTTCATGCTATTCTATCATATTTGAACCTTACCAATCCTCACAAACATATATGTTGCGAAAACAAAGCAACGCATGGCAGACACACATCTAAGCATAGAAACAACATACATAGCTTATCCAATATGTTATACTATGATGCTCCCCAATATGCCTTTCCGCAAGGCAGACGCTCATCCGCTACGACTTAACACACGATGCAAGGACTTAACCCTAGTACCTAGTAGGGGGGGTACCCCTGATCCATTTTAACAGGATTGTCCATTGTAAACTGACCATTTTGGGGATCCCCCATGATGGAAACCCCCAAAAAACCCATCTAACCCACAACAAGCCCTGCGCGGCGCGCGGTTCCGTTCCCAGCGTCTTCATCATCTGCAGCTCTCGCCGAATTTCTTCCAGACTCGAGTCTGCAAACCTCGGAATGAAAAGGGGCGGAAAGTCGGGGCCTGGCGAAGTCCCTGCGCTTTTTTTCGTCAATCTCAGTTGAATGTCCTCAGACATGGAATTGACCTCTCATGGTTATCTTAACTGGGAAAATGAATGAGAATGATGCTTCGATTTTTTGAATGTCTCGGGCTACCCAATGTTCAGACAAATAAAACTGTGCTGGTCAATCAAATCCTTCAAGAGTAACACACTGGACTCGCAAAGTTCACTCATTGTGGTTACACATTCTTCAGCCCCGAAGGGACAAAACGGAAACCTGGACATGATGCCGTCTGAAATGATGATCTCAAAATCACCTAGGTATACCTAGGTATCATAACAGGCTCACAATTTGGTGAATCACCAACCTGAAAAATAGCTGTTATCATACGGCCAACTATGGGGCTGATCCAGTGCAGCCGGGGGCACCGGGGACCACCCGGGGGGCACCGAAACCAGGGTGCCAAATGGCTGATGTACTCATGACCCAAGTACCCAAGTCCAAGTGGAGGCCACATCTTGATGGGAGACTTTCAGTCACCATGGATGTCCATGATTTCTAGCCAGCTGCTCTTCTACTTATGCTATCTTATGCTTAGCTTTTCTGAAAATCAGCGGAGAAAATGGTGAATAGTTGAGCATGTTGAGTATAGACACATGTAAATGCCAGTTACTAATTTGCTGCCCTCCACTTCAGTTGAGAAATCCCAGAAATCCCATTGAGTCAATCCCCGATTTTGCCTGGTGAAATTCCCGCTTGTTGGTTACTTAAATCTCCAAGACTGCGGGTTTTATGTGGGAAACCCAGCAAGAAACCCTGAATTTCTGAAGGTTTGTAAGACCCATAATGGCATCTAACTTTGCTGGCTGACATCCCCAAATTTCACTTACACTAACCCAGTTTTGTTGGTTAAATCCTTATTTTACGTGGTAAATCCCTCAATTTAAGGGTTTCAAACGGGGCACAGAAACAAAGCCACTGATCCGCCATTTGGCGACTTTTTCCGATCAAATTTGTGACCTTGATTTCCACTGGATGTAAGTAACAGCTACTCCTGATTTTGGTTGGAAAAACCATGTTTAAACAAGGGCTTAAACAACCCCAGAGTTTTGTTGGTTAAAATTCCATTTTGTTCTGTGGTCAAATCCTAAAATGTCGGAAAAAAATCTCTGGTCGAAGCTCAAGGGACTCCTCCAGCTCAATGACCTTCACAGCCACGTCCGAATCGGCTTGAGGGCCCGACACCACTTTGGCCTGGCAACGGTTAAGGGATCCACCCGTAAATCCCCCCAAACAGCCTATAGAGGCCGATGGCACCATGATTTCTTGGGATGCCAATTTGGGGGGGCGAAGGGATAATTTTAGCAAGAAAATGACAGTGAAAAGCTGGACTTCAGCATTTCAATCTTCCATGTCTGGACAAGGCCGGATCTACTGGAATCCCACATCAGTAATCAAATAGTAGCGCTGGCCAATAGGTCCCATTCACAGGGTGATCCTCGAAGCAATGAATTGGAACACAATGTCCCTTCAATTGGTTTATGTTCACGCCATTCCCCACACTTACAATTATCATAAACAAACCCTGGTGAAATATGGATTTAAACTAAACCAGCTTTTTACTATAGTTGGTCAAACATACCCCATTAGATTCATATGTCCCCATTAATGTCCCATTGATGGTAACATATATATATATATCTATATCTAAAAGTACGTCCCATGAACTAACTCTACTTACTACAGTTATAGCCCTTAACAGTTATAACTAGCTTATAAGTTCATTTAAGTGATGTTTTCAGCTTAGTTGCAGGAGTTATAATCCCATTTATAGTTGTTAAGGGCCATAACTGTTTAGTTCTTTTCTGCATGAACATCCCATTCTACATATATACAGTATATATATATCATATATATATATATCATATATATCCCCAATAGTATCACATTGATGGTCAACACTAGCATAATATCCCATTAACCAACCATAATCATTGTTACCATAGTATCTGCATGAATATCCCATGACTTCTTCATGTTTCATGGTGGAAATCTGGCCTTGTAGACCGTAGCAAAGGCGCCGTGCCCGATGCGGCTCAGCAAGGTGTAGCCTGGCCCCAGTTATGCATTTTTTCTGTGTTTACCTTAATGTATACGTATACATGTATGTATACATATATATATTATTATTATTTTACATTTATATAATGTGGTGAACCCAATAACCCCCAACATGCAGTAAACCTATATAATGTCTGTATGTATATATATATGTATATTGGAACCCCCCAATAACTGGCAACAAACACCCAGAAACAACACCGCGCCTTCCGCATTGCTGGGCCACTTGCTGGAGGGCGGGGACGACTCCGAAGCGGCATAGCCCCCCGTCTCCATGGCCCTGTTTATTCGGGCGAGCAAGGTGACCGGCACAAGAGTCCATGGGTCATCGATTCACCCCTCTTGTGGATGATTTTGTTTATCTATAATATCCTCTAATTACAGCAACCCTGCTAATGGTGCTTAAGATTTGCCAACAATACCCTGACTGATGAGTGTGCAAACCCAAAATGTCATGTCACTTTTTTCTAATGGGGAAAAGTCTCATGGATTATTAATGAGAATGCCCCATTTTTGTTGGGTGGTATAACCCCCGAACCAATCAACCAACTGGGGCTTTGAAAACCTCTCAGGTGACAATGTATTAATTGAATATTCATATCAACTTTAGAGCAAAATCAAACATGGAATGTGGTAGACCCAAAACACATCAAACATCCCCGTGTTGCCCAATATCACCAATTTCATTAGTGAGTTTATTGGAAATAACACCCATAACATGAGGTTTGTTACTGCGATCGGCGGAGATCACCAGCCGTTCCTGGTTTGTAGATCTAGACACCTGAAATGGAATGGGTTAAAACCGGCCCAATATGTGAGGTGAACAAAAAATCCATTTGCCAATTTTGTACAACTCTATTGAAAATCCAACTGGTTCTGGGCCTTTGTCGAATGCTGCAGTCGATTTACCCATGAGGTGGTTGAATCCGAAATCACTGATGGATAATACAAAAATGTAGTAAAATATAGAGATAACTGGAAGGAATATTGATGATTATGTCTATATTTTTCTCTATTTTAGTAGATATAGCATGGTTTTGCAGAACTATTGATGATTTATCCGAACATATTTTTAAAAAATGCTGGGAAATGACCAGAGAGAAGACTTAAGTGCCAAATCCTCAGTTATATCCCATTGGTACAGTCCCACTATATCTGCTTGGTAAAAAATCATGAAATCCCCATGAATTCATGGTCAAATCCCCCTGAAGAACACCGTTTTGCCTCAAATCTCCATGAGTCACTGAATAAATCACAAGAATTCACGAACCCTTTAAGACTTGACGGTCATTGGCGGATGATCCACCAAAAATTCACCATTCACAATGTGTATATATATATGATTATATAACTATATATATATTGTGTATATATATAATTTAATCATATTTAGATGTATATATATATATAAATATATATATATAGTTTAATTATGTGTATATATATATAATATATATATTATACCATTCCCATTAGTTCATGGAATCCCACGAACCACGGTCCCCAATTTGGCCAACCTTCAGGCTCAGCTCTCCCGGAGCTCAGCTTCGAACAAGAAACGGCCACAGTGGCGGTGGCAGATGCCAAGGAACCCTGGTTTTAAAAAACATGGTTCTTCAATTACCCTCTGGTAAACTAACATAACTATGGAAAGATCCACCATTTTATAGCTGGGTAAATCCACTATTTCTATGGTCATTTTCAATAGCTATGTTAAATTACCAGAGGGTAACCAAACAAGTGGTTTGGGGGAACACCCATGTGTCATTCTAGAAGGAAAACATGTTCTTTATGAGGGCAAACATGGGCGAACGTATGCGTTTTAAAGCAGTAAGAATCTGTATGTTTAGCCAAGAATTGGTAGGGCCACCACTAAAGCTCTGGGAGATCAGCGTTCTTCAAGATGGCCAAAGACAGGAGGATTTGCAAGGCATCCAATAGTCCAACATCACTCATCATCATTGTCAATATCATGATGATAATATGAAGAGTCATCGTCCTGATCTTCATTAACAATAAGAAAATAAACTTGCGCTAATCCCTACGTATTTGGGTTGCGGAGCGAAATCCTGGCACACTGGCTTTCATATAGGATGATCAAACCCCCGTCATGTATCCCCAGTTTGAGGAGCATATTTGGGGATGAGGCCTGTTTCCCTTTTTCGGATGGCCGATCGCATCTTTTAAGGGTCAGTTCAGCATCCAAATAGGCGATCTATATCTATACGTATTGCTGCCCCGATTTTTACATCGTCATGACAAACTGATCACATCCCATATATCTTTGCCAGTCTTAGATACCCTGCCAAAAATAATCAGCTGTTTAGGTTCACTTCCCCATTTAGTTTGCAAAAGATTTAGTGGTAAGAGTACCCATCCAAGGTCTACACAGATATCACATGCATCATCATTCTTCCCTTTTCAATTGCCCTTTGAGCAGTTCTAACCCGTTTGAGGACACACCCCTGGGGTTTCTTAAGATAGGTGTACCCCCAAATCATCCAAGTCATGGATGACCATTTTGGTATAGGTTAATCTATGGTGACGACTGGGGATCCGGCATGACTTTTCAGAAACCTCAGAAACCCTGGCATATCTATGGATATCTTGCCTATAAAATAATAAAAAACTTCACCATAGATTTGTCCAAGAAAACTTCACCATGGCACATATTTATCTCCAGCTCCATGGATCCTGGGCTCTCCGTGCTCCACTCGAATCAGCGTCCCAGGACTGGCAGCCTCCACTGCCGCTGCCACCGTGGGGAAGCGCAAGGAGGGCACCTGAGGGAGCGGTCTGCCTCAAATCATGGTACCTTATTGAGGATTTAATGGTGATATAATAGTGATATAATGGTGATATAATAGTGATATAATGGTGATATAATGGTGATATAATGGTGATATCATGGTGATATCATGGTGATATCATGGTGATATCATGGTGATATAATGGTGATATAATTGTGATACATGGTGATATAATGGTGATATAAATATAATGGTGATATCATGGAATCATGGTGATATAATGGTGATATAATGGTGATATAATGGTGATATCATGGTGATATAATTGTGATATCATGGTGATATAATGGTGATATAATGGTGATATAATGGTGATATAATGGTGATACAATTGATATAATTGTATCTTAAAGATGATTAATGCTGATAAATAGTGATATAATGGTGATTATAGTGGCGATTCACATAGTGGTTAAATGTGATTGACAGAAGTCATATAATTATATGATAGTATAATTATGATATAATGAATTACAGTAGAATCATGGTAATTTACTCTAAAATATTCGGTTTTAAAAAAAGGAAACATAGGATAACTGGTGAATTAAGGGGATAATGATCATAATAGTATCTAATCACCATCAATGTGGTTGGGAAACTCTAATTGTAGCTCCTTCGCCCCCCAGAAAAAAGAGGAACGTGGATATCCCTAGCTCCGAGGCGCTCTCTCTTAACCACTAGATATAGTTGATGTTTCTGTTTGAATGATCAAACTACTTTGAGTTTCTGGTATCTTTGGATTTTTTCCCGGTATTTTGACATGGTTTCTGGTATTCCTTTGGATTCTGGTATTTTATCGGATCGAAGACCGAAAGTTCCAGTAATCTGGTGTATTCTGATGCCATCTTCCGCATCATCAAACGCCGAGAAACGCCTTACCTTCGAGTATTTTATTGCAACCAACATGAGTGGATTCATAAAGCTTGGGAGCATGATTAAACATAGTCACATAGGCAGCTACGTGCATCCATCCTCAGGATCCTGGTACAGCTCCTGCATTTTTTTCGCGGGTGCTGATGGATGTTGGTCCCCCCCAGGGGATGGTTCTCCAGCCTGCACTTGCAGCATTTGCATCTTCTCCCCATCTTCGACCTCGGCAAAATGAGACCGAAGATCAAACAGATCTTGCAACCTCTAGCATATTATTCAATGGAGATTTTCCATTATGATTATGATCTTTAAATCTTCCATAGTTGCAGGAGTTTTAATCCTAATTTATAACTGCTAGTTGGGCCTTAAGGGCCAATGGGCCATAACTGGCCATAACTGGCCATAACTGTAGATCTTGCAGAAGTACTTAATTACAATAAATTGACCATAAATGTTCAATGGGACCAAGAAATCAGCAGTGCTAAGTGCGCTTCGCGCCTTCCAACGAAATGAGATTTTCTCCCTGGAGACTTAGCCCGATGCCCTGCTGATTGTGCCACTCCGCACTCTTTCCGTTCACGAAATCGCAACTATCGCAGCTCGGAAATCTGCACCAACATTTGGTCCAGAAATCCAGCGCATCACCACTGGGGACTAAGCACTTTTTGGCTCATGGTCTGGCGCAGATTGATCTCCGAGGGATCAGTGATGGCTCACTTGAAGAGCGAAGCATGGCGTTCCAGAGCCTTCGGGAAACAGGGTCTCGGCTGATAAATAGATATAGTTTGTGTAGGTCGTGCTATGTGGCAACAATCACTCCAAAATACTCAAACATTGCTATTTCTATCGATTCGAGGTTCCAAGATTCTTAAAGAGAATTAGCTGCATCATGAAACACCTTGGTAGCCTTGGTTGAACGAGCAAAAACCAAGAACTTTTCCCCTGGCAGCACAAAGTCTCGTCTTGCAGCACAAACTTTGGTACCAAGAGTGGGTACCCAACGTTTTCGCTTCACCAGCTTCCCCTGTGCCTGGCGGATTCACCAACCGGAGCCGGGAGTCGCGCCTCCTGGTAGAGTTTTGTCTCGATGGGAACGGTGCTTTCGATCTTCTCCCAGGTGCTATGCTTGCAACTGGCCTCGGAGAAGCCGCGATCCATGGGTTGTTGCGTCGTTCGGGTCCACTTCAAAGCCATGAATGGTGCCGATTTTCGGGAACCCGGCCTGAATTATCTGAATTTGATCATCAGACATGGTTTCTCAATCTGGCCATTTCTCCTCAATTCTGGTTGCCCAGTAGCTTTTCCCTCATGGCAACTGGCCACAAAATCGGCGGGAGAAAATCGACAGTAACCGCAACTCCCCCTAGATTTCATGGAAAAATCATGGAAACTCTCCTCCTTTCCGGTAGAATCTGTCCCTTCCATCCCCCAAATGATCGCCAAAACACCAACTTCAGACTCCAAGCTTTAAGTCCTGAGCCACCTCAGTGGTATCAACTTTATGACTGTGGATACACGCAGTTAACTTGGACGCTTCCACTGGCGATGCCCTGCTATCAGCTGAAGAATCTCAATTATCTATCAAGGATTTGTTTCAACAATAACAGCTGCATCTAGAATCAGCCTGCATTGGTGGTATGGCAACCAACCATCACTGGGTCCATGTTATGAAATGATCGGAAAATGAAGAAAACCACCTATGAACCTATGAACCTATGTACTCTGAAACATGCCAACGCAGGCCTGTTATCCCAACCGGTCATGTCCTAAGGTTCATGTCCTGGAAACATCTTGAAACCAAGGTAGCTACAGTATTTGAAGCATATGTACTGCCAGAATTTGCAAGAAAATGGTGGTGCTTACAAACACCCTGCAGTGAATTCACAGTTTGACCCTGATTTTATCACCCATTTTTCAGTCATGGCAGGGTCGATTCGTTTCAGTAGCGCTTCCATCGATACCCACGTACGACTTCTGCAGCAAAAGAGCCCAGGTCAAACTGTCCACGTTTCTTGTCCACGACAAGACACTTGACCTGGCGCCAAGGCCACAAAAAAAGGTGAAGCCGCACGATTGGTTGGGTTGCCCATATTTTCTGTATATCCCTGGTTGATTTCATGTTTCTTGTTAAACCTGTTCAGCAATTAGTCATACTGTATAATGTCACATCATTTCTATCTAATTACATCCCCATGACCATATATCAAGACTGAAATATTACTATTGATTGTTGCTTCATGTTATCTAATAATTACTATTATTGGCTAATATTACTTATTACTATTGTTGGTTAATAGTTTAATGCCCAATTGTTGGTTAATTACTTTTAGTTCTGGGTATTGAACCAATATATTCACCAATAATTACTATTAATTACAGTAGTTAATATATAAGAGTAATTACAGAAAAAAACAACAATAGTTGGTATATCAACTATAGATATTCAATTGTTGGTAATATATCAACTATAGTTTAATACTGAAATCTTACTCTTCGTGGTTTTTCTCTTGGTCACCACCATTCGCCATTCGGCGCAAAAAAGCGGCCTGCGCCAAGTCGTTGGGTTCCATCACCCGACCGAAGACCAACTTTCCGGCTCCTGACAGCGACTTTTCGGTGCATCCCAAAAACAGATGGTTATCCCTTGGCTGGTTGGTGGTTGACCTACTTGGTTAATGGTGGTTAATGGTGATTAATGATGGTTAGTGATGGTAAATGATGATTAACTATCTGGTTGGTGGTTTCAACCGAACCCCTCTGAAAAATATGACTTCGTCAGTTGGGATGATTAAAATGATGAAACTCCCAACTGAATGGAAAAATAAAAGCCATGTTCCAAACCACCAACCAGATATGGTTTATAGTAGTTTAAATATATAGTAGATATGGTTTCTTAAAGGTGGATCCCCAAGTCTTCATGGCAATACTCAACTGGTCGAATGACTTGGATGATTTGGGGATAGCACCATTTCAAGAAAGTATCTTTTTTCAGTGGCTGGAAATTGGGATCGAATAAGGAAATTACAGTGTTTTAGTATGTTTTAGTATCACCATTTTCAATATGGGAACATCAACTCATTAATGATCCTGTGGCGAATCATGCGTTTCTAGCTGGGCATGAATCATTCCCTATTGATGATAGCAATAATTAACGCCTTGAACGCATCAAAATTCATTGCCCTACCCGTCACAAATATCTACATACCTGGTTGTTGGTTGCAACCCATTCCCAAAACTAGACTGTGAATTGGGTTCACAATACAGATAGCTTTGGAAACTAAACCCGTTTAGATATTCAAAATCGGTGCGATTCCTAAATGGGAGTTTCCTAAAATGAAGGTAGCCCAAAATCATCCAGCTGAATATGATGTTCCATTAAAAACAATCCAGCTATTAGGGTACCCCCATGACTATGGAAACCCCATGACTATGGAAGGTCCTTTAAGGTCACTCATCCCTCGGCCCAAGGTAGCGTCCTGTTAGTCCTGACTGTGGTATATAATATACCTATAGTTACTATGGTTTTGTGGGTTATAAACCAACTTAATCATAACTGGGGGCGAGTCCTGGTAGTCCTGGTACCAGTATATATTGTCCACAGTAGGACTACCGTGAATCTTCCATATGTCTGGGTACCACGAAATTCTTGTAGGATGCTTCGATTCTTGCAGGAATAGGGCCGTCAGCAAAAGTGGATTATCATCATCTGGCCAATCTTAGATACTCTCCGTGTATGTATATAGTCTTGGCATGTCGTAGCTGGATGTCAGCGGATATCATTAATAAACATCCCCATTGACGACAAAGTCAAAGACAGGTATCAGAATAACAAGGAGAAATCATCAACAGCAATTTCGATATGTGTATATATATATATACGATGTGTGATATGTGTATATATATAATGTGTGGTATATGTATATATTACAATTACATTCCATCTATTTAGTTATTTGAAACACAAAAACACGTTAAGCCACCCAAACTTTACCCAGGCTGCCAGGCTCCTGATTTGTCCTCAGGCTCCTCGGCGCCGCGAGTTGGTTTTATGAGTTTTTATGATGATCATGCTCTATGATGAAAATATATAAGCGATCATAAAACCAAAACATCTAATATATCATGTATGGAATATATATATATATAGCTGTATCATCAGTCTTTTAATAGATCATATACTATCATTATAATATCTATCTAGTTATATATATATCATCAATGATTTGTCATAGATATTATCGATCTTCTATATGGAAATGATGTGTATTTCAATGATGATCTATGATGAAAATGCGGTCAATAGAATATGTATGTATATATATATACAAGAAATATCATAGTTATAAAAATAGATATAAATAATCAGTATTCTATTTAATTATACCCTTTGGTAATTTAAACTAACATAGCTATGGAAATTGTCCATTTATTGATGATTTACTGTTTTTACCTATTATAAAATGATGCTTTTCCGCATAATTAATAGAGTGTCTTTTTAGTTTGATCAAATCATCCTTTGTTCCTTCGTCTGTCCATGAAATAATGGCTGATGATCATGGATACTGGATAAATTCGCCAGTAAAATCATGCATAATAACTCATCAATCTGAAATACTGTAAGGCCATTTCAAAAACATCACCCTTTCCAGCCACATTGACTCTGACGTCGCGGTGAAGAAGTTCTAATTCACCAAAATGCTTGGGTGTCATGTGCCTACTTTGGACCCACTCCCAAACACCAATGACACCTTCCAACTCGGAGTGATGTATTGAGGCAAGTGGGCACAAAAGTATCCCCCTTGGTAAGTAGGTACAAAAGAGGTTTTCTTTGTTGTGAAGCTAGCTGAGGTTTTTCATACCCAGAAGATGGGGATGCTTTCAACCATCAAATGGAAGATCATCAATATGAGAACAAGACATAGTTGTCCACCTTCACTCGGGGATGCTCACGATGCCGAAGCTGCCAATTTTTAAGCAACGTCCACACAATCTTCGGCTCAACCGAGAATGGACTCTTTTTGGGGTGCGCCGAAAATTCCAGCGCCCCAAAGCTACGCCAAGCGCCGTCTCTTTGGACTCTCCCGGCTGACATCACCCACGGTGACCACTGGATTTGCCTGACAGGCCGAGGTCAGCAAACGTCCGTCCGGCAGGACAATGCGAAGACTCTGCACACCGATCTTCAATTCACGCGCGATGCGTTTTTGAATATCCCAAAGCAAATCAAACCTCTGCGCATTTCGAATGTGGACCTTTTCTTCACCAACCAATGTCGAGCAGGTCAACGATATGGCATCGTCTTCAAGAACACATTCGAGTTGCAAAATATGTTCTCTTCCCAGTGGCACCTGATTGGTTCCCAGCTCCCCACAAATCAAACTTCTGGCCATGTATGGATTATTGTAAACTAATGCTGTACAGTACACAAACATATCAATATAATTCAATATATATAATAATATATATATATATTATAATATATAATATAATGTATATTATGTATGTATATATACGTATAATATATATATATACACAATATATATATATATATATTATATTGTATATATAATATAATATAATATATAATATAATATACTAAATAATATAATATATAATATAATATATTATAATATATAATAATATATATATATATATTGTGTATGTATATATACGTATAATATATATATATACAATATATATACAATATATAATAAAATATATAATAAAATATATATATATATATGTATGATATAATATATAATATAATATATATATATACTATGTATATATATATATACGTATAATATATATATATATACAATATATGTATATATATAATATAATATATATATATATATATACAATATATATAATATAATATATATATACAATATATATAATATAATATACAATGTATATATAATATAACATATATATATATATTATTATATATATAATATAATATAATATATATATAATATTATATTATATATAATATATTATATAATATATATATACACCACAAGAAACTGAAGAAACATGAAAAACCTAGGGCCTATGGGAAAGGCTGGGGAAGCGCCATGGCACACGATTGCCAATGTAGAAAGTCCCGGGTTCAGGTGAGGGGATGCTGCATTGTCCGTCATCATTCTCCCCGCAAGTAACAGCACTCCCATCACTGCGGATCAGCACTGTGTGAGATCTGCCTGCTGAAATCTGGGTGTACAACATCCCTTCATCCAAGGCCCGAACGTAGCATTGGCCAGCCCCATTTGCTCCACAAGCTGTAACCCAGCCATCACTCCGGAGAAGCACAGTATGCTCTTTGCCTGCAGCCACCTGGGTGTAGGACAGTCCCTCTTCTAAAGGTGGAATGTCACATTGCCCACAGTGATTGGATCCGCTCGCCACAGCACTTCCATCACTTCGGAGAAGCACGATGTGATACCAGCCGACCGAAACCTGGGTGTAGCGCACTCCATTCTCCAGAGGCGGAATTCTTCCTGGTTCTCCTTGTAGAGCAGAAGGAACAGCACGGCCATCACTGCGCAGAAGCACTGCAAAATACTTTCCTGCAGAAACCTGCGCTTTGTTGGGAGTAGAATCCCCCAAGAATGAGAAACTTCCTATCAAACATATCGCAATCCAAAAGGGGATCTCATGGAAATATCATCTCTAGACTCTAGGGTGACCACCATAAAACACCATAAAACACCATAAACTAAAAAGACTTTTGCAACGCCTGGTGTAAAAAGTGCCATCCTCCAAAGGTGGGAACATGTCGCCTGCACGATCTCCACAGGTCACCACCCAGCCATCACTGCGGAGAAGCACGGTGTTACGACAGCTTGCGGACACCTGGGTGTACGACGTACCTGGCGAACCCGGAAATGGGGGATATACCCAATGGCTGTGAAACAGAGGGAAAATAGCATCTGGTTATGACTAACATAGCCATGGAAAAACACAATGTTTAATAGGTAAACCATCTATAAATGGGCCATTTTCCATGGCTATGTTAAATAACCAGAAGGTATGGGAAAATGAGAAGAGAAACTCTATGAGATTTTATGGGGGACTCCATGTTTCAAAGCCACCTGGCTTCAAAGGTGGAATATCACATTGTCCAAAATCATTTTGTCCGCAACAAACCGCATGGCCATCACTTCGAAGGAGCACGGTGTGATCGTAACCTGCAGAAACGGAGCTGTAGGACAAGCCCTCATCCAGAGGTGGAATGTTGCACTGTCCTTGATTATTTCTTCCGCAAGCAACAGCTACACCATCACTGCGGAGAAGCACCGTATGACGCACCATGGCAAAAGGATTGAAAGCAAGTGGATCAAATGTCTTATCAATCTTTTTGGCTATCTCATGGGTTCAAACAATCTTGAGCTGGATTCAAGATGCATTGGAAAGGTCCTCGTGATTCTTGTTGACTCCGGATGTGTCTTGTTTTTCCATCCGGATGTTCTTGAGAGCTTAAAAAAGCCTCTCCAGCTGATTTGGAATCCGACCATTATCGAAAAATATCAGCTCTTGGGGAGCATCACCTCAAATACATGTATAATATTATATATATAGTATATATATATGGACGTATACATATGTGTATATGTATATATGTATATATATATGTGTATATATTTATATATATATATACATATATACATATATACATATACACATATACACATATACACATATACACACATGTATATATGTATATAAATATATATGGATAAGCAAGTTCTATGCTGATCTATGTCGAAGTCAAGGGGTGAAAGGCGCAAACTTCCGCAAAAGATTTTGCTCAAACGTTTTGAGAGGGCAGTTTTTGACCACTACTGGATCCTTGCAACGAGACAGGTTATACCCCAACTTACCCCCACAAGTCTCGGGAAAGACCTGTGTAGTATATATATATAAAGATATATATATATATATAAATATATATATATATAAAGATATATATATAAAGATATATATATATATAAAGATATATATATATATACAATCCCTCTGGATCCAATCACTTCCTGAGAAGGTACTTAGAGTCCTGAATTATACCCCAAACACTTCCGAATAGAAGGTACTTGGATCCATAGGGAACATATGACACTGTCCTGACTCACCAGTGCTCGCCAAAAACTGACACCCTGACTGCTTGGGGGTGCATCCCAGGCATCGTAACTGTGGTGAAGAGTATATCTCATAATAATAATTATTGTTAATATTATTAGTTATCATTATTATTGTTGTTATTATTGTTGTTATTATTATCATGATCATTATACGTATATATATATACACAACTGGGTATAAGTGGGTTATGATGTGGCTGTGTTCCGCTTAGTAACTGATATGCAATCCAGGTAGCATTACCAGAAAGCACCAACCATTCTTTGTACCGAACATCAATAGCCTCTGACAATTGTTGAGCCCAAGGTTACCCCTCCAAAACTTGATTTTGGGCTGTCCCTCAACAGAGTCGTGTGGCAGTTTTCATGGAATACACTGGCCATGGAAGCATGCTTTCATTTGGTTGGTAGTGAAATCAATATGTTTGGTCTGTGATTTCGTAATAACACGCATTCAAAGATACTTAGCTCGGATGTTCATGTCCATGTATCGCTTTCGAGGAGTGAATAGGGCGAATACACCATCCCCAATAACATGTGCATGCATCAAAGCTTTAGCATACATCAAAATCACAAAAGTCTCACAAGCAACAAAAATGTCTCGTTGGGAAAAATGTTGGTGTTATCTTTTTCTGATACTCTATATATATATATATATGTATATATATATCACTTGCCTATTCGTTGATTCATAGGGGGTTAACCCCTCTATTCCAAGTCACTAGAGCGCCCTCCCGGAATTGCCGGGAAGCCCTTGGCTGTGGTTTTTTTGTTGAAACAAATCCATTGACATGTGCAGTTACATCATGTTATATCCCCGTTCATGATCGTTCCCAACCTTTCGCAGTCATGAACATCCATGTTTGAAATAGCTAGTAGTAGTTGAATTGAACATTTATCTCAGTCACGAACATCACATATATTACCCTCTGGTAGTTTAACATAGCTATTGAAAATGGCCATTGAAATCGTAAATTTACCCATTAAAAATGGTGATGTTCCATGGTTTTTTGTATGTTTACCAGAGGGTACAACCTTGATTTTCCAGTTGATAGACGGTAAACATCCCATGATTTTTAGGGTGTCAACCATCCTTTTGGTGCAGGATTTCGCAACCATCCACATATCAGTCATATCATCCCAACGTTCCCTTCACTGCTTGGGTGGAAGCCACTTGACCATAACCACTCGACCACTCGATTATGTGTGTATATATACATATATATATATTATGTTTAATAATTATATTATATATTATAATCATATCTGTTGTACCCCCAGTGTTTCCGGATCCCTGTGTCAAGGGCCTGGTTGCGAACCAGCTCTACTGCTTTGTTTACAGCTATATTTCAAGAATGGACTGTTGGTTCATCCCTTTTTCAACTGGTTAGTAGTAGAACCCCAATATGTAATCCCATCCACCCTATTTGAAACACCACATAAACCATGGTAAAAATTGGGGCATGTACACATATTTGGGACCATAGAATGGGGTGTGTAATGTGAATGTGGGATGGGATTGTCAATAAGAGGCCATCCCCAATGGAGGTTTATTTTTGGCTATACATACCCCTTGAAATGGGATAATGTTTAGTGTGACCCCTAGTCATGATTGGTTTCTGGGATATTTTTCTTGCATTGGGTTTACCACATTAATAATACCCTCTGGTAATTGAACATAGCTATCAAAAATCACCATGTTTGATAGGTAAATCATTGAACTAAACGGGCAATACTCATCCATTCTCAGCTATGTGAAAGTCTCCAGAGGCTAAACAAACCATAACAAACCACTGGCTTCAATCGGCCACAGGTTTCACCGTTTCACCAAGCGTCCAGAAAGTTCCAGGGTGCCACCTGCTTCCCCGAGACATCACAGACCCCGGTACTCACCGTCCCAGCCAAAGGCGCATCCTGCACATGGCGACCAGATAGTTGGGAAAATCCAAATCTAAAAGAACTGATAGATTTCACATTTTCCAATCTTTTTGGGTATTACTACTATACTCTAACAGTAACATATTTGTTACGTTGTAATAGCTATGTATAATACAGTGTATATATATATATATAAATATTATATTGTACATAGTACTGGGATTGAAAATGCTTAGACCACCAAGCATCAAATCTGGGGTTTCTTCCATAAAAATGCTGGAAAAATTGTGAATATTGGTATCTTCGGAAAAGTTTTTTCTGGATAATATACTTAGACTTGTTCCCCACCTGCCAGGTGAGGGTTGTTAGGTTTTATCAGAGCTGTTCTCCTCCTCCTCCTCCTCCGCCTCCTCCATTTTCTCCGCCTCCTCACCCGCCGCCTCCTCCTCGCAGTCCAGATCCCAGTGGGCACAGCCGGACCTCCACCGCGAGCTCCAGATCCCAGTGGGCACTGCCGGACCTCCACCGCGAGCTCCAGATCCCAGTGGGCACTGCCGGACCTCAACCGCGACTTCCAGGTCGCAGTGGGCACTGCCGGACCTCAACCGCGACTTCCAGATCGCAGTGGGCACTGCCGGACCACAACGGCCAGATAGAATGCCAGAAGATATGCCAGAGAGAATGCCAGAAGATATGTCAGATAGAATGCCAGAAGATATGCCAGATAGAATGCCAGAAGATATGCCAGATAGCATGCCAGAAGATTTGCCAGATAGAATGCCAGAAGATATGCCAGAACATATGCCAGAAGACACAACCAAAGCATATCCAAACAGAGTATGACTTCAAAAATCCAAAGAATTGATTGAAGAGTATGGGGCCTCGTCCAACAAACAGTGCCCCTTCTGGGAAAACGATCCTCACTCTTGAGGGATCGACAATGCCAGATAGAATGCCAGAAGATATGTCAGATAGAATGCCAGAAGATTTGCCAGATAGAATGCCAGAAGATATGCCAGAACATATGCCAGATAGAATGCCAGAAGATATGCCAGATAGAATGCCAGAAGATTGCCAGATAGAATGCCAGAAGATATGCCAGATAGAATGCCAGAAGATATGCCAGATAGAATGCCAGAAGATTGCCAGATAGAATGCCAGAAGATATGCCAGAACATATGCCAGAAGATATGCCAGATAGAATGCCAGAAGATATGTCAGATAGAATGCCAGAAGATTTGCCAGTAAGAAAATGTATAAATGCCATGGTGGGGATCATTCGAAATGAAGTAATTTAATCTATTTTTGTTATAACAGATATCATCATTTTATGCACAATAATCCCCTTAATTCGATGATTTATTGAACCAATTACCACGTTCTTGATAAAACCCCCATGGATCAAGCCAAATATGCAAACCACTCCAGCAGGTCGCGACCTGCACCGCAGTCCTGCGAGAGTGTCACTAGACATTGATCGGTGTTCCAGCTCCTACCCGATTGCTGTGCTGTGGCGTGGCCGGTGCATGGAGTCTGGCTATGGCTCAAAAATATTCCTACATAAACATCCCGGCGGATGCGAAACCGCGCGAGCGTTTTGAGGGTTTGCTGAATAGGACCGTCAGAATCACCTGTAATTTTCAATATAAAATGCTGTTCCGAACTCTTTTGATAACTCAATTTTGGTGAAAAAAAGTGGCTTCAAAATCTATTGAATTTTGACAAATCCTTGCAAATACCATGTGCATCAGACGTGGATTCAACGAGTTTTTTAAACACCCGTCGTCGGCTCAGCGATCCATCAGTTTGGAAGCTGTCTTCGACAGCAAGTTGCCATTATGGCACTCATAACGCCATTGCCAGCAACGCAGGTACAGCATGACATCTTTGTTCTGCCCCGCTTTTGTCTGCAAATTGCTACGCACAATTTTTTTTAGCCAAATTCCACAGAGAGTCAATCTTCCCTGTGTGCACTTGGAGTACACCCAGCCTGCCAAAACGCACACGTCTCACCCACACGCCTTTGCTGTGGTTGCAAGAGTAGTGCCTACCAGTGGAAACAGTGCAGAGCGTAACATCCAGAGCGTGTTAGAAGTCACATGGAAACAGTGCAGAGCGTGACATGCAGAGCGTCTTAGAAGTTGCTAGGCAAAAGACAGAGCGTAACATCCAGAGCGTGCTACGCAGGTGATGTTAGGCAAGAGCGTGTTCCACGCACTCTGCACATGACGTTAATACCCCACCCCACCCCAACCCCAAGACAAAGAGCAATCCTCAAAAAAGTAGCAAAACGCACGTACGGTTTTGCAGCCGTAGGCATAAACATGGAGATGTTGTTTTACCCTCTAGTAAACTGACCTAGCTATGGAAAATAGATGAAAATTGGCCATCTATAGATGATTTACCTATTCAAACAGTGTTTTCTATAGTTCTGTTAGTTTACCAGAGGATATATCAAAACCGTTCAATTTTAGGTTGCTAAGTTTGAGCCATCGCCAAATGGTTTCCTTTCAAAAAGGGCTTCGCGGGCACACGGGATTGCCTAGTGACTAGTGGCGGCCATCGCCTGAGGATTTTTTTCAGGAAACGGTTGCATTTACCCCCAAATATTGTGACTTCCGGCAAATCGTCCTAATCCTCCAAGTCTAGGATGTTTTGTGCTGCCAAAACTGGAACATTCATATTCATATTGGTCTCACACGCTTCTTTCCAAGGGCAAGATGTGGTTTCTGGTCTCAAGCCACGTCAAAATTATATTGATTGGCAAGATCGTCAAGAAGGATGGAAAGTAAGGATAACGGACATACGATCCCATCCCCCAACAAAAGAAACACATCATTCAATGGTCCTAAATATGTGGTTTCAATTGGTTTCAATTGGTTTCAATTCATTTCAACTGGTTTCAATTGGTTTCAATTGGTTTCAATTGGTTTCAACTGGTTTCAATTGGTTTCAATTCATTTCAACTGGCTTCAACTGGTTTCAACTGGTTTCAATTGGTTTCAATTGGTTTCAACTGGTTTCAATTGGTTTCAATTCAATTCAACTGGCTTCAATTGGTTTCAATTGGTTTCAATTGGTTTCAATTGGTTTCAATTCATTTCAACTGGTTTCAATTGGTTTCAATTGGTTTCAATTCATTTCAACTGGTTTCAACTGGTTTCAATTGGTTTCAATTCATTTCAACTGGTTTCAACTGGTTTCAATTGGTTTCAATTGGTTTCAATTCATTTCAACTGGTTTCAATTGGTTTCAATTGGTTTCAATTCATTTCAACTGGTTTCAATTGGTTTCAATTGGTTTCAATTCATTTCAACTGGTTTCAACTGGTTTCAACTGGTTTCAATTGGCTTCAATTGGTGTCAATTGGTTTCAATTGGTTTCAATTCATTTCAACTGGTTTCAATTGGTTTCAATTGGTTTGAATTCACTTCAACTGGTTTCAATCGGTTTCAACTGGTTTCAATCGGTTTCAACTGGTTTCAATTGGTTTCAATTCATTTCAACTGGTTTCAACTGGTTTTAACTGGTTTCAATTGGTTTTAATTGGCTTCAATTGGTTTCAATTGGTTTCAATTCATTTCAACTGGTTTCAATTGGGTTCAATTGGTTTCAATTGGTTTCAATTGGTTTCAATTCATTTCAACTGGTTTCAATTGGTTTCAATTGGTTTCAAGTGGTTTCAATTGGCTTCAATTAGTTTCAATTGGTTTCAATTCATTTCAACTGGTTTCAACTGGTTTCAACTGGTTTCAATTGGTTTCAATTGGTTTCAATTAGGTTCAATTGGTTTCAATTAGTTTCAATTCATTTCAACTGGTTTCAATTCATTTCAACTGGTTTCAACTGGTTTCAATCGGTTTCAATTGGTTTCAATTGGCTTCAATTGGTTTCAATTGGATTCAATTGGTTTCAATTGGATTCAATTCATTTCAACTGGTTTCAACTGGTTTCAATTGGCTTCAATTGGTTTCAATCGGTTTCAATTGGCTTCAATTGGTTTCAATCGGTTTCAATTGGTTTCAATTGGCTTCAATTGGTTTCAATTCATTTCAATTGGTTTCAATTGGTTTCAACTCATTTCAACTGGTTTCAATTGGTTTCAATTGGTTTCAATTGGTTTCAACTGGTTTCAATTGGTTTCAATTGGCTTCAACTGGTTTCAATTGGTGTCAACTGGTTTCAATTGGTGTCAACTGGTTTCAATTGGTTTCAATTGGTTTCAATTGGTTTCAATTGGTTTCAATTGGTTTCAATTGGTTTCAATTGGTTTCAATTGGTTTCAATTGGTTTCAATTGGTCAATTCAATTCATTTCAATTCATTTCAATTCATTTCAATTCATTTCAACTGGTTTCAATTGGTCTCAATTGGTTTCAATTGGTTTCAATTCATTTCAACTGGTTTCAACTGGTTTCAATTGGTTTCAATTGGTTTCAATTCATTTCAACTGGTTTCAATTGGTTTCAATTGGTTTCAATTCATTTCAACTGGTTTCAATTGGTTTCAATTGGTTTCAAGTAGTTTCAATTGGTTTCAATTAGTTTCAATTGGTTTCAATTCATTTCAACTGGTTTCAACTGGTTTCAATTGGTTTCAATTCATTTCAACTGGTTTCAATTCATTTCAATTGGCTTCAACTGGTTTCAATTGGTTTCAATTCATTTCAACTGGTTTCAATTGGTTTCAATTCATTTCAACTGGTTTCAACTGGTTTCAATTGGTTTCAATTCATTTCAACTGGTTTCAATTGGTTTCAGTTCATTTCAACTGGTTTCAACTGGTTTCAATTGGTTTCAATTGGTTTCAATTCATTTCAACTGGTTTCAACTGGTTTCAATTGGTTTCAACTGGTTTCAATTCATTTCAACTGGTTTCAACTGGTTTCAACTGGTTTCAATTGGTTTCAATTGGTTTCAATTCATTTCAACTGGTTTCAACTGGTTTCAACTGGTTTCAATTGGTTTCAATTGGTTTCAATTAATTTCAACTGGTTTCAACTGGTTTCAATTGGTTTCAATTCATTTCAACTGGTTTCAATTGGTTTCAATTGGTTTCAGTTAGTTTCAATTGGTTTCAATTCATTTCAACTGGTTTCAATTCATTTCAATTGGCTTCAACTGGTTTCAATTGGTTTCATCATCTTTCATCGCCTATAAGTACTTTTTTCCGTCGTTTTTCCATCGTTTCTGGTTTTTTTCCGTCGTCTGTCCCGATGGCTGAGCAACACTTTCCGGTGTCTCGATCTCGATTCCTGGCAGCGATCGGGTGGGGGTTGGAGGATCAGCCTGATGATCATGATGAAGAATCATAACATCACAACACTAATATATATACATATATATGTATATATTGTTAGTATATACTAGTCCCTATGGATCCAAGTACCTTCTATTCGGAAGTGTTTGGGGACTTAAGTACCTTCTAAGGAAGTGATTGGATCCATAAGGTGTGTATATATATATATGTATGTACGTATATACAAGGAATAAGCATGAATAAGTCAGAATGTTCACAATGCATTATTAATTGTATCAAATACCAAATCATCATCATCATCAGCAGCAGCATCATCATCATCATCATCACCGTCATCATAATCATCCTCATCCTCATCCTCATCATCATCATCATCATCATCATCACCATCATCATCATCAGCAGCAGCAGCATTAGTAGCAACATCATCATTAATCCCCTCGTCCTATTACTAAACCCCCTCCTAGTACTAAAAACTAGTGTCCATCTCCAATTTTTGAAAATTTCAGAGGCCAATTTGATTTTTAATTGATCCTCTTTAAAAAACAATTGAAAAATCAACCTACCATTTGTGGGTTTCCCCCCCTAATACTAAAAACTAGTCAACCCCGGGGTGTTTAGTATTAGGGGGAAGCTTCGAAATCCAATTTTTGGCAATATTTTAATTGCGTTATATAAAAACATTGAATTGATTTTGAAATCGGAAAAAACAGTTTTTATTATTAAGGGTTTTAATTTAGTATCAGGGGGAAGCTTCGAAATCCAATTTTTCGCAAGATTTTAATTGCGTTATATAAAGAAATTTAATACAATTTAATTGATTTTGAGATCGGAAAAAATAGTTTTTATTATTAAGGGTTTTAATTTAGTATTAGGGTTTCCTAATACTAAATACCCCCCTAATACTAAAAACTACCTGCCGTGTTTATTATCAGGGGGGTTAGTATTAGGATGAAGGGATTATCATTCCACTGGTAGGACGGAAGATAAAAACATCTGTGTAACGACAAAGAGAAGTAGCCAAGATCGGTGACCGACCCATCCGTTAGGAAGCGTTGAATCGAATAACTGGGTCGTATCTGTCGTGCGACATGAAAACCATCTTCGGATTTTCCGGGGTCCCCCAGATCCCCAATTATGGGTGCATCAATTCAATTACTGTAAGTCAAGTAATGAATTTCGGATGGTTTGAGATGGATCTTCCTGCAGTTTTCATCTAGCTGCGTGCCTTGCATGCCATTTTTGCCCCTGAGGCCGTCTGGGACCGGCAGGGTATGGTTCGGCCCTGATGGGGCTGGGCTGGTTGGTTTACAGCTGATAACTTGGAACCACAAAAAAATATCAAAAAATGACTTTGGACATGTTTGGAAGTCGATTTTTGGGAAAAAAAATGAGTTCCAAAAATAGGTTTGCAGGAGGAAAATTGAGTACCAAAAATAATGAACAGACTCGTTGGTTCCCAGTGCAAACAGTGGCTTTGCATAATTTCATTTCACCCTCTGTTTTTTTTCTTTAGGGGGAGTAGAGGGGATCAGACTGGATGGAAGGATACCAGGTGCAACTTGCATTTTTCGGTGCAGAAGGATCGGTAGTTATGGGACACGGTGGTGAGACATACTAATGCATCCCAAACCATTGAAAAAAACACGTTGGAATTTTCATGTGTGTCATGTATACCTAAAAACCCCAACATGATCATACCAACTTAAATTGTACTAAGGCCCCATATTCAATCTCACTATCCCATTTCGGGTTTAGTTGAGCCTGATGTTCCCACTTCGTAACATTTCCCCGTGGGCTCAACCTTCCCCACTTGGTGAGGGCGTTGAATGACACAACCGAAGAAACAATACTTGGAGGGGCATCCCAAGTGGTCAATTGAAATAGCTATGATTCGTAAGTAGCTGGGTAAATTATGTGGTAAAGTATGGTAAATTACCAAATTAATTACTACAAATGGGTTATTATAGTTGTAGCTGGGTAATACCAAATTACTATCAAATTATCAAATTCATGTGGTAAAGCATGGTAGACCCCATCAAACGAGACCATCTCCGAGATTTTACATACGAAAAAGGTGGTAATGTTTTTCTAAACCCAATGCCGCTTAGTGAGCATCCCTAATATGACCATTTCAATGAGTGGTACGGGTGGTACTTGGAGGATCATCCCATGAAGTGGCTTATCCCATCTATAAATGGATAAACTAACGGTTATTCACTAATTACTAAGTGGCCCTAGTTATGGGAAGATCCGGAAAGATTCTTCCCACGGCTCGTAACCATCTAAAATATGGATTATACATATGATTATATATGTATGATCACTATATATCCAGTATTCTCCAGTTATATCAACCACTTTACGGAGCTGTGGATCCTCCAAGATCACCCTCGCCGCCCGGGCACCTCCAAATGAAGGCCCCGGAACTTGGTCAGGTCCAGGTCGCAGGGCAGCACGGTGGCAGATGCTGGCGACACGTCGCAAAAACATGGTGTGTCATAGAAATAAGCAGTATATATTTATATTATGTCATATATAGAATTTTATATATATATATATGTGAATGTAAAATAATAAATATATATGTGTGTGTGCGTGTGTGTGTGCGTGTGTATGTGTGTCATATATTGTCATATCTATATATATGTATATATGTATATATATAATTATATATATATGTATATATATATGCAATTGTATATACAAGTATAAACAAGCCGGCGGACCGGGAAGCGTGCTTGTAAAAACACCGTTTTTTTTAAATGTCGCTTTCGCTACAGCGAAACGCACATTTGTATAAGCCAAATTTGGCCAAATTCTCGCGCGAGAATTTGGCCAAATTCGCGTTTCGTGAGGGTTTTGGACACTTTTCATTGGATCAATTTGATAGGCGCTTTTTGTTGTCTTTTCAAAGCAGGCGCTTCAGCCTTGAAATGTTTTTTTGCTGGGGCCGAGCATGTAGATTCACACATCGCCATTGCCAGCATTTCACATGCAAGAGAAGATCTTTGCTCTTTGAACCCACCCCACCCCTTCGTGTATACACCGTAGCAACAACACCAGACCTCTGAAGCGTAGCAACATGTAACGTACGAACTACAAGGAACGTTAACATTCCCTCCCCCCACCCCACCCCACCCCATCATGACCTCCGAACACACGCTAACAAAAACGTGCGTTTTACGAGCATGGTTTTCAGTCCGCTGGCATAAACAAGTATTTAATTGCATGTGTATATATATATATATGTATATATATATACATAACGTACATATTCATATGAATATGATTAAATATGTGGATATATGCTGTATTGCATGTAGAAAACAGTTGGAACCATTTCCAGAATGGATCCAAATTTGGCGTCCAACAGGGAGATACTTGTGAAAAAAAAGCATGCAAGGTCTGAAATTTGTGACCCTTTGACCCGTGCCACCAGGCAGACTTTTGCTAGGGAAGCTGAGCTGGAAGAATCCAAGTTTGAAATCGAAAAACGACAACGGACAACCGTTGGTGCACTGTACATACATATATATATGTATGTATGTATGTATGTATGTATGTATGTATGTATGTATGTATGTTATACATGTATAAATGGGTTAGAACCATGTTTGCCAACCATGTAATTCTGCTTTTTCGCAGTTTGTCACTTGATCTCAAGCAAATTTGATCTCCAGCTGTCCTCTGCCCTGTGGATGTGTACCCGTTGGGCCGAGGAAGGTCAAACACTGACCCGTCTTAACCTGCCGAGTGCTGGTTGAGCCACCCCAGAGGGAAAAACAAAACCATCAGTGCTCAACTAAACTGAGATCATTCTCTCACATTCTGGTAATCATCAATCATAAGGCTCCAGGGTTCCATGGTTCCCAAGGTTCCAAAGGTTTAAGGTTCCAGGGTTGATTGAAGGTTACAGGGTTTCACGCTTCCAGCGATCCAACATTCCAGCATTCCACATGTCCAGGGTGACAGGGTTTCATTTCCTTTGTGGTTTTCAGGGCGGACAAAAGACATCAAAAGACGGTGCGCCAGTCCCAGACCCAGAGATTGAAACCCAATCGGCACTGTGGGGAACTACACCATGGTTCTTGTTCAAGATCACATTGTTTGTTGATCCCTTCCTTAAAGTTAAACTCTTAAGTCTCTTAAGTAATTACTGTAGTACAACTGATAAGCCCAAACCCCAAAAACGAAGAATCAAGCTGTGTTACTTCGTGATGCCCTCGCCCCAAAATGGCCAGCAAGGATTTCCGCTCCAAAAAAGTTAGAATCTCAAAAAATTGAGCTTGTTCTGGTACATGGATGTACATGGTAATTTTCCCAGCTCCCAATGATGTCCCATGATTTTTGAAAGGCCTCCCGCAACTTGAAGACCTCTGGGGGCAATAGACCTCCTTCCACGTAGATGTCACCTAAGCCGCGCCATCCAGGAATGACGGCGTAGCGGCTGTACCTGAAAATACTACATTTAACCAACAGAAATTCGGCATATTTATGTACATATATTCACCGACAATAAAGATACTTCATGGATATGATGGGATATAAATATGAACATGATGTTTGGGTTTGTAAGACAATGTGGCACTCCATGGTATACCCTGAAATTGCCTTTCAAATATGGAAAAATGATCAACCGGTGATTTAGGGGTGCCCTATCTCCGGACAAGCCAATGGAATGATGTGCAGCCGCTTATCTATTGCTGGTTCGATGGGGGTTCCCCCCCTCTGTCAAGCAATCAACCAAGAAAAGAACATCTACTCATACATGTTGACAATCAACTTTGAGCCAAAATCATAAACCAATGTCAGTCATGTATTTTACCATAAGAAAAATATCCCAATAGTCAGCAGACTAACTTACCGGTTCAATAGGGTCAATGGCTGGTAGGAGGCCATCATCTTTGCAGATGGTCCCTCTAAGCTGCTCACCCGTGGAATTGAAGTGTGGGAAATCCAGGGCCCATATGGCTTTATGAAAAGAGGGGATACGATCCAAGATGCCGAGTTGTGATGATATATCCCATTCCATCTCTATGAAATATACCATATATATATACATATATATACGTATAGATATATAGATGTATTAGCAGCATTTAGCAGCCAAAACAACTCGCTGCATCGTATCAAACCCATGCCATTTCCCAGGTGATCTCCATTTCCGGGGCGGGACGGAAGCGCCACAAAAACCAGGCGAAGGGTTTGCACTGCAGACCTGCAGCCCAGTGGTCACCAGGGACGGATACGAAATCTACGGACCTGATTGGTTGGTGGTTGACCTACTTGGTTAATGGTGATTAATAGTGATTAATGATGGTTAATGATGGTTAATGATGGTTAATGATGATTAACTATCTGCTTGGTGGTTTCAACCGAACCCCTCTGAAAAATGATGGACTTCGTCACTGGGATGATAGAAATTCCCAATGGAAAGTCATAAAAGTCATGTTCCAAAGCACCAACCAGTTATCAATCAACATTAATCACCATTTTTCTCCATTATTAACCACTATTAACCATTATTAACCATTATTAACCATTATTAACCACTATACTGTACCCTCTGCAAAAATCAAACGTGGCTGGCTGGAAAGTCCCTGTTCAAAATGGAGGATTTCATATGGGAAAATCATCGAAGAAAAAAGGTGATTTTCCACGTGTTTTTGATCATTTTCCCAGGTGAAGCCCCACGGTTTTTGCCCAGTTTACCCCGAAAAATATCTCCTCGAGTTGATTCCAGTCATGGTATGTCATGGTGGTTCAAGTAACGGTTAAATTCAGCAGCCTTCTTCTTCTCTAATTTTCGTTTTCGTTGGTCGAATCTCCATGTTCTGTTCATTGAATTCCCCATTGTTTGATTGCATATCTGCGTCACATGAGGTCATTCTCCCAGTTTTGTTGATCAAACTGCCTGATTGTTCTTGATTTTCAAGCACCAAGCAACTCTTCTCTTCCTCTCAAAATTTGATGAAGAGTGCAAAGAGACAGAGAACAATAGTTGATGATTAAAACTAGCTTGAAACCAATCCTTTGACATCTGGATATCCCTATTGAACTTTCGAAAATATCCACATTTGGGGGATCAAGTGATGGTAAGATCCCAAATGTCCTTCATCTTCAACCAAACCCAATGAAACTCCAATAGCTCCAATCTTCATTGGCGAGTCTGGCTTTTGTGTTGGAGTTTTCTCTTGTGCTTTCTGCCGAGTTTTGGGACGTGAAAACTCAGAGAAGTTCCAATGATTCCGACATATTCCGACCAGTCACGCTTCTTCACCTCCTCAAAGTTGCTCACGTCTCGGTTCAGCGCAATTTGCGCCTTGAGCTAATAATGAAAAAAAGTGGCCCATTTCTACAGGATTCAACCAGACATGGGGTGAACGAAGCCTCGTTTTAATCATTACTGAGCTAACCAACAACAAATTCACAACGTGTATTCAACCAGCAACATTGTGGATTTAAGCATCAAATGTGTAAATTGCACCATGCGGATTGAAGCCAAATATGGTTTTCATGAACTGATGTGAGCGTCATGGCTTCCCAAGGTTCAGAAACCCTTCAATCTGACCCGTCACGACTGCAAGAATTGACCCGTCAATCTGTGGTTATAGTATCAGTGCCTAAAATGTTAATGCCTAAAATGTTCATGTACATCCATACCCAAATTTCTTGGTACAAGATCCACTGAATATGTTGCTAAATCACCCATTCATGGTCAAATATCCCAGTAGAATCCCACATAATCCCAAAGAATCCAATCCTGCAATAGAATCAAAAAACACGTGTCACATGGACACATATGGGGATGGGTCAAAACCCTGGTACCTAGTGAACCCCAAAATAGCTGGTAAATGGATGTTCATCCCCCTAAAAATGGTATCTATAGGTATTGACCCATACCCATATCCAAAGGACCAAACATCATCTAATCATCCATGGGTTTTTAATCAGTAGATGATCTTCAGAGGCCCAGAAGAAAAGCTACCAGGTGGGCAGAAATGAGCACTGGTTGCCATCTCATCTCATGTAAATACAGGCCCTGCAGCGGTAGTCATATGTAATGTAATGTAGTGTAATGTAATGGAATACATTGAATACACATATATATATAGTTACTAATGCAAAGTAAAGCGAAACAAAGTAATGTACGTATGCATATTAATATATTAAGGGTGGTCCCCTCCAGTTACAAGATGTTATAAGTTGGTTTGTTCACCACACATTCCATTGTTGGTGAAATCCTGATGATACTCCCAGTTTGGTTGAGAATTATATCCTCTATGGTTGGGAAAATCCATCCATGTCCAATCGTTGAGTTGATACATATCATTGAATGGTTGACATTTAAAATAGTTTCAAAATTATATAGGTTGACATTTAAAATAGTTTCAAAATTATATATATATATAAATATATATATAATGGATCTATTGACATTCATGGAGGTTTCCAATCCATAGGGGTATCTCCAAATCATCCAGTCGTCATGGACCATGACCATGACTTCCGCACAGCTCCAAGTTCACACCTGCGCCTCCCCTCCGAGAAGGCCTAGGCTGTCAAACTCAACGGCGGACTGTCTGAGGGTGTAGACCCCAACGGAAAATGCCCATTTGAATAGGGAAAATGATCATGATCCAATGGATTGAATGGGGTACCATATTTTCTGACAACGCCAAATGAGCTTAGCAGAAACATGGAGAAATAATTCGCCACTGAGAAAATAGGACACATGTGGCAAATGTATGGAAAATGTATAAAATAGTGGAAATATTGCGGAAATCTCCAATGATCGTGGGTTGACTATAGCCCATATACAATGGTTCGACCATGGCACACGTCATCATGGCGTAAGAACATCACAAATGCTCCACAATTAGAAACTAAAGACCCCGAATATGACCCAGTAGTGCAGGTAAACATACCATACATCGAGCATGAGGGATAGACATAGATAAATGGCCAAACATGTGTGGGACATTATCTAGGAAAGTCTTTGGGCAAAATCGGAAAATTGTGACCAGTGAAAGTCGCATGTTAAAGCGGATATAGTCGACTAGTTGACCAACCAACATTCCAGCAAGACTTCAGATATTATCCACCAAAATGACATATTATATATATACGTATAATAACAGTTATTATTACTCATTATTATTTATTGTTATTATTGGTATTATTATTGTTATTATTATATTATATAATTATACAACCAGCAAAAAAAACTAGAAGACAAACAATGTCAAAACATGTCAAAACACGTATTGTCAAATTATTTGATACGCCCCGGTTTACCCTGGTTTAGAGTTTAGAATGGATCTATTCATGTTGGGCTCCCCCATGTTCCGATCTGGTGCTAAAAAACCTACCGGGTTCGTTAGTTTGGGATTCTCACGCAATCACGGAAACCTGACCAATGTGGGAATGGCACTATCAATGAGTGAAACATGTTGTGAACCGGAGAGTCTCCAAATTGATGAACCCCTCTTAGATTTTTATGATTTTTTATGTCTTAAAACCTTGGGCAACTGGGCAAGGTTGAAGTCTTGGATGACAAGCCTCCCGTACTATTGATTCGACCTGATCTTCGACAACTCATGACACATTTTTTCAATGATTTTCTTTGCAAAAGAAAGAAAATATCAGAAACCTAAACCACCCAACAATTACATAAAATCACCATCATGTGGGGGTACTAAACAGCCGATTTCGAGGAGTACGATTCGCCCTAGGGCTCCACACCTACCCAGGTCATAGCAGGATACTCCGCGGCCTTTTCCCGATACTCATCGAACCAGGCCAACACCGCACGGGCCTCGATTCCAAAACGGTAGAAATGGTGTCCAAGAACAATCCAGTGATCTTTGGTTCTACCTTCACTTTTTCCTTCATTTTCCTTCAAATACTTACTGGTGCTAAACTTTCGGGAATTTTCGGGAATGATCCCAGTCATCACTATCAAGTTCATCATCCCAGCAACCCACAGCAACCCATCCATTCCCTGCCAATCATCCCTCTGTTTGATGGCCAACTCTCCATCCCTTGCCTTGTTCCGGATGGCGTCCAGTTGTGAGACTGCGTACTGCTGCTTGGTTCTAGGGTCTTCCGTCCTGGATATGGAAATGTGGAAGCAACTCATGAGGTAAAGCCGAAGAAAAGGGTCCATTTTTTTCGGTATACCTCCATTGGGGATGACGAAAAAAGAATATGAATGCACTATTTTGATCTATTTTGGCTGGTTGATGGGGTGGTCTATTGCTGGCGTTTACCACATTACTGTAAGAAATGATGAATTTGATCAGCTGAGGAGGGGGATGTGTCCATCAATGATGTGGGGGTTTTGCCGCCGAAAATGGGGATTGAACCTGAACTCAATGGAGACTCAGAACCGGGGCGATGTGTGGAATCAAGGGAAAAAAACATCGTTTATATTTACATGGGTTTATATAGATTTATGCAGCTAAACCATGGGTCATATGGAGGAAACCAACAAAAATGGATGGTATTTGATCAGCCAGTGTTTTATGTTTGAATCTGCGCGGTGGTGCAAGACCTAATTGGCAAGTGATTCTGTTAGCGGCGACAACTGGAGTATATCCCACACTGCAGCGCCATGAAATGCTGGGAGCCACTCGACTAGGATACTCATCCAAGTATTTATGAGGATCCTGGAAACTCCACCAAACCATTTTTTCGGGGCACCCTACAACGTCGACCCCCCAGTGGCTTTCCTCACCTGGAAATTGTTACGTGCTGGAAACGAGACACTTTTATCACCTTTGTCTCAATCGATTAGTGAATCTCTTAGATCTTTCTGCGACCCACATCAATGTGCTAAAGTAATACAACCATACCCAGTTCCGAATTTGACCAGTTGAGTCTTCGGTAAACCTCAAGAAACCACAGGGTGATTATTGCATTATCCAAAGTTGGTCACTAATGGGTCACCTTTCCGATGCTTTATCCTCATGGGTTGCCGTGTGTACTCATGGAGGGCTCACTACTCTGAAGCTCATCCCAGTTTTTTAACCGTTTTTTACCCATTTAACCCTCAACCACCAGGTATTTTTCTTGACTCCTCAAAATTCATCCCCGAAAACCCCAGGTGCCATGTCTGATTCTCCAATATCATACGACTCCCATATTTCGTGGATTTTCCTGGCAAAGTTCCAGAGCTTCACCGGTTCAAAACGGAGGATCCCGGCTTCGGAAACGTGGTGAATCCCATGGATGACCGGTACGGTTACCACCAATGGATTCGTGGGAAGATTCACGCTATGGAACTCGGCATCTTCATAGCCAAATCAACGAACTAAATGATCATTGAAATCGTCATTGGTCTGTTTTACTAATTAGTATCTCTATGTTTTAGCTATGTTGAGTTAACATTTAATTTACCATATTTAGCTAAGTATCTATAGTAAATATCCACACCACTAACATAGCTATGGAAAACCACCATGTTTCATAGATGAGTCATCCATAAATGGTACATGTTCATACATTTTCCATAGCAAACTCTTAGTTTACTGAAGGGTACAATTATCTATTTAAATATCTATAACACATTATCTATAGTTTTTTTTTTTCCGTAGCTATGTAGTTAAATGATCTATAGTGAATATCTGCATAGCTATGCCGGCTATGCCTGGACGTGCCCCGACCTGCGCCACATGTGTGCCACGAAGGCATTGGACAAGGAGACGATCTCTCCACCGCAGAGCCAACTTCTCAGAGACCTTGGACGCTTCACCGGTCATCAAGCTGCGTTCCATAAATGAGTGAATTTCATAGCAAATATTATCATAAATGATAGTGAAATATGGTGAATATGGATGGAAGTGTCATAGTTGTAATGTAAATTTTGGAGTTTTTGCCGACCAAGAATGGTGATTTATCCCCAGAGAAAATGTTCATCTACCTAACAGCAATAGAGGTTTAAGCAACAAAGAAGGCAACTATGTCTTGAAGTTGTTGAAATTGGACATGTATATATATATATATATAATATGTATATATATATATATATATGTGGACTTGTTCGCCAACAACAATTATATGAGAGCTCATTCTTACAACTGAACATCGCTGCAAAAAGTGGGGAGATCATCCATCCTAGGGCCAGCATACTACTGACTACAGGAGCCACTGACAATATCAGCTCCACCGGATAGTGGACAAATGTATCGTTTGACACTAGCTGGAACAAACAAAGATGTAATTCACGAATTTCATCTACATTCACATACACCTGGTGCCTAGACAAACATAGATCCTGCATTTTAGATCCCAGACTGATTCACCAAACAATGACAATTCAGGCTGCTAACATGGATGTTAAGAATTAAGCGTAAAACCCATACGAAACCACTAACGTAGACATGCATTCTGATTTGCAAAAAAAAAGATGTGCAACATAGATCCTGGAGGCTGCGTTGCAAATTGTGAAACCCCCAAAAAACACTAACATAGATCTTGGGCATCATACAAAAACAACACATATGATCACTAAATATCACATAGGTTTTGGAGGATGGAAGTCCAATGCCTGACATTTCCAGACCATTAACCAGATGTCGTTGTTTGGTTTTTTGCTAGCTCAATTTTCATATCTTCGTTTTTTCCAGGTAGAGTATACAGACAGACATAGACAATACATGATAATACATAATCCGATATTAATACATATGTCCCCCTCTTACAATCCCTCTTCCAAAGCTAATCATCCTTACAATACATAATCTTCACTGTTCTGGTGTCCATCTCCTATAGTATGGCTCATTTCTGGCTAGTCAACGACCAATCACTTGGATGATTTGGGGTTTCTCCTTTCTCAGAGATCCCATGGATATCTGCAAAGATGATTATGTATATATATATATGCTATATATGCTATATATATATATATATGTATATATATGCTATATATATATATATATGATGATGATATATTATACACATTATGTGTGTTGGGAATCCCTACTGTAAGTTCCAAGGGAAAATTCGTGGGCAGGGCGCTGGTCGACGTTCTCACCACCCCATCCAGACATGCCCTCATCGTAGCCTCACGAAACGAGGCCCAGACAAATGGGGGGTTTCGGGAAAATGGGGGTAGCCAAAAAAGATGCCTTAAGAGGGAAAATCCTACTTACATGGATGATTTGGGGGTACCCCTATTTTCAAACCATGTCAAGGATTGTCAAAAAATGAACACATTGACTTGTAGAGTGGGTTGCGAAACTGCAACTTCAGCAACAGCAACAGAGTCTAGATGAAACTTCGAAATTTCATGAAACTTGATAAATCATCATAAATCAGCATAACGATCTGAAAAATGGCTGATTTCTGATGATTCATGAAACTTCATCCATACAAATCAGCCATAAATCAGCCATAAATCAGCCATGAAACCTCCCGTTTCGTTCCACCAGCGTCGGGAAATCCCTAAGAGGCCACCGGACAAGACCGGCATGTAGGGTGAGGTGCTTTCCTGAGAGGTGGATGGTTTTCCCAATGGAGAACCAACCAACTGATCCCAGAACTGATTCCAGCTATATGATTGTTGTGGGATATCAATCACAGCAAATGATATCACAACTATATCACAACTATAATGATTAATAACTGATACTTAATAACCAACCATGAATGATTAATATGGGAATGATCATTAACTATATGGTTGTTATTGATATCACAACTATGGTTCATGATTAATGACCAACCATGATTCATGATATTGACTATTGATATCCGAACTATGATTCATGATTACGATATATAATGATAACTGATAACCAACTATGGTTATAATGACATTGTTAATGATCTTGATTATTGTTGATATTCCAACAATCGTTGTGAATTTTGGGATACCCAGCGACGATTTGAAAATGGGTTGTATTAATGACATCAACAACAATTAAGTAAGAATATTGGGATATTAACAATAATCATTGTGAATAGCCCAGCTTAACAAAACCGATGTTTTAACTCCGACTATGGTGGGATATTCACAATAATTAATATGTCAACATGGGAAAACATATGGCGATTTTTCATGGGAAACTATGAGAAAATGTGGCCGTTCACGTCCCAAGCTAGGGCCAACAAAAATAGGCAAAAAGTGGTTGAACCCACGGGAAAATGAGGAGGTTCATGTCACATGTCCCAATTTATGGACATGGCTTTGATGAGATGAGGGACCGATTTCGGGGGTTACCACTTACCACGGGGAGGTTGGACGATTTCGGGATTGACCTTTCAAGAAGATATCCACAGTGAAAGAATATAAACCAATCATCCAATGCCGGATGAAGGTCTTCTTGAAAACATATCTGGTGACCTAGTGACCTAGTGGTTAAAAAACAATATCATCACTTTGCCATGGAAAACACCATGTTTGTTGGGTAAATTATCTATGAACCGTTTTCCATAGCAAACTGTTTCCTGGAGGGACTGACCACATAACTTTATTGCTCCCACCGTAGCAGCCAAAGTTAAATCACAGTGGGATTTTATACCGCACCAAGTGGTCAAGACTTCAAAACCTCTTGGAATTTACGTTGACCTCCCCCATATCCAACCTCATTGATGAAGGTATATAACTTCCTGCTATGAAGCGTCACTAATAGTGCAGGACGAGAATATGGGGATGATGATCCCAGATATGCTTAAGACATGTTGATATATGTTGATATAGCCACCATAACTATATCCGTTGTAGCAGATATATTGAAAATTATTTATAAAATATAATATTAATAATATTTGATATATATGTATATATATATTTATGTATTTATTACATACCTATATATCATGAATCTATGATCTATCACTGATATAGTTCTTGTGGTCATGCCAAATGTATGAACCTGAATGTTTGCATCCCTCGATTCCTCGTAGTTCGCAACTGGCTGGACCCTTGATGATGTCGAGGATCCACCCACTTGAAGTCCGCATCCCAAGTTAGATAACCTCGGTGTTGCGAGGCCAATTTCAAGTGGATCCTGAACATTTGGGTCCCAGAAAAATGATGACTTTTGAATAAGGGATTTACTTCTTGAAAATGATGATTTCCTGGGTTTGGCAATCCGGATAATATACATATGTCCATTCCCAGTTTTGTTGAAAAACAAGCATTATGTTTGTTGCATTTTAGTCCCACAGTCCCACTGCGACCACTGTAAATCCATTCCAACAACATCGGAAGCTAGCAATTTACATTTTACATTTAGTACGCTACCCTCATCTACGCTCTATATTTGGGTGTTTTTCAAAATTGGGGTATATGCCCCTGTTCATCACTGGTTTCCCCATCAAAAATGACAGGTACACCGGATGATTTTGGGGTCTCCCCCCTCTCAACAGCTAATTGTTACCCACCCGCGTTTGACTGAAAATATGGTATCCCAAAATCCCATGGTTCATCATCACCATAACCATAACCATCAGCATCAGCATCATCATCACACTATATAACAATATATACAACACTACATAACACTACACAACGCTATGCTATAATGGTTCGTATACCTCCCTATCGAGCAACACAAAAACAACTTCAGCGCAGCCGCATTTGGCCATGCCCTGACTTCGCTGCGTCTCCTTCCAGGTGTCGATGTCCAAATTGGTGATGACCTCAATGGAGGGTATCCCCAACTGCCATGGTATCCCCGTGGTATCCCCGTGGTATCCCCATGGTCGTTTTTAGGGGAACATAACATTAGTAATTAGGGGAACATTAAAAGAAAACACCATCAAAATAAATAGGGGAATATAACATAGTAATTGGTTAGATGTTAATGACCAATTGTGATGGTATAGTCACTATAAACATGTTGGTACTTGGTACTTGTTGAATGACCATCTATAACAATATGATTCATATATATATATATCAATAACGTATTTCTTGGTGACTCAAGTCACCAACAAGAACACAAACATTCCCATTCGCTTAAAGTTGCCTCCATTGGCTTAATCAGCCGATCTGAAACCCAGAGACCCCCCTACATTCTAACAGCTATGAGTCGAAAGCCTGGAATCCAAATGGTACCCTAAAAATTGCTCCTTTCACTCACTCTTCACTTCGGTTCGTTTCTCTCCTAAAATAGCTGGTTAATGCATGTTTATTCCCCCAGTAATATGGGATATACTAGGTTTCGATCCATCCCAATATTCTATATACTTTGAAGGTCCACCGGATTCTTTGGACAATCTGCCAGTGATTCCGGTCCCCCAATCTAGTCATTTTGGGGTCAAACATTGGGGTTCTTGTCCAACTATGGCTATATCTCCCCATTTCAGGATAAACATGGTGAAATCATGTTAAAGTATGTTAAAGTGCGTTCAATCTCCCTTGTTTGCATAAAAAACATTTATAGCCATTTATAGGAAGAAGGAAATGCCCATATTTGATGATCAAATCATCTGAAATCCCAATTTTCCGGCTTAATGCCCGTCTTTTTGCCCCGGGTTGGCAACGACCCCTATGAACATCTGGGCATCTGGGAAGTCGAACAGGAACCACGATGCGACGATAGTTCTCGGCAATGGCATCTAAAAACTGCTGGTACCAGTCGTCCTTCACCGCGCAACCAGATGAGGATCGATATTGATCATCCACAATCCAAAAGAAATAGGAATTGATCGTTGATCCGAAAGATGTTGAAGTTGATGTGGGACATGTTCCTCCCCCCGAATATTTAGAAACCATGGTGTAGTAGAGGAATTTGCACATATTTTGGAACATTTAGATCCTAATCAGGTGGTGTTTGATGTTAGCCTTCTAAGAGCCTCGAACAGGCACTGCTACTCTTGTTCCTTACTTCCCATATGAATAGCCTCCAGTACTCAAACCTGGCAATGATGGAGAATGGAAACTCCACCATTTATGGAGGATGTTTCCATTAAAATAAAACCAAGATTTATAGCGGGATTTTGAGTTGCCATGTTTGATTACAGGAGGTTCATGGATAAATGCCCCCAAACTACCAAATATTACCAGGGTCATCCACTCTTCGTTGGGATGGTAAATCAACCAGGGGGTTGATGAAATGGGGCATCAGCCACTCCAAAACTGGGCATCCACTTAGGGCTGCAGTTGAGGTTATAAATGAATATACCAGCATAGTTATAGGTGTTACCCTCTGGTAATGACTAACAGTTTGCTCTGGAAAATCAGCTTTTGAATAGGTGAATCATCGAACATTTCATGGCCCATCCCTTCCAGTTCACTGCAAGACATTAGAGGGTATCTATCTCCTAATTTTTGAAACCGATATAGTTTATATACAGTAAATACCTGGTATATCCCCATGATATGCCCATTTACATGGTGATTTCCATGGTGATTTCCCATTCCGCCTGGGGAGCCACGTGGCAATCAAAGAAGACGATGACGTCTCCCGTGGCCAGGCCGGCTCCTCGCCAGCGGCTTCAGTGGGGCATAGCCATATGCCACAGTTGGATTGATGGAAGATCCTAAGGTACAACTGATATATGTATATATGCATGAATTATATACGTGAATTACATATATATATATATATATTATGTATAATATATACATATACGTACGATGTATATATATATATATTATATGTGTGTGTATTGATTATACACAGTATACAGTATACATATACGAGCATGTTCTTGTTGCCAGCTGAGGAGTGCATCATCCCAATTTGATTTGATGTTGGTCGCTCTCTTCCAAGAACGAAGAACTCTTCGCTAACCACGAAGAATCAGAAATTTAGGAAAGAAACGTTAAGGTGATATGGGACTCCTCAATGTCGACTGGGAAATTGAGGGCGCAAATTTTATGTTCGTTTTCCTGCTTACAATTGTCATTTTGGGACTTTGAGTCATCATTGTTTGGGCTCTCGAGAGCCATTGCTAGATGTGGAACAAGACAACGGACTACCATTGAGAACAGGTGGTCTGGTGATACCTGTAGCATCCTGTAGCTGACATTCCGGGCCCATTCTTCGGATAGCGGTTTCAGTGAGAGGCCAACGATTCATACACATCCGAAAGCCCCTTGCAAATGGTAGTCATTTGAAATGATTTTTTGGGACGTTCACATACAGGTCGTTCAAACTGCACGTCAAAATGTTAACATCTCAGACATAAAAACACCGACTTTGGCCCTTGATTCGCCTCTTTGTCATATCCACCATGTTTCTTTTTATGGTTATCATATATATATACTTTTAGGAGGTATACGGTATACCCAGCGACAATCGAACTTGACAATGGAGAGTCCTCCATTATTAGACAGTTATAATGTTATCCTTGTCAAAAGGTTGGTTTTTATTGCCAAGGCAGATTAAACATATGGTAAGCTGCCATTGTGGTTAATGATTTTCCATATTTTCCCTACTGAGCTTGGTCGAATTCCAATTTGCAAAAAAAACACAGGTGAAGTCTTCATAGAATCCATTGAATTTTGTTGGCAAAATCCCCACATGTTCATCCCAAAATCAACTTGTTTGTTGGAAAACACCGGTAAGAATTGGTCTCCCATAGGTGTTTCCGTCGGATCAAAAAACGACCCTTCCGACGCCTGCAGACTTAGCACCCATGAGGCCCACGGCCACATCGTGACGGAGCAGCTTCAGGGGATACCTACAGAGATATGACCTACGTTCGGTGGGTCGTTAGCCAACTAGGTTGAGATGTCACTAAGGTTAATGGTTGATATATCATGATATATCTATACTGTCTATACTTACTATGATTGATAAACCAAGTTATAATTCGCGGGGCAACCACCTTGCATAAATGGATTGGTTTAAGCAACGAAAATGGTGATTCAACTATTAAAATTGGGGAAATAACATCAAAATTGGGGACTTAACCAATCTTAACCAACGCGATTCATATCCAATGGATGAACTATGGGAAATTTTGAAGGAAACCCAGTACAAAGGAATTGTCCCTCCGCACAAGTCTGGGATAGATAAACCCCGAAAAATTAACATAGAACCTCAATGTTACAGGATCTGAAAATTTATGTTCCTACTGGATGTGGCAATTTTCCGGTTCTCTGTGAAATTTTGGGCGTTTACTCTTTTAAAAAATGTTACGGCAGGGCATGACTATTCCCCCATCAAAATGCCAAAAAGAGTACTGTATATAAGTATCAAACTACAGGTAAAAGGCACGCCGCGGGCCAGGTGAATTGGAGGTTTTGGATTTCGAAAATTGCAGGAAAACCATGTGGGTACCCCAAAATCCCATAGTTTCTCATCAATTTCCGGAATAACTAAATGGCTATGGCCTATGGCTATAGCTGTTTACATCCCAATGGGGGGCCTGACCCGAGCCATTCCCAAAATGGACTCGGATTGCCCTGAAGGCTGGGCCACGGGAAAGTCAACCCAAGTGGAAACCATACACAAGATGTGTTATTGGTTTCGTTGTTTCAACCCCCTGGAAATCTGACAGCAATTGTAGATTATCACAAGATGGAAATGTTCAACCAATTCTGTCAAATAGATTCGAATAGCACAGGACGCCTCATCTTGACCCATCGATCCACAAGCGTAACTCAATCTTGACCCGGGCACTTCTTCTGAAACTTCGGAGTGAGAAACTCCTGACAACCAGGCAGGAAACCAATCAGAAGGTACAGAGTTGATTGTTGAACAGAACCCCATCCCCTGAAAAGTTCAAGCGGGTGCCCGGTATCCTCCCTTCTGCTGTGATCTTTTTCTCCAGCTACACCCCCACAATGTTGATTGAATCATGTTGAATTCCGGGTTTTGGTAGGTGAAATCCATATCAACCATCGTTCATACATATTATCCACCTGAAACCCGTAAAAAAATCACATTGTGTTGGTTTGGGATCCAAATTTAGTTGTTTCCATCCAAAGGCCATATAAACTAAGCATCATTCATGTATACGTCCCCGCTCCCGACCGGCCACATCCCCGTTCTTTATTGCTGAAATCTACATATATATAAAAAGAACATGCAGTATATACTACACGTATTTAGGTATAGATAGATAGATAGATAGATAGATAGATCGATCGATAGATCGATCGATAGATAGATAGACAGATAGATAGATAGATAGACAGATAGATAGATATATGTATGGGTGGGTCCTATTGGCTGTAACAATGGGCACACAACACACCACAAAAAGTAGCACGGAGGGGGACATCAAATTTGACACTTGCCCAACCCAATGAAGCGAGACTTTTTCCCTTTCAATCTAAAGTGCATCAGCCTCTGCATAGCTTGGCAAAGCAAACAATGAAATGAAAGCACATGATGACGTCAAATGAGTGAAGTGCAGGAAGGAAAACAAACTTAAAACGAACGTGCAGGTGTAGTCATTTTTGTCTGTCTTGTGCTTTGCGAGGTTGCGAGGTCTAGTCCCTCCAACTTGTCCAAACTTGATATTGCATAAACTTGGCATTACAACTTTCAGTTTCGAATCTACCCTGTTGACAAATGTCAAACTAGTCTTCCAGTGTCGTGTGCTAAAATGTTAAGCTAAGCCTTGCTAAGCCAAAAAGACTCAGCTGAAGGGACTAACTGTACTGAGCCAGTAAACCTTTCCTACACGTGTCACAGCAGGGCAGTCGGAGTTTCTACTGCATGGATAGCCAATGGGCAAAACAAAAGAAACGAAATGAAGTCACGCACAGATGGAAAATCCGCAGGTGGAAACTGCACAAGCGGCGCGTGCACAGCAAACAAAAATTGCGAAAGTGCCTTGTACTCTCGCTTTCGGTCATCCCATTCACAATCGGCGATGCCATACCCAACCACCAAGACATTGCTTGGCCAGTTGAAGACTCTGTCGCCATGAGGAGGCGGCACCGCAATTCGAATGGCGTTGGATCTCAGCTGATCTACCTGTATTGCTGATGGCCTTCACACATGTCGATGACGCGAGTAAATAATTGCACACTAGTCACTTGCGCAGATCCTTCAAAGTGCTGAACCCCTCTGATTTCATTGTGCCTCAGCAGCAAAGACTACCGAAAACATCCGAAAACCATGTCAATCATGTCGGCTCACCAATGTCAAAGCCACCATTTCTGAAAGCAAAAGTTATCAACGTCAGTTTTATCAACGCCAATGGTTTCAACAGCTCCATGGCAACTACCAACACATTCCCACGTGGCAATTGGATGCAAGCTATACTGGTGTAAAGCCTAGGGGCGCTACGATCACTCTCTGCCACGCAGACAGGAAATAGGCGTCGTAGTTATAGATCCCGCGCTCCTTCCTTTCCTCTTCGAACTCCTTCCTTAGTTCAAAAACTCTTCTTGGCGAGCTTTTGACATGACAAGTTTGAATCAAATCATTGCCAAATCATGCGTTCTCGGTCCTGGAAATTCAACGGCTGGCATATGTGCGCCCGCTGGGTCTATAACATCTTTTTTCTTGCTGAGTTTCAAGGACTCTTGCCGAAACGCATATGCTGGCGAGCTGCACGATGTCTCTGAACCCAGATTCAGTCAATTGCTTGGTGAGCCACAGGACCTGTCAGAACTTGAGGGAAGCCAGCAATTGAGCCACATGTGTTGTCCCGGACCCTTGGCTTCCACCCAAAATCAAGACAAGTGACTTGCTGGCTCTTCCTTAGCATTGCATTTGAATGCACAGAAACTGCCACACGTGAGATGCAGAATGAACATACCGGCACAGCGCGCAGAGATTCAAAATATACTACACAGGGACACATCCTGATCCGGCCAGTTTCCTTGGCAATTCGTTCCTCGATGAAGTCGGCTGCAATCGACATCCAATTGCGAAGTACAAGTCTGTGCTGTCACTGATGCGAATCTTTGCGAATGATATGATGTGCCTGCGTGCTGTCACTGTGTGATGCGACTAAGTGTGACTGTGTGATGATGCCAGTTGGTGATGCCAGTCTTGCCAGCCTTCGAGCTGAAGTGCGCAAGGGGCTACCGGCAGGGATACATGCAAGAACATTCAGCAATTCAAAGCCAACTGCACTTGTCACGTCCTGACTGCGCACGCACTGTCACACCAGGGTCCGTGCCAGTGTCAGCATGACTTCATCGTGCATGCGGCCTCGGCACCAACCATCATTGCCAACTGTGACTTGCAAATTGAAACCAGAGAATCTTGGACATGCAAAGTTGAAAACAAAGCCACCGTGCCATTTGCATGTTGCCAAATGAATGCTGCTACAAGAAGAAGATTAACATAGATACATCAGACATAGATATTTTATATTTTGAAAATATAGCATCAACATCGTTTATCTATATGATACAAAAGAATATGATAGATATAGTTGAAACTCAATGCCAGTATTGTAGACGACAGAAATGATATCAAATCATTAATGTCTACAGCATCTGCTTGGAAAGCAGAAACCACTGTGATGCGCGCCTTGCCTCAGGGTCATGAATGGAAATGGCCCAAAGTAGATGACTTTACCGAATTTTACCATTTTAACATGAGAGGATTTTCCAATTCTATTTTAAATCACCGTAGATCGGGCAACTTAAAGTAATATCAACGCAGGATTAGTAAACCCCTGGTTTAAGAATCCGGGGAACCCCATGCGAAATATCACTATTTTCGGAACCCACTCTTTTTAATAAACTGGAAGTTTATTAATCCTGGGTGAACATTGGAGAATACACCATTCTTCTTACAATCGAGTGACCCAACGTGGTATCTTAGCTACATCACAGCTACAACAACTCCTACATCCCTTGGCAAGTTGGATTGCCCATCCTCCTTATGATTCCTAAAAAACGAGAGAGATAAATCTGGCAAACTCTCTTTAATGTGTTGAAAATTCAATTGCACAACCCACATTACTTACTGTGTGTGTATCTGCGTATTTTCATGATAAACATATAGAAATATGATATTTCTACATATCATTTCAAAAAATAATGAGATAATATGATATAACAATTCAAACTCTACCTTCCCATTCTCAATAGCTTACCCTACTTTTGCAATGGGAACTGCCGATACCCGAGAACAGCAAAGTGGACATCACTATAGGAGCCATAGGAGGCCTTGCCATAGGAGGCCTTGCCATCTTATATGGTCTGGAAGGGGAACAAAAAAAGATTTGCGTGAGTGATGTCCACTTTGCTGTTTTACTGAACAGAACAAGTTTCCACCAAACTTGAGTGAGGGCAAGGTTCAAAGATTCTTTTCCCATCTTTACAGCAATGTCCCCACTATCACAAAAACATGTTAAAAACAGAAGATTTATAGATAGATTCCTTACTGTACCCACCAAGCTGCAAGTTTCCACCAGTGTCGCAGTAGACGATGTTTATAGCAAAAACAAAGAACATGTTCATGAAATTCAATGCATCTGTAATGACATGCAAAATACTAACAGGTTAATTTCGTATGTCTTATATATCGAAACAACATCCATGCAAAAATAAAAGAATTTATTTACGTTCTTTCGTTTCGATTACTTGTCAGAACAAACCTGCTTCTGTCCGAATCATGCAGAATCACTCTCATGACTACAAAGACCTATTTAACCTTGCTACACTACATAAAAAAAATAGACATTATTATTCCAGCAAGAGACCCCAAATATTGCGTCGTGAGTACAAAAGATCATGTATCATAATGTTGGGAATGATGTCAGTCTTGATGATACTGATGTTAGTTTTAATGATGATGATAATAATGGTGGTCTTGAAAATGATCACGATAACAATCATGATGGTTCATGATGATGACAATAGTGTTCATTGTGATGATGGTGAAAATGATGATGACGTTGCTGAAAGAAAATATGATGATGTAGATCTTGAGGACGAGAGAAAATGTTGATAAGAAACACCGCTCCCAAGACCGCCGACCGCGCTTTGTGCGAACCTGCGCAACCGAAATGCACGCAGAGTTTTCACAAGAACCATTTTGTGCCGAAATTTACACGAAAAGCGCCTCACGCCAAACCAGCAACAACCCTTTCGTGCGAGCCTGCGCAGTCCAAATGCACATGGGTATGTCACAAGAGCCATTTTGTGTAATAATTTACAAGGTAACATGGCGTTCACGCATCGAGAACATCGTTTTTCGCACGCCTACGCAATCAAAATGCACATCGGTATGTCACAAAAACCCTTTTGTGTAGACGTTTCCAGGATAAAATGCCGAACGCGAATCCAGGAAACATCACTCTGCACAAACCTGCGCAATCAAAATTCACACAGACATATCACAAGAACCATTTTGCGTGCAAACTTACAAACATCTTCAGTGATATTCAGGCAAAGATTGCTGAGGCCTGAGCTCGAAACACCTCTTCAAAAAAAACTACGGCCTACCACACATGTCATGACAATGAAAATCAATGTATGACCATACAACACTTCCATTCAAAACCAGAAAAACTGTATTTTTCCGGCCTGGGCCACGAAATTAATCCTCCTGCTCCTGCTCCTGCTCGTCAAGCCGCCTGTGCCGATCTTGATTTTAAAGTTCGCTAAATATGTGAAATTCCGACATTCAAAAAAATAAAGCAGCTGGCCTCAGATTCAGTCGACAGATGAAAACACCGTCGGTATCACATCGTACAAGAAAAACCTGAGCAGTGTGCACCACAGACATCAACCAAGGGCATGAGTGCAGCTTTGAAAACCTCCCATGATCAATGATAACATGCCCATAGATGTTTGAAAAAACACTGAGGTGAGGACCAATGCTGATAAGGATGGCACAAGAAAATGGCTGTTGAAACCAAATGGCTCCATGAGTGGCCTGCCCAACATGGCCCCACAATGTGTTGAAGAAATGGGATTGCCCTCGGTAAAGCTGTTGGTGGATACTTATGTAGGAAATTGTTTTTTACTTGTTACAGGTATTAGGATCTACCCAATATATATAGATATAATATATAAGTATACATACATATATATATATATGTGTGCGCGCACCATCATTTGTGGATACATCCATTTCAAACCGACAGATTTAGGTGAGAATAACATTAAAACCATGTTTGGTTTCTTAAATTAAACGTTATTATAAACCCCTGTTCAGCACGTTGAATCAGATTTAAATGAAAAACCACATGGGTCATAATAGTATTTAAATAATGTCAAACAATACACAACTCATGTCAATAATCAATACATGTTCTCAAAATCTATTCGAATAAAAAAATATCTATTTATTTATATTTATGTGGGTTTGTCTGAAAATTGCGTACCCCTAAATCCATTGAATTCTCATCATTTCCCCATCAAAAAAGCCATCTACATATGGCTAATAATACCTCATTTTCAGACATATCAACAATCCCATCACCATTAATCACTCATATTTATCATAATTATAGTAAACCTGAAACTGTTCATCCAAAATCACCATGGTTTGTCCACCATGTTTCTCACCATATTTATCATAAACCTGAAGATAAAAAATATTCACCATTCATCACTCATATTTCATCACTCTTTTCTCATACATCTGAACCACCATGGTTTATCCACCATGTTGATCATTAAAAATTCTGATTTTCCATAGTTATGTAAGAGGTTTTTCCAGAGGCTACCTGAAAACAGAACCAGCTTCCAGGCGTTAAAAATGCTGTGCCAGCTCCTGACTCAAGGGTGGGTCGCTTCCATCGTCCACCACCACGATGTCCTGCAAGATGCCGCCGCCGATGCCCCACGGCACCGACTCGGCCACGGAGATCACGGTCCTCGGGGGTTTCGTATGGGTTACCCATGGTGAATGATGGTTAATGAAACTGGTGATTTCTATGGGAAAATGTGGGTTAATGATGGTTAATGATGGCTCATGATGGTTTAGGATGGTTAAGGATGGGTGATAAATACATATAAATACATGGTGAATGACTAATTAATGATGGTGAACTAACTGACCCATGGTTAATGATGGTTAACTAACTGGTGATATAGAGCAGCATACATGGTTAATGAGTTAATGATAGTTCATGAGGGTTAATAGTGGTTCATAGGGGTTCAGAACGGTGGAAATCCATGGCTTTTCCCCAAGAAATGATCTAAAAATGGTGGATTTTCCACGCTGGCCCTGTTTGATTCCCGAAGGGTCACCAATGGTACGGGTCATACCCACTACCCAGCCTAAATTTCATGTTTACGGGTGCCATTGCATCCCAACAATATGTGTTTATCTATATATATATATCATTATATGATATTATATGCATATCAACATCCCCGCAATATTTTTTCTACAAGGTGGACCGCTGCTTTAAGTTGATAGCAATGACTTTAAGACCACCTCCAACCATTTGGTCACCACCTTGCAGGGGGTTCACCAGTTGGCACCTGACTCTAAACTCACTGTTTCATCTTTTTCCCGATTAAAGCTGACGTGAATACCCTCTGGTAAACTAACATAACTATTGAAAATCACCATTTTTAATGGGAAAAACCACTATTAATGGTCATTTTCAATAGCTATGTTAAATTACCAGAGGGTAAAGCTGACAGCCGTTCCAAGCTGCCTGTCGTCCAAGGAACTTCTTGGCAAAGAGCCCTTCACCGGCACAGGGCAGCACCACCGAGATGGTCTTGGGCTTCCAACTCAGGTCCTCAGGGATTCAAACATGGCCTGGAAAATCCACCTTTGATAGATATATGTTTTCCTGTATATATAATATAATATAAAATATCAGATAGTATAGCAAAAGATAATATAAGATAATATATTATAATTATTAATATAATATAAAATAATTATAATATAATTATAATATATATATGTATATAATTATATATACTGTATCTCTCTCTTCCCATTGAAGCCTCCATTTGTGGATATGTATAAATATGGACGTCGTTTCTCTTTTGTTGGCCAAAGCCATCGGACGGCGCTCCTGGCCATCGGACGAAACTTGTCGCGCCTTGGCTTCCGATGATGCTGCGGCCTCGCCCAACGTTAGCTTCAGCTGGTGAAGAAAGAAAAAACTCACCATCATCCACCATTATCCAATTATCCCATGATATCCCATGGTAAAGATGTCAGACTACTCTTTTAAAAAATATCGATCTTTACCCGTCCGCTGGGTTTCCAAATTGACACGTCTGACCCGCCTTAGCTGCTGGCTTCTTGGGTTTTGGCTTGGGCGAGCCTGGCTCATGGGGGCAGCAGTTTGTGAAGTAAAACATAGAGGAACATCCTAACTTGGGAAAATCATGATGAACATTTGGGGAAAGTTGATGGAATTTTCGGGTTCCAACCATTTGAGACAACCCTGAATCTGTCTTCATCGGCCCAAAAATACAGCTTGGAACATGATGCATAGCTGAAACATGTTGACAGCACCAACCATGTGATGAGCTCAGACTCCACCAACCTTGGGAACTGCCAACTGCTGCCGCAGCCGCTTGTTCAACGTGGCAACAATCCCAGGACAAGAATGGAAAATAGGCAATTGGACTCAGGGAAAAAATCATGAAGATAATGGAAAATAATGAGATTATGGGAAAAAAAAAGAGCATTTCAATAAAACATCAGCAAATAATCTTGGACAATTGTCCGTGGATTGCCAAAAAAATACCGGGTACCAGGTACTGGCAAATACAAGTAGCTGATGGTCTTAAGGCCCATTGTCTGCTAAACACTTCTTGTAGCTGATTATATACATACTAGCCAGCTCAGTATCATCTAATTGTGTATCATCTCCATCAGACTCCATCACTTGGAAAACGCTTTGTACTAACCACTTGAGCCCCTCAATTACTAGCCATCTAGCAAACCATTGAGCCAACTGATTATCTAAAAACTGTGCTGATCTGGTCTTTCGTTTGAAACAAAAACAAGGTATACTGCACCGAACCCATCCAAACCCCTCTCCCTGGCCTTCCACTGGTGTCTTAGTAACGCTGTCTGCGGTGGCTCCCGCATCGTTCCCAGCGCTGCCAGCACTAAGCAACCAAGCTGCCAGGACGGGTGCCTGATTCTATGCCCTGGAATCCCGGAAGGTGAGGGTGCACTTGGTTTTATTCATGGATAGAATTTAACCATATTTAAGCCATTCCCATAAATTGGGATATACAGTAAACGCTATGATGGCCATATACCCCTGCAAATTAACAATGAGTTGGACGTTGGAAGAGCTGGGTTTCCGCATCGTTTCCAATACTGTAAAAAAATGCTCTTTTCAAGGGTCAAACGGTCAAACTGTTTATTTTGCTGGAGGGTAAATGGGGACTTAACTATTAAAAAATATGATCACAAAAATTGGATCTACCGGGGATTTAAACAAGTCTGAAAATGGGGTACCACCAATTCCAATGGATTGTCATCATGTGCCAAAATTATGTATATATATATATATGTGTGTGTGTATATATATATATATGACCACAACTTGGAGGCCCACACCCCATATTCAGAATATTCAGACACGCAACCAGAACCATCATGTTGTTAGTTGTGTAACTGTTGCATATCCCATCATATCCCATGAAGTATCCTAACTATGGTCAGTAAATATTACATAGTTCCCATATTCTTGTCCGCTATCACTAACTATCATGTGGTTGGACAACTCCATGCGTAGCTCCAATTGGTTCCCCATGCAAAATAGGATACAAAAATAGCTCCGTTCATCTCTCCATTCACCACTGGATAGTAAATGTGGTCCCCAACACCAGGCCATACCAGGCCAGTCGCAATTAGCGCCGCAAGTAGAAGCCATCGCCAGGATCCAGATTTGGGCTCTTCCCTAGGAGCCTGGGAGAATGAAAAGTTGAAGCTTCCAATGAAATGGTCCCAAGGATACATATATATATATATAGATAATGATAATTATTGATATTGATGCCCTCCGCAAAAAAAAAACTGTGAACACACGATTTCAACAGGTTTGTACCTTTCTATTTTTTGACGGTGCTATATAAATATACTGTATCAGATCCATATATATATATATATATACGTATGATTATGTATGTATGTATGTATATATACAGTGTAAAACTCAACTTTTGACTGCAGGAGTGCGCACGGCTGTGCGCGCACAGAATTGTTTTCTTGTTGGGCTGACAGGCTAGTTGGGTCTAGATCCACAATGCCATACATGTTGTACAGAGTGCACACCTGCAACTGAGGGTCCTGTTGAACACAGAATATTCTATATGATTCTATATGTAATATATTCTATATGTAGTATAATTACCCCCGGTCGTACCGGTCAAAAGGGTCCAGTCCTGGAAAAAAATGCCTTAAATCGTTTGGTCCACAACCTTTTGGAATTGATTTCCAAAGGGTACAACCCAACGGATTTAGCTCCGAAAGGACAACAACCAAGTTGCAATTTCCCGGGCAAACAAATTAAAATCCTGTTCCACAACCTTTATGTGGACTAACATTTCTCCTGGTCCACCATTGCGCTGACACAACTCTTTTCCTGGGTCATAACCTTTATGATGATACATGTGTACCTACCCCATTCAGATCGTCAAGTCGATTGAATTGGAAGATCAGGACCTTTCAAAAACTGCTGAGGGTTTGGCATAAACACTTTTCTTGTCATATCATTCAAATCCTGGGCCACAGGGTTTCCACCGGCTCCATCATTTTTTTGCCCGCATGCTGTCAAGATCTTTCAAGACGGGGAGATGGATGACACTAGGCTTTGGAGGTCCAGAACTGTTTCTCTCTCTCTCTCTGTTGGAAATGGCCAAAAATGATGTGTCCTCTGACTCTCTACATGATTGTTGAAGATCCCCGTCGGTACAAAAACGTGGGGTACAGTCCTAGAAAAAAATCAGTCTAAAATGATGACCCCTAACCTTTGAGAGAGGTTTTAGAGCTTTAAATTCCTGGCTCCTAACCTCTGAAGCCGAAATCTCACTTCCAACCACCTTTTTGAATTTTCTTTGCTAATTTCCTGGTGCCCAACGTCCAACATCCAATAAATTTACCCCTCTGATATCCAAGTAAAAAAATTATTTCCTGGACGCTTGCGTTGGTAACATGCCATATCTTCCCCCCCCTCAATCTGATACGGAAAAAAATGAATTCCTGGCACCTGACTTCCCGGCTGACAGCTCGCAGTTTTTCAGAGTCCACGGCTTCACGAGTGCGGTCCGGCAGATGCCCACGGAAATGCGCAACCCTTTTGCATGGACAAATGTATCTTCAGGAAAAAACGCCTGTTTTGCAATTTGGCCACACGTTGGAACAAAATTCTTCCATTTGTCCCATCATTTCCTATCTATGGATGGTTGACCTGGTGATGCGATTTTTTTCCTGTGGGGCCAGCCTTTAAAGATCATCCACAAGAATTCGGCCAAAAAAAGGTCCAGCCCCTTGGATTTTATTTTTGACACCTGCGCCTCGGCCTCTTCAAGTCACCTTTTTTTGGTTGGTAAAGCTGAACATGTGTGTCTGTACCCTTTTGCAAGGACAAATGCATTTTCAGCAAAAAACATATGTTTTGTAATTTGGGCGCGCGTTGACACAAAATTCTTGAATTCGTCCCATCATGTCCTATCTGTGGATAATTGGCCTGGAGATGCGACATTTTTCTTGTGGGGCCAACCTTTGAAGATTATCCGCAAGTATTCAGTCAAAAAAAGGTCCAGCCCCTTGGATTTTATTTTTGACACCTGCGCCTCGGCCTCTTCAAGTCACTTTTTTGGTTGGTGAAGCTGAACATGTGTGTCTGTACCCTTTTGCAAGGACAACTGTATTTTCAGCAAAAAAACATGTGTTTTGCAATTTGGGCGCGCGTTGACACAAAATTCTTGAATTCGTCCCATCATGTCCTATCAGTGGATGATTGGCCTGGTGATGCGACTTTTTTCCTGTGGGGCCAACCTTTGAAGATCATCCGCAAGTATTCAGTCAAAAAAGGTCCAGCCCCTTGGATTTTATTTTTGACCCCTGCGCCTTGGCCTCTTGAAGTCACTTTTTTGGTTGGTGAAGGTGAACATATGTGTTTGTACCCTCTTGCAAAGTCATGTAAAGAATCATACCCCCCTCAATTAATCATGGTACATTTTTTTCCTGGGGTTTGACATTTAGATATGTTCTAGTAAACTCCCATTTGATCCATCCACCTTCAAATTCCTGGGAATTCTACAAACTTACCCATTATCAGAGTCATTCATGATTGATTTCCTGATGCCTTACATACACAGACTGATAGATCAACCCCCCCTCAATCACAACAGACAGAAATTGATTTCCTGTCACTGTACGTCAGGAAGCTTTCAGGAAAAAAAATATGGGCCTTTTTTGGTATGATATTTTGTTCCTGGCCCCATATCATGCCCCGGGACCCTCACCCACTGTCTGCTAGATTTTTGGAAAATAGTGTTTTTTAAAAAGCGTACCGAACCCCCAGGAAAAAAAACTGGTAGTACAGAGGAGGATGTTGAAGAAAACCATACGAAGTCTTCCACATGCCAAATGACTGAAAACCCAGCGTGGCTGACACATCGCCAAAGATCAAAACTAAATAAAATCCTGCCCCACAACGTCTTTTGACAAAGATTCAATCAATAGATGGTCTTTCAATGGTTCATAACTGTTCATAATTAAAATCCAGTGAAGCTATCGGATTCAACCTTTTTACAAATCACTGAAATGCAATAAAAAGTAAGATCACAACCTTTATGTAGATCCTACCTTCTCCTGTTCGGCAGATTGGCCCAGAGATTTTTTTCCTGTACCCCAACCTTGTTTGGAAAACCATGCAATCCATGCAAGCAAATCCCCAAAACATATAAAATCCTGTGGTACAACCTTATGTTACTAATCCTGCTTTCCTGGCTCCAACATTTGTTTTCCTGAACCCCAACCTTGCAACATCCATGCTGGAATGATTTTTTTCCTGACTTGGCATTTTTAATTTTCGGACTGGACCTACAGGAAAAAAAAAATGTATAATTGCAGGAACCCCCCCATACTTTGGGAAAGCACGGCTTCCTGTTGTCCAAAAATGGAGCACCCCTAAAATCTGATGGTTTATCATCATTTTCCACATGAATTTGATGTGTTTTTCCACCAACATTATTGTATTCATGTATATTCAATTTTCAGTCAAACTCATCTCGAACCAATTTTTACCAATATTGGATATAAATCACTGTGTCCCGTTATTGTATGCCATTTATATCGCATTTATATTCCATGATATCGCATTAAATCCCATGATATGGCATTACATTCCATAATTTCCCATTATATCCCATTATGTATCTCCGCATACAATGGTTGTTTTTTTGCATCCCCATTTCCGGAATAAAACCACACACACAAAAAAAAACATTGGTGGTTATGTAATATAAAATAAGTTATATCATCCCACTAAGATCAGATACCCTTCTCAAATGAATCCTATGACGCCTTCAACACCAAGAAACTGGGGTTTCGGCATTCTCCTTAGCTTTGGTTTTGGCCTGCAATTTCAGGAGGATGGGTCTCGAAACCATTCAAACCCGATGATTTTTCCCATATGTGTGTGATTGCGTGCGTCTGAAAATGGGATAGCCCGCAAAGAAGAATTTCATATAATGATCCAAAAATGTGGGGTACCTAATTTTCAGACAGGCCCAAATGAATGGTCAAAGCCTACTGTTTCCCTTGGCAGGGGGATCAACATCCATGAATGCTAGCTAGTTTGATGTCCACCAGATTACCAGGTGGCTTTTGATCCCCATTCTTGGATCAGAAACACGAAAGCTAGACGGCCAAGATGGAGAGTGGAAGAGGCTAGGTGGCATGTTACAGTAGATCAACTGATGATAAAGACGACGATGACGGAGACGATGACGATGATGATTATGACGACGATGACGACGATGGCAATGACGACAATGATGCCGATGACGACAATGATAACGATGATGGCGATGACGATGACGATGGCGACGATGATGACGACGATGATGACGATGACGACGATCACACCGATGAAATGACGATGACGACGATGACAATGACGATGACGACGATGACAATGACGACAATGACGACGATGACGATGACGACAATGACGACGATGACGACGATGAGGACAATCACACCGATGACGACGATGACAAAAATGACGACGGTGACGATGACGATGACGATGACGACGACGATGATGACTAACACGAGGACCATGAAGTTGAGAATGGTGATGATGATGATGATGATGATGATGATGCGGATGATGATGATGATGATGATGATGCTGATGATGATGCTGATGATGATGATGATGCTGATGATGATGCTGATGATGATGATGATGCTGATGATGCTGCTGATGCTGCTGATGATGATGATGATGGCGATGATGATGATGACGATGATGATGCTGCTGATGATGATGAGGATGATGACGATGACGATGACGATGATGATGATGATGATGATGATGATGCTGATGATGCTGCTGATGATGATGATGATGACGACGGTGATGGTAATGATGATTGTGATGGTGATGATAATGCTGATGATAACGATGACGATGACGATGGCGATGACAATGATCATGATGATGATGATGATGGTGATGATGATGATGACGATGATGATAATGATAATAATGATGATGATGCTGATGAAGATGAAGATGAGGATGATGATAACAATGATGATGATGATGATGATGATGGTGATGATGATGACGATGTTGATGATGATGATAATGCTGATGCTGATGCTGATGCTGATGATGATGATGATGATGATGATGATGATGATGATGATGATGATGATGATGATGCTGATGCTGATGATGATGATGATGATGATGATGATGCTCAAGTGGCACCATTTCGGATCAAGAGTCTTGGTTGAAAGGAGCAGCAATGCGGCCATGGTTTAGTATTGGAGGCCACATGGGGAATTTAGTGTGATCATGTGTGATCGAGGCAACGGGGTTGAGAGATCCAAAGCACCAACCAGGCGTAAAGGATTGAATGAAAATAGGGTATCGGAAATCGACGGCTTTCTTTATTGTGTGTTTTTCAAAGGGGAGATATGTGGGTGTACCCAATTGTAGGTCACAACGTGCACCACTAAAACATCGGATCCACTCGAAGGTGTTTGTTCTCGTCCATTCAAAGCACTAGAAGTGCACCGTCGAGATCCGGAAAAAGCACCGTGATCCCAGCAAAGATATCGCAACAAAGCAACAAAACCAATGAGCAGGGGTTGTTCAATCCGAAAAGCCGAAGAAAAAACAAGAAAATCAAGCAAACACATTGATTATGTAATGGAAAGTCCGAAATATATCATATCTCAAGCATGTAAGAAATAATAAACATCCCAAAGTTCCGTTGGGAGCAAGGGAACCAGGGGACGGTGGCTGAGGACGACTGCTGCACCTTGCCCATCGCGCAGCCCGTGCTGGACTAGCCCTGAGCCGGAAGGTCCAATGGACACGGTAACATTTATTTTTGAGGGGCAAATAGTTTTCGAAATCGGAGACTGATCCATGGAAAATAGAAAAGGTGAAAGAAACCCTTTCTGAAGACTGCCATCGAACCCAAAGAATGGCTCTATCCGATCATTTTGGAGCGCCGTGTTTCGATCATTTGTCGAGGGTGTACAGCGTTGTACAGCATATACAGCATACCCTAGAGCCATTACCTGCCCCCTTTTGGTTGGTTCTCATTATGCAAAATCGTAATGGGTCATTAACCACCAGATCATCCGAAAAGGGTATCCATATCTAATGATGAAATGGAACCCCTTGGTTCAGCCGCAATGAAGTGAGCTGTTTCTCAATGGTAAAAGGTCAAGTCCTTGGTTCATGACCAGCCCAAACCTGCCCGCAGCAGAGCAGCTCGAACAGGTAACTGGACCTTCGCTCAACGAGCTCAGTGCCATGGCTCCATGATGGGCTGCTTTTAGTGGAAAGCAATAGGATGCACCATCCATTTTTTTTACCATAAATGGCTGCTACAAACCATCAAAATATGGATGGTCTATTATTGCATATTATTGCTGTACTAACATTAGTGGGCTTTTGGTGGTGTATTGGCTGGAAACCATGTGATGCATTGCGCCAAGGTTTGGTAGTTAAGTCGTGCAGGACTGCAAAAGAAAGTGGTTCTCGAGCGAACTCAGGAGTGCCTCGTTCTGCAGTTTGCAACCGATCCTGTTTCAAGCGGCTGTCCGGCCAGTCCACGTTTCTCTTTCGCTCTCTCAAGTGGATCACCAGCCCAAAAAATCGAAATCTGGGCACATTGCAATCTTTCCACGCATCATGAAAGAAACAGAAATAAACGAGGTTTAGGGATGATTTCCCTAATCCTAACATTCCTAAGCCATGATTTTCCTACTGAGGCTAGGTGCTGCTTCTGCCTCTTCATCTTCGGTGAAGCTTGAGCCAAGGCCGATCCATTGTTGGATGCTTCATCTCCAATTGTTCAAGCAATTTTTGGGTGTTTTTTTTGTGGAGAAGAAGTGGCAAATTATCGTTCATATTATATACTGATCCCAAATGATGGGGGATTCAATGGATGAACCCCGTGCAAACTGGTGCATCCTGTGATGAGAAACGTGGTGATTCAATGGACCGGAAAAAAAAATCGACCTAGAAGACCATAGAAGATCCGGGGCTATCGATTGTGGGAAGGGAATGGCCTGGAGGCCTGGAGTTCCCACAGTGATCATCAAATCATGAGAATGTCATCTGCCTGTCCCAAACAGGGAGATGATCCCCCACGGAACATGTCAGTGGTTGCTGATTCCGCTCTACAAAACTGCTGCTAGCGTGCTCTGAAAACATTGAAAATGAGCTGAAAATAGATGCTCATTCCATTCCATTCCCATACATGTTGTATTTTCATAGGTATTCATCCATTTAATTCTCATATCAAGTTGTTTTAGATTTTCTATTGAAAATGGCCCATTTAGTTCATTGATTTCCCTATTAAAGATGGTGATGTTCCACTTCGCCAACTCTTGTTTTACCGGTATCCCATTGATTCAACCACTGGTCGCCTCCATCGGGCGTGTCGAAGCCCGCCTGGAACCGACCCAGAAAAAGGTCGGACTGTGGGTAGTTCACAATGCCATGTTTACCGTCCCCCAGTCATCACCATAGATATATAATCTGGTCGGTGGTTTCAACCCCTCTGAAAAATATGCAAGTCAGTATATGGCAAAATAAAAAACGTTCCAAACCACCAACCTGAGATGGTATATGGTGGTATTGATACCATTCCCAAATATGGGTGCTCTATTTTTGTGTTTGTCCCACATTATGACCAACAGAAACAGGGAGATATCCTGGTAGAAATTCAGGACTTGGATATGTATCAACCCGACCCTACAAGTAGCACAGAAATGCACAGAACAGTTTTCGGAAACTCCACCCATTTATTATATACCCTCTGGTAATGCAACAGTTTGCTATGGAAAATGATCCATTCATCTCGATGGTTAACCAATTTATAAAATGGTGATTTTCCATAGCTATGCTAAATCACGAGAGGGTGGAAACCCTGAAAACAGAATTGATTCCCTACTGAGACGGCTGTCTTTATCCGCAGATCTTCATCTTCAGACCCCAAGTGGTCCATGTGATGATGTTGTATGGGTGTGTCTGAAGATATCCGAACATACTGATATATACAGTACACCAATTCCATGGCCACTTTCATATCTTTCATGGGGCAAAATGATGTTCTCTTGTTACCCCTTAGAATTTCCTACAAATCCATACAACCCCAACCAACCCCATATACAACCCATAACTAAGGGGAGTGGGGGCATTTCATCCTGGTATCCTGGTGACAGCCATCCCCGTCCTGGGGCATCATGAGAAGCGGAGGTCCCAACCCTTTGATTCTGACCTTCGGGATCCCTTGGTGCTTCTTCCTAGGGACCAAGTAGATGAATGGAACAAAGCTTAGCAAAAAAAGCCTAGCTACTCTGCTTGTACCTACAGGTTCAAATTATAATATAATATATATATATACACACATAATTATATTATATTATATATATATATTTTATCATTGTGTTAGTTCTTCAGTAGGATGAACCACGATGCTTTCGACTCGGTGAAGCTGTAGCTCCATTATTATTAGCGTATCTGTACACTGAGAAGGGTCACCCTCCATTGAATGAGTTCTGTCACTTCCAAAATGGGGATAAAAAAACAGGTTCTCGTTAAAGATACTGTAGATAGCCGCAGTACTCAGCCATTCTGCTGATCTATTCACCTTGTTTGAGCTCTCGCTGCAGCGCATTGGAAGCCAGATAGCTCACCAACCCTCTTGAAAGCAATTTCCAGAATGAGGTTCATGTTTCCAACACACAAGTTGTTCGGCATAAAAATCCTCTGAGACAAAGCCTAAATAGATGCAAATAGCAGCCATATCATATGAATATGGATATGGATCAAGATTGGGTTGCCAAAAATGGGATCATAGACATGATCCCACAAAAAAAAGCAGTCCCCTAGGTCCAGCCTTGTCACACTCAAGACCACAGGTGGAAGGCCGGCTTTCAAAAGGCATATCGGTATATCTGGATGCAACCCAGAAGCAGGTCTGAATCATAGTTGATCATATTTGTATCATTTTGTATCTATATGTCGCGGATAGTTCACTCCAATTTACCATATCATAGGGCTCATCCAAAGTATGAAATGATTCCTCCCGTTCGTTCAAACGATGGCTGGTGGTGTGGGTCGGTTTGGGATCCCCCAAAAATTCCTTAGAAAAATCAGCGGTTGAAAATCAAACCACCAAAGAAAAACTGTGATCCACAATCTTAACTTTAGGTTGCTGAAAGATTCAATCTTCAAATTCGACGGTTAAATCATTAAATCCGCATGTTTCTACCAGTCTGTCATACTATAATTCGGGTTTGATAATCCATTCCAAATGTGGTAACCCCAATAATAAACCATCCCCAAATATCCCCAATATGATCCAATATCATATACCATTAAATGGGTGGTAGGTGTCTCATCCCCACTAGGTCTATTTTCGGCTTTACCACATGATAGTCAATGCCCAAACCCCGTCTTCAGGACCAACATGCTTGATCCTCCAATCGCTGTCAGCTGCCATCTCTTTTCTAATCAAAGGTATGGCGGAGGAACGGACATCTTCTCCTTCAGGGCCGAAGCAAAATGCAAAACACTGGAAATTTGACAGAAAATGTATGTCATGGGCACAACAAACCTACATCTTGGTGTTTTTTGTTTGGTTGTTTGAATTCCTGCACTTCCTCCATCTGGGAATGAACATCTGCTTTGTGTTCATGGTTTGAGGGGGAGGTCAATGGTGGTCAAGGGCATTATCCTGGAAGAATGATGTTTTATGGCCTATAGGCCATCCAGTGGACTTCAAGCAGCTCAAGGTAAGACCATCTCCGGTCATCTCCTTGTTGTGCTTTGCTGCGTGACTAATTCCACGACCTGTATGTGCTATGAAAATGACACATGAAACAGTCCTCTTAGCAACCTGCAAGAGATACGTGGGGATGTCCAAGAACGGAAGTTTCCAAATTCCAGTGGGTCATCATGTTGTCCATTCTTGATCATCAAACGGGCATATACCCCATTTTCAGACACACCCCTGTGGGCCCCCTCGACCGTCTCGACCTAGTTCCGTCTTCTCTTGCCCCCGTCTCCTGGACAAAGACATTGCCCTGTCCCGTCTTGTGCACTCGAAGATCATCGTCCAAGTAGATGATCTCAAAGAATGGTTTGGGCGGCGTTTTCCTGGCCACAAAATGGGGTTCTTATTCGAAATTTTACCCGCAAGTGATGGCAATGTTTTGGAGTCCCCCAATTTTCAGACAAACCCTGGTCGCAGGTGGAAACTGAATGAATCTGCGCACCCAGGGGTTGGGAAAATGCAGGGGTGACCTAAAGAAGCTAGCTGATTGATAGAATCGTTGAGATATCATCCATTTAAATGATGATCTATTCATAGCTATTCCCAAATCCTGGAATCATATCATCATCCTGTTGAGATCTATTCCCAGATCATGGATGATATGATATCACACTCGAAATCATCCACAGCTCACCTTGGAGAGGAAAAGCCCACCTATGGAGCAGCAACACCTCAAAAAAAGATGCAGGCGCAAGAAACCAACTGCTTAGGGTTACTGTAGAATACCAAAAAAAAAACAATATGTTCACTATCCGTTTGTTTGAAGCACTTATTGAGTCAAGTCCAGATGTTTATATAGGAGTTTCTGTTGGGAAATGAGGGCATCCAACTTCTATATGTTTCTGTTCTTTGGAGCGGAATCAATATCTGACCCAGGGTTTGCCATGCCCTGCTGTGAAATTTCAACCTCATGAGACTGGCCCTTTTCCTCCCAACGATCGCTGGACCACCCGACACTTCCCACAGGGGGCCTGGTGAAAAAGGTGATGATCCGCGTGAGAAAAGGCCCCGGCACCGGCAGAGTCAGCGTCAGCCTCCTCTGACCCAAGGAAAAACCGAAGAACTTCGTCAAGCGAACCTTCACATATCCTGCCGCACTGCGCCCGCATCATGTCCCAGCCGATATGGATCCCCAATGGACTCAATGGTGAGCTGATACCATGGTGTTGCTACTCTAGGGTAACTGGAATCACGGCAAAAAAGGCTGCGGATCCAAACCAAAGCTTGGGCACGTATGACCTCCATCAACACTCCACCAAAGTCGTGAAATCAAAGCTGATCCTGGCATCTTTAGCCAGTTGATGGATATTATATACCAGTATAATATGTATATATATATGTATGTGTATCATTCATTGACATCTACATAGGAATATAGGTACACAGTGATATATAGATATAGACATAGATAATGTACATATAAAATATAAATATAGACATAGATATAGATATAGATATACAGTGCATATATACATATACATATGCCATATGCCAGATACCACACACCCATATACATTATGTATGAATATAATAGCTGCCATCCTGAAGTAGATAGAATATTAATGTCAAAATAAAAAAGCATCCCCGCTAAAATGGGAATCTCTTTAAAAATCTGATATTCTATCTACTTCAAGATGATTGTATATATATATATATATTATGTTATATTATATTATATTATATTTTATTTTATTTTATTTCATATTATATATATGTCATATTAGTATTATATCAATGGGAATTTCAGGATCCTAAAATGGAGGTATTTTACATTATTTTACGATATAAGGCCATATTTTCTGGGGATATTCCCTTATATAGGCCTTATATCGGCCTTATATATGGTAGGTACCTCCAATCAATCGGTTCCTGAAATGGCCATTGATTATATATCTCACTCTAAAAAATCCGTACATGTCCAACGCTTCGAGCTCAGCACCATCCCCCCGTGTCGAGGCACGAAATGCCAAGCCCAAGCGCGTTTTGGACTCCGTCTCGGCACTGAGGCGCACGCGCAGACACTCCGCAGCATCCGGGTGATCAAAGTCGATGCCTGGGGGCTGGAAATGAAGTTCTGGTGGATTAATGGAAGACTTATAGGCCATTAATATAGGATTACTGGAACTATCTTATGGGAAATGTTCATGGAACTATATAATGGAACTATATTGGAAAAAAATGGCAGTCTTGTTCCTATATTTCTGTCAAATGATTTATTCCTTTAAGAATTGATGTATGTCCGATACATTACGGTTTCATCTATGAATTCAATGGGGATTCAATCAACATAAGGGGGATATTCAATTTTTTTGTGGTCAATTTCTAGTCACCGCTGGTACGATGATGGTATAAATCCAATAATTTTGCCACAACGGGAAGGATTTAAGCAACGAAATTTTGGGTTTTTTTTTCACACCAAACATCATTAGTGGATACAACGGGATTTCTTTATGGGTATAACCAATAAAAGGAAGCAACCCCAAAATAAATAGGCAAAAACTCGAAGTAAATATGTTCTATACAATATATCTTTTGAGACACGTTCTAGCATCCTGAAAAAGCTACCATATATTGATTTCTCTTCCCTTTTTTCGAGGCTCTCTATGTCCCGATGCAGTAGCGTTTCAAGCAATGGTCAACCGTACGTGGTTCGGGGTAGCTTCATGAAAAATCAACCATAAACATGGGAAGTTGATCTATCTGAGGTACAGTTGGTCACGCTTCCACTCACCGCATCGACGACATTGCTGACCTGAGAAGTAATGAACCTTGGGATTGGCCTGTTCACCTGTTGGTGGGATTGAGAAAGTACGAGAAAGTCTACCTTCTGGCAAACTAACATGATATGTATATATATATATTATAGCTATGGAAATCACCATGTTCAAAAACGGCAAATCATCGAACATTTCATGGGCCATGGCTTCCTTTTCGCAAACTCTGGATTGTCATCCTGAAACCAATCTGTGAAAATTTTGGGCACACATTTCGTTGGGTGCATGATCGTAAGAGAGTTGAATCCACTAACAATTTATATAACAGTACGTAGGATACTATTTTAATCTATTTTATAGATTCTGATAATCATTTTCAGCTTTGGCTCGATTCTTGTAACTTATCTTCCCCTTGATTATCGCAATATCCGCTGATATCAACACGTCACAACACCCATCATATTCCCCACGCTTTCCCATCATCTGAAACCTCCGAACCACCCCCCGCTTAGATGGGCGGAGTCAACGACTTAGTGGTTTGTAATCCATTAAACGCAAGAAAGAAAAAACGTCACATCTTCCAGATAATTTTCCAGATTTTCCAGAATGTCATGGGCCTATCAACCCTCTTCCTTTTCCAAGCCTTCCAAGGCCTGATCTCCCCGTGCCGTCCTGCCATCCCCCACCTTGGCCGTTCCCCTGGTGCTGTTGCGGGTGAAGGTCGCATCCGCCGCGGTGGTGAAGCGCAAGCGCCAGCTGCCGTGCAACGGGCACTCTGCACCCTGCGGGGTCCCGAACCTGGTGCAGCTGTACCAGGGCCGTGGAACACAGCTGGTGAATGGATGACTAACCCAGCCCCAACCCAAAAACACTGTATAGACTATATATACGTACAGTAGATGGTGATTTTCTTCTGTTGGCTTTGATTTTGTGGTGTGGCCAGATATTTGGACAACTGATGTCCTATATTGATGCTTCACACCAGCCCGAAACATGATATTTCATCATAGATTTCGTGCATTGTGCTGCAACAGCATGACTCAGTATGATGAACCCATATCTGGAATGAATTTTGAGATATATGTTCAATAGCTTTTTGGGGCAACCATGGGCAACACCATGGGCAACCCCAAACAAAGACCTACCAGTTTCTACATGTTCGTATTTCCTACTGGAAAATAACCAGGGTGAATACCAACACCCAATATAACTCACCCCATATCCAGATAGTTTCCGTCTTCATCCAACTTCACTTTATCCCCTGCATAGATTGCAAGAATTCGGTGAAATCATGTATATATATATATATTCGAATTTTAAACCATTATATACAAATATGAATATATAAATCATATATACAGCCATCACCATCTCCACCAAGCAGCCCCTTCAAGGGCTCTGGGCATCCGCCCTTCAGCCGCTCCACTTTTTGCAGCACTTCATCGGCCGCTTGCCCCAGGCGAACCGAGGCGCGTGCGAAGGCGCCCGAGGCGGCTAAGTTGCTCGGGGCCCGGTCCTTCTCGTCGAGCTCGCCACCTGCGGATCTTTTTCTAAGGGGTTGCAGTGATCATTTTTGGGCCCAAGGCTTTTTGGCCTTGGTTTTGTGGTTTGGCAAGATGAAAGATCTGAATCGAAGTCTTGGGCTAAGTCTGGGGATGATCTCAGCCTTTTCTGGCCAAAAAAAGTATTTATTTGTCTATATATATATTATTATATACTATATAATATATATATATATGTATATATATATATCATATATCAAAAATATATATCCAAAAATGGGGATGTGATACCTGTGATTGACAAGCGAGTATCAAACATGAAAATTGACAAGCGAGTATCAAACATGAAAACTGCAGAGTTTGACCAAAATGGTTCTGGGGTCATGCCATGCTCTTTATTCATCTCTAGGAGCTGTTTTTGGAACCGTCATGGCCATTGACTCCAAGCATCATCGTTTGGTGACCCCATTCTCCACCAACACTGACACTTTGAGGCTTGAACCACTTTGAACTTGAACCTGACTGTATAACCATGGCACTGCTTGAAACCCAATGGAACAGCTGGACTTTTGCGGCATCGAGGGGACCTTGTGCCGTCCTCCCGCAAGGTCCCTTTTAAGCACTTTGGCTTTGAAAGGTCAGCCAAGAGGTGGAAAATTGAAACCTCAAACGCAGGAAAGGGTCCGGCCAAGGGGAAATACACAACGCACTCAAGAGATCCAGCATGATCCAGCTACTGTATATACAGAGTATTGCTCAAATGGGCCGTGTGGTTTTAAGTAGCTTACTGCCAGAATCAGGGGCCAACAAAAACAGACTTATTTAACAATAGACCCCATTCGAAATGAGGTTCAGTTAAACCATCCCAATTTATAATCCCCAAGGTGCCCCCCTCAAACCCATTCAAGAATGGGTTCGAGATGGGCACTTTTGGAATCTTTGTCGAACCTCATGGCCCATCGAAATTGAACTTTTTCAGGCTCCAAATGGCCTGGCACCATCAGAGGCGCATCTCATAGTGACCTAATGCTGCCAGAAGCAGCGGCTCAAAGTTGCGTCTCAAAAACTCTGAAATGATAAGAAGTGAAGTGAACATCTTCAAAGACGAGTTCTGAAACGTCAAAAGAAACCAAACAGATCAGATTTGAAATCTTCAAAGAGCCAGTTAATAATTACAATGCCCCAATTCTTCTTGATTTCAACTTAAGAGCCGCCAGCAGCCATTTTTGACGTTGCTTTGTCTTCAAGCAAATCAACCCAACAAAATCAAACAATCCATCATGACTGCTGTAATATATATATATATAATAATAAAGCAGTAAAAACGAGCATAAACCATCACAAATCATCTTCCTTTCAACCCGAAAAAGATAGTCACTCAACCCCCCAAAAAAAAATCACGGTTCCAGCTAGTAGAAATTGTTTAAGGGGACCATAAAAAATGAAAAACGTTCCCTATAGATTCCCCAGTCATGGTGGATTCAGCAAATCCTGGGCTTAACAATCAACTTCACAAGCCCCTCCATTAATTTAACGATCCCCTCCAAAACAAAAAAAGATCAAAAAATAAAAGAAAATTCACAACAAAAATCTTCCATCCCCTCCATCCATCTCCATCCATCTCCATCCATCTCCATCCATCTCCATCCATCTCCATCCATCTCCATTCCCAGCGACATTTCAACCCCGAAGACATGCCCAGTGTGGCTGCCGTGTCGGGCAGCACCTGGTCCCTCGGCACGGCCAGGCGAAAGCTGGCGTGCCGAAGCAGCTCCGCCAGGACGGTCTTCATCTCGACCATGGCCAGACGCTTCCCCAGGCACTCGCGAGGACCCGCGTGGAAGACCGGATACTCATAGGGATCCTGGGAGAAAAACAAGGCTAGGGTGGTAAACAAGAAAAACATGCAAGCTAATTAATTAAGTGGTTAGAATGGTTAGAATGGTTAGAATGGTCAGAGGAGATTTTAGATGGTTAGAAAGGTTAGAGATGGTTAGAGATGGTCAGAGATGGTTAGAGATGGTTAGAGATGATACAAAATTGCAGTCAGCATTATGTGGGTTTGTTACAGCTAGGATCCACCCTTAGCCACAACCGTGTAGGGCTCCGAGCAAGCGTTTGCGATTACTCCGGATGGGACGGTGAATCATAGGCTGTCAAAACCCTTGAAGCATCGAGAGATCACCAAAAGTGGGGTCAAGCTCAGAGGGGATACGCAGCAAATCACAAGGTTGAAGGAAAAAAACGATCCCAGATTTTCTGGGTCTGGAGCATATCTTTGGGTATCATGATGTGGGACGGGTTAATGCGGGCTAGAATTGTCGCAAATATTGACCTAGTCCTACTTGTGGTAGTAGGGTGAGGTTTCTGCCAGATTGGCAGACTATAACTGCTTAGTTGTTTCCAACCACATGCTCACAGGATAATAAAGGGAAAAAAGAAGAAAGTTATTTGATTCCACCAACCACACAAACTCACAAAATTCATAAATTGGGATCAATGATTTCTGTGCTTTGGGCAATCAAATGTCCTTGATTAGCCAGTGCAGACCCTGGTGATAGAATGATCTCGTATTGAAGCTGCCTGTCTTCATCATCATCATCATCATCCTCCTCATCCTCATCCTCATCCTCATCCTCATCCTCATCCTCATCCTCATCCTCATCCTCATCCTCATCCTCATCCATCCATCCTCCCCGGCTGGCTCCCAACTGGCTCCTTGGGTTCCGCATTTAGCCACCGTTCCGGCCGGAACTCCGCCGCATCCTCGCCCCAGATCTGCTTGGATCGGCCCATGGCATAGGAGTTGTAGATCACCATGGAACCCCGGGGGACCCAGGTGCCATCCGGAAGCCTTGAGGTGGCTGCGGCTACGGCAAAACCAAAAAGATGGGGATGAGAAAAATATTCCCACCATGGTAGCATTGGCTGGCTCGGAAATCCCCGAACTAAATGAAGGTTTCTAGCTGGGAAAACCCTCGAACGAAATGGGTGGTTTTCCAGTTTGCGATGTTTGATATTTCAAAAAGAAAGGACTTCAAACATGAACCATGAGAAAATAATCAATGGCATATCTGGAAACATGAGGATCTATATATATATAATTCACACCAATTGGGAATGAATCCTCAAGAAATTGGAATTTAGCACACAAGAAATGGAGCAGTTTTGGTGTTGAGCATCAATACATGGCTCAATTGACTTTACCTGCAAAATGGCGATTTAACTAACAATACATGGGGATTTCATGCCAAAAAAGCATCAGGAATTGGGCATAGTGGAAACTATTCATTAACAAAACTGGGACTTAGGAACTGATTCGACAATGGGGTTCAGTTCTAACGGGTAGTTTCCAAAATTGGTAGACTTACTAACCTTGGCATGAATGAGAAATACAACAAGGCTTGCCGTAGGTGTATGCGCATACAATACAATTACAAAACTACATATGTGCGTATTGTGTACATGAAATATGTTTGATTGTTTTTTGGGGGCTATGCTTGGATAAACAACACAAGAGATCCTTTATGTGTGATGGGAGATGAAATAGTCCGCCAGCTATGATCACAGCTGCCCCTAGTTGCTTCTCCTAAGAGTGGTTTCAAGGATACCTGATACCTGAGGCTGCGCATCGCTCCCCAAGTGGTAGGGATTCCAATCATCCCTAGTTCCGAACCTATGGCCAGTTTCTCACTTTCAGTCTGATTCAGATATATTAAGAATGGTTAAATCGAGATCGACTTAAATCTACAGCTTGACTCCTTCAACAAAAGAAGAAAAAAACTCAAAAAAGAATGCCTTTAGTTCCAATCACATACAAAAATATCAGATGCCAATTAAAAAACACCAAGTTCCAAAAAGTTCCAAAAAGTGGTCACCAAAAAAAGGCCCCAGGGGCGTCATTGCTTCGGTGACAAACTTCGAATCCAACGGCACCGAGGGATACAGCCGCAGCGCCTCGCGTAGCACCGCCTCGGTGTAGCTCAGCTGGGACAGCTGGTCGTAGGTCAAGGACTTGCCGAAGGAAACACGGTCCACCTCCTGGGAATGGGGGAAAAACATAGGGTGAACTATCTGATTATGTATATTCAAATATGATTAAATATACGTGTATATATATATCATTATATACAATATGTGTGTGTATGTGTGTATGTGTGTATGTATGTGTGTATGTCTGTCTGTCTGTCTGTCTGTCTGTATGTACGTACGTACGTACGTATGTATGTGTGTATGTGTGTATGTGTGTATGTGTGTATGTGTGTATGTACGTATGTACGTATGTACGTATGTACGTATGTACGTATGTACGTATGTACGTATGTACGTATGTATGTATGTATGTATCTATGTATCTATGTATCTATGTATCTATGTATCTATGTATCTATGTATCTATGTATCTATGTATCTATGTATCTATGTATCTATGTATCTATGTATCTATGTATTTATGTATCTATGTATCTATGTATCTATGTATCTATGTATCTATGTATCTATGTATCTATGTATCTTTGTATCTATGTATCTATGTATCTATGTATCTATGTATCTATGTATCTATGTATCTATGTATCTATGTATCTATGTATCTATGTATGTATCTATGTATCTATGTATGTATCTATGTATCTATGTAATGTATCTATGTAATGTATCTATGTAATGTAATGTATGTAGTGTAATGTAATGTAATGTAATGTAATGTAATGTAATGTAATGTATGTATGCATCTGTGTATGTATGTATGTACGTACGCACGTACGTATGTATGTACGTATGTATGTATGTATGTGTGTATGTATGTATGTATGTATGTATGTATGTATTTATGTATGTATGTATGTACGTACGTACGTACGTACGTATGTAGGTATGTGTGTATGTCTGTGTGTATGTATGTCAGTCTGTCTGTATGTATGTGTATGTATGTGTGTGTGTATGTATGTATGTATGTATGTATGTGTGTACGTACGTACGTACGTACGTATGTAGGTATGTGTGTATTTGTATGTATCTATTGGTATGTATCTATTGGTATGTATCTATTGGTATGTATCTATTGGTATGTATCTATTGGTATGTATGTATTGGTATGTATGTTTGGTATGTATGTATTGGTTTGCATGTATTGGTATGTATGTATTTGTATGTATGTATTAGTATGTATGTATTGGTATGTATGTATGTATGTGTATGTATGTATTGGTATGCATGTATTGGTATGTATGTATTGGTATGCATGTATTGCTATGTATCTATTGGTATGTATGTATTGGTATGTATGTATTGGTATGTATGTATTGGTATGTATGGATATGTATTGGTATGTATGGATATGTATTGGTATGTATTGGTATGTATTGGCATGTATTGTTTTGTATTGGTATGTATTGGTATGTATTGGCATGCATTGGTATGTATTGGTATGCATTGGCATGTATTGGTATGTAGTGGTATGTAACGGTATGTAACGGTATGTAATGGCATGTAATGGTATGTAATGGTATGCATTGGCATGTATTGGTATGTAATGGTATGGAACGGTATGTAATGGTATGTAATGGCATGTAATGGTAGGTAGTGGTATGTAATGGTATGTAATGGTATGTAATGGTATGTAATGGTATGTAATGGCATGTAATGGCATGTAATGGCATGTAATGGCATGTAATGGTATGTAATGGTATGTATTGGTATGTAATGGTATGTAATGGCATGTAATGGCATGTAATGGCATGTAATGGTATGTAATGGTATGTAATGGTATGTAATGGTATGTCATGGTATGTAATGGTATGTAATGGTATGGTACGGTATCGTATGGTATGTAATGGTATGGTATGGTTTGGTATGGTATGGTATCATGCATGCATGTATGTATAATGTGTATGCATTTTTTTAATTGTTATCATTCTTATTATTTTTGTTATTATCATTTTTACTATGATGTTTTTTCTATATGAATACATATGAACCAACTTGAACCAATTTGACCCCTGTTCTTGGAGGATTTGACCCATAGAATGGAAGCCACAGTCAAAACATGGTACTGTATATGGTGTATTGTCATCCCAGCATGGTTCGGGATTCCCTGTGTTGGGTATACATCCCTATGAAAATGGGCGAATGACCATCCCCTTTTGTGGTAAGATAAACCATGTCTACATCTATAAATGGGTAAACCAACTACAGTACGGTCATTCACCACCTCCGATTCATGGGATGATTTTCCGATACGGCCCTGTTGATTGAAAATTGGGGTACCATCCTGATTTATCATACCATTGAACATCCACCATGTTCCAGCCCTTTTAAAGGGGTGGTAAACTCTTGGGTGATTCATCCTGGCCGATGTTCTTAGTCCATGGTAGCTTCGTCCCAAAGATCGGCGCTCCTCCAGGATCCGTTCTTCCACCTCCGGGTGCTGCATCACCTGGAACAAGCACCAGGACAAGGCTTGCGCCGTCGTGTCGCGCCCAGCGATCAGGAAGTTGAGCACCAGATCCGCCAGGAATTCAGGGTGCAGACCTGGGCAACCCAAAGCGATTCCCCTGCAATGAAACGAACGTGGCAATGGCAACCCCCCATCCAAATTGAGGTTTTAATGGAAAAAAAAACATCTATATAGTTGGGAAACTGGTTGAATTGCTATCATCTGCTTGAATTGGGAAAGCCTTGGCTCCCCATTGTTCAAACGAAATATGGATATCCCCTAATCGGTTCCTTCTAACCACTTGGTAGTTGGATTGAAATGAGTTGTTTCGATTAATTCTATAAGTTAAGGAGTATTTCCTCAAGACATAAGATATTCCAAAACATGGATTGAGGGTGTGTGTGACATATGCTGGGATATGTAGGGTATCATGGCGACATATAGTCAGTTAAATCCATAGGTGTGTCTGAAATACGGATTGAACTAGGATATATACATGGAGATACAATTGGAGTTAGAACATGATGGGATATAATTTGATGTAATGCATAGTCGTCGACATTATGATGTTTGGATGGGTCTGAAAATGGGGGGTGGCCCGAATGATGATACTCAGACAATAAACCATGTGAAGGGTGCACTATTTTCAGACAAACCCATGTGGCAATGAGTGGAAGGTTGCTCCAAGAACCGGGTTGGTAAAGATCAAACAACATAGTCTTGAAACGAACTCCAAGCCTTAAGGAACAACATGTTTATGAATACCAGTATGCGGTAGTTTGCGCTGATAGAACCGCTGATAGAACAAACAGGAATATGGGCGGAATGTGCAATAGTTTGTACAATTACTCATTTTTGGCTAGGACATCAGGAATGATGGAATGAGGACCCAGGGGCCGAAACATAGTCTGGGTCCAGGAGCCGGGTTCGTTCTTCATGAAGAGACCCACGAAGCTATCACCTGACATGGCCGACCCACATGCGCCAAAAGATCCGAAAACCGTTAATATTGCTAAATACTGCTGGTAAATCCATATAATTTCTATATATTTGCATATATATGATCTATGTGTTTGTGTATTATAGTCATAGTTATTGTGTATATATATATATATTTGTTGCCCACACAAATTCACTTCTTCCTCATCCCCACGGCCATCCATGGCCATCCGTTCTGGCCTGCAGGTTTCTCCAAGGCATCCGCCAAGTCCTCCACGATGCGTCGGCTGTAGCTCCGCAAGGCCGTCATGTGTTGCCGCGTCTCCGCTTCTGGCCCCAGGCCGAAGAGCCGGAAGGCCCGCCAGCCGGGCAACCTCTGGAGCTGGGGATGAGGTTGGAGAAAATGGAGTTCACAAAATCCGGATTGTTTGAACTTTGAACTGTCCGGAAATGAACAGAATCAATATTCAAATATGCATACAGTCAATCAAGTTTGGGATATTCATCTCAGGATTTGTTGGGCGATTTGTTGGGGGTTCTTGACCCACGTCCAGTTGAGGTAGGTGATCCAGGGAGCCAACCATAAGGAAGCGAAGGGGAGCGTGGAATGGGGGTCGAAGCGGATTGAACCAAGGGTTGGAGCGTGCTCGACCTCTGGGTACGTCCCAAAAATAGAGCCTTCAAAGCCCCTTGATCTCCGCAACACGGCAAATAGGCGCCTGTTAGTGGATTTGGAGGTTCAACATTCTTACGATGCACCCAGAGAAAAGTCTTGCCAGTCCTCAATCCGTGCAACACAAAGCGCTTGAACAGGATGCGTTGAGCTTCGTCAAAGGACTTGAGAAAGGGCGACACCGGATTCTCCAAAGATCCAATATCAGCGCCAAAGCCGATTTCACCTGACACTTGAACAATCATCAACCAGACCCCAAGTTCACTGGGACCTACCTGGACGGTGTATGATCCCTTGGTTTAAGAATCAAAAGCATATGTTTTGATATTTTTTCTGGTTGATGGTTTCAACCCCTCTGAAAAATATGAAAGTCAGTTGGGATGATGAAATCCCCAATATACGGAAAAATAAAATTAATGTTCCAAACCACCAACCAGTTTTTGATGTGTTTGGTGCTTTCAACATATTTCAACCATCTCAACTCACCATCTCGGATCAGCCTATGGAATCCAAAGTGAAGCGATTCAGCAGGTTGAACATGTCAATGACCGGTTCCTGCTTTTCGGCCAAGATGGAGATCACCTGGCGGCCGGGGAGGTCACTTTATGCAGAAAAACATAGAGGCGTCTTTACAGGATGCCTCCCTCCAGTGATGGTTGTTGGTTTATAACCCCCATGAAAAGTATAGTTATCTAAGTTATCTATAGTTATATCATGTTATATCTACCATAAACCATAGAATTCAGCCACTGATATCTCAACTTAGCTATCTTGGGGCCCCGTCCTGTAGGGTTTATGTCATTTTGGGGCGTAACGAATGGCCCAATGTTATCCAATGTTTGATGAACCTTCTGCATCTACAAGTCAGGATTGAGATCGGCAAATTGCTACACTTCCTTAGACATCAAGGAATTTCTGGGATGATTGGACTCCTACCAGTATTTAAACATCCTAAAAAATGCGAGGTCAGGCTTCGACAGCGCCTTGTTGCAGTTTTTTTCCACGACCCGCCAGATGTGCTGCTTGAAGCGGTTGGCAGTGAACATCTGTGAGGCCGTCTTTCCTTTGCTGGAGCAGGTACCCATGGTGGATGGTAGCCATGGAGAGTATTCAAACACCACCCTCAAAAATTGGGTTAAACATGAATTTCATTGGCAAATTGATGCAACACATCATGACTTTCGGGGTCCATGAGTCCATGAGTCCATCTAACTGGATCCTGGGTCTTCACCATCTCGGACCCCCTCCACCTGTGCACTGATTTTTTTCGAACATGTTGAGAGGCTACAAACACTTTCAAGACCTTGGAGATAACTGATAGCACCAGCATACACAATACGCCCATCTCGATGCCTCTTAAACATGTCGCTTAAAATCTATGGATATCTATGGTTTCTATGGTTTCTCCGAAAATCTCAGCCCCACCCGCTGTGCATCCCAGGAACGTTGTTTGAACCAGGACTCGCCGTCCACATTGAAGATTCCGTCGCCTGGCCCCCACACAATCCAAACAGCCTTCACATCGCAAAATACGGAGCACCCCATAAACCCATGCTTGCTTAAATACTACAATAGTCGTATATACTGTAATAGTACATAACAGTATATAATAGTATATAATAGTATATAATAGTATATAAATAGTAAATAATAGTATATAATAGTATATAATAGTATATAATAGTATATAATCGTATATAATAGTACATAACAGTATATAATAGTATATAATAGTATATA